AGTAAGCCTCAACTGGGATGAAACCGGCGAAGATTTATGAGCATTTTGGATTGGCTACCAGGGACGACGCTAAATCAGGTAGTTTTGCTGCATCTGGAGACAAACCCTCTGCTGACCCTTCTGCTAGTCGTAGGAGTATCTTTGGCAGATCCGGGTTGTCAAAGTCTATCATCGGGTCCGCCAGCGTAGGCGGGGCTAATTCGATCTTTGCTAATTCTACTACTCAATCTACACTAACTCCCACCCAGCAAGGCGTTGATTCTAGACCAATGCGAGAAAAGATAGGCCATTTTGGCCTAAAAGTCCAGAAACTAAATGAAATGAGGATTCAGGAGAGAACATTCCCTGTCTTGCGCGAGTTTGCTGAAGCTCAAAAGGTTGCGGATACTGACGTATGTTTTGAACCTCTCACGATGCATGGCCGCAATCGCTCTCGAATTGATTGATTGATTGACTGACTTGTTGGTATTTATAGGTTCCAAAGCAACTGCTTGAAGCGTACCATGCCCTGATCAGTATTACAAATGAGCCCGCTAGCTCCGTAGGTTATTTTGAACCTGGTGCCCTGCGGCCCCGTCAATTTGCCAAGGACTACGGAGAGGACAGCCCCGGGTCTGTTGACGCGCTGAAGATGAGAAGGCAGATCATTGCGGGATCTAGAAAACATCTCGAGCGTACTTTCTACAAAGAGCTTGAAGAAGCCATTGCGAGAAACCCCAGAGAGGCGCAGCTGGGCGGTGTTCCCACTATCATCAATAAGATTCGGGCATACATCAGACTCCGGGCCGCAAGAAAAGACCTGGCTCCCGATGGAACAGAGCTACAGATGGTGAATGATGACTACTGCTGGATTCTCATCTTTTACCTCTTACGATGTGGGTTCATCGAAGAAGCTGCCGAGTATGTTAGTCGTGATCAGGGTTTTCGATCGATGGACTATAAATTTGTCACCTACATGACCACATATGCTCAACATAGGAGACTGCCCCGTGATCTGCAACAGAAGATTGGCGCCGAATACCAGCAACGCCTACGAAACGCACCCGAAAACACCATTGACCCTTATCGAATGGCCTGTTACAAAATTATCGGACGATGCGACCTCACCCACCGTCGACTCGATGGGCTGGGCCAGGGAGTCGAAGATTGGATGTGGCTGCAGTTTGCTCTGGCACGAGAGGACACCCGGGCCGAGGAGGTCGCGGGTGATATCTTTGGTCTAGAAGATATAAAGAAAGACATTGTTGAAATTGGTCAAAGAGTGTTCCCAAAGGGACAGGAAACTCCTGGAGCGTATGGCATTTACTTCTTGCTCCAGATTTTGGGTGGGATGTTTGAACAGGCCATTGCATACCTCGGTTCCTACGCACCGATAGACGCAGTTCATTTTGCTATTGCTCTCGACTACTATGGTCTGCTCCGCGTATCTGACTTTTACACCTCGAGTGACGAGTTGTGTAAGTGTTTCATCCTCGGCGAATGAGAACAAGGACTCCTGTACTAACATGATTCATTCGCCCAGTATCATTTACAACTAGACAACTTCCGCAGATAAATTTTGCGGCTCTCATCATGCAATATACTAGGGAATTCCGACTAGGAAATGTCGAGGCCGCAATCGACTATTTTACCCTCATTTGCCTTAATACTGACATTCCTGGTGAATTGGGGAAATCTCAGGCTACCGTGTGCCATGAGGCGTTACGCGAGTTCATCCTCGAGACGCGCGACTTTGCCAAATTGTTGGGGGATATCAGATCAGATGGAACAAGGATCAAGGGCGTGATTGAACAACGGTTAAAATTAATCAACCTTGACGACCAAGAGGAATTTCTCAAGGCTGTTACCGTCCAGGCTGCCGCCGTTGCAGATGATAAAGGACTTACTGCGGACGCCGTCCTGCTCTATCATCTGGCCGAGGAATACGATAACGTTGTCACGATCCTCAACCGCATTTTATCCGATGCTGTTGCAGTTCCTCTTGGGGAGGCTGCCATTAAAATTGAACCTGTTAAACCGCGCACTGGGGCCCAGCATCAACCACCGGAGAGCGCGCATGCTGAACCAGGAAGCAGCCTCAGTCTAACATCTGTGGATGATCCTGTTGTCCTGGCTAAGAATATGATTAGTCTGTACAACACCAATGCTCTATATTATCAGAAGATACACCCCATCAACCGCGAGGCTTGTGGGCTGCTGCTTCGAATGATGGAAACAAAGGCAAAGGTTGAAGCCGGTCAATGGGCGCCAGCTTTGGATGTAAGCCTATTCGTTTTGTCCCCTTCCCGTACTTGTGCCCGTCCCTAACTAACGTTCTACCAGGATATCAATAACCTTCAAATCCTCCCACTTACTGCCCAAGGGTCAGTCAACTACGTCCGCAGTGCGGTCCAGGCGTTTACTTCTCTACCTCCTGTCATTGCTCGAAATGCTGGAAATCTAATAATGTGGAGTATAACGTGCATCAGCCGCGAACGTGAAAGGATGTACTCTGGTGTCTACGAGAACGATATGCGTCAGACCCTGGTTCAGGAGCTTGTGGTCATGGCGAAGGATCTGATGGTGTTTTCAGGAATGATCAAATATAAACTTCCGCCTAGGGTCTACGAGACATTAGCTAAGGCTGCAGGGGATATTGGACTTAACCTATAGAAACGATGGCCCTTACCCTCTTGTTTTTCATCTGTCTCATTATGTCACTTTAGAATCGGATTGATGGTTTAGCTATTTATCAATTGACTGATAGGATGGCCCAACCGCAGAAGACTGTTTCAATTTGGTAACACATGAAACGGCAACAAGACGAAGCCCTTTTCCCGGCTATCTCAGGCTCAGCAACGCATCAATAAATTATCGATAACACTAGTCAGCTTCTTCCTGCTCACTCGGATGGCTGAATAAATGTGAGGATTTCGCTGCTTATGTGATATACGAGAGATAAAAGGGAGCAGGTCAGGTGATTCGCCAGTGCAAATTATTGACCAATAAGCATGCATTTTTTCTGCCAAGAATTAAATATTACACCAATCAAGAGAGGCTAAACAGAATATGCTTACTGATCCCACGCTAGCCCAAAGAAACAACTATATCGCGGTTAAGCTAGGCCTAAATTGAGATTAGTAAGCGATTTAGACGTCAACGCAATAAATGGGGGTCTTTATTTTCTTCATCCTTTCATCTTTTCTCTCGCATTCGTCTAGTCTTTTCTCTGCGACTTCACTGCAGTTATTGAGGCGAGGTTGTGTGTGTGCGTGTATCTTATTGTCGAACGGTCTATATCTCCTGGATGACCATGGAACCCCATCCTAGTACGGACCAGCCACTTGGCCAGGAACTACCTCCGCCCCAACCCCAGTCTCATGAGGATACAGAGATGGAAGATGAGTCTGAATTGGTTGCCGAAGACGAGATGATGGAGGACGGTGACTCTAGACTTCAGGCTGATATACATGCGCAGGTGGATGAGAACTCTCATGCGCAGCCTGCTCCCACATCGCCAGTACCGGGAAACCCACATACTACTACAGAGGCACCCTCTAATGATAGTACTACCAAGCTCGAGTTACCTCCCGTAGAGAACTGGCGTCCCTATGTGAATCCCCCAAATATCGGCTGGGTTAGACAACTGCTGTTCGATGTTACCGAGCCCATCGAGCTCAGCCTGGACGAGTTTACCATGTACTGGCCCTTTATAGATAATATCTGGGTAAAACAGCGGTCCACGTCTACCAAGGATGGTCTTCATATCACCGATTACTATATGTGCCGTTTGCGCCGTGCAACCTGCAAGCGCCCGCCTCAACGCCCATTGCCTGATGGCAAGAGACCAAGGAACAAGGTGGTCCGTGAGGGAGGGACTTGCAATTTTCAGATTCGCGTAGTCAAGTTCGAAGGTGCTCACACCACGATCACAATCTCCAGGAGTCCCAATAGCAGCCCTGCTCATTCGCACGACCTAGACTATATGGACAAGGTCAAGAAGAACTCCGGTGTGATGGAATATGTCCGGCAAGAAGCTGCCCAGGGATACCTACCAGCATCTATATTTGCAAAGCTCAGGGAAGGCCCCCAACAGCTCGAAGCTGCGGGTGGGAGGCATTTGACGACTATCGACGTTCGAAACGTGTCTGGGAAGTGGAGGGCCAGCCATCCAGGCCTCACTCTTCGACCGCACGATGGCTACGCCTACCAGAACGGGCTGGGTGTCTATAAAGTACAGGAAGGACACCAGGTAAACCATCCCCCAGCGATTATAGCTCATCCCAGGCCGATAAATCTGCCTGCTAATGTCCTGCCGTTCCCAATATTTCCCTTGGAGTTTTTGGAGCCATATCTACCCAAATCGAGTAGGACCCGATATAATGCCAATATCATTACCAATACCGCCAATCCCAGGTTCCCACACGTAACACTTACCTATGCGCAGTCAATGGATGGCAAAATTTCTACAAAACCGGGGGTACAAACCGTGCTCTCTGGCCCGGAAACCAAAGCAATGACACATTACTTGCGATCCCGCCACGACGCCATAATTATTGGATTGGGGACCGCCTTGGCAGATGACCCAGGGTTAAATTGCCGATTGGAGGGGGCTGGAGGTTTCGGAGGCTTCGGTACTATGTGGCAGCCCCGGCCCGTAATAATAGATCCTACGGGGCGTTGGCCAGCATCACCTGAAAGCAGGCTATTGAAGACCGCAGCGGAGGGGAAAGGGAAGGCCCCCTGGGTTATTGTGTCTCCAGGTGCGGAACTCCATCCAGAAAAGTTGCTGTTACTGAAACGCCATGGCGGTGATTACCTACGTATCAGAGAATATAACCCACACTGGAGATTGAGGTGGGAAGCCATATTTGGTGCTCTTGCAAACCAGGGAATACAAAGCCTGATGATTGAAGGCGGTGGGGTTGTCTTGAGCGAGCTATTAAACCCGGAATATGTTGACTTCATCGACTCTGTCATCGTTACAGTTGCACCAACCTACGTTGGGCGCGGCGGTGTGTCTGCGTCACCAGATTCGAAGCAGGACGGAGAGGGCAAGCCGATAAATGCTCTTACACCTTATGATATCAAATGGCAGCCACTGGGAAAAGATGTCATTATGTGCGGAAAAATAAAGGTCGCCCGGCCAACTCCTCCGCCTCCGATTCTTCCCGGCCTAGAAGCTGCTGCCCGCGAAGAAGAATAATGGAACCAGGCCCAGATATTCAGCAAGGAAGTACTGCGAACACATTTGCGGCCTTGTACACCAGTTTGACCAACGCCTTGGATAGGAGACTATGTTCATGTGTGAGGCACTAGTACACACACCGTAACATGCCCTCTAGTACATCGTACGACCCGCTAGCGACAAGAAGGGCTATTAGCTTGCCATGGCTCCTCCCAAAAGTGACTTTGCCCGCAGGATACCTACCACAGCGCGGGTTAACAACACTTTTCGAACACGCTTCAGTCATTCAGAGCTGCTATATGCACAAAGCTTGTGTTCACGTCTACGAGACAGAAGTTATCAACGGCAGAAATCTACGATAGGACGGATTAGTAACATACAAGATTTGCAATCAGGTTAATTCCAGTTAGACTCAGCGAGGGCTGATCCCCCGAGAAACGCCGGTTCCTCTGGTTCTGTTTATCTTGACCATAATCCATCTTACATGATATGCCCTATACAGAAGATGAATAAGATGACAAGTATGACTCCAAACCTGATTTCTGTCCTTTGTTATTCTTTCATTCGTTACTTGCTAACACACATGACAGATGCCCAAGAATGATCTACGGTCAACAGTACAATACAATAATATATTTCTTCGCCCATTGCTACAAAGCGGGCCTCAGAAGCTTCTTCTTCCATCTCATTCTAAGCTCTTCTTGCTTTAGAAGATAACATATAATATGATCCACTTTTCTACATACTTGAGTTGCATTCACCATACGGCAGCAACTTTTGTCCAATACAGCCGATAGCATATCATAATACTGCGGGATGGCGGCTACGATCCATGGAACCTCGAAACTTGTTCCTTGACAGCTACACTTCCGACCCCCTGAACCAGCAAAAACACGGCCGTTCCTGGATAAACAAGGCTACTCTAAACTGTCTCTATATTCATCTCTGTCGCTCTCTATACTATACTCTATACTATACACTCTGCTCTATATAATTGCTATGGTGAACTATGTAACAGACATCGCCACCTAGGCGTCCTCCCGTCACCGTCTCTGTGTTACTCCTTCGAGTCTTGTCCTCTTCTTCATCTTTCTCTTGTGTTGCCTGCTTACATAAGCCGGTTATATAAAGTTTCGAAGCTCAAAAAAAAAAAAACAACTCGAAGACTTTCTTGCTTTGATATCAAACTTCTTGCGGACAAAATACACAACGTCGAATAGTTTAATCCTGATACTGCTACAAATCTCACCATCTGTTCATTACAGCTTAACAGTCCCACGTCACCAAGAGCTTCTCTGCCTACAATGGCGCCTGCACGCTCCTCGACGCGTGTCAAAACAGCGACTGCGAAAGCCCCTGCGAAGACAGCGACCAAGACCACAATGGCCAAAAAGGCCGGAGTAAAGAAAGCAGCTCCTGCGTCTGATGCAAAGACGCAGAAGAAGACTGCAGCTTCCACCACGGAAACGAAGAAGACGAAGCTCAAAACTGCTGCAGCAAAGGCTGTCGTTGACGCTGGCGCGAAAGTTACCACCACCAAGCGCGAGAAAAAATCGACAACACGCGATACTAAGGCTGTTGAAGGGGCCTTACCGGCTCCTCCAGCTCGCAAACGTAAGACCAGCACCGAAGAAGACGCGGCAGCTGAGCCTAAACCCAAGAAGGCTCGCGTCGCAAAGGCTCCTATCACCCGCAAACCCAAGCCCAAGGTGGTGATTAACAAGGCTCCCTCCCAGAAGCTTAGAGTCTTTGTTTGCGGTGAAGGAAGCCAGGGAGAGCTTGGCCTTGGATCTGCCAAGGGAACTGTTGATGTGAAGCGCCCGCGTTTGAACGCCCTTTTGGCGGCCGAAGACGTCGGCGTGGTTCAAGTTGCCGCAGGGGGTATGCACTGCGTCGCGCTGACCCACGACGGCAAGGTCCTCACCTGGGGTGTCAACGACCAAGGTGCCTTGGGCCGTGACACTGCTTGGGAGGGAGGTCTGAAGGATATTGACGCGAAGAGCGATTGCAGTTCCGACAGTGGCAGTGACACCGGCCTCAACCCTCACGAATCTACACCTACAGCCATCCCATCTGACGCCTTCCCTGAGGGGACTGTCATTGTCCAGGTCGCAGCAGGCGACAGCTCCTCCTTCGCGCTCACTGACGATGGCTTGGTCTATGGGTGGGGTACATTTAGAGTGCGTTGCTGACCTTTCCCCCTCTGGTTCTCTGAGTATCTCACCTGCTAACGAATGATTCCAGGGAAACGAAGGGATCATCGGTTTTGATGCCGACACTAAGATCCAGGCCACTCCTAAGCTCATCCCTGGCCTCAAGAAAATTACCCACCTTGCCTGCGGTGATAACCACACCCTAGCCCTCGACAGCCGCGGCGCCGTCTTTGCATGGGGATCTGGCCAACAGAACCAGCTTGGCCGCCGCATTGTGGAGCGTAATAAACTCAACGGGCTACAGCCTCGCGAGTTTGGCCTCCCAAAGAACATTGTTCACGTCGGCTGTGGTTCATTCCACTCCTTCGCGGTTCATAAATCCGGCAAGGTTTACGGATGGGGTCTGAACAGCTACTGCGAAACTGGCATCCAGCAAGGCGCAGGGGATGATGAGGCTGTTGTCCTTCACCCCACCGTAATCGACTCCCTCAAGGACAAGAACATTACTCAAATTTGCGGCGGTTCTCATCATTCCCTCGCTCGCACTGCTGAAGGGGAATGCCTGGTTTGGGGCCGTCTTGACGGATTCCAATCAGGCTTGAAGGTTGAAAACTTGCCCGACTCCGCAGTTATTAAAGACGATAGGAATCGTGCTCGTGTCTTATTTCAACCAACTGCTGTTCCAGGATTCAAGGCAGAATATGTTGCGGCCGGGGCAGATCATTCCATTGCCATCGACAATGATGGCCGCGCATGGACTTGGGGCTTTTCCGCCAATTATCAGACAGGACAAGGAACCGACGACGATATTGAAGTCGCTACCATTGTCGATAACACCGCAGTGCGCGGGAAGAAATTGAACACTGCTGGGGCCGGTGGACAGTACTCCGTCTTCACTGCAATTGCTGAGTAACTCTAGCAGCAATATTTACAACCGTTGGGACGCATCCACAGCGTGGTTGCCCACCCATGCTTACTCACATTTTTGCCAACCTGCCTACCTTACGGTCTAATGGTTCTCAGCCGTTAACATTGAACTGTTCTCCTCTCCTCGTCGTTTATCTTGCACCCCTTCCAAGTTTTTGTGCTCTACTCTACCTGTATTCTGCTTTTGATTCTTGCCCCATTGCATTTTCTGTACTATTAATTCTTGCTGGTTCTGCATGTTCACCCTTGTTCCGCGTGGGTTTCTTTGCTTTTTGACTATGGCTACGGCCTCTTCGCTTCAGCATGATTCCTAACGCTCGATGCAATGCCTCTGTTTGTGAAAATGCCCTTGGTTCTGGGACTTGCCAAACACTAATCCCAAGCACTTCTAATGCTTCAGAGTGTCATGATTTGTCTTACCTGTTTGCTATTCCATCTGTGGGAGTTTCTGGTCCCTTTTGAAATGTTTGTCCAACACTTATCCCAAGCACCCCATGTGCTTTAGGGTGTGTTGTACTCCTTCGCTATGCCGTGTGTGGAAACTTGGTTTCTTTAAATATTTATCAAACACAATCCCAAGCACTTTTAGTGCTTTAGGGTGTGTTTATTAAATTCCGTCTATGTGTCTCCTGGAATTGTTCATTTGAGCGGGGATTTGTTGGCTTTATTGGTTTGTTCTTCATATTATTTGCCCCTATTCCTCCCTCTAGCTAAAGCTGGGGGCGTAGGTGATTGCGGCTTAAGTAACGTTTATTATTGTTTGTATTTAGTTATGAATGTTTCTCGGCAAAAAAGGGGGTATCTTCAATTCGTATTCTAATGTTATTTATTGTGCGCTGATACAAGAAATTCCCATCAAGCATCATTAAATATTACATATCGTGCTCCTGCATAGCCTCCCAGTCATTCTCATAGTCGTCTTCTACTGGATTTGGTGCGGGTGCAGCTGCACTTGTTTTGTTTGTGCAATTTACGTTACTGCCATCCCCATCCGCCCCTGAGAGTAGTCGGTCAAGATCATCCTCCTCGACGGGGAAACTGTTCATTGCGCTGTCCGCCTTGAGAGTGTCAACATTTCCCTTATAGAGAGAATTAGTCACAGTTTCATTATCCCACTCAAAGAGTTCATCGTCTCCAGCAGCGGCGGTTAAGTTGACCTTTTGCCCATAACCATCCCCACCAAAAAGAGATGTAACAACACCGGGGCCCCGCGAGTCTGGTTCAGGCCGTCGAGACGCCACGAAAAGACTATCTTCTTCAAGAACTGGTAGGTTCTGCTGTTCATTCCCCTTTTCTCGTGTCGGTAGGCTTTTTTTCATTGCATTATAGCTCAGCCTGGCATCAAAATCTTCATCCACCTTAGGTTTCCCTTCGTCCATCCACTCCTTTCGCATCACCTGAATTCTTTTAGAATGCCCCAGTTTCTCAATCATAGTTAGGGTATCACTGAATTTGGCGCGGGGATATAATTCATCTAGCCATAATCGATAAAAATTGAGTAATCGCCCAGCGTCAGAGAACTTTACTAGAATAGTTAGTAGGCGGCAGATGAATATGCTCATGAACTATAGCGTACCTCATGCCCCCTCCCTTTGAGCTTAAGATTGGTCTTTGCCATTTTCCGGAGTTTGGGGATGCCTTCTTGTGATAGTATCCTAATGAATGTGGTCGGTTACTAACAGTGGACCACACAAAACAAAAAAAAAAGATCTATTTACCTGGACTCATCAAGCTGTGATATTGGCGCCCGCTTTTTGGAAACTTTCAGCTCATCGTCAATACCTAGGGTGCTGTTGCTAGGATTTGCATGGTTGGTAGTAGAATCCTCTGCTCTTTGGGCGTTTTGTTCTACTTCTCGAAGGATGTCATCCAGCCCAGCATCATAGTCAAAAAGGTCATCAACGTTGTCATTAGCAGTTGCCATTTCCTTCTAAGTTACTAACGGTTCGAGTGATTGTCTCTCTTGGTTCAACTGCTCTTCTTTTTCATCCATAAAATGATATCAAATCGCAAACTTCAATGAAAAATAAAGAGCGCGACGCATAAGTCACGTGAGTATATAACTATTGATCCGTTAATCATTTATTATATAACCATAAAACAAGTCACCTGACTCTCTCAGTGAAGAACCGATTTGGGCAAAACCGAACGTCAACTCATTGTCATCGCTTGAGGACGACACAGTTGAAAGGCGCTCTTGAGAAGCAATTGCCTGGCACCATATCGATTGCAACATGGCAGCCGACCATGCAAGGCCAATTGTGCCTCCCAAACAGTTGAAAACTGACTATCCCGTCTGTATTACCCTCCAACTTTCACAAGGTCCAATATGTGCTGACGCTCTCCTCACAGTTAATAGATTCAGACCCGTACGGATACTCCGAACCTTCTGCCCTTCTGTTTTTGGCTCCTATTGCGCCGTTGTTTTTTGATGGGCACTGTTAACAAATATACAATATATTAGTCATGTGCGCCGCGTGTTTGGCTATGCCCGAACATCCGATTACATTATGGGAGCTGGTGTTAGCGTTGTGAGCCCATTGCTTTTCGGCATCATGGATCGAGTACAGCCCGCTGCATCAGGTGCTATCAATTTTGCCCGGTGTATGAGGCTAGCCGGGGCAGTGGGTTTAGCGGCAGGAGTAATTACCATCTACCAGAGATCGAGTAGTCAGTTTTCCTCCGTTCCAATATCCAGCAGCTGTATCGGACTGTGGGCGCCGTCACCTCGCCGTCATACGATATGCTAGGAATATGTCAACTGTTTAACACCTGCTTTCTATAGACCGATTTTACGGACTCACGGAGAACTCTCGGGAGGAGGAGATGGACATGCGTGAGATGGTTGACAAGATCAAGAAAGGAGAGCCACTATACGGGACCTCGGTCCTGTCACCATACATGCAAGGTGTTGCTGCGCGGAATTCCAGATACACGTCCCTTTTCATTCATGTGATTCCTTGGTTCAACGTGGTCAATCACAACCAGGTAGGCACTCTCTTAATCCCGAACCTAGTACCTTTGAATGAATACTAATTATACAATAACCCCTCAGCATGGTGTTGACACGGCAAAATATTATCGTCAAGCCGAACGAGAGCTAGAAGCTGAACGTGTAAAATTGATGAGGAGTCAATAGATAGCCCCCGCCGTTGGCAATGCTATCTCTCACATCCCCAATTTCCTTTTCATGTATCTATATCGCACCCACTGCGAATACAATTAACCATTTTCGTTTTACCAGCTAATAAAATGAGGTAGAGAAAAAAAAAGGGCGGAAAAAGCAGGGTTTCAGACGCCTCCATCTTCAATTTACTCAATAGGCAAGATCCCCTCGATCCCTTTTAAATGGGGGGCATCCTCAATTTCGTCCTTTAGTTTGCGATCCTTTTTGGCTTTTGGGTTGGGAGCTATAGCTAAGGGTCAGCAAGCCGTCATTTTCACTCTTCACCTTTCCTTACCATTCTCATTCTCTTGCACATAAAACTGTCGTAATAACATGATAGCTTCCTTTCTAAATATTCCTCCATAAACTGGATACGGAGGGTCTATTGCTGAACTGTTGGGTTTATTAGCTATGCGTAACTAGAATCAAATGCCTTTCTCTGTTGGGGTTGTATGATGACTTACTCTGAATGAAGGGTGAGAACCCCCCCAGTACCTCCAAAACGTTCGTTTGCACAGCCAAAATACACACTTCTTATTCGATACTGGCGTAGAGCCGAGGCGCACATAATGCATGGTTCAACAGTTACATATAAATCAGTCTCACGGAAGATAGATCTTGGATGGCTCCGTAAAGCTTCTTCGATGGCTAGAAATTCTGCGTGCCTTGTTCCCTAAAAATGGGTGCTAGTTTTTAGCATACCATTCTGTGAAATAACTTTATACTCATTCATACAACCTACATTTAAAGACTTATTTGTGTCGTTCATCCCAGATCCGATCACTCTACCTTTATTTACGAGGACACAACCCACGGGCGTTTCGCCAGCAGCTAGAGCTGTTTCGGCCTCGAGAGATAGTTAGTGTAAGGAACGTCACATAAAGGCTGCAATATAAGCAATAAATTTAGGGACTTTTTTATACCATTTTCAAGGCCATTTTCATGAAGACTTCATGCTTTGAACGGTTGGTAACAGCTTGTATCATTGTAGATAGTTATTGTATAAACCTAGATAAAGGGAGTTATATTTCACAGATCCGCAGATTCGATAGCCCATAGGGAACCAAAAGGGTCATATGTTCAAACATGTATCCAATAAATAGCTATAAGAGAACACCCCGTAAATGCATGATGAATTTATGCTTTCATTATTACAAAGTTTGATATCCGGCTGATGACTAATCATAACTGGACTTCCTTTCAGCCTCAAACCTGAACGTCGTGTTTTTTTGTATGAACGACTCTCCTACTACAAGGCATTAACTATCATTTAACGCGTAATTCTGGAAACGAGGAGCAGAACCTAAGGTCATATTCTAGAGTTCCGGCTGCCAGTCCCGTCAGACTCACTTCCTTTCCTTCTTTCTTCCTTTTCTCCTTCTTTTCCCCATATCCTAGGACTTGGGGCTGCATGGCATGGATCTCTCTCATGGCCAGCCAGAATGGTATACAATCTCGTCGCTCCTTAGGGAAACAGCGGGATATTAAGGCGAGAGACGCGCCCGTGTCTTCGCTTATCCCAAGTCATCTTGCATCCCATTTGGCCGCCGGCACGAGCCGCGAGCATTGCATTGATCGCGAAACTTTTTCACAACTACGTCGAGAAATACTTGGCCAGAGCGAAAATAATGAAACAATTATCAATAGTAATACCAATGATATCTACAATCTTATATGCGTGGTAGTCAAGGCCGGGCTTGAACAGCCTTTGAAACCTCAAGACGTTCGAGCGGCAGGGGATGATCTGATAGGCCAGACTCTCGATTGCCTAGATATCATCCGCCTTGCAATACAGAGAGCACCGGCTGTTCTTAATGAGAACTCAAAACCAGATATTCTTGGAGAATATACTCCACAATCGCCACTATTTGTGTGGCTCCTGTCGCCCCTTTTGACACTTCTTTGCTCTCGGGACGAGAAAAGTATACAGGACAAAGTCTGCCAGATCGTCTCGACAATATATGGTGCCCAATTTAAAGTCATTCAACTTTGGTATTCAGTGAAGTCTATATCTCGATTTCTTCAAGCCTGGATTGGTGGTTAGTATCTCCCTATTCTAATAAATCTGCCCTCCTCGCACATTCTGCTAACCACAAAAGCAAATGTAGAATTAGTTCATGCCGTTGAGACTACCAACATATCCTGCGGGAATATTTTTTCTCCCAGCGATATATCCTTTCCGGTGCCTTCTGTTGAATTTTTGTCTTGCCTAGATAAACTAGGGCTTCCACGAACTTGTTGCGGTAGAAGTGAGCTAGGAAGCCCACAGGCTGTTGCTAAAGTTTGCCTTAAACTTATCGAGGCTATTACGTGTCCGATTGAACTTTCATTATCTGATCCAAAAGCATCTTTATTACGAGAAAGCTTTAACTATGGTCTGCACCTTGCAGTAAGACTATGGAAAACAGTCTTTGAATGGCTGGAAATAAAAGCAGTCCTTGTAGATGAGCCAGGCCTGGCCAGCTTCTTGGTTGAATTTGTATCAATTTCCAGGAAACTATGCTCATATTCGACCAAGCTAAGCTCACACATTGATCAGAAGGTGTTTCAGCTATTATTTCAATGTGTCGTTGACTTGCTAGCGTCTGGGCCATTGAAGAGGAACCTTGAGTTGCAGCAAATCCTGGCTGAATTCCTTATGGAAGTAATTCGGCTAGGCCAGTCGTTTGCGGGTGTGGAGGACCTCATTGAGGAGCTATTTTTCTATTCGTTATCTGACCTCGCTGCTGATACGGAGCTCTTCTCAGCTCTACACCAGTCACTTCAGGTTAGTCAGCCCCCTGTGCAGTGACGGTGGATACATAATGCATAAGCCTAACATAGTATAGCATGTTGTACTTCGTGTGGTCGCCGGGGAACACCGTGCAAAGCTTGCATCTAAAGTGGTTCGGCGCGTTGGGTTGTGTGATAAAGACAGGGGTTCTACCTGTCGCTCACACGCCCTAGACAAAAATGACACCCTTTTGTCTGGACCATTTGACCATTCCGCTGATGAGAGAGCTCGCAAGAGACTTCGATTATCTGATACCCAAGATCCGAACGATCCCTCTGACTTTCCGAGTATCATTTCTAATACAATTTATAATGCTCTCGGGGCCTTTCCAACAAATGGATTTGAGGAGTTGGATGAAGATGCACTGTAAGCTCGAACACATATTACTCTAGAATTTCCCGTTAATTACTTTTAGGCATGATTTTGCGAATTTATCTCCTACCGATAAATGCAATACGATTGTAAATTTGGGAAGGCTAGCATGTGCCTGGACAAACAGCCTCAGTGGAGAAGAATACAGTAATGTCACAGGCCAGATTCTTACGTGCACCGTGTGTGATTGTGAGACAGGAGTGTGTTATGCCGAAAAATATATATCTAACCCTCAGTTTGGGCATTTGAGGAAGCTTATTGCTAGGATTCTTCCGATGATCCAAGATTCAGGGAGTTGCAGAATTTCTGCAATGATTGCTATTCGAAATATTATCAATCATGACCTGAATAATACTGATGATAGGCTAGAGGTATCCCCGTTTGGAGAATATTGTCTTCAGTCCCTTAAAAGCTCTATTAGAGAGCTACGTGTTGCTGCGGGGTAAGCGCATACACTGCTTTAAACATATCTGGTGCATGAATCTGACTCTGACTTTTAGGAAAACAATGGTGTCATTCTTAAGAGGTTCTCGTGGTTCAGATATACGCTGCAGCAATTTTGTCGTGGCTTTAGAATATCTTCATAAGATATCTGAAAAAAACGAGCTTTGTATGCAGGAAACGTGCGTTATGGCGCTACGGCAAATAGCTGAGTACTCTCGCCCCCAGGTTTGTACTTATAACTCAATAATCGCTAATTTTTGGAACTAGGATTTCCAATGATGAAGAGATGAATATTGTGCTCCTTCGCCTACTTGAGTATTTGGGCCATGCCAACCCGTTCGTTAGTGGTATAGCTTATACAGAGGTAAGCAGCAGGGGTATATTTATTTCTAACGCGAGATCCATTACTTACCCAGTATAGATATCCAAATTAGCTACTTTATTGAGATTGACTCCCGCTGCACTTTTTCGGCCATTTTGGAGGACACTGTCTCTTTTAGTAATCAAGAACTTCCAGGCTCGGCCGCAAATGGCTGACCAATTATGTGATTTACTTGGGATGGAGGTTAACGGGTTTTTGCGTCTGACCACGATTCATACACTGCCATACTTGGTCCTAACTAGGAAAAAGGACATTATCACACGCATTGCTATGACTCACGGCAAAAAGTCAGTTTCTGAATTAATCAAAACCCGATCAAACCTTGCATCAATTCTCGCTCTTTTGCTGGTCCAGCCCCTTTCCAGCCCAGAGACAGCGATTCCGTCTATACTCCAAGAACTTACTGTCAAGTTCAACGATCCCACACTTTCAAAGCTGGTTAGATCTGAATGTGTTCCAATAACATGCGAGCTACTTCGAGGTCTCGGTGGTTCTGGTGACGGGAAGGGCACGAAGGTAATTCTATAATGGCAATAAAAAGGGCAATGCTAACTATTAAATAGTACTATGACGCTCTTGAATACATTGCATCAGTTACACCTCGACAAAATGGTCATGGAACGGCTGCAAAATCGGATAATCTAGGCGTTTTTATTGAAGAGCATGTCCTCGGGGTGGTAACAGAATTTGTCCATGTTATCAACGACTTCCAGATTTTACAACCCATCCCAGAGAAGAAACGGGATATCGTCGCTATGGGGGAAATGATTAAAATTGCAAAGGGCAATATTGGCATTGCATTGCCACAGGTTAGATTTTTTTTTTTATTTCATGCAATTTGTAAGCTGTACGCTATATTAACAGCTGCTCCAGATTTGCGCCTGCTTGCGGTCTGCTCTAGATACGGACGAGCTTCGCGACCATGCATTTGCTACTTGGAATATAATGATACTTGCTCTTAATGATGCTGACCTTGAGCCCTTGGTTGATCAAACCTTTGCCATTATTCTCAAATATTGGCCCGTTTTGACTAATGAGAGTAGAAAAAGGGAAGTAGAGCTCGTGGATTATATTCTAAACGACCACGGAGAGACCGTTGCTGCTGTCTCTGAGATCCTTCCATCCTTAGCATCAATACCCGAACTTTTTGAACAAAATAAAATCATAGAAAAGCTCAAGAATGGAATGGATATTAGAAGTACGTTCATGGCATTGTGCCGACGGTGTCAAAGTGATAATTTTGCAGTCGTCGAGCGGGCCATGCTTGAGCTCTTGCCAAATATTATCAAACATGAAGAGTTCATACACGGTTCTGTTTTTAGCGAACAGCCGGACAAGAGTCTTGTCGGAAAGATAACAAGAACCCTATTGGATTGCTGCGTCAAGTATAACCCAAGCTCCCCAATCATTGTCTCACTCGCTGCGCAGTGTCTAGGCCTCATAGGATGCCTTGACCCTAATCGCATAGAGTCAGTCAAGGAGAAGAAGGATATAGTTGTTCTATCCAACTTTGAGAGGTCCGATGAAACCCTCGACTTCATTATATTTTGCCTGCAAAATATTCTTGTTGATGCCTTTTTGGCAGCATCTAATAGTCGAACCCAGGGCTTCCTTGCATATGCGATGCAGGCGCTCTTGACTACTGGCAATTTGAGTACCGCTATTCCCCCTAGGTCCCAGGATCCCCAATCCAGTGACTTATATCGCCGTTGGTTAGACCTCCCTGAACTATCTCGAAATACATTAACTCCATTTCTCAACTCCAAGTACTCTGTCACAATTGGTGCTATCAGTACATCATGTTGCTATCCCTTATTTACCCCCTCATTGAATCACTCCGAGTGGCTAAGAACCTTCGTCCTTGATATGCTTCAAAAAGGAAAAAGCACGAATATCCAAATCATCTTTAGTGTCTTTAGCCGCATTATCCGGACCCAGGAAAAATCCATTTCTGTCTTCTTGCTCCCATTTGCTGCGCTTAACGTTGCAGTTAGTGCCATCGAGGAAGAGCGAGAACATTTAAAAGGCGAGCTTACCAATATACTGGAATGCCCCTTACCAGAACACAAGGGACCTGAGAGAGAGAACTTGATTTTATTCAGTGAGGTGGGTTAACAGTTCTTTAACGGTGAAGGCATATACTAACATCCATAACTTACATCGAGCAGAGCGTGTTTACCGTTTTAGACTATTTATCCCGTTGGCTACATGGAAAGAAAAAGGAGTACACCAGTATTACTTCTATTGGGAACCATGCAAGTCGTAGCCAAAAAGAGACTCTTGCAGAATCCGCTGCGCAAATAAAGAGGGTAGAGCACCTTTTATCCTGCATACCAGCTGAAATAATTTCAAAACGAGCGGTCGAATGTAAGTCATACGCCAGAGCACTCTTCCATTGGGAGCAGTATATACGGCAGCAAAGAGCACGACCAGAGACAGATGCAACGCAACTCGAATCGCTTTACCAAAGACTGCAAGATATATACACTCAGATCGATGAACCAGACGGAATTGAAGGCATATCATCTCATTTGCATGTGCTAGATCTCGACCAACAAATACTTGAACACCGAAACTCAGGCCGATGGACCGCCGCTCAGAGCTGGTATGAGTTGCAATTGAATAAGTCACCTAAGGATATTGATGCTCAACTAAATCTATTGACGTGCCTGAAGGAATCTGGACAGCATGGTGCGAATTACCTAGGACCTTCTTATACTGTTATGGTCATACTAATTTCTCTAGGCGTACTTCTTAACCAGTTTGACTCATTAAAGAAAAATGAGGCGATAGTACCTAAGATGCTTCCTTTTGCAATTGAATCCTCATGGGTGACAGGCAAATGGGAAAAGCTAGAAAAACTTACATTAGGCCGTCGGGACGATATCACAACTGACTTCAATATTGGCGTCGGTGCAAGCCTTATTGCATTTCGCCAGGGAAAAATGGACGATTTAGTAAAAATAATTGAAGAGCTCCGGATGAATATTGCAACAGGCTTCACTCCGAATTCCGTGGCGACATTCCAGGCCAGCCATGATTCTACCCTTAAGTTGCATATCCTTAGTGAGATAGAGTTGCTGACCTCGGGTACCTACGATACCTCTTCTACTCCACGGAATGAAATTTTCAGCATCTTAGACCGTCGTTTAGAAATGTTAGGCGGCTGTATTTCGGAGAAACAGTACGTGCTTGGAATCAGACAGGCGGTAATGGATTTGTCGTAAGTCTTATTCCCGGTCAGTGTTTTGCCGATTCAAGGCATCGCTCTAATCGTTTACAGCCCTGCATACAACGAGCTAGAGATTGCATCTGTATGGCAGCGGATTGCCCGGCTGGCGCGGAAAGCAAACTGGAAAGATCAAGCTTTCAATGCTGTTCTACATTCAGCTCAGCTCAACGACAAATCATCTACAATCGAATATGCAAGGCTACTATGGAAAGAAGGACTCCATCGAAAGGCAATACAGACCCTGGAAGGGGCTATTTCCGCCAATGCCTTTGGCCCATATGGCCATGCTGATGCTGGTGATCATATCCCTTCTGTTCCCGTGAAAGGCTACGAACAGAACATATTAATGGCTAGGGTACGCTGTCCTATATATGTATAATTTTCCTACTAATCAACAGTTATAATTAACCTGTTTCCAGGCACACCTTCTTCTCGCGAAATGGATGGACAGTGCCGGGCAGACACAGTCGGATGTAATTGTCTCTAGGTATCGTCAAGCTATCAATTACCATGCTAAGTAAGTCATAGCTATCCCTTCTCCGTAATTTTAGAAAACTAATTCCTACTTATCAGGTGGGAAAAGGCTCATTATTACCTGGGAAAACATTATACTAAGATATTGGACTCCGAAAAGTCCAAACCTCTGGGTAAAGAGGGACAAAAATAGTAGGTTGCCTCAGTATAATCAAAATTCTTGTAGCCTTAGTTGCTAACATTTACTCTTAGTCTCAGTGGTGAAGCCTCAAAATTGGTTATCAACAGCTATCTTAGGTCTCTCACATTTGGGAATAAATATGTTTTTCAATCACTGCCCAAGGTTCTAACGCTATGGCTGGAGCATGCCGCAGCCGTAGACCAGCCATTCGATCCAAAACGAGGTGATAATGAGTACGTATACCATGTCTCTAAGATGGTTAGTTTCTAATTTGCATAACAGAGAGTTCCAAAAACATAATATGTCACAGCGAAAGAGAAACCTAGACGAAATGCACTCCCAGCTCAAGAAATACACTAGTCGCATTTCTCCAGCTTTAGTATGACCAAACTTCTGACTTACTACTTTTCTTCAGTGTTGAAACTAACAGCTGCGAGCTTTTCACAATTTTGCCCCAAGTGGTGGCCCGTATATGCCAGTCAAATACCACAGTTTACAATGTGCTTACGTTGATGATTGTGAAGACAGTTGCGGCATTTCCCCAGCAAGGGCTATGGACTGTGCTTGCAGTACTGAAATCTTCTTCAAAAGACCGCGCTTCTCGTGGTATTGCCATTCTCCAAAAGATAACAGTGAGTGCAACTACCATGCCATCCAAGTGGCTACACTAAACGTTGAATAAACACCATTCTCACGGTAGTTTTAGGAGTCGGCTAGAAAATCTAAAACAGAGCATCCTGCAGGAGATATTCGGTCTATTATTAACCAGGGACAGAAGTTTTCAGAAGAGCTCCTGGGGCTTTGTCTTGCCCGTATAGAGGAGAAAACTCTAAAAGTCAGCTTATCTCATAACTTACATTTCAACCATAGGGCGGCGCCGTGCAGGTTAGCAATTCCTCTAGAGGCTACCTTGACTCCGACGTTGCCCTCGAGCCATGAACCTCAATTTCTCAAAACCTTTCTTGCTTTTCCCACTGACACAATAACCATTGAGAGTACGTTTTCCCATACCAGCCCTATCCCACGAAACAACGAGCTAACCTTCATCAACCAATAATTATAGGTGTCTTGGATGAAGCCCTTATCCTAAACTCTCTGCAGAAGCCGCGGAAGATAAGTTTACGCGGATCAGATGGGAAGGTCTACAGTCTCCTTTGTAAACCGAAGGATGACCTTCGTAAAGACCAGCGCTTGATGGAGTTTAATAGCATGATTAATCGATTTCTCATGAGGGATCTCGAAGCAAACAAACGCCGTTTATGTAAGCCTCTACTCTTTGAGCGTGTCACTTAATAACTGGAATTGCTAACGATGAGTGCTACATAGATATCAAAACATACGCAGTCACTCCGTTGAATGAAGAATGCGGTCTAATCGAATGGGTCGACAATCTCAGAACTCTCAGAGAACTCGTTATTAAACTTCTCAAGGAACGAGGTGTGAATCCAAATGTAAGTACAGTCTGATGTTGAACTACCCGAATACCAGGGGCTAAAATTAAGCATTTTGAAAGTACTCTGAATTACGTAGGAATTTAGACGAGGCATGCTCGGATGACTCTAAGCTCCCAATATTTACTAATAAAATATTGGCAAGGTACATGAATTTTTACTCCAAGGAACCAGCCCTATCTATTCCACAACAGAGGCTGATATAAAACCAAATAGATACCCACCGGTCTTACATGAATGGTTTGTTGAAATGTTCCCCGAGCCTGCCACCTGGTTCGCGGCCCGCCTAAAATACACACGATCCAGCGCTGTGATGTCTATGGTTGGGTATTCACTTGGGTAAGTAACTGTCTCGTCTTTGATTTTCAGTATATATAATAAAGAGGGCCTCAGCTGACTCTCTGATTGAAGGCTTGGTGATAGACATGGCGAGAATATTCTATTCGAAGAAGGGACTGGAGGAATTCTCCATGTTGACTTCAACTGTCTTTTCGATAAGGTTCGCCTGATCCGATATCTAGTTGTTTATTTGTTCCCGAATAGCTCTAAACTCTCTTTATTAACAGGGATTGACATTTGATAAACCCGAACTGGTCCCATTCCGGCTAACACACAACATGATTGATGCATATGGAGCATATGGATATAATGGTAAACACATTTCAGCATATATTGACAATGGTAGAATTCATTATGCTAACTTAGGATTGCAACTCTTCTAGGTCCTTTCCGCAAGACTTGCGAGCTTACGTTGAATCTCCTTCGGCAGAACGAGGACTCCCTCATGACTATTCTTGAGACTTTCTTACATGACCCAACCACGGACTTCATTGGAAAGAAGGTGGGTTTGTATCTCCTGCATCTGAATACGTCTTGGGAGTGACTAACTGAGCTTTGCACTAGCAGAAACGGTATAACCCACGCGTTCCAGATACACCCGAGGGCGTTCTTGAACTCGTCCGCAACAAGCTCCGTGGGCTTCTCCCTGGCGAATCCGTCCCGTTGTCAGTGGGCGGACATGTTGATGAACTAATTTTACAGGCAACCCGAACAAAGAATCTCGCAGCAATGTATATAGGCTGGTGTCCCTTTTTCTGAGATCGGTACGCTTGCACCATACTTGCTTTCCCGCCAGTGTGTATATTATGTAGACAGATGAGTATAACTGTGAAGTTTTCTGTTTCTTCCTACCACCACCGCAGCGCCAAATTGAGGAGTGAGGAAACAACCGCAACAGAAAGTGTGTTCACAGGCGATCCTGGTTTCATTTTTGTTGGAAGCAGGAGCTTACTATGTAAGTTAAAGTCATATTTGTAGTTTATTCTCAGCCCATTGCCAATATTATACACGGGTATCGGAACGGAAATTCAGCAAGAAGAAATCGCCTGGAGTTCTTGGAAGTTCATTTTTGGTTCAACATTTCCTGACAGAGCTCCTGAGAAGATGGAAGGCTCTTAGGTCTAATGTATGGTCATCTTAGATTTCTCTAAATAGACAGGGTAACGACGGGGGAAGGAAAAGCATATCTTATAGACTGCGCCTTGTGGTAGCTTCTCTATCGTCCATAACGGTCCCGGGCCCTGCTGGGAGATCGGCTTCGACTTCTATTGCTGATACTACTATAGCTCAAACTTCTTCTTCGACGACGGGGCGGGCTCTCTCTACGTGGATGTCTCATACGTGGTGGTGTTGCTGAAGGGGATCTTGAAGAGTATGAGTGAGACCGGGCTCTGCCGGGTGGAGAGCGTGACCGAGATACTGATCGCGGACGATATATATCATGTCGTTCAGAACCGCGGCCACCACGGAATCTACCGCGGGGAGGCGGCGAGCGGTACCGTGAAGACGGTGGTGGTGGCCTCCCTGAGTCTAACAAGGCTGAACCGCGACTAAAACCTCCATACCGTCCATTCCCATGTTCCGGACGGGGTGGCCTAGTGGCTGGCGGCGGGGAGCGCGAAAATGTACGCCGGGGGAGGATGATGGAGACGCTGAGAACGGCACCATCAAGTTGGGCTTCATGCATATGGGCTATCGCCGACTCAGCGTCCGCAGGCTCACGGTAGTGGATATAAGCAGCTCCGCGGTTGGTCATGACTAAGTTTTTTGCGAGCGTATTAGTGCCATGTTAATGGTACCGTGGTAGAAAGATGCAAATGTAACTTACACTGCCGATTCATTGGTAACTCGAGGCTCTCTATCTCTCCATATGCAGAAAAAATCTCGCGTAAGTGGTTTTCGTTTACGTTTTTCGTAAGTTTCTCCACGACAATCTGGCACAGTGAGTGAGCAAAGGTGATTTATACAAGTAGAAGGCGGTTCAAGAAGGGCAAAAAAGATATACGCATACCTTTGCACTCCGTCTTGGGGCGGGACTTGGGCTTCTTGTATAGCTCCTACCACGCTGTCGGTCCCTAATGGGAGGACTATCGCTGCGGCTCCGGGACGAATACGGACTCCGCGACCTGGAGCGGGATTCACTGTGCCTGCTACCGCGGCGGCCATTCCGCCTGTCTCGATCGCCTCGAGCTAGCGATGCACTTCTTCCGCGGCTATAGCTTCTCCCGTGGCTCTGGAGAGACCTTGGGCGCCGTGGTGGAGGTGACCTTAATGGAGATCTTGTGCGAGAGCGCGCGTGTCGAGAGGAGGGAGACCGCGAAGACCGGCGGCGAGACGGGTGTGGCAGAGGAGAGGGCCGTCTTTGATAATCGTCATCAGCACCGTGACGGCGAAGAGGGCTTCGCGACGCTGCCGAAGAAGCTGAACGCGAGCGACTACGCGAGGGCATCCTGCAGGGAGCTTCAGGGCTAACGAAGAGGCTGGCAGACAGCAGATCTCGAAGCTTCAAAATGCGAGCTCAGTATAACGGGGGTATAAATCGTATCAGGTGGGAGTATGCACCGAGATTGCTGCCCCGAAGAAGTCAATGGCTGGCGGAATTGAACGCTTTGGAATTGAAGGATTTCAACGTGAGATTTTTGAGCTTTTGAAGTTGAAGTTTTTTTTTTTGCTTCTTCTTGATAGTTCACCAGTCACGTGATGGATATAGATCTGAAGAGAAACATGTTAGTATACACGGAGAATAAGGGTATAGTCAGCTGTGGAAGCTTTGGAGAGTTGAAGGCTGTGGGAGAAACGTTGTATACTGGATACAATGGATTAAGATAACTAGCTAAGGGGAAATCCAACATTATACTGCTGAGTATTGTATTCCACTTAAAACCCGATGCAAACAAGGGTCAAGAAAGAGATTTTTTTAAAAAAAAAAAAGCATTAGTATGAAGGAGGGAAGAGGAGAAGAAGAAGAAAAGGCTTGTTCATAAGACTGTAACCTGCTGGTTGTTGCCAAAGTTCCTGCTCCACTGCTCATACGCTTCAACGACCTCTGGCTGTATCCGTTTCGGCACCATGGAGAGAGAAGCCTGAAAGTGTTCGACCTGTATCTGCAGACCGGGCATTTTTTTCTCTTCTTCCTCGTCTAGACACAGCTCGGCCGCCGTCTCGCAGATGTTGACCAGCTCAGCACCGGAGTGGCCGTTGGTCAGGGAGGCTAGGACGATGGCGTCCACCTCGTCATTGACATCAGCCCGGTCAATCCAGTTCTCAAATATCTCCTTTCGGGCCTCCATGTCGGGCAGCCCGATGTAGAGGATGCTGTCAAGCCTGCCCGGCCTCATGAGTGCAGGGTCGAGAATCTCGGGCTTGTTCGTTGCAGCCACGACGAGGACATTCTTCAGTTCCTCGATGCCGTCCATTTCGTTGAGCAGCGTAGTCAAGACGTTGATGCCGCCGTGAGAACCAGTCTCTCTCCGTGACGCAATGGCATCTATCTCGTCGAAGAATATGATGCTTGGACTTGCCGCGCGCGCTTTGCGGAAGATTTCCCGTACTGCACGCTCAGACTCGCCAACGTACATGCTAAGCATCTCGGCTCCCTTTACGGCTAGGAAGTTCAAGCCTGCCTCTGTGGCAAGGGCTTTGACCATCATCGTCTTCGAGCAACCAGGGGGACCATATAGTAGTATGCCCTTCTTCCCGCTGATGTTGAGATTCTTCATTCGCTCAGGATTCTAGTTTTGTTAGTTTTGCTGCAATTCTTTCGAGTTGATGAGAGGAAGACCATACCTTTAGCGGCCTCTCGACAGCCTTTTGAAGACGCCTCTTGATGTAGTGTTGGCCACCAATATCCGACCATCTCACCGAAGGTGTTTCTAAGAAGACTTCTCTCATCGCCGTGGGCCGGACCTCCTTCATGGCCTGTACCATATCCTGCTCACGAATTTTCAAAGGGCGTATTTTATCAGCCGTCAAGTCTGCGTTTACCAGGTCATCATAATCATCATAATCATCGTAATCGTCGTAATCATCTTCATCTTCATCTACATGGTTCCCTGATATACCGTTTGCAAGATGAGGCGTAGGTGCCAGCATGCGTGCTTTTGCCTTTCTGCAGGACAGCTGGAGCAATGAGAGAAGGTCCGCACCAACATAGCCATGTGTTTTTGCAGCGATTTTCCGCAGCAGATCGTCCGTGGGCTGGGATGCGGAGCCTCGAAGAGCACGCAGGATCTCCAGTCTGCTTTTTGACGTTGGAATCTGCAACTCGACCTCGATCCCCAGGCGATGTGGTGTCCGTAGGCTATCATCAACGTCGTTTGGATGTCGTGTGCATGCGACGACCAGCACCCTGCTGTCCTGAAGGGAGTCCAGCCCTTCGCAGAGGGCAGGGGAGAGAGACGCATCGGTTGGCCCTCCCGACCCTCGTTTGGGAGCAATAAAATCCAGCTGGTCGATCTTGATGAGCGAAGGCTGGTACTTGAGGGCATCCGAGAAGATCTTGCGCAGGACCGCTGCCCCGTCCCCGCCGCCTGCCCTGCTACCAAGGACGGACGAGGTGATGGCAAAGGTCCGGCGCCAGCACGTCTCTTCGATCTTGGCCAGCAGAGCGCTCTTCCCCGTCCCCTTGGCCCCGTAGATGAGTATTCCGCCGCTGCTCTTGTAGAACGAAGGCATGGCGACCTTCTGGTCCTGGGTATTGAAGTCCTGTAGCCGTTCGTTGACTATCGCCAGCTGAGGCGCCAGCCCTCCCAGCCCATCCGCTGTGACCTGTAGGCGGTCTGTAGAAACTAAAGTAGTATCCTCCAAGGGCTCATCCACCCTGCCAATGACCACTCTCGAGCGTTCGGTATACTTGAAGACGGTATTGACGCTGCCGCTGCTACCAACATCAACATTCACAACCCGGAACCGCCTGGACACGCCCTTAAGCTCGACGTCAAAGACGAGGCCGAGCGAGACGACCTCACACTTGGACAGAGGGTATTCCAGCGCCCATTCCCAGTGAGGGCGCTCTTCGTCCGTGAGCTCTCGGCTTGCTGCCGCTGCTGGCTGTGATGACGATGATGATGCTGTAGTAGGAGTAGCACTGCGCTTCAACTCCTCGAGCCTAACGGCCTCTATATCAGCCAGCGGGTCAGACGCAGGCGAGACAGAGACCTTGTCGCCCAGCCTGAGGCCGTACAGCTCCTGCATCTGCTTGGACGTCTGGATGATGTTGTCGTGTATCTTCTCTGCCGCCGTCCATGCAATCGCCGTCTTCTTCACGCTGCTGCCGCTGGCACTTCCATGGCCACCGCCGGCACTGCTGTATATCTCCAGCTGGCAGAGCTCTCCTACGCGCACCTTGACCTGCAGCAGCGAAGCCGGAGAGAGATACACACGAAATGTGTCTCTGTGGTCGACGCGGGCTTGCTTGGAGGCTGGACGGACAGTGAACAGCTTCGACTCGGCCATCGTCTTTCCTCTCTACCCAGGCAATGTGTGTCTTCGGACAGGAAGATAATAGCTGGTCTATATTTTATATATACAGCCCGGTAACGGCCTTTTTCTCGTGAATATTTGATGTGGGGGGGGAACGAAGTATTTTTTTTTGTATATATTTTAGGTATGAGTATGGAACGATGTGATATCTCGAGTATAGAAATACAACGACAGACAGCAGGAAGAAGGCCCTTTTATGTATGAAACCTGAGAAAAGTCCCATTCTGGTCATGCTACACTACGGTAGGACTGAGATTTGCATCGCGACGGGGAAAAGCCCATGGGAAGCCATGGAAAGCGCTGGAGGGCGCGGAAACGAGGGTAGATACATGAGCCGGCTCATACGAAGCGTACATTGGTTTCTTCTCTCTACGAGATAGAATAGATACATGGCCATTTTCTTCCTGCATCTCCCCGTCCAGTCCGGACGGTTCCAGCCAATCTGGTGGTGCAGCGAGGTATTCCTGCATGGTTGCAAGGGTGACTGCAGCTGGGAGGAGGGATGCGTTCTCACTTCCCGCGGAGTTGTTTGTCGGTGAAAAGTATATATATATATATATATTTATTTATTATTCTATTGTTCTTGTTCCTCTAGATGGGGTGCAGACATGGCGAGGGACAGGGTTTTGTAGGATACAGGCAGATCTCGTTAAACGTGGGAACGGGAGCAAGGGGCATAAAAGGAGGGTGCTGCTGGTTAGGGGCGTCGAATTAAAACCGGATAGAGGGTTAAACATAGAAGGGAGAAGGCTGGGAAAGGAGATAGAAAGGTATTAAACGGTATTATGGTAGCCATAGGATCAACAGCAGCTGGGTGCGTTTGCGGCAGTCGTATAGTATGCAAGGCCTGGCGAGTTCACCAAAAGCGGAAGAGACAGAAAAAAGAGAAAGTAGAAAATAAGAGAAAATAGGAAGAAGAAAAAAGCAGTCTACTGGGCCTTTTTGGTCTTTTGCTCTCTCTTTCTCTGCAGGGCGGCGGGGTCATACTCGGTGTCGAGTAGGTAGTCCCACCACCTGAAGCTGCTGGCGTAGTTTCCAACAAACTTCTCGTGGTGGAGGTCATGGTGGTCTGCGCCAGCCCAGAAGGGGAGGAAATGGTGCAGGCTCCAGGGGAACTCATACCCGCTGTGGGCGTCGATGGCCTGGAAGAGACGGAAGACGATCCAGATGTACATGGTGAGTATGTGGAGGTCTCCGGTGAGGGCACACCAGAGGATCGGGCAGCTGACGGTGCCGAAACCCAGGGCCATGACCTCGATTGGGGAAGCATACTCGGCGGCGAGACCAAAGGGGGCAGAGTACTGGTGGTGGATCTTGTGGACGGACTTGTAGAGCGGACCCCAGTGGAAGGCACGGTGTGCGAAGTAGTGCCAGGTATCTTCGAGCACGAAGAATATGGCGATCTGGTAGGCCATCTTCCACAGAGGCGGGAAGGGGACGGTCGTCTCTAGTCCAAAGTACTGTGCCATTGGGTGGAACAGCCTGGCCGGCCATCAGTCTTCTCTTCTCCTCCCTCTTCGTCTTTGAATACTCGCTGTGCGGGAATGGACCAACTCACCATATCTGGGGCAGCTCGACGGTGAAATGGCTGAGCAGGACAAGTTTGGCGCAATTCCACTGTTCCTGCAGGGTCGGAATTTTATTCTACACCGGTCAGTACATACAGCCAGGAGCAAACAACGGCAGCAAAGACATACACTCTGGATCTTGTAGCGGTTAAAGTACGGCAGACGGTCGATGATCATCCAGGGAAAGGCGCGGCCAAAGTAGACTATCTCGTGCATGGCGAAGGACATGATGCCGGTGGCGAGAACGTCGTTCTGCATGTAGGCGTACCAGGCCACCCACATCTGCTCGAAGACATTGAGTTGGGGGTTGTAGGAGGCCGTCTGCTGAAACTGGGCCCAGTATGTCTCCGGCGAGGAGGAGAGCAGCGTTGTTGAATTCCTGCAGGTACCAAAGTTAACAAGCCGGACAGCGCAGGACGAGGGAGGCCATCACTTACATGTCTGACCCAGACCAGCCAGAGAAGTGAGGGGAGAAGCCAGAGGAGGGAGTTCGAGCTTGTGACGACTTGAGGAAGAGGAAGAAGAAGAATAAGAAGAGGGCGAAGTTTGGTGATGCTTGAAGTTGCTGAAGTTGAAGTTTTGAAGCTGAAAAAGTCGAAGATAAAAAAAGTTCGGAAGGTTAAGGGGCGCTTATGTAAGCCGCCCTTTGATGAGCCGAAGTGGCCTGACCGGTAGGAGTTGGTATAAGTAGGAGAGCAGAGGGAAGACGGTAGAGAAAGGTAGAGCAGCTAGACGAGTAGAGCAAGACGGTAGATATGAAGTAGAGTAGAGAGTAGAGAGTAAAGAAGGGAGAGGGGAGAATGGAAGAGAGGGCGTCGTTTATATATAGGTGGATGGCTGGATGGATACAGCAAAGGCAAATGAAGGACCAAACATCATCCCATCGACGGCGACGGCGACAGTGACGACGAGATCGTATGACATCGATGACATCCAACAGACGCAGCATCCGAGACTGAGACTCCTCCGAGATTCCGTTCCACTGTCCGGGTCGCCGGGATGTCGCTCATTGGCGAGTAAGTCGAGCTGGAGAAGACATAGAAGACGACATATAGAAGAGAAGGCGAAGAAGAAGAAGAAGAATCAATGCTGACGGGTTCAGTCATGTCCGTCGCCTGGACTCCTACGTCGACCGTCTGCAGTTGGCAGGTCTTGCGGATGTCAGAGTCGAGGCGACACAGAGACGGATAGAGACGAGGACCGGCAACAACACAAGGAAGAAGAAGAAGGAGAAGACACAGGAGACATTGGAATCAGTTCATTCTCCTCTCGTTGCCGCTGCTAGAGCCCTCTCCGGCGGTCATACCCTGAAGCCAGCCAGGGTGCTTGACCATCTACGCCGTGTCCACAGCCTCCAGCCTACCATAAGGGCCGCCGTCGAGGTCAACGAACGTGAAGACGATGATGACGAAGAAGACGATGATTACGATGGAGAAGGAGGAGATTACGATGATGACGCTCTATCAGATGGCTACACTACGAGTCTGCTCTGGCTGGTGGCATCCAAGGCAGCGGTGCAGACGTTTGCCTCCGTTATGACCTCCATGGTCGACGAGACGGTCCCCCTGAGCGATGGGATCTGGTACTGGGACGAGGTGCTTGGATCTGCATTTTACTCGGGTCTCTATACCCTCCAGACGGCGCCGGCACGCTGGGCAAGCTACCTGGCCGGCATCTATCAGGCCATCCGGCAGACTCGCGCCGCGGAGGGCGTTGATGGCACCACCGTCACCACCAACTCCAGCTCCCCCACCTTGATGGCACGATGGCGGGCCTTCTACCGTCTTGTCCACCGCGGCGCTCGAGCACGCTCTGTCAGTCATGCCAAACAGTTCGTTCTCTCCCCCTTCCAGCTGGCTCGGGCTCGGGCCCGAACCAGCCGGAGAGGGCTTCGGAAGCTCAGGGAGATGACTGCCTGTGCCGTCGGCTTGCTCATGGAGGAGGGTCTTCTCTTCGATGTCGAGGATGACGATACCGCCTCAATTCCTGTTACCAATACTGCTGCTGCTGCTACCTCTTCTTCTGCCTCCAAAAAGGAGAACCCGGATGAATGGCGGGATATCGTCTCGCGGACCACCCTGCTGATGCAGACCGTCCTCCAGCATGTCAACGACCTGGACACCGACCTGGCCGGGTTCGAAGACAACGTCTTTTCCACGGTCGAACGCGGCATCGAGGCCATGGAGGACTCGTTCGCCCTCGAAGGGGCAGGGACTGCTGGCCGCACCGCCAACCCTACCGACCAGGCCTACCAGGTGATCCAGCAGCTCATCGACGTGCTCGAGTACCATCTGCCTCACCAGCACGAGCAGTCTGGCCTGCTGGCCCGCGAGTATGCCCGTCCGTCCAGGCTGACACGCTACTGGCCTGCAGCCCTAACCCTCCTCCTCTCCTCCAGCACCATCCTCAACATCCTCACCAATAGGCGGGCGGAGATGCTCACCTGGCTGCGGGAGCTCGTCTCCACCGCCTCCGACTTTTGGACCAACTGGATCATCCAGCCTTTGACCAGGCTCGTCGGTACCATCCGGCATGACGAAAAGAGCGAAGTTGCCCTGATGAGCAAGAATAGCCTCGACGCTGACTTCTCCAGCCTCGAGCGCATGGTTGTCGACTTTGTGCGCAACCGCCCCGCCCAGAACATCGGGGCTCCCCATGGGGATACTCCCGACGCCCTCGACCTCATCAGGCAGGGGGTGCGGCAAGGTGACTTGACCCCTGTCCTGCGAGCGTACGAACGGGACCTGCAGCGACCCTTCATTGGCGCCATCCGAGGCGACCTCGTCACCGCCCTGCTCATCCAGATCCAGAAGACGAAGGTGGACGTCGAAGTGGCCATCAGCGGCATCAACTCCATCCTCAAGAGTCAGGAACTCGTCTTTGCGTGGGTTTTCCCAATCTTGTACCACAATGCTTCTGTCATTATTCAAGCCTATTTCTGACTCTCCTTCAGGTTTATCGGGCTGACGCCCAGCATCCTGATATCCTACTCTGCAGTACAATGGGCTGCCAGCCTGCTCGGAAGCAGGAGGGGACTACGGCAAGGCCAAAGACGGGGTGCAATCGTTCGTTCTCTCAGGTAAGCCCCATCTCGTTAATTTGCCACCCTTTACATCGTATAACCCGACGTATATCCTGACTAACTGTTAAAAGGACTGTCAACCGCATCCTGATGGCCTCTCCCTCACAGACGGGAGTCCTCTCGTACAAGGACCACGGCCTGCTGCTATGTGAAGCGGAGACGCTGCGACGTAGAGCCGAGCGAGTCTTGCCTGGAGTCATCTATCATGAGTTCCACGAGGATCTGAACGACCTGCTGAACGTGAGATCCGGGGTCGCTCGGCAGATGAAGGTGGTCGACCAGATCAGATGGACATATTCCAAGTGGCTTTCTGCGTAGACAGATATCTATATAATGTATATGTCTCTGTATTCAGGAACAGACTTTAAATCTAGTACTCCAATACCATCCACTCCATCCCCCATACCTATCTTTCTCTTTCTCTACTCTAAATCTTTGTATCCATCTATGTATATTATACCTATGTCTATATCTTTCTCTACGCATATAAAATGTATGGAGTGCCAAGGCTTCCAGTGGCTTGTTCCTTTTTGCGGCAAAAATGACTTCGCTGACTTCATAACGAACAACATAAACTCACGACAAGACAGGCAGACAAGACAGACAGACAAGCCGATAAGCAGACAGACGAACGTACAGACAGGCCGAAGCATCTGTTTTGTACTTTGTTCCTCTTTCTTGCCCCTTGACACACGACTCGGACAGGTAGCATAGCTTCACAGCCATCGAAACGACCGGAGATTAGCCAACCCTTCGCCTGGGAGATTCGACAAGAGACAGTATATACGGAGAGAGAGAGAGAGAGAGACCAGCTTCGCCGTTTATCCATCTCACCTTGACTCTTCTTGCACCCTCTACCCGTTTCGCAGGTGCCTGGCGTTTGTCTCAAGGCCAAAATACCGCATCAACTACAATCAACTGGCCAGTCAGTGATTAAAATATCACCCGCCAGCCAGTTGGCTCTGCCTTCTTTCAACATCCGCCTTTCACCACTTACTCCAGGCTCTTTCCTGGCTACCCCTGACTCTTCTACAGACGGCCTTGCACCCTCTTACACCTGGACGTAATGGCGGGGACACGGAATTACGACTTTCTGGTATGCTATATATTTTTCTTACTGCCCTGCCCCTTGAAATGGCCGTCTGTCTGGCTAGTTGCTGGTGGGGTGTAGATGGAGGATGAAGGTGAAGAGCAAGATCTGCTGCTAACATTCTCCCTAACCCTAGATCAAACTCCTTCTCATCGGAGACTCTGGTGTAGGAAAGTCCTGCTGCCTGCTCCGTTTCAGTGAAGACTCTTTTACCCCATCCTTCATCACCACCATCGGCATCGACTTCAAGATCAGGACAATAAATCTCGACGGCAAGAGAGTAAAACTCCAGATATGGGATACTGCCGGGCAGGAGAGATTCAGAACAATCACCACCGCCTACTACCGCAATGCCATGGGAATCCTACTCGTATATGATGTCACTGATGAGCGATCATTTAAGAGTTCGTGACCCATCCCCTCTCCTCTTCACTGTTCTCTCTCTCTCTTTTCCTAACATGTCATAAAAACAAACAGACATCCGGACTTGGTTCTCCAACGTGGAACAGCATGCCAGCGAGGGAGTGCACAAGATACTAATCGGAAATAAATGTGATGGAGAAGAGAAGCGCGCTGTGACTGTGGAGCAGGGACAGCAGCTCGCCAACGAACTCGGCATCCCTTTCCTTGAGGTTTCTGCCAAAAACAATATCAACGTTGACAAAGCCTTTTACAGCCTCGCTACCGAGATAAAGAAGGATATGGATGTGTCCAAGGCAGAACAGGCCGGCTCCCAGGGCGTCAACATAGACAACCAAAATGGGACCGGGGGCTCCCTGGGGAAGTCTTGCTGCTAGACAGGCCAGCCCAAGATATACCCTGTTCTCCTTCGCTCGATTATTTTCACTCATTGTTTTTTATCATTCTTTCGTTTTATTTTAATTTTTGGAGGATGAGAGAGGCGAGGTTTTTTTTTTTACCAAGAAATATACGAGAGAAGTATCCGGACGATCCATCATGTTACCTTTTCCAACTTGTATATTTATCCATTCTTCCATTCTGCTTGCGTTCTCCCTCCGGCATGCGGCTATGTCGAGATACATACACCTTTTTATTTCCTCCACACCCTTTCGCTCCCCATACCGCCGCTTCTGTATCTAGAGGGAAGCCTTACCTCCTCACAAGTTTCTCACCACCGGACCGAATTGTGTTTATTGTTTAGATGGCGTTTGCTCCAAGTCCTCTGCTTTCTGGTTGCCCCCTTTCACTGGCCTTTGGTTTCCCCCGTCTTTTTTTTCTTACTTGTCGTTGCTATGTTGTAATATCTGCTAAAGATAGCAGGATGGTATCTAATTTACTCTATACATGCTTCATCATATTCGTACACGTATATATCGTACGGCGGGCCCTGAAATAACCACGCTTCTCATCTCGTCTTGTGTGATTGTATACGTCATGATTGTTATGGAGAGGTTTTCCCCTTCTATTGTAATAAAATCATAGCACAACTTCTAAGAAGTAGTCTTTATCTGACACGAGAATGCATACATTTACGTATCTGTATGCGGCATCTGGGTAAACTGGCTTAAAAGCTGTCATCCCAAAAGAGGGCCTCGGCCTTCACGAACGGTGGCGGATCGCAGTAATGGCCATCTGTAGGCTGTGGAAACTCTTTCATATGCCACGTCCTCACAAACCTCCTTGCATCAGATGCAGACCTAAACATTATCCTCCAGTTGCTGACATCGTATTCTCCAAACCTGGGTTTTGCTTGGACCTTTTCGCCGAGAGGATTACTGCCGTCCTCCTTTCCATTCGTCAAGAACGTGACCTTATCCCAACCGTCGATAAGGTCCCATGGTACGGACCTGTTCTTCCCATCCCAGATAAGGAAGGTTATAAGAGATTTTCTGGTTAGAGTGAGGGACGAATCGCGGGATATGCACATTCGTACCGGATATCCAGGCAGAGGCAGCGAGGGCGATGGCGAAGTCTTGGGCGGTTGGCCATCTTTCGTGCTGATACCTGTTATTGTTTCATGCGTCCTGATGCAGGAATTTACCCAGCTGCCGAACGGGAAGAATTCGGCCGTGACCAGGGGAAACTGCCACGGTGATGTGAGTGTGTAATCTTGCAGGGCAAACCCCATAGACCCCGGGACGTGATAGTTGGAGGGAAGGTCGATGCTCGACGCTGGGAAGAAGGGGGTTTTGTCACGGAGTAACTCGCGCAGTTTGTGTACCTTGCGTTGGTACGCCGCCGCCGCCGCAGGACTCGAGAACAATAAAAGCCAGCCGTTTGTTCGCTCCAGTGTCTTGCGATTGCGAGCTGGAATTACTATTTGCGTATAAGGTCAATTTCATATTCACCTTCGATATATATAGAGTAGCATCTGTGACAATACCAACTTTGTTCAAGGCCTCCGTGGCTCTTCCACCCCTCAATATGTTTTCCCGGAGAAAGAATTCGTAAGAAGTCTCGCTCCGTTAGGGATACTGGAGCCCTATATAGAAGCAGAGCCGTCTTATGGGGCCGCTCACTCAGAGACGTGTCGGTGATTTGCAGTTGGCCCATATTGTCGACTTTGGCTCCAGTGCCCTGGTTAGCAGTACCTGGGACTGTCTCCAGGCCAAATTCTTTCAGCAGATTCTCTCGATCCAGCTTGGTCCGTTCTGGCAGACTCGGACGAGCTTCTCCCCGGCCTGGCTGCTGCGCCTTTGCCTCCAGGCTGCCTGGTTCATTGGCGCCATGGTATGGCCGTACAAGCGTGGACGTGGACAAGAGCGGGTATCTGACATTTCCCCTAAACAGAGGCGATCGCGGTAGCCATATCGGAGCCCTGCATCGCATTTCGAGGGCAGTGATTCACCGGTAGCTTCGTTGACAGCGCAAGAACTCGTTTTGGTTGCTTTCTTCGTCTTTTCTCGAGCTTTAAAACGTACATCTCACTGTTTAGTCATCTCGAACTTTAAATAGTATATACCGAATAATATTTATTTTCTATATAATAATCAAATAATACTACTATAGAATAATATACTAAATATTTTTAACAGGTTATTCTTAATATTTATATAATTATACCGATAATAAGTGCAGCCACAGCAAAGTTAGAGGCGACGCCAGCTGCCCGGCCGACAAATCCCGCAAAAGGTATATCAGGACTATAAGAACAAGTTCCGTTGTCTTTCTATCCTTCTCCTTTTTGACCTCCTCAATGGACTTAGACGATACTCCTATATTCATCTCGAGTAAGGTAGCGAATGTAAGGACAGATAAATCTTCCAAGTGGAGAATAGTTGGGTTTTCCACCTCGATCTTATTCTTATCCTCGATGCAGCGCGGAAATTCCTTATGCTGGATGTAGTCGTCTCCGCAGTAGTCGGGATGGCAGCCATCTGCCTTTGGAGGGCACGTACGGCAAAAAGAATCAAACACCTTGAAATCTTTCCACCGAATCCACGCCTTGTCGACACCAGCTTCTTCCTGAAGGGCGTTGTAAACCCCTTCCTCGTCACGCATCATGTACTCGATAATGCGGGTTCCCTGATGATTAAATTTATTATCTGCGGCAGTGAGGTCCATGTTGGTACAAAGGCCTTGATCCTTTGCTTGTGGACCACTTGCAGTCCATGTATTTGAGACCCTCGCCAGTCTTAAAAGCCATGAAGCTCTCCAGGCGTGCATCAATGGGGTACTCCACCCAATCGACATACCAGCCAAACTATCCAGTGTTAGTGGTTAGTCATAGTAGAGAAGTTGAGATGCATAAAACGTACTCTATCATTGTAATCATAGAAAGACGTTACCTTGCTATATATATCAATAGTAGTTAGTAGGTCTTAAGCCAAAATACTTAGAGCCCGACCGCAGCAGTTTACTGCCACTATACCAAATCTTTGCATCTAAACCATCGAGCATCGTAGCCCACGTAGAAGAGTCACATCGCAGATCCTCTGTTTTGGCGGTCCAGCCACCAGGTATATCCAGTCCGCGATTCCAGCTGGCCAAATCTATAGCCCAATCAGTGGTTCCTCCTCGGTCCAGGCTCTGGACCACTAGATGCGTTTCACTTTAATATCATCATCCATATATGATACCTAGTCGGTCATCCCTTGTCCCTATGTACTATCGACATATTCAAATTAGCATGTTGCAATGGGGGTACTGCCGGCAAAAACTGAAAAGTGTCCAAGGAAACCAGTCATTCCAAATCAAGGCTTCTACATACTAGAATGAAATCAGTAAGAATCAATAATGTAGGGTTTAGCAAACGAACCAAGTCCTTATCATAGAATTTGAGTCCGGCTCATCATACCACTTCTCGGCCTTGACATCCTCTTTAACCAACGCGAACGCATGTGTGTCTATCGTCGGCTATATCCTAACGCTAGTTAAGCCTAACAATGGGATCCAAACGCTTACTCCAATCCAGAATGGGGTGGTCACAAATTGCAAGAAGTTCTATTTTATTGAGCCGACCAGAACTGCCCAGTCAGCCAGGCTAAATATAATGTCTCGATTGCAGACCTCTTCAAGTAGAATCCTGCCATTACCGCGAATTGTAGTGGCTTGTGGAGCAAGCCCTACCTTTGCGTTGGAACACTTTGAGGTGTTCTATTACTATTGGGATTCGAACGCCTGGATGTGTAGCGTATTACATAATACAATCGCCTTATGTAAGCTTATCATCGAAATTTACTCCAAAAAAAAGTTATCAACTCGCTACTATTTTCGCATTACTGTTAGCATACACATACCACCTGGTGATTGCTGTGCAAGAGGAGTTTCTGAAGAAGATGGGGATCGCAAAGAAAACCCGCAAGTTCGGCCATGTTTGTCGCCCACATATGCTTCAATAAACCAGAAACTAACTGCTATCCAGGTCAAGAAAGTAATCTCACAAAAGGATAACCGATTGTAAGGCATCCTCCTGCATGGTATATTGCGCGCGTGAAAGAGAAAGATGTGCTGAAGCTTCGGGATGGGATGTAGGAAGCAGAACCAGGCAAAGGCTGAAGAAAAGAAAGCAAAATCGGACAATGTCGTCCGCGAAATGTACCGCCACTCTCACCCAAAATCGACTATCACTATTCATAATTTATACGGGGAAAGCTGCTAACTTCTTAATTTTGCGCCTGGCCAGACCTCAAGCTCCATCTGCTCTTTTCTTCCAGTTCAACACTTCTCTCGCGCCGCCGTATTCGATTTTGGTCGACACCAATTTCCTGTCCCACACAGTGCAACATAAACTAGATGTGATTCCAAGCATGATGGACTGTCTGTTTGCAAAGTGTATTCCTATTATCACGGACTGCGTTTTGGCGGAGTTGGAGAAGCTGGGGCCAAAATATCGCCTCGCCCTGCGGATAGCCAAAGATCCTCGATTCGAAAGGGTCAAATGTGATCACAGCGGCACATACGCTGATGACTGTATCGTGGACCGTGTTATAAAACATCGAATTTATATTGTCGCAACCAACGATCGTGACCTAAAGAGGCGGATTAGGTGGGGTTTTTTTATGCTTTCCCATTGTATGATTGCGTATGCTGACAGTTGAGGAAATAGGAAAATCCCAGGTGTACCAGTTATGAGTGTTGCGCGAGCTAAATATGTCATTGAACGGCTTCCTGATGCACCTGAAAAATGAAACTGAGTCTCTACATGGGATTCTCCTATCCACAGCTACGGAATCTCAGGCTTGCCGGAAATCACCAGTCTGGTCTGGATGCAATCGCTCGCTGCCCTGGAGGTAGACAATCCTTTGCGCCATATTGAGAACCACCTACCACAGAATACAAGGCGTTCATATCCCACGGCGGTCTATATCCGTAGCCATTTGCCCGACCTAAAAGCTTCGCGAGAGCCATTATCATTCCCATACCATCCCTGCGATCAGCAACTGCTTGAAAGATACTAGCTCATGTTATATACTTGGGTCACGTATATGCTCCGGATTCTCGACTTCGTTAACCGGGTGATGACACGATGAAGGAGAGCTAGCAGATCGGGGGCGGACAAAGATAGAAGATGGAATATTTATTAGTGCCAGTTCTATAGCTGGCGTCGATTAAATTCAGCTACACCACCCCGCGGTACATTCTTGGCTGCATCTCTCCCTTTTGTGCAAATAGCTATGGCTATGTAATACATGCAGCATCTAAATAACTGGCCTAACTATATATATATGTATGTGTGTGTGTGTGTGTGTGTGTGTGTGTGTATGCGACACCCTTATATACAACGGGAAGTAGAAAGAAAATTCATAATCGTTCTCCTATTCGATCCCATGTAGGCCGAGGTGTCCCCGTGATATCTATGATGCAAATGAAGAGGGCTATAAAAATATTAGGATTAAAACATAATTAGGCTAGGCCAGAAAGTTTGGATATCGGGTTATGGTATAGGTGAATGGGCTTCCGAGCCACCGGGCCCTGGAGTGTCTGGCTCCAAGTAATCTGAAGCTCGAATGCCATCGTGTTTCTTGAAGAGCTCAATATCATCGTCTGCAGACTCTTCATCGCGACCGTCGTCTTCGAGGTATGTCTCTGTCCACTGAGCAGAATCGGCCTGTGAATTCCTCGAGCTCACGCTCAGGCTACTCATTTTGCGTTCAAGAGTCTGCGTAGGCTCGCTCCACTCTAGCCTAGGGCTTCTTTGTGCCTGCGGGGAAGAGGAAGCATCTTGAAGAGATAGACGGGGCTTCTTGCCGCTAGGGCTTGCTGGTTCGCTGTCATGTATGGTATTTGGTGTAGCCTGGCGATGGGGTGAATCATGCTGGCCAATAACCTCCTCGCCTTCGTCGGTTGCTGGAACATTCATCGGTTTTGCTCGTTCCTCTCGTGATTCTAGGTTGTCTGATTCGAGAGCAGAGGCTGTATAGCCGAAATGGGCATCGACAAAATGCTTGACCACTGGCCAGCCATACGCGTTTGCAAACATGCGGCGGACTATTATATTGTTATGTGCGTCTGGCTCAAGGCGTACAAGGACCTTCCGCCATGTCAGATCGCGATGGTAAGCCCTTGCAATCTTCTCTTCCACTTTCATACCACTGCTGCCTTTCTGTAGCGTCTCCGTAGGCGTCTTGTTACCATCAGTGGCCCCTGCCTGCGAGCCGGGGTGCTCCGTCGAGGCGCTTCGGCTGACATTATTACTTGACGAGCGGAATATAGTCCGAGGCCTTGTTGGTGGAGGCGGAGGAATGTCATCTGGGTGGTAGACCCGGTCATGAAAGATGGTTCTGGGGCGTGAGGACGGGTCTATAAGGTACTCCAGCGGCGGGAGGGGCGGACTGAGCACATCACCAGCGGACTCGAGGATGGTTGTCCTTGGAGGCGTATACCAACCGTCCTCATCCTCGTATAGTGAGTTACTCCTGACAGGGCCCTTGGCCACTGGGGCAGAAGCCAGCTCCGGGTTACTTTTCGGCGTAGCTTCTTCTGTTGGAGTATCAACTCGGAGAGTCTGAGAGCGTTTGTATATCTTCTGGCTCTTGTTCTTCTTCTGTGGCCGAAAGAAGGAAAAAAAGCTATTGACGGGGCTGGAAGAAGCAGGAGAAACAGGTGAGCTGATCGGGCTCAACTTCTGAGGCGAAGCCACGGCAGGGTCACTCTCTGATTGCAGGTACTGACTGGCCAAGGGCAACTCAGGCGAGTTCGCTCCACTCCCAGAACCCGACTTTGGACGGGGAGGCTGGACGGCCGTCTTGCTGCTGCTACTCTCCTGAGTCTTGTCACCTCCCGAGCCAGGGGCGCGAGAGCCAGTACGCATTGCACTCGAGTTCAGCCCGGTCAGTTGCGCCCACCCCCATTCGGCCACCGTGCCGACGAGCCCATTCTCCCGTCTAGCCTTCTCCACTCGCTCGAGGCCTCTCCAGTCAAGGAAGAGTAGACAGGAGGTGCGCAGCGGGACGATACCATCGTTAACCACGTTCGAATATATGGTCCGGTTTCTGAACCGCTTCAAGACCTCATGCGCAGCGCCGCTAGGCAGGACTCGAAGTAGCGGCTTGGAGCCTGGGTCCTGGCCCTGAGACCGGCTGGTGTCGTTCCCCAGGCCTCCGATCATGGCTTCCCACCCACTTCGCATCCTCGAGGGGGCGTTCCAGGCTAGACCGAGATCCTGGCCGGTCCGACCGACCAGGCCAAAGTCGAGCGCGAACTTGACGTACATGGGGTTCTCATTGCTGAGGCCGAGAAAGGGGGAGGCGAAGGCGACAAAGTTGATGGGTTTGACGTAGTTGAAAAAGTCGGGGCAGTGTTTTTGTATGTAGGCAATAGCGTATGTCTGAACCAGGCCGCCGAGCGAGTGTCCGATGAAGCTGATGCTGGTAATTTTATAAGCATACTCCCTCTTCTTGCGCTGTTGGGGTGAATCTGCATGGCTGGCTGCTGCACTCTGGCGAGCCTGGGAGCGCTGGAGTTTGTTCTTGGATTTCAACGGCAGGTATGGTTGGTCCGGGTATGTCATGAGCTGGACGTATTTTGCCAGCCGCTTGCCCAAATACTGGATCCCTCGCTCTGTTCTCACGGCGTTTCCTGGGAAGCCTCTCACGATGACTTCTTCTTCTTCGTCGTCGTCGTCAGGAGCGTGACCTTCTTTTGCCTGTCTCTGCTGTTTCCGCTTCCTGGCCTCTTCTCGAGAGTGTTTTGCGGCAGCATCGATACTCTCTTTGAGGTAGAGCATATCTGCGCCGAGATTGCTGTGCAGCCCATGCGTGACCAGAACAAAGTGTATCTTCTTGCGCTTCTTCGGGAGTGATTCCGAGGAAACGTCCTCCGACCCGTCGGTAGCAGCCGTATTCTCGCAAGAAGGAAAGGGAGGCTGGTTCCAGAGGCTGGTAGTATCGTCCACCCGCAGCCTGATGGACTCTGAGTAGACACCTGGGGCTCTGGCAGGCTGCCCAGAGCGGCCCTTTGACTGTCTTGTGTGGTCACGGAGCTGGCCTGGCGGAGGGAGGTTGGCCAGGGCGGGAGCCCCCAACTCGACCGAGGCAGCATCACGGCCGACGAGGAGCTCGTACTGGACTGATGCCGTGGAGGAGAAAATGATCTCTGACGATATCTCTATTATCCAGGTCACGCGGGACGAGGGTTCGGGGACTTGTATGACGGCATCCCAGGCGCCGCCGGGCTTCAGGTTGGGCTCAAACTGCGGCAGACCGTCGACCTCATGCTGGTCAAACTTGCGGTTAGGGTCAAAGGCAGCTGGCCGGCAGGAGACATGCAGCGCATAGGGCCCATGGAGGTATGCGGCGCGCAGCGGAGTAGCAGCGGTGTTGCGCAGCTTAACATGGAGCTGTGAAGGCGTGGGCAGGATGCGGTCCGTCGACGGAGTATATGTCAATGTATACCTATTCACCAGTTAGTCAAGTTCCATTTATAGGATCCAGCGTCTGTCTGCCTCCAACCTGGCTACCTCGCCGACCTTGAGGCTGCCGGCCTGGTGGACGAGCAGCATCTCCGCTGCACGCCGGGTCTCTGCAGGAGGAACACTCCAGCCACGCAGAGTACGAAAGGTCGGATGGTCTTCGGGCGAGAGAGTGACTCCGTTGCTGGGCGTCTGAGAGAGCCGGTACGTCCGGGGAGTCACCAGCATCCCATCTCCTTCTTTACTGTCCTGGTTTATGTCTTGTCGTTCGTTCGTTCGTATTCTTCGGTTGATAAAAGAAAAAAGGTGAGGCTGTGTAAGCGTATTACACGTATCTATGACATTGAGGGCGAGTAAGATAACAAGACGCGTATTCTAGTTACATCACCAACCTGCAAAACTTGCGCTGCGAAAGTCGAATTTCGACTTCGTCCTCTTTATATTCGGCTTTGCCAGCTTCAACAGCTCCGTGTGGGAGTAAGATGATCCTCCCGTCGACGCAGACTCGCCGCCAGCGCTCGTCGTGCTCCTTCACCCGGATCCTGACGGCCTCGACGGCGGCGTAGGCGACCTCTGGCTGCGCAACATGCCGTCCACCCTGATACGCCAGCGCCATCAGCTCGCCCGCCCTCTCCGGCGCCAGCGGGCCAAAGTGTACGATACGCAGCTGTCCGTCGAGCGGCTGAGATGCTGGCGAGATCGTAAACCCCTTCTCGAGCTGCGAGGCCAGCGTCACCAGCACGTACATGTGTGATTCCCGGTCGACCTGTTCTTCTTCTCCATCACTCTGTCTGAGGAGCCTGAGGGAACCCTTATAACTGTGTGACTGGCTGCCGTCTGAGGGATGGAGAAGCTCCTGCGCGGCCATCTTGAACCTGTCAACCCCAAACCGCCTGTACTCGGTGGTGTCGCTGTCTGCCACCAGGGAGGCGTGCAGTCCCCAGCTCACCACCACCACCCCGTAGACCTCTGCGGCCTGGCCTTCTGTCGAGGCGACCGGCTCCCTCCCTCGTCCTTCGTCAGTCACGTACATCGAGCCAGGGGGTAGCCTGACACAGAAGGACGGCAGGTCCGCCGGCGAGCCTCGCACCAAGCGGGAGAGCCCCTGCGTAGAGTCAGCCAGCAGGCCCGTAGAATTCGCCAGCCCGTTGCCCGTCCCCATAGGCACAAGACATACGACCGGCCTGGTGAAGGCAGCACTCTCTGGCGCTTCGGAGAGCACTCCTATCAGGTCGACCAGGCCGCCGTCGCCGGACAGGAGGATGATGGTCTGCTCAACACCCGCCAGCGCTCCTGGCAGGAAGACCTCCCTCGCCAGCTCAGCGACCGTCTCTGCAGACTCGGTCTCATGGGCCGTGTAGCCTCCCTCCGGCTTCATATACGCCAGCAGCGGCTTCAGCGAGCCCTCGAAGAAGGCGGAGGCTGACCGGGTGCCAGACAGCGTCGACACGACGACGTGGACGCTCGCGTCCAGGTGTGATGGCCGGCTGCAGTAGAACTCCTCTGGCCCTGAGTGCGGCAGGCCAGACAGCTTCAGCGTCTCTAGACGAGCGTTCTTTGTATAGAGCAGAACGTCTTCATCTTCTGTATCCTCGTCAGCCTTGATGACCGCGACGATGCTGTCTGCCGGCACCCTCGAGCTCCCCTGCATCTCCAGTGTCTTCCATTCAAAGTGCTCCCTGGAGAAGCTGACCGTGGAGGGAGCTCCGTCTACCCTGCCTTGCACTGCCATTATACACATATCGTCCTTGTCGACGTTGATGTCGAACATTCCAACAAAATAACCATAAAACTGCAGCTGAACCCTAACTAACTCTAATGACTGACGAGTGCGTATTACACTACATAGTATGAACATTCCTGAAGGGTCTTATATGCCACGGGAGGCCAATCGAGTTGTCCGCCCTAAGTCCAGCCATTTGCATCCTGCCGGTATCAGAATAATCGGTGAGCCCGAGTAACTGGGCATTGTCTATATCTGGTTCACTCAGTTGGGTAATTGGTATGAAGCCAGGGATCCTCCAGCAGTTCGTGCGCCGTACTACGCTCTTCCGGCATCCATCTTAACATTCTCTTCACAAAGCTGATGAACCTCTGCTTTTCTTCGCCTGTGATGATGCTCAGAGTACCCTCGAAGGTGAACTCCGCACTTGGGCCTATGCCTAGAGTTTTGAGGCCTGCGTGTAGATGTTAGTAGTATATATCGGAGTACAGCTAGATCTATACTCACAATGCGTGTCTGTATTGTAGAATATCGACGTTCTCTGCCCTTTGTCAAGTAATTTCACTGGCGGCTGTCCCAGCAAGGCAGTGATATATGCGAGGTGCCTTTCGTCATCATAGTCACTACCGGGCGGATCGGCATCGCCAAAGAGCGGTTTTCTCTCTAACAAGTCCCATAGCTTCCCTTTGACGTTAGTAGTTGACTCAGATAAACCGCCATGCGAAAGTGAAAGCCTTACCAATACGCCCAGGCTCCAGATGTCGGCACTGTAGGTATACCCTGCATCAAGAATGACTTCTGGAGCACGGTAAACTTCCGCCTGTATACAACCTGTTCTTGGAATGCCTCCTCCCCGAACGGCCAAGTCGAAATCAGTGATTACGGTCCTTATGGTGGTTTTGATGTGTCTCCCATAATTATTTCGAGACAGGTATATTATACGTCCATCCTCGCAGCGTTTTTGCGGAAGAGGATGCTGGTATTCGTCAAGGGCATCCCGGGCTAGAATCGATTTATCCTCGAGCTTGATCAAGAGGTTGTCCGGCTTTAAATCTATATCAGCGGTAAGCGGGTACTGTATGATGGGGTGAAGTGCAAGACGCACCGGTATGAATGACATGGCACTCAGAGTGCAGATAATTTAAGCCATGCAAGATTGTTTGTAGCATAACTTTTAGAATCTCCGAAGGGATGACGCCCCCTTTCCATCTCCGTTGATAAAGCCAGAGCGGCTCTCGTAGGGGTTCGAATGCGATACACACATGTTTCCCATGCGCAGTCTCCAGGGTAAACGAGTCTAGAGGCCTTCTGACAAACTCGCGGCCATGATGGTGTGGATTGCATCTTGCAATATGCTGGAGGATAGCCAATTCGTTGTCAGAAGCAATGTCCTGCGAATGGTGCATGGAGACATTAATCTTGACGGCAACGTATTTTTCATCCAGCCAGCGCCATCTAAGGAAAACGATCAGCGGAGGCGCTGAGGCACGCGAGAAAAGAAAACTGACTGACCGGCAAAGGTCTCGAGCAAGCCAGACGGTCGAGCTGGAGCCGTACCCAAGCTTCGTGGAAAGCTGGTATCTTCCGTTGAGAATCTGCCCGATCTTCGCTGGATAAAAGCGTTCGGGCTGATAGTACGGCGTCTTCTCCTCTTCTACCGGTTTCGTGGAGTCCAGCATGGGAACAGCAGACGAAGACGGTGGCCATGGCCGACGTTGGAGTGTCCGCAGGTAGCGAAGCCTCGTAGACTGTATCATTGATGTCCTTTTCTTGATTCTCTATCTGGTGGGACTGAAGTTGACGGATGTAGTTACAGAAGCCCTTGGCGTGGTCAAGTATAGGATCTAATCATTGAACGAGGAAGAAGAAGGAGAAGAAGAAGGAGAAGAAGAAGGAGAAGAAGAAGGAGAAGAAGAAGGAGAAGAAGAAGAAAAAGAAGTATAAGATAGGGACTGATTAATAGTCGAGAGACCCCCCGACGTGCGACCAGAACTCCTGGACGAGCTCACGCTGGCCCTCACCGGCGGGCGAGCCCCTGACGGCCAGGTACCGCCTAGAGTCGAGCTTCGCCTGCCAGCCGCCGGGATTGCCGTCGACGATGATCCCGCCGGCCTCGAGCAAGATGACCCAGCCGGCGCAGACGTCCCACGCCCAGCAGCCGCCCTCCCAGTAGAGGTCGAGCACCCCGGACGCGACGGCACACAGGTTCAGTGCCGCCGAGCCCATGCTGCGCATCGAATGCACCATCGCACCGCCCAGCTCCCCTGCCTTGCCCAAGTTCTCAAAGGTGCGCACCTTGGTCTCCCAGTTGGGGCCGCTGCGGTCGGAGCCCCATTCCACGGCGACGAGCGCGCTGCTGAGCCCCGCAGCGGCTCGACGTCTTCCCCCTTGAGCGGCAGCCTCTTGGTCCGGTTCATGAACGCGCCCTGGCCCCGGATGGCGCTGTAGAGTGTGTTCGTGAACGGGTTGAAGACGACTCCCACGACGGGCTGCCGGTCGACTGCGAAGCCCAGCGAGATGCAGGCCGACGGGAAGCCGTGGACGAAGTTGACCGTGCCGTCGATGGGGTCGACCACAAAGGTCGGGGCGTCCGTCAGCGGCCTCGACGGATGGTACGTCTCCTCGCCCATGAACCTGTCCATTGCATCAGTATCATCAGGCTGACGGACAAATTGAATATCACATCGGGAGGACGCACTCGTAGTGAGGGTACTTTGTCCGCAGGGCCTCAGAGACGGCCGCCTCGACCGCGCGGTCCGTCTCAGTGACCAGGTCGGAGCCTACGCCTTGTCAGTACTGCTTCATCAACGACGGGCAGGCCAGCTTACTGTTCTTCTTCGAGCCGACGCCGTTGATGAGCGGGTGGGCGCTGGTGATCATCTCGCCCGCCTTGCCCGCCAGCTCGACGAGGAACTCATGGATCTCAGCCAGGTCGGGCGTCTCTGCCATTTTGCTCTCTCTGTCCCTCCGTCCGTCTATCGTCTGTCTGTCTCTCCGTCCGTCTATCGTCTGTCTGTCTCTCCGTCCGTCTATCGTCTGTCTGTCTCTCTGTCTGTCTCTATCGTCCGTCCGTCTCTCTCTGTCTGTTGTCGTAGAAGTGGAAGATAAAAGTCCTTTACCAACGTGTACGGAGTAGTCCTCGCATCTATGGTCATATCAGGAGACGCTTCACGGACAACAACTGGATCCCACTGGACGTAGCCCCTCGAGGCCTCCTTGACGGCTGCTACAGCGACAGGTCGAGAGTCATCGAATAAGACAGAAAGTGGATGACGCCGGCCAAGAGGGACTTTTTTCCCCACCAAGAGGGAGAAGAAGATTTTTCATGTCGATAGGAAGGACTTGATATCGACAGAGAAGAGACAGAGAAGAGACAGAGAGAGAGAGAGAGGATGCCTTCGGAGCTGGAGGAGGTGAGGTCGTTGTCTTCATGTTGAGGCGCATCTTCTTGTGCAGGCTGACGGTCTCGTAGCTGGTCGACTTCCTTCACCACGGAAACACCCAGATCCGCCAGATAGGTGCGTCTCCCTGTGTATCTCCCTGTGTGCATGCGATGCTGACGGTTATAGCGTGCGAGAACCTCGTTGGCTACTCCGCCTCCCAGCCTGCGCTGTTCAAGAGACACCAGCTGCTCCCCGTCAGAGACCTCAAGCTGCTCGTCAGGGACTACCCCGTACGCATCCCCCGCCTGGGACGCCCTGCTGAGCCGAGTTGGCTGACATGAGTCTCGTTTAGCCGATTGCCAAAGATGCCCTGACCATCCTCGTCAACCTGTCGGCGGATGAGGAGGTCCTCAAGGAGCTCGCAGAGGACGATGCCTTTCTAGAGACCCTCCTGAAGAAAGTCACAGTATGTAGGTGCTCTCTTTATGCATGCATGCATGTATGTATGTACTGACTGTAGTAGAATCTAAAGGAAAGGGCCGTCAGCGAGATCACCATGTTGCTCGCCAACCTGGCCAAGTCGGACAGCATCAGACGGATAGTCAGCCTGGAGAGAGCGGCGCCGGAAGGCGTGTCGACCTCCTCCAAGGCCATGGACCAGCTGATGGACTGCTTCATCAAGGGAGGAGACAGCGCCGCCGGTGACGACGCGGACCGGGCGTACGACTACCTATCCTACTTCTTCGCCGACATCTCCAAGTTCCAGGAAGGACGGGCTTACTTCGTCACCGAGCAGGCGTACGACTCCGTCATCCCCATCACCAAGCTGACCGTCTTCACCGAGCACCGCAGCCACATCCGTCGCAGGGGCGTCGCCTCGACCATCAAGAACGTCGCCTTCGAGGTCTCCTCGCACCCGTCCCTCATGTCGGAGTCGGAGGTCAACCTGCTGCCTTACATCCTCCTCCCGCTCGCCGGGCCAGAGGAGTTCGGCGACGAGGAGAGCTCCAGCATGCTCCCTGACCTCCAGCTTCTCCCGCCGGACAAGCAGCGCGACCCCGATCCGGACATCCTCACCGCCCACCTCGAGACCCTCCTCCTGCTCACCTCGACCAGGGAGGGGAGGGACACGCTGCGGCGGATACAGGTCTACCCCCTGGTGCGGGAGTGCCACCTGCACACCGCCAACGAGACCGTCCAGGAGGCCTGTGACCGGCTCGTCCAGGTCATCATGCGAGACGAGGAGGGCGAGGGAGACGCCGCCGAAGCAGCCATGAACAGGGCCAGGCTTGAGCTCAAAGACAGGCCCGACGACGAAGACGAGAAGGTGGTAGACGTGTTTTGATCTTATGTACATAAAAAAATAGATGCCAGCCGTAGCAGCATATAAGTTTATGCGTTAGCTATGTAACTAAATACTAGTTCGGTAAGTATTCATACTTGATATTTACTGTTTGAGTGGTTGTTTTCACCCTGAGCTAGTCTGTATATTTCGGCCTTGAATATATATAACGGGGCCAAAGTACTTCCTGCGCGCCACAAATATAAAGTGAATCCCCGAAATAACCAAAGTTGCCGTGAAAAGCACCGGGGCCCAGTTGAATGTCTTCGACGTTATCGAATAACCTATTGGCCAGAATGTCCAGAAGAACGCCCAAAGGGCATAACAGACGGCTGCCGCGTTGACGGGGATACCAAGCTTGCCCAGAGGGAATGCAGCAGGCGGCAGTGTCTCAGGGTGCGCAATACGACGCCACAAGATGCAGCCAATACTGAGGCAGTAACACTGAAGCAGTGCCACGGTTATGAGAGAGCCCATGGCATAGAAGGCGATGGGGCTGCCAATGTATATTAAGCTCAGGCAGCCGCTGATAACGCTGGTAACACCAATCGCGTTTAGGGGAATGCGGTGTTTCTTGTTGACCGTTGCTATCCAGTCCGAGAATGGGAGGCCCTGGTCCCGCGCGAACGCCCAGCTGTCCCGAGTGACGGCTGCAAGATACGTCATGTTGGAGCAGACTATAAGAAAGAGGATAAGTGTGAGGAGCACTGTGATCCATTCCTTCGACATGGACTGCCGGAGAACGTGGATAATCGGATACATGGTGGGATCCGCAAGCGCCTCCTCGAGGTTGGGGAGGTGGTAGGCGATCGTGATGAACGAAGTGAGGGCCAGGAAGGAGTTCACCAGCCAGATAGCAATCATCGCCTTTGGAACGGCTTTTGATGCATGCTTGACTTCCTCGGACATGTGAGCAGCCTGAAGCAAAGAGTAAGCCAATGTCGTAACTAGTTATGATCGGGAGCGCATTCTATAGGATTGACGCACCGTATCAACACCGATCTGGGTGAAGATGGCTGTTTGCTGTCCAACCAGCACTGCCAGGCCCGCGTTAGGCCAGCCTCCCACGAATGTAAACCCGGTCCAAACTTGAGAAGAGGACGCCCGGGGAGCGTTCACCCAGATGGGAATAATAAACCCAAGGTAGACCAGAAGATGTAGACCAAAAACCGCGTTTTGCCACATATGTAGGATTCTCGCGCCAAAAACGTTTCCGACAAAGGCAACCAGAACAGCCATCATGGCAAGGAGTGTTGTGTGCCATTGGGGAATGGCGTACTCGACGTCGTGCAGAGAGATCAGGATCTGGATGATCGTGGCAGCGAGGAAGACGCCCGAGGCATTTCCTGCCTGCCATGCAAGCGTCGAAGTCCACCTATCTTTCGAATTAGCATTCTACGCTGAGGCAGGGGGTTCGACATCCTACCCGGTGACATAGCTGAGGGCTCTTTGGAGGCCTTCCGGGGCGAACTCGCTGACCCAATGGTACTGGGCTCCGGCGATGGGTGCCATGCTCGCCATCTCCGCCATGCTGAGATAGATAGGGCAGAAGCCGGCGATGTTCCACAGCATGGGATAGATCAACATGGGCCTGCCGCCGTTGGTCAAGCCCCCCGTGAGATTGAACACGGTGAATTCCCACGACGCCGTGGCGACAGCGACGAACGAAGCCATCGACAGGAACCGGAACCGCCGCACGAGCTGTTGCTCCTTTCCCATCCGCTGCATGTCCGCGGCGTCCGCAGGAGACGACTCGAACCCATCATCGCGATTCCATGCAGTGCCTGCGTCGGTACACGCAACGTTGCATCCGGCTTTGTCCTCTAGGGAACGAAGGGCCATCTCGGCAGGATCAGAGCTCGCCATGATGCAGAACAGGATAAACTGCGGTCGGGAGAAGGAAACAGAGCTGAAATACATGCCCATTTATATCCTGGACCTCCCTGGCCACTGGCAAAGAGGGGGAGAAAACATCGTGCCCTTGCCAGCGGTAGGCTATGCAGGTGCAGGCATCTATTGGCAGTGATCTCGACATTTTCCCTCAAGATGCTAGTTGGTTGTTATATAGTAGGGATGTTCTTCGAATCCCTGGAACGTATAACCGTTAAGTTATAGTTACGAGGATGTGATTCGCGATGAGTTACTAGTTGAGCCTCACCTTAGTTCGCCTTAACCTTCTACTGAAGTACTATGTATATGTAGTGAGATCCTGGGATAATAAAAGGCGTACGTTCTTATCTTGGGCCATGGTGGAGCCTAAACGACGGTGATGTTCATGGATATCCTGGCAAGTAACCAGTTAAGCTGCCGTATATATACGATAGCATTCACTAACTCGCGGTAGGATTTTCCACGCCTTCAGGTCAGGCCATGCATCGCCGAATTCCTGCGGACAGGGTGCCGTCCGCCTGAGCTGCGTCTCCGCGTAGAGCGCGTTATCGAGGTGCCTGTCGCCATTCCACTACACACGCACGACGAGGGCGAGGAGGATCAAGGCGGAAGACCCGAGGCCACGGCCTTGTACAAGGCGTATAGGATGTTCCTGAGCGATGGAGAGCACACCATCCAGGCGCTGCTCAAGAGTCAGCTACATGCCCTCGTCTCGCACACGGACGAGTTGGCACCCGGGACGGTGCTGGATATCGAGGACTACGAGCTGCGGGCGGCGAACCGGGTCGTCTCCGGAGGAGGATCTCGACAGAGCCCGGGGACGGTCGTCTTCCTGGCAGTGGGGAGATATTCACCGGTGGAACCCGGTACGCCGGACCACAGTGGAAGCCTCCTTCAGCAGGGGGAGGACTTTGCAACCGGACGTTTCGACAGGGACGATGGCTTGTCGACACGTCCAGAGAAGAGACAGAGGACAGCGTCGGTGGCCGCGGATGAGGCCTCTCCTGCCCGTACCAGCTCGCAGCGAGACCGTTCCGAAGCAAGGACGGGCAATGCTGCAAACACACCGATACCTCACGATACCCCCGGTGCAGCGAGCAGCCATCTGCCTCCAAAACACATCGTCGAACCCTCCCGCAAAATACTCGCCTTGTCAGACCTTCTCTTCCCTCTCACTCCCTTCCCCAGGCGGAACCATATCTGTAACGTCATCGCGGTGGTATCGTGGATATCCCCCGAAGTAATAAAACGAACGTACATGCCGCCGAAAAGGGATCTTCGTCTTATCGATCCCTCGATAGTCGACACCATAGACCAGCGCCGGTCTTCTACCGCTCCCTCCTCGTTACCGTCTTCGCTGCCGCCCAGCCGGACGGCAAACGGGACCCTGGGGATCTCGATGAGTGTCTTTGTAGATGCAGCCAAGTTTCACCCGCCGGTCGGCACCGTGGCGTTGTTTCGAGGCTTGAAAACGCATGAATGGGACGGCATCAGTTTGAATGCGTACGAGAAGGACTGCAGAAATAAAGAATGGTTTGTTACCGATCCAGCTAGACTAGCTATGTTAGGCGTTGACGCTTCCGCCTTGAAGACGTGGTGGCTAGAAACCCAGAAGAGATGGGAGGACGCCAGGAAGATATGACTTTTATGAAATATTACTAGAGGTTCTATCTGCTATGCCCCCCTTTTCTTCCAAACAGCTGATGTTGTTTTCCAGTATTAGCCAGTACTGAAGGGCGGGGAATTAAAAAGGTGTGTATCATCAAGAAGACCGTTTCACCCGCTCAGCGAACAGATCCTCACATCGCTCGCCCGCCTCCGTCTGCCATGCCAAATCCGTCCCGGGCACCGGTCTTGCAAGGCTGATGATGCGGAATGCACGCGTAAATTCCTCCCGTATCAAGTACACTCCAAGGAGCGTCACCATTCTGGCAACATTTTCGTCCCTTTTGATCGGATCTTCAATAGCTAGCAGATGTCGATGTATATTGCCATTTTCGTCTTTGTGGTATGTGGTCCAATTCTTGGATGTCTTGCTGCATCGCTCCCGAATAGAGACAACCGCATCTTTCCAGTGGAACCAGGGTCTAGGCTTTCTGCGCAGGTACTCTATGTCGTGGCAGGGTCCGGAGTAATATGCGAAAAATCCACGAAGAAGCGAGAGGGTCGATTGATCGTTGAAAGTTAGTTTCCCTCGGGCCGCTTCTCTTGCAATCTGCCTTGGGTTGCGCCAAAAAGTTTCCTCGTTGTCTTCGGTGCTCCCGTATCGCTTGCATTTATGGAGGTTTGGGATGACCGGCGGGTAAGCGATGTTCATTAGGTAGTGGAGTAGCATCAGGGTATATCCGTAGGATGACAGTGTACCATGGTACGGGTTGTTGATGTTACGTGCTTTCGCCCACCTCTTCACAATGAGTGCCATCTCGTAGACACGGTTGTCGCAGATCCGGTAGGCCCTCAAGAGATCCGTTCGACGTAACAATGGCTCAAGGCGGTCGAAGTAGATATTGTAGTGCTGGCTTGGGGTGGCGTTACGGCAACAGGCCAAGGGCGTGACGGCAAACGCCTTTAACTCCTCCGCCGTCTCCAGGTCCGGGTATTCCCATTCAAGCATGTCAATAAACTTCCGAGATGGGTTTTGACAGACACGAAGAACCATGGAGCGGTCGTCTTCAACACTGGGGAGGAGGTATGGAGCAAGGCCATGGGAGAGGAAGGCCTGGGCCAAGATAATGGAAAGCTTTCGCTGTATGTGAGCTGGAAGATTCTCCGTGACCACGATGAGGTCCATCTCAGACTCAGCCAGAGCATAACCAGAACGATAGCTTCCAAAGCACTGAAGGGCCACTGAAACCGGACCGCTTTGGGGGTCCGGCTGGCTGAGTCTCAGCCTGTCGATGACTGCATCCAGAGTCCAGCGGCACAGAGTGATACGGAACTCCTCCATCAGCTCGAGGCTGCTGCGTGAGATGGACCAGGTAGACATGTCGGTGATTATGTAGTGTAGATATGGATTCTCCGCTATCTCGCGGGGCTCAGCCTTTGGCTTGCATCTCACTCGAATAAGGGGTCTCTCCTTTGGCGGCGGCGGTGGAGGAGTAGGGGCAGCAGCAGCCAAGTTATCGAGCTCAAAGCGAGCCAACTCATACTGATGCACCGCGGACAGTTGATGCGTAGCCGGCTGAGGCTGCTGACCGGGAGACGGGCTATTCCTTCTCCTAACTATCATCTGCTCCGCTGTAAGCTGAGCGCTGGCTCGCTGGAGACGGTGGTGAACCTCTGGAGGCAGGCTCAGGAACCTTCTGAGGGACCTGTCTGTGATATGGGCGATGGTCCCGCGACCTTCCCACTCATCCGGGAGCCTGATGATGGGCTTGCCTGCATCTATATGAGAAGGCCGTGACACTGCAGCACCCTCGACCAGTTCACAGGCTGAACCCATGTCTGTGGCTTCGGGCGGTTTATCTGACTGTCGGGCAGATTCCATGACTGGAACAAGATGAAAAGAGAAGAATCTATCACGACTCTGTGGGTTTGTGTGCGGGTGTTAGAGAGGATCAAGTGAAAAGGACAGGAAGAGCTAGGAAGAGCTTTATATATATATATATCTATATAGACATATTTTTTTCACTAATAAGCGAGCTCTCACTTGGTGGCTGGCCAGCTCCTTGCTGGAACTCTCCTTGCCTTCTCTATCTCATGTGGTGCTTAATTTACTCTCGCACATTTTTAATATCAATAGATATTCAGCAAAAAAGAAGAAGCTATCTGGGATTATCCCCCCACCACCTGGATACTCTCTTAGATATTATTGAACAGATTGAAAGGGGGCTATGTGAATAACCACATCAATAGCAAAGGACTATTGTTCTAAGCAGTTATTGGGATTCTCCAGGTATATACCCTTTCAATAAAAGGCTATCTCCGTTCCTCATAGAGGATGAAGGCTGTTCAGCTTGTCATAAAGGCATCTCTCTCCCGTTTCTTCTCTATCTCTTCTTCTTCTTCATATAAAATGTTTCTTGACGTCGAAAACTTCCCTTTTCTGTCATGTTAGTCATCCAATCACGTGATACTAACGACTTCCAGCTTCAAACGAAGAGAAAAGAAAAAGCAACCAAACTTCGAATGAGTTGAATATAATATACGCAATATAACCGTCTTTGAAGGTCCACGCTCTACATTTATCTGTCGGCAGCTGTGAGGTCAAGGGGGACGGCACTGCTGCTGTGTACCGTCTAGATTTGGCCCATCCTGTGCTAGTTCGCTTGTTTCTGATTTCGCGCCCATATTGTCCGGGGTAGAGGGAAGACAGCCCGATAGCTCATACAGGGAGCTTCCGCTGCCAGCTCCAATGGTAGCACTGGCTAGTGTATCGATCTGAGCCAGTAAGCCAATGACAGGAAACATGAGCTCAACTCCACCGAATCCGCCTTTGGGACGGACGCCCCCAGGAGGGCCGAATGGACCTTTCATGGTCAGACGGCGGCCCAAACCGGCCGACCCTCTCGTTCGACCGAAAAAACGACCTATCCCACGACCTACAGCTCCTGGAATGAGTCAGGGCCACGGAAATGGACAGGGCCAGGTTCGACCTTTGGCAGCAAACGGGACGTCGACTCTTCCACTCCAGCCTCCTCGACCTCAACCCCAGACAAGCGCGCCATCACAGCCAAAACCCATCCCGAGTGCTGATGACCTTACTGCCAACGGCTTCAGTGGCCCGTTGCTGTCAGAGACCTTTTCTGACTACCCACTGGTTACAACGAAACGCGCCCTGCGAGAAGGACTAAGGCATCACATCGCAAAGCTGATATCAAAGAAAAGTGTCGATCCCAGAGATGAATCCCAGTTCACGCGTCCTGTACGGCTACAGCGCCGCGACCCAAGGGCAACCACCACAACACCAGCCGTCAACGACAAGGAAGATTCAAATCCCCGAAGAGGGTTCCGTGATCCTAACCATGGCCTGACCGAGGCTGAACGTGAGGAGCTGGATGCGAAGAAGGAGGCAAGGGCCAAAGAACGCGAGGATAATTTGGCGCAAATTGCTCCCTCGGTCAACTCAGGCCCCAAAAAGGTGAATGCGCCAAAACAGCGGACACAGCAGGTTTTCAAATCAACCATAACCCCCGAAGAAGCTGCAAAGTCCCAGATTAAGTACGAGGAGGCTCTACCCTGGCACCTGGAGGACTTTGATAATAAGAACATATGGGTTGGGAAATATGAGGCCGCCATGTCGGAGACATACGCGACATTTGTCTTGGAAAATAGTGGGAAGATGAAGATGGTCCCTATTGATAAATGGTACAAGTTCACCGCCAAAAATCAGTTCAAGGTCTTGACTATCGAAGAAGCGGAGAAGCATATGGCAAAAAAGATTAGAGATCCGAGGTGGTTCATGGAAAAGGAGCAAGCTCGTGCCCAGGAGAGAGAGCTTCAACAATACGCTAGACAGCGGAAAATTTACACAGGACAGTCCCGAAACGCGCCTGTCACTGATCGTTTCGAAGGGGATGATATGGACTTTGATGAAGATAGATTTGCCGATGACGAGGAGCATGTCGGCCTGTTTGACGAGGATGAGGACGCCAAAACGGCGGAAAAGCGTATCAAGCAAGACCAACTAAAGGCAAACATCTTTGATCTCAAGGACGAAAAGGACTACGACGAAGAGGAACACCAAGAAAAGAAACACAAGGAGGATCTCAAAAGCTTCGGCAAGCAGGTCCGAAAGGCATTGCAGCGACGAGAAAAGAACTTCGACTACAGTAGCGGGTCTGATGCAAACCCTTATTCAGATGACGAGGTAATATTTTTTACATCGTTTTCCCTTGTATATAAGCTTTTCAGCTAGTTTGACTAACAGTATTTTTAGAGTACGGATGAATCTGAAATGGAGCGCCAGAGGGAGGAGCAGAAGAAGCTAGAAGAAGATCCAAAGCGGAAGGAAAATCAGTCTGATAAACTCTCTGGGACGTCAACCAAGGGCACCAATACTCCGTCAGGCCGACCCAAACACACCGACCCGCTGAAGAGAGCACAGGCTGCCGCCCGGAAACGGCCAGGATCACCAAATTTATCTGACGCGAGTGGTACAGACACGTCTCGCAAGAAGCCCAAAAACAAGCACCTTTCTACCCAGCTCTCAACCTCTCAGCCTGCTTCTCGGCCTATCTCTCCTGCCCCCCAGGGTCAGCGAAAGAGCTCGGGTGTAGCCAACCCAAACGACACCTCTAATGCCAACCAAGCAGCAGTTGGAGCGAAGAAACGCGTGCGCAACGGCCCGGGGAAGGCTGGCTCGACTAGTGATGTTGAAAAAGCTGTGGCCTCTGGACCAGAGATGAGCGACAGCGCTATCTCAAAGAGAATGAAGCTTAATGTCCCAACCGGGAAATCAAATACCGGAACACCAATAGGCTCTCGTGCTACAAGCCCTACCCCTGCCGGAAAAGCTGTGAGTGGCAGTCGAGCCAGCAGCCCTGAAAGTAGTCGTGGTCTGTCTCCCCCATACATTACCGTACTTTTGGTGTTTTGTTCTTCGTAGCTAACATCGTGTCATAGGCATATCTACCCCATCTGGCTCAGGATCTCGACGGGGCTCTGTCTCAGGAGCCAACGCGACGGCCGGGGCACCCCCTGCCTCGTTCCCTACCGCTTCTGAAATACACGCTGCTATCCCTCCGAATGGAATCCTGAGTAACGACCTACTCCGAATGTTCCGATCACGCCTTGGAAGCTCAAGGGAGAACCATCGCAGGTTCATCGGGATCGTTAAGGACGTGTCTGTCTTTGGAAAGGAGGATAAGTTATTGCGACCTGGTGTTATAAAGGAACGGTGAATTTTTTTTTACTTAAAATAATATCTTCCGTATCACCTATTGAGGCAATATCTAGTATCACGTCTTGGGAAAATCTTAAATAAAACCCCTGTAATGATATCCTATTATATGACTGGGCAGAGGTAGCTACCTGGTAACATTCTAAGGACCTTGTTTGCTATCCCCGATGTCTTTTCAGATGTCGCTTCCAAGGTGGATAGTAAGTAGTAAGTAACTTGGCGAATAGAAAATAGCCAGCCAACCCTGCCAATAGGATGGATCAACAAGGGGAAACATCTAAACAGTGACCAAAGTCCTACGACTCCATGCTGCCACAGACATCTGGTGCTTATATTACCATACTATCGATATCTTGTGATATTCACTGCGTGTAAACAGTGTTTATCGACTATTCAAGTTGGTTATAACCTCCAAGGCTCAAGGCCCGAGTAGTTATATAGGGGAAGATGCAACGAAGAAACACTTCGGCTCATCGCCATCATCATCGTCATCATCATCACTCCCGTCGCCTACAGGCCGACTCGAATGAAACGCCAGGGATAGACGAAGAGGCAGAGCGAGAGAGGTTGCCAAAGAAAGAGAAGCGAGTCTACAGGTCATCTCTGAGGACTCATAAGTCACATCGCCGTCAAGATGATACCGACGCTGGAGCAACCAGATCTGACCCAGATGCTCACAGTCAAATAAAATATACTGGTAAAGGCTCAGCAGAGGACGATACGGTTGTGTCGCAGTAAGCATCCCTCCGCCTTAACACTACCTATAGACATGGCTCATTTATGCTGTTTGGCTGTTCTAACATCCTGCCTCTAGCCCATATAACTCGTCTCAGACCCATCGTCAGGCTGTTGAAGAGAAGAGAACACGCACTTCTGACTCTTTGAAGGTATCTACTGAAGGGTCTGCTGCCAAAAGAACGCCTATGAGCGATGCCAAACGAAGCAGTCCGCAGGCGCTATTACTGAAGATGTTCAGACCAGCAGCATCCATGTCGGAGAGACGGTACTTGTGCTCTTTGCCTTTTTTTTTTAAATAAACTGGCCATGCACATTACATGGTTACTAATTGTTTGGAAGAATTACATGCTTGACATGCTTGTCTGATGATATTCCTATTAATAAATCAGCCAAACTCGCATGTTCACACAGGCTATGTCACGGCTGCCTGAGGCGGATATTCACCCTCTCTATTACAGACCCGCAGCATATGCCACCACGGTGCTGCACATCAGACCACATACCCCTAAAGCACGTCGAAAAGCTGTTCGACTACAAGTTCAAGTTGAAGTGGAATAGAAAGTACAGAGAATACACCACTAAGAACCGAGTATACTGTCCTTCTAGGGGCTGTGGGAGATGGATTCCCCCTTCAAACATATTCACAGATACCAGCTCTAGCGGTATTCCTGGCCGTAAATACGGGATATGCGGCCGCTGCAAGGTGAAGGTCTGTTGCGTATGCAATAGGAAATGGCACAGGAGCGGGGACTGCCCCCTGGACGAGGGCTCTATCAAATTCGCAGAGGTCGCTGCGCAAGAAGGGTGGCAGCGCTGTTTCAGTTGCTCTGCCATGGTAGAGCTAAAAGAGGGCTGCAACCATATAACCTGCCGATGCACCGCGCAATTCTGCATTGTCTGTGGTTCAAAGTGGAAAACGTGTGACTGCCCGTGGTTTAACTATAATGACTCGCTAGGGGGCCCCGATATCCCTGGAGAATTTCGACGACCAATTCTATACCGGGAAGAAATCGATAGGAGGCATCAGCAGGAAGAAGAGGACGAAGCTCTAGCCCGCCAGCTTCAGGGCTTGCTTAACCTGGACATGCCACCTGACCCCCATAACCCCCGAGTTTATATTCAACCTGGGCGCTGAGTCTACCCGTAACGTCTCTGCCACTTTATTTACCAGGCTTCGAGACCAATTATATATACCCCATTGCCATGCCTATGCTAGTGAGAATCCAGAAGATTATATATAATTCAGTTTCTCTGGAGGTTAAAACTTACTATGAATACCCTTTATTAACGATATTTTTCTTTGCTGATAGCTCAACTTTTTTTGAATTATTTATATAATATCCTTGGTCCGATCGCACGTTGTATCCCCCGTTCAGCTTGGTACGATAAGCAATAGTTTGTTGCTGGCACTTATGACAAAGTAAGAATTTCACTACTTATATAAGAGCCCTCTTGTGTATGAGATCACTTTATGTTCATGAAAGCGATAGTTTTTCCGCTTGTGAGAAAAGCCCTCGCGCGTATGTGTAAAGTAGATCCCGCTGAAATACCCCTTCACTCTTAAAACTTGTAAAGTGTCTATTCAGAGCACTTTAAATAAGAAAAAAGAAGAAAAGAAAGAAACTGAAAACGACCTACGGCTGAGCATCGCAGGCACTTTGCAGAATCTCATAGATATTTTTGTTGTGTTCTGGTCGTCGATGGGCTGTAGATGGAGGGATTGTTGACCTCTTCGCCCGCTTTCTCTTCTTATTGTTTGGAGCATGGGGTTGCATACTGTTCATTATGTGTATCGGATTCCCCATCTCCTCCGGTGTCGGCTGGTCGCCCTGTTCTGTTTCTGGAATAAGGACCTGTTTACCATTGCCCAATCGTTCAAAGATAGTGTTGATAACGTGAGCTAAATGCTTCTCATCCTCCTCTTTGGCGTTGCTTGAATTAATCCCCGCATCAGATAATGTGCTCAATGTGGGTAGGCTAGATAGCATTTCGAGAAGTGGCTTCCCTAGGCGCTGGACTTCAGGGCCGCCTTTGAGCAACGAAACTTGCAGGAGCTGTTTTAGCATCCGTAGAGAGTAGAGGATACACAGTATTTGAGCCCGCAAATGTATGTCATCCCATTGTAACATCTCTCCTGCGTGGCCAACTTTGAAGAAATTGGCCATTGCACGGGGTTTAGGGAGTTGGGAGTGCTCTAGACCTGCATAAATGCGAATCAAGGCAAAAAGTACCCAGTAGTATACGTTTGCGCCTCTAACTGGGAACTGAGCTGATTGTAGTTGCACAAGCAACTCTTCCACAGGCGATGCAATGGCTTCTTCGCTCAGCAGGGAAACGGGAGTCGGAACTATCCTTTGTCCTCTTCGTGCATACTCCAGAACTGTAGCCCTTCTCTCCCCTTTTGAGAATGACAGGTTGTAGATAGAGTACGCGATGGCTCTGATGTCACCCCCTTCAGCCCAAGCACACCTCCGACCATGTTTTTCTACCATGACCGGCAGGTAATAGTACAGCTCGTCGCCGTCTGCGTTGAAACTTGGGAGGTGATATTGAGCTACCAGCTCCGAAACCTTTGAATCAAGGAGAGGGAAGCCGTTTCCATCACTTTCAGGCATCCAATAGGGACGAGCGTTATACTCGTTTAAAAACTCGTCATAGGAAGAAGTCATTTCCTGTTTCTCATCAGCAGCCTTACACAACTCTGCCACCTTTGACCACTTCAGGTACGGATTTTGTTTCAGTTCGTATCCAACTCTTAGTAGGCTTTTTACGCCTAAATGGTGGGCAATATTGGCAGGACGCGTCTCTGTGGCTCGCACGCCAAAGGACGGTAGCCCATCATTGGTATCTACGATATCGTACTTCTCTATTGAGTCGAGGAATACAACCGACCCGTTGGGGCCTAAATCGTGCACGACGAGATCTGAATCTCCAGTAAGCACTGCAGAGCCTCGTTCCCTTGCGATCTCAGCACAGAAGACATCCGCCTCCCCAAGAACAACCTCTGTTATATTTGCCCACAGAAATCCCACGGGACCTGAATTTTCCCCTAGGCTGTCAGAGCTATAATACGGCTTTATTGACTCCCAGTCCCACCGATACTTTAGATCCTCTGCAACTGTGGCAACCATAAGTGGGTTGTCAGGCAAGGTATAAAACTTGGGGTTCATTAAGCGTCGACTGAAGAATATTTCGGTATCGAGCCTCGCCTGGCCCCGTCGAACAGTGCCGCCTTTAAATCCGTGTTCCTTTGCAAGGCAGGCCTGCTGAAGCTTGGATGCGAGTTTCCCCATCCTCTCTATGCGTGTTTTACGCTTAAATGCAGGAAGTGCCCCGTCAAAATAGATTTTCTCTCTGCACGTATGTCAGACAGCAGATGTTAGTTATAATAACGTAGCGAATGACTAGAAGATGTGTAACATACACATTGACACCAATGCTACGAAGATGCAGCAACATCTTCATCACCCCAACGCTTACTTCGTTGCTAGAAGGCTGAGCGGAAAACGGATTAAGATGTTGTTCCATAGTCGCCATTATGCAATAATAGACATGATACACCAGAGCAGGGCCATCGATTACTACGGAGGTGACATTTCGAGTATTTCCCTGGGTTTGGGGGGCAGCGGATTGCCCGAGCCAGACAGCTTCTTCATACCGTAAAAGGTGTCCTTTCAGACGCGGAATGCCCATCTCTAAGGATGCTCATGTCTGAAAATGAAAGGATCGAGCTGTTATGGTATCAAATTATGTAGCCAGCCTCTTTTTTTTGGGGGGGATTCATTCTTGCTCGATTTCCTATAAGGAGGCACTGTTTGACAGTTAACTACCTTAACTAGCAAGAGACTAAAAGGTCTTACTATGTGCGCGCCAGAGTGGATGACATAATCAAACAGCGTCCCAACAGCCTCCGAGATTTCAAGATGCTTACCTAATAAGTTTACGTTATCGGCGTCTTGGGCTACTCAGAACCAACGACATCCCAACTTCATCCTTCTGTCCTCTATGGTCTATCGTGTCCTGAGATTCCAGCATCGACTCAATGCACAAAATGATTACTTATCCATACACTGTGCCAGCAAAGTAAGGACTTGAGGCTCTCGAGGTACTACTTGGTCCACCTTACCAAATACCTGCTCGCTACTTGCCGTGAATACCTACACCCTCAGTCAGACCTCACGCCCATGAGATCCTGTTGTCTACGAGAACCGAAACACCAGTTCATGCGTCGTCTTGTTGGCACGGCGGCTGCGTTAGTGGTGACTAAGCAACGGTGAACTGTTTCAATTCATTGAAGATACTTTGGTATGAAAATTAATTTCTCTCCTAGCCTAGAAAGTGTGCAGTACCTCTCTCATGGGATGTGATGGCATTATCATTCTCTCTCTCCTCTTTTTCTCGAGCTGGCAGTCTTCATCTTACCCGTCATTCCCAAGTGGTCAATGTTCAACTGTCCAAAATCTTTTGAGAAACCTCTCTAACACGATCGCCCATTTCCAATAAATGCCTTCTGCTGGTCCTCGAGTACAGCAGGAAGTAACCTATAAACCCGGTCCCCCCTACTGGGGATACGACCTTTGCCCAAGTAATACGCTCCGCCCGAGATACATACGGAGTAATTTCTGGGAGTTGTTCAATTACTCTGTCGCAAAGGTCGTCGGGTACTATAATATTTTCGCGGTGGATAGGAATCATAACAATGGCGCACCAGTACTGAGCGTGGCAGGAGAAAGGTTTCGACAGAGCTATAAAACGTTCGCGATCCTCGAGTGCCCGAAGAAGCTGAAGTCCGTAGAAGTCCACACCATACGTATAGGTAGTAGCAAACACACAGTGCAGGCCGGGCGGCCGAACATTGACCTCAAGCAGAAACACATCTACTGCCTTACTTTCCGTTTTGATTGAACCAGCAGTGTTAGTAAGGTCTAGGATGCCGTCCGTTTCTTTATAGCACATCGAAGAATTTTGCACCCGGGCTTCAACATGGAAGACACCAGAGCGGAACCCTAGCTTGAGAAGGCTCTGATGAAGAGATGACTGGATAAGCCGTGTTTCTTTTGGATCCAATCTGCTTGGTAGTAACATGATGGTTTCTGCGAAATTATCCGAATATGCCGCGTCCATTGCATCTGCCTGGCATGGTAATTCGTCGGATATCTCGCAGAAGAGGACCTCCCCGTCTAAAAGAACAAAGTTGGCATCTACCTCTGGGCCACCAATATACGTCTCGAGAAGAATCCCATACTTCGAAAAGCCGCTTTCTTCTAGTTCCTGTACAACCTGGCGCATACTAGCATAATTGTTGACTTTCTTAACACCACGGGATGCACCGTCCCGACACGGCTTAACGACTAACGGGTATTGCATATTTGCGAGCTGCATGGCCACAGAAGAGTCGTCCAGTTGCGCTGCGCTATCCAGCCTCAGTGTCTGTGACTGACTATTATTGGAGTCAAGCAATTTGCGGGTCTCGTATTTGTTGTGGGCACGCAGAATTGCTTGTGCGGGCTCGGTTGGAAGACCTAGCATCTCCGCTGCTTTCGCCGTTGCGATCACGACCTCATCAGAGAACGTAACGATGGCATGGATCCCCCTTCCTTTGAGTACTTTAGCAATTCTCGACGGAAGCTCCGCATCGTTGGTCATATCAACAGCCACGAAGCTGTTTCTCAGGTGAGAGTGTGCTTCCCCCTCGAGCCAATGGCCCGGTCGATCGACGACATCTACGGATATACCCAGAGCTAGGGCCGCTTCGAATGTGCCTTGGTGGCCGAATGAACCCCTCTGTAGGTCAAACATGGGACGCCCTCCTATCAAGGCTACTTTGCGTATAATTGGTTTAGTCGTAAGCACCCAATCGAAAGACAACCGAACTCTCAACTCTTCTTCTAGCACATCTAATGTCTCGTAACGCGATGTTAGAGACTGCTGTTTCGCAAGCAATGCCCCAGGAGCCGAAGACAATAGAGTAAGGAGATCGCTTTTGTCGCGATGGGCCGCTGCGATAGATGGAAAATGGCCGTCGGAGGGAGTTGGGAACCGAACGACGGAGCCAACAAATGTAGAATTTCGCATTCTCAATTCAAGAATATCACTCCTACACAGGTATCCATTGTGAGGAACAAGTATCACCTTTACCACCATTTCCGTTTGATTGGTGTTTGATGCCTCTTGCATCTTGTAGCATGCGTGGACGAGATTCTCGAGGGCGGTGCCGGTAGCATGCGGAACATGGCTTTCGTTCGTGTTGTTCTCACATTGAATAATTTCTATCAGCATAAGAAGGTCAAGAGAGTGGAAATATCGCTGTGCATCCACGCCCGCGCTTGTTTTAGAGAGCCCCCAACGGCACGAAACCTTTGCCAGAGCTACGTACGCCGTCTAAATCAGTTTAACTAGAACGACTCACTAGAGCATCAACGTGAGCCTACCTTTCCTGCTTGGGATGCTGACTAAGTAAGATTCAGATGCAAAGTCTTTACCCCCATTGCTATTCTCACCCGTATTTTCCGGCTTCATTGTTGGCGATTGCAGATGAATTTTAACTGAGGATGTTAAGTTTAAAAAGGAAGGCAATCTAATTGTGGATAGGAAGAAATTGTATTTCTGGAGCGCGAGAAGTTGCAATATATAGACTCCATATTCAACCTTACCAAGGGCCAAACAGTCTCAAGACCCGAGCGTAACCCTAATAAAGACTACGGCCATTAGGTATCGCGATACATGGGTATCGGGATACATGTCGTGCTCTGCGACCACGCCTTTCCGGCGTGGATAGAGTAGCGAGATACTGAAAGAGGGTACCGCCACGGCTCCCTTGTCAAATGTATTCGTCACTTTCGCCAAGTCATCACCTAATAAAACTTATGCATAGAGTTATAGGGTCATTGAACGGGAAGCCTGCCGCTACTGCTCACGGGGAAGTGCGGAGATCATTGTATCTGTACATAAGGAGATGCATATATATGCATGTATGTGTTGGCCAATACCTAACCCATGAGGAACCCCGAGTAAAAACCATTTTTACCCTAATAAATAATGTAACTTGTTACATGACTCGTACATAGTAAGCCCTGGATCGCCTGCCCAACCTTAAACGACCCGACCAGCTGGTTGACTTTTCGTAACTCTCGTATAACTAAACTCTGAGAACGATTGGCCATAACACGCGCAGGGGGATGCGAGTTAACTAGTCACAGCTCAAGTGTCACACGAGCATAAAATGGGGCCCAATACATGGGTGCAGCAACGCTTTAGAAGTTGTCATCTTGAATGATCGAATGGTGACCAACCAGGGGAACATTCTTGGTCATTTGCATCGTCCGTTTTTATGTTGAAGCATTAACTAGTTAACTAGTTAGTTGCTGCTCCACCACGGCTTAGGTTTCATGTATACTTTCATCTGTCAGCTGCTTAGCTTCGAGTGTATGACCAATAATTTTCCGTTCTTAAAGTTGGGCCAAGTAGTTCGCTAGGTTACCCCAGCGAAGCGAGCGATCATGGTATCGTTATAACCAGCTAGTTAGTTAACTAAACTTATGTAATGCAAGATCAAGGCAGATCGTTTTACTCCGGGATGCTCGTGCGCCAGTTTACTTATTCTGGGCATGCCTTCGGGACTAACTAGCCATCCCTCTCAGCATGGGTTGCGGGGAGGACGGAGCGGGCCGGGGAATCGTAATTTGATATAACTAAAGTTGTATTGAAAGAAAATAGGTAACAATGTGATCTAGTTCATCCCAGCCAAAATCAATTGCAAGTATAACTGCCATAAACCAGGGTTTGAAAATTCTGACAATCCCAGCAGAGCTTACGGTCAAAACGGCTGTTGCTGGTTCAACCTCCATTCATTCCAGTTCCCATATTGAGTATCCGGCGTTTCCCAGCATTATTTTCGGAACGGCCCAAGTACAATTGGATGTTCAGCCATTTATCCTTGCTGGGTCAGCGGGGATTCAAATGGCTAGCTACTCACAGGGAATCGAACGTCCGGCTTCAAGAGTACAAATCAACGACAGTGTGCTGGCAGGTCAATTACATGGAATCATATCACTAAGCCTTTGACCTGCATTTCGAAGCGGCAAGTAAATAAATCCATGGATAAAACTGTGTCGTGTGACAAAGGACCCCCCACTCCACCTTTAATAACTACCTAGGTATTTCTGACTAAAGCTCACAGTAGAGTTAAACTCATATCCATGTGCATAAACTTGCCAAAGCAGTCTTCTGTCACGGACGGACATCAGGTGTAGAGTCCGCCGTATGATCATTGTTAGCAGGTTGGACTAGTTCGATACAGTTGAGCTCTTCGTCGATTTTGTCATAGCCCCGGAACACCAACCAGAATATGGGGGCGGTAATTATCATCACCGCCGCTAAACCCGTATATAGGTACAATATTCTTGGGTTTACGGCAAGTGGCGAGGTAGCTATTCCCAAGGCAGATCCAATTCCTGCGGTTACCTGTCGCAACGCTTGTACTAGACTGCGCATATCCTGCGGTGATTTGGAGTAACTATACTCAGATAACGTTGCGAATCCCAGAATTTCCCCGCCTGCTAGCAAAAAGTATACGGGTGTCTGCGCCCAAACGCTGATGTCATTGGGTATGCTGCCGTTATTCGAGTCTGGACAAGAAAGCGGTCGATCATAGCATGGCCCTCGCATATATATCAATTTTTGTAATCCAGCGGTAAAAGCCATCGCAGCACTCATTATAACAAACGCCGAGGTCATGCGTGCAATCGGTCTAAATGAAATTCCATGCCGTTGGAGTGTCGGGTAAAGAATTTTTTGTATAATCGGACCTAGAAGAACACAGGCGATGGAATTGAGCGCCTGAATTGTGTCATTTGGAATTCCGCCCAGCCTTGTTTGCCCTGCCTGGGAAATCAGGTTGTTTGTGAGTTGACTTGTACACAAGTAGAATGGTACAAAGCAGGCCCTGACAAAAATTGTCAGTAGATAGGTAAGGAACTAGTTAGTGAACAGTGTATAAGTCGCAACGTGACTCACATGACTTTGCAGGCGATGAGGCCCTTTTTCATCTCAGAGACAAATTGGTCGTTCCATTCAACCTCCCTTCCATAAGTTGACGCTTGAAATGCCGGTTTTGCAGCATCTAATCGAAACCGCCCTCGTATTGCACACGCAATTACCTTTGCCGCTTGTGGTAGAGCATTCCCCTGAGGCGAGAGCTTGACTTTTTGACAGTTATCGGCATGGTGTTTGGGTAGAGCATGGATTCTGACACCATACCAAATTTTTTCTGCCAAAATAGCATCAAGGGAATCAGCATCCAGACTGCACATAATGGAAGCAGGTAGGCGGCCCAGAAGCCAACTTCTTTCTCCAAATAGGTAGAAGCAATCAGTGACAGGCTAGCAATATTGGTAAACCTTGTAATCGTAGCTATTAGTTGGATATACACTTCTGCAACTTGGGTATATCCCTTACCAGTAGAGGACGTTATATATATATTGAAGGGTTAAGGTTCGATCTGTGACGAGTTTTTTACCACTTTTCGTGACTATCAACTGTGGAGTCAAAACTGTATATTGATCACCTATCAAACGCGAGAGTTAGTTCCATTGACCTTTAACTCGGAGGTCGATTTGAATTAAGCACCTATAAATGGAGAGACAGTGGCTCTGACCCCGCCTGTCCCGAGCCCAAGAAAAACCATGGAAATTGCCAATCCAGCAATTTTGATAGAATCTTTAATCGCATACGGAAGAGAGGTAACAAAAAGCGCTAAACACCCACAAATATTGAGCCTATATCCAGTCAGCGTTGGTCAGCACATGAGATATAAAGGAATCTCACGAAAAACTCAGGCATAATGTCTTGTAACGGCCCAGCCATGCATCTGAGAGAATGGCAAACGGTAGAGGGGACAAAAACGAGAAGAAAAAGAAGGCGTTCGAGATATTTGTAGCGGTGGCTTGGCCCAGTCCTAGAGCACCTGGGACTGCAATACTGTCGCGATCATTTTGTATGTAGTTCTCTACAGAAGGTTAGTATTCGATTGATCTTAGACCCGGATAACCTGCTTGATAACTACTTACGCCACGGAGTTGTTGCAGCATAGAATGTGAATCTTTCAGCTGCTGCGGCTACCAGTGCCACCCAAACAACGGCTGGGACTGAGTCAACCACGTGCTGAAGGTTCACAATTTCGTCCTCGGTTGCTTCGCGCTTTGCATTTTGTTCTGGCGAAGTATCCATCTTCGTAGTTAATGAGATTTATGTGCAAACACCTTACGCAAATGGTCAGTAATGTTGCAATTATTGAGGGAAGATTTTGGCAAGTTACTTCATGAGAAATGGGGCAGTATTTTCTTTTAGTAATTTTCCCATGAACTTTATAACTAGCTAGTTAAGTAAATGAAATACCGTAATAGCAGGTAATGATAGCTCGAAAAGACCCTGTAGAGTGGCCTTTACAGGGGGGAGGAGGGGTTTACAAAAGATCTGCAGTTAAGAGTACGTGTTGAGCCATGTCTTGCCGTGGAAAAGGCCTTGAAATAAAAGACACAGGGAAAATAGACAGAGTAGTAACTTAATTGGCTGTTTAGCTAGTTCTAATAATTAGTTAACCAAAATCTGGGGCACGTCCTTCAGTTAACGAGTTATTGTCAAAGTATGCATATGATAGCGTCACAATGGAGTTCACATACCATTTGATAGCGTTAGGTAGTCAGCAACCCGAAGGCGACTATATTTATTTAGTTTTGCAATAATTCTTGTGCAAGAGATTACGTACCTGATCATATTTATGTTCTTTGGAGGCAGTCATGCTTTCTGTGCTATACAAGGGCAAATAGCATTCCAAGAGAAAGATGTAATCAGTAAGTATTTGTCCAGGAGTAATGGGTAATAGAAGATTATATCACCATAACCCACCAGAGTACAGTCCCAACCGCCTCTCTTTATAGTTGTGGATTAAGCTACGTTGATTCCTTAGTTGTGTCGTATTTTGACTTTCTTGTTAAGGAGGGTTTAGGGTTTAAATAACTTATCTCGTATATCGCACGTTGAAGTAACGTGCCGTTTGTCCGAGTTTCTCCCGATGGCTTTTCAATCTTCCAAGTTCAGAAGCTCATGTTCGCTTGACAATTTCGACATTTTATCCGATGGCCAATCATTTTCAATGTTTAATGTTGGCTTAATACGATGCAGCAGAGCGGGTCGACTGTCTACTACGTGTTACGTACGACATTCGGAGCTTCAACTTCGGGTAACAGTTGTGCTCGTACATACTCCGGGTTGCAAGAATAATGACTCCTATTTTCCCCACCGCGACCGGAAATACCCGTGGCCCATGCGTTCATTGTGGGCATGTTTAAAAAAATTGTACGGAGTACGGAGTATATTCATTTCCTTTAACTACTTAATTGCGGGGATGCTAACTAATGTTACCACATGGAAATAGCGTGGTTACTCTGGGTCACACGATTACCCCGGCAATTTTCTAGAGGCAGGCCTTTTTGCACTTCCCGCCCCAGGAGCGCGGTAACTCTCGATAGGTGTTGTCCGTCGGGGGATCGCCGTGGCTAACTAGTTAAGCTCTCGGGCGAAGCTAAAAGCCGCCAGAGGGTTTACAGTTCTAGACCAAGAGTATTTTGCTTTTGGGATGCTGCAAGGTCTGTTGTTCTCGAGAAAGGTTGCTCAGCCGAAGGGAGATACTTCAGTATCCTTTAGTATATAGCTGAGTTAGATAATAGATAGTAAGGTAGTTCTATATATATAAATATAGGCCGAGGCTAAATAGAAGAAAGTACACAGTACATCCGCCCCCGTTATCGGAACAATAGTTAACCCGGGAGCTGCACCGGATTCCCCGTCACACTGGTACAAGGTCCTCATGGGGCTCTTGGTAGCACATGGTTTCGCTGATTCAAAAACTGATTCAACGCTTACTTGCGGCTCCAAACTGCTCAGGCCCACCTGGATATACCAATTCCTAAGTAGTAAGGAAACACATCGAAAAATCTCCACCTGGTTTAAAATATATCACGTGATCTCATGGGGGCTCAGCGGCTAGAAGGTTTCACAACCTCATATTGATACTATACATAGACTAGCGCGGCGTCCCCATATCGCTTCGGCACCAGCCAGTCGAACAGCCGCGTCTGGTACTCTGATGTGCATACATACTATAGTCTCTGGTCCTTTTAGCCACCATCGTCATTTAATTTAGCCCTGTATAACGCACATTCCTATGCTCATTTGGTCTCTGAGACATCATCTTGCTGCTCCGCTGTCACTGAGAGGCTTATTATGTCACGTGATATATATGCGTCGGTGGAGATTAGCTTAAGTTCGCCAAGCCATAGCGGGACGGGCTGCAGCCGCGGAAAGTTAACTTACTGTTTCCAACTATATAGTATATATCTATACACTGAATTCAGTAAAGTGGTAGAATAGTGCCAAGCCATTGCAATCCGGAGGCCTTTACGTCAGCCTATCGATGATGGCTCATCGGTTAAGTGAAGTTTACCTAATATACAAGGAGTTATAGGCGTGTTATAGAGCTGTAAATCTTACTACTAATATGGAGTGAATGTAGTCTGCATAATACTTGATATTCTGACCGACAGGCAAGGAAATCTCAGTCTTTCATGGATTCTGGTTTGAAGCCAGAGGCTTCATCCTCAAGAAATTCAAAAACTTCTGCGTGAGCCTGATCCACTGGGATAAGCTGGAGCGTATAAGCAATGCTAATTATGGCTAATACTTTCGCCATGTAGAGGCAACGGTATCTAGATATTCCTCTGGCAAGAATCCATTTGATGCATTAGACCTGATAATATCAGAGAGCTATGCTGGCTGCCACTGTGTACCGACGTATATTTAGAGTGTTGACTGTGCAGGCATATGTCAGTCATACGTCAAAAATTTGCGCACCGTTTCCCACACTTATACTTCTATCAAAGTACTAGTATTATATTTATTCTTTTTTTATCTTGGTAAGCGTTACTTGAGATATTTAAATATCTATTAAAGGTAATGTTTTAGTATCCCTAAGGAAATTACTATAAAGTATACTTACCACCGGTGGTAAGGGATATTTTCGAGTCAAGAGCTAAATATGTTGCTCCCAGCTGTCAAAACTGTACTTACATGTAACAAGGGCACAGCTAACATAGATATTTAAACAGCCTCGCAACTGGTTCCTAAGTGGACACGTTGTGTATGCGTCAAGGGCATCGATGTTGGATTCTCTTTCCTCCGTCTATACTTTACTATGTAGACTATTGATTACCCGGAATATATATTTTACATAATTGCATATCGTTATCTATTTTTTCTGCACTAAATAGTTACTGTACTCAAAAGCTGCGTTAACAGACGTCCTTCTCCAAACAGAGTGTCGGTAGCTCAGGGACATTCTGCTGTATCCAGAATTATCGCGATCCTCTGACCGGAGGGCTGTTCAATACCCTATCACACGCAGAGAATGAAGATCCACAGTTTCAAGTGAATTGTACTGGAAAGATGGCGCCAAACGTTTTTGGTTACGCTCTTGAGGATGGTGGCGCTTAGAAGATTCGGGCAGACGATCTAAAAGATTCCTCCGCCCGGAAGGATACCTTCGCTAAGATGCACAAAGAGTTCAGAGCGGTCGCAAAGGATAAAAAAAGTTGCATGACTCCAAGCTCATAGAGCAACCCATAAAGCCCAGTTACATGCTGAACAGGTAAATTTCAGCTCTACCCCTGTCTTGCAGCTACTGACAGAGACAGATAACTACCGGCTATGCCACTGGCGATGCTTAAACTGTCAATACGGCCTTTACAGGGCGCCCCATAGACCGCGTCACCACGTATGCACATGATATGTAAAGGCGCGTCATACAGCAATTGCCTTCTACTTCCTGGCTGACGACAGCCCTTGGCCTGGAATTTATACGTTCATCTACGAAACAGTGTCTAACTCATAATCCATTCATTTATAGAAGTATATGGTTACTAAATATCACTTTATCAAGGACAAAACGCCATTTCTTTTGTAAAATTCTGCTTCTTAAGAGTAAACCAAGCTCTATCAAATAGAACAAGATTGCTACCTCATTAAGCGTCACAACGGTGCGTAAGTTCTCGATTTTTATTTATATAGTAAGTACAGAGGTCCACTATACAGTTGACCAGCTATGTTAAATCAAACCTTTATAACGACACCTTTTTAGAAAAGAACACCAAGAGGAGAGGAGATTTTTCATCCTGGTGTAGATAAACCCCGGCAATCATATTCACCTGGGGAACTTTCTAATCGTGCAGGCTCGTATTTTTTGCCAGATACCAGACAAAATTAGGGGACTTAGGATGAAAGTTACGCTGGATAAGATGCCAAATTAACACATAAGCTATTCGTATAAAGAAGCTTGCAGTATACATACGCTGAACATCAGGGTCAAAGCAATCCCACAACTTGTATAGGTGATCGTTGAGGCCTATCTATGTCTTGGTACCACCTATTCAGCAACCGATAAGCACAACCTAAGCAATAGAAAATCTCCAATTTGATGTATACAACAAGTGGGCCAACGTCTCGTATGCAGAAAACCTTGAGCTCCTGTTCTGACTCAATCACCTTATTAAGGCCGGTTCAGTCTCCATTGACGGTGAGTCCCTTGATCTACCTGGAGTCCTAGGAGAACTTCTAGACACGGCTGCTCCTTATATCTTAAACAGGAAGCTGGCATCTCCCGCCGCATCAATGATAGTATAGAAACACTGCCATTGCAACCTTGCGAAGGGGTACTTCCTCCATGATGCGTTGTTCGTCACCAAAAAAACTTGTTTAAATGGTCTAATTGATATCATAGGGGTGAATGCTGGATTTGGGGGAAGTGTGGATACTCTTCAGAGAGATATTATGCAGCTCACACAAAGTGCTGTTCTGATCAAAGACAATAATCCAAATTCCAGAAGCTGTAATGAATATCTAGAAACCCACGGCATGCCGGGTCCATGCTAGAGGGCAGTGGAAACATTCGTGGCCACTCAGCCATGACATACCACGTTGTCGAAGCGATGTTGCAACTTCTACAAAATGATATTGTTCCCATCATCCCTCTTCGTGGGCCGATTTCCGTATTCGGCGGCTTCATACTGCTAGCTTTCCGTTTGAGCGCGATCCAAGGAAGCCTAGAGGTTTTTCTTTGAGCTGGCGAGAAGGAACGCTCCCCCAAAGTCATGAGAGCAGAGAACGCCCGCAGGGAGGCAAGAATCAAACCCATGGTCCTTGGTCCGGAAGAGAGCCTATCTTTTATCAATGGCGCGTCGACTTCCGAAGCAGTAACTAGCATCTCTTGAGCTTTATGAAGCCAATCAGCTAGCCATGGTATCGCAACTACTTGTGTCACTGGCATCAGAGGCCCTGTATGGTAACACCGAATGGGCTCACCCGCCCATAGCAGCTGTGAGGCCTCATACGGTGGCAGATTGAGGCCGCCCAGAATATGCGCGTCTTCATTCGGCTTCTGATATTAACTGCACCGTTTGATAAAAGGTTGACAAGCTGTTAAGACCTTGCGTCCTTCCAAGAGAGATGTAGTCCGGTTTATTAATATAGTCAGTCCTTGTACAGTTGTTATTGGACAAGGCACTATACTGTACACAAGGTAACAGGGCCAGCCTAGCTCTGGCGTCGCATTTCTTCCAATCGATGCTATCGTTATAAAACATAATTTATCACCCCATGGACGACCGAATCCAAAGACAGAAAATAGAAGGAAAAAAGGAGGAAGAACAGGATACATAGAGTATGGGCATCATTGATAATGAAAAAACAAAAGAACAATAAAGAACGGCTCGACATATCAGAACGATTCCCGGAACACGCCCTTCTTTGCTGGTGTAGAGTTCTCACCAGCGGGAGGTTCTGGTCTTGGGCTCACACTCCTCAAGTTGCTACCCTCAGCGTGGTCACCGAACGGATTTTCTGGATCATCGGCATGCAGTGATGCGTCACGGCTTAGACTCCTGCCACGGCTTGTATCTTGACCGACTCCGGGAGCAAGGCCACGGTCGTAAGCGGATGCGCTGCGATCGTATCCGCCGGCATTTGACGCGAGACCCAGTTCCTGCTCCTCATAATACCCCGGCGGGCCGAAGCCTCCATCTCTTTCGGCAGCACCCATGCGCGTGTCCCACGGCTCATCGTGTTCAGAGAGCGGCCCGCCAGCTCCTCGATAGGCTCGCGGCTCAAGATGATCTTCGTACGACCCATGGTGTGTCCTTTTATTGCGCAAGGCCGCAATCTTATCTTTAAACCAGCCTACTATCCCGCCGCTTCGAGGAGTAGGGTAATTGCTGTCGCCATATGTTGCCGGAGAGGACGTGAACGGTATGTATGATTTCAACGGTGGTGGAGGAAGGCCGGCTCTTCGGGCGCGAATCTGGGAGTAGGCTATCCAACCGGCGTATGCGAGAAGGACGAGGACGATGATGACGATGAGCCATGCAAACCACCGCATAATTGCGATGCGTCTGGCAGAGCCTGACCACAATGCTGATAAAATGGATTATTCAAGTCCAGGCGTTCACGACAGAAACAAGTAATCACACATTTACAGAAGAACTGTCCACGGGGTTCAGCTAGTCAAGAGAGTGAGAAGGCCACTCTGAACTTTTACAGAGTAAGAAACAAGCCGCAAGTTTTTGTTGTTTTATCAATAATTCCAAGTGTTATGTCGGAGGTTTTATATGCAGCCTGGCGAACTCCAAAAAGAGAAAACAGAAGGAAGGAAATTACGTAATTCTGGATGTTTAATTTAAACTCTTGGCGGTAGCCGCATAGTCATACATATGCCGCGGCTCAAGGCGAAGAGAAATAACAGAGGCGCGATATACTTAAATTAGGTGGAGAAGGCGTAAAGGAAATATAGAACCAGTTCTATGTTTATGAGGTCACCGTGCCGATCGCAAGAATCCAACGATGCCACGACAATAGCTGACCAGATCGGCTAGCCGTTTGGTTTCGCTCTCTTGCTCAACCTTCCACTCCCTCAGGGCTTGCTGCAGTGCCACGTTCGTTACAAACATGCTTCCATTACTTCCATCTGATTGAAACCCGACGGCTGCTTCAACGGCATCATTATGCACACGTAAAAAGACGGCCATCCATGTGTTTACCAGCTCAAAGTCTCGTTTCTGTCTGAGTCGTTCCGTCAACGCACGGACGAAGAGGGCAAGCTCGTTATCCTGGCCCTCCTGGCTCCTTGGATCGAGAGAACGAATTTCTAGATCCGTGTTGGCAGGGGAGAGCAGTTTCAAGTACTCAATAAATGGAGTAAAGTCGTTTGTTTGCCCTGAGGAGTGGAGCAAGGTTGTAAACTGTGAAAACTGCCCACCAGAGCCGCTCATGCGTTGTATACGCGCGATCCGGCTCCTTTCAGCATGTAAAGCCTTCTTCTCATCTTCATCTTGATCTGCAGCAGCCTTGTCTAAGCGGGTTAATTCGGATGTAGAGTTAGACTCGAGAGACGGGAGGAAAAAAGGTGCCTTTTTGGGTTTCTTCGGAGCTTCTTTGGGTTTATTTCGTTGCTACAATTGTTAGAAGTGTTTAAAATGTTAAATGTACGTATAATGACATACCTTTATTGTGTCAAGATGCAAAAGAGTTTGCCATCTGGTCTTTGGCGTCATGCTCAAAGTCATCATGTTATGGGAGAGCTGATCAGGGGTAAGGACAGGCGGCTTTTCACCACCTGAGATGTCGTTGTCATCAAACGCAGCTTCAATCATGACAACACCACCTTCTCCCGATGCTGTTGGAGTTGCAACCACTGCGACAGAGTCTTCCTCTAAATGCCTTGTTGGAACATGCGTAAATAGGCTCTTGTTATTCCAGATATTGATCCCTACTCCATCTGCATGAGCAGTAGCAAGGAACTCGCCAGTGCTAGAAAACGTCAGCGCAACGCAGGTATTTTTCAGCTTGAACGCATCAATCAAATGACCAGTGGGCAAATCCCAGACACGAATAACTGAGTCCATAGAGGCAGCGACAATCCAACGTCCGTCATTTGAGATAGTGAAGTCGTTGACCTGGCCAACACAACCCCAGAGCTCGCGGACCAGTTTTTTGGTCTGAATATCGATTACTCGGATGGACAGGTCATCGCAGCTAAGGGCTAGAAGGTCACTGGTGCTGCTGAAGCGGAGGCCAGTAATGGCACACATTGGATTCCAGTCCAGTTCGTCCAGAAGCTGACCAGTAAGTAGGTTCCAAAACTAGTCAAGTCAATACAAGTAATGTTTAGATGATGCTCGGGGAAAACGATACATACCTTCACTTTCCCATCGAGGCCACAGCTGACCACAGTAGTATTTAAGCTATCTACCACTATACCTGTAATAGCCTTGGTATGTTTAGTAGGTGCCTTGGTGTCGAGCTGGTTACTTTTCGCATCGACGAGTCGCTGGAGTCTTGCTTTCTTCACTTGGGCAGGGGTTATCCGTGGTGGGAAGGACTGGCGACGGAGGCCGGACTGCAAGTTATACATAACCAGAGAACCACCATCAGAGCCGACAAAGGCAAATGTCCCGCATTGCGAGATGGCAACACTCTGTGGATGTATTAGCAAGCTCGATAGCATGGGGGGCGAATATTATTGGTATGTACCTTCACTTCAGTGCTGTCACCTGTCTCTAGAGCCCATCTACCGGCTTTCTTCTTGCCCCAAATCCAAGTGCGGGCAAACTTATCACCCTTATGCCCGGTAACAATACTCTCCCAGCCAGTCATATTCGTGTTCTCGGCACTGGAAGCTTTTGCATTAGCCCAGACTGGTCCTCCGACAGCGGTTCCCATACCACCATCTCGGTTCAGTGAACAAGCTAGGCATGTTATTTCCGGGGCTTTCAATTCTTCGTATCGTATTACCTGTTGGCCGGACAATGTGCTCGATATACCAATCTTTTTGGACCTACTCTTCACGTTCCCCTGGGAGAGCTCTGAATTCTGCGAATCCTTGCGCAGGCTGAGGCCAAAGAGGCTACGGTCCTGGCCAGCAGACAGGAGCCACTTGCCTACAACTTCAGACCCATCGGATCCCGAGGGAACAAACATGACTTTTGTGATTGGCGCGGAGTGTCCGGACCTCACATGAAGTGGCCGTGGAGTTGGGGAAAATGGGGTCTCATCAAATATCCAGGTGCGTAATGCATTATCCGAGCCTGTTGAGACCATGACTGGCTGTCCCGCTAGGAACTCGATTTTATTTATCTGCACACCCCTGTCTTCTCCAGATGGTTCATGCGCATTTCTCACAACGCCCGTCACACGACCACCGTCGTTCAAATCCCACATGACAATGTCACCACCGTCTGCGTTGGCAGTGGCCATTACACCGTCCTTCCGACCATCCTCCCCCGCCCCAATCCTGTCCGTACGAAAGGAAATAGAAGTTATCGGCGAGCTATTTGCCGCTCCAGGTTTTCTTAGATAAAGTACAGGCTTATCCGTCTGTACGTTATGAATGACTAGGGCTCCAGATGCGTGTGCAATCGCGAGGAGAGATAGAGCCGGGGAAGGCTGTAATGCGCTCACAGCGCCTGCACCGGGGACGGTAGGGAGGATAGAATACACCAATTTCCCCGTAGAAACGTTCCAGATGTCAACGCAGCCGTTTGACCGTCCAACAAAGACCTTGTTGAGGTATGTGGGCATGGTGCACAGGGTACTAGGTAGCAGTTTCGTAAACTCCTTCGTGGCCGCTGGGGTAAGGGTCGTATAGTGTGAGTAATCCGTAGACTTCCAGACAAGGATACAGTTGCTACAGCATCCAACAATCCAGGATCCAAAAACGACTAATCGCTCGATCGACTGAGCGGCAGCACCGGGGGCAATGGCAGGCATCTCGAGCTCAGCCACCCTCTTTCCACGCTTAAACACCCAAACTCCGCGCTGCTGGGCAGACGACTGGCCGCCCCAGGCAGCGAACACTCGGTCCTTCCAGGCATATGTCGCCGTGATCAGAGCTGGTGTCTGTGGTCTGGTCAAGAAGACGAGGCTGAGCCCCCTTCGTAAGTCATAGGTCTGTAAACAGTGGCCAACTGAGGTTGTTATTTGAAATGTCGTCTTGCCTAACGGGATGCAGGTGAAAGGGACGGACGTGGACGAGACAAGGCCCAGTGTCTGTGACCGTAGAATCAGCATCTATCCAATTGTATATATATATACACCAAAATGAAAAGGCCTTACTCTGAACGGAGTGAAGATGCGCGATCCCTCTGGCGCACCAGAATAGCTGGTCTTTTCCGTGACGACTTTCTGGCGTTTCGCCAGTGGCAGGTCGAAAGCCTCGTTTGCCATTGCCTGGTCTTCTCTATATATTTTATCCTTCTTCTTCTTCTTCTTCTCCCTCCTCGTCTTCATCGCCTTCGTCTTCTCGACGTTCGAAACTCGAAAAAAAAAAAAAAAGGTAAAATAAACTTCTTAGTCAGCAAAAAGCTTGGCGTCCGGCTGTGCCCTAAAAAGTCGCTCCTTTGGGAACTTCCAGAACGTCGCATCTTCAACTTCCATCGTTTCTTCTTCCTTCGCCTTGTTTTATCTTTGCTTTTTCCATCCCTTCGATCAAGAGGGATCGATCGCCTGCAGCCAGTGGGGAGTCCGTTTGCCGCACTCTGGCTTGGATGAAACGACCAGAGTTTGTTCCCTGACGAGTTAAAATCACCAGCTGGCTAACTAATCTGTCTACCACAGCAAGCTGCCCCCAATAGCGACAGAAACGACTGGGACAGCGAAGATTTCAAGACAACGCTTGCAGACGCTTGCAGGGACCGTCGAACAACGATCAACAAGCCCTTCCCTGCTAGTGCAACCCCACGTGGCGAAGAACGGCCGTCAGGACGAGCAAGACAAGGAGGGAACTTTTCCATCTCGTCAAGCCCGCTGCTTTTCTTTTTTATCTACCCACCAGAAAGACGATCCGACATTTTTATCTTCCACGCCCAGCTATATAAATACCTTGTATATATATAACCGTATATTAATTTTGCTCCCATGCAAGCTGACGTTGATGCTCGGCCGGACAAGAGTCCATCATGCAGCAAGGATCAGGATGGCCCAGAATTAGAGCTGGAGACGGAGAAAGAGACGCCCGCGACAGCAGCCCAGCAGTTAGAAATAGAGTCGACAGCAGAATCAATTCCTCAGTCTCTCGCCCTCCCGCCGTCACCGCCGCCGCCGCTCTCCCAATCTCATCCGGAGTCATTAGTGGCGCCCATTGATTCTGCTTTCACCTCAAACTTCCAGCGCAACCCCCGCTACTTGACCGACCGCGGCGGTAATCGGGTGTCCTTCTCCTCCCTTTATTCGCTCACTTCAAGTATTCACTCCGCGCCTGGAGGAGACAGAGAGAAGCTGCCTGGCACTGCGGCGTCCAGTGTTGACGGCTCTGTCAAACGCTCCACTATGGACGACCCCCGGAGTACTCCTAGCGGATTGTGCAGCCGGCCCGATTCTTCACTGCACACGCCTTCTGGTCACTCTGTGCCAGGTACATCTCCCTCTCCGGGATCAACGTCTCCAGGTCAGTTTGGCGTCGTTGTCTTCGTCTTCTACATGCTACGGGCGTTGTTAACAGTGTGCATAGGCCTCGCTTCCTCATTTCAGCACCATCTAACTAAGCCAGAGGATGGCAGGTCTCAGGCCTGGATTTCACGGCCTTCACGCTCGTCGAGCAAGAAACCTCGACGCTTTAGCGCTAGCACTGGCGCAAGTAGTGCCAGTGAGGCAGAAGGTATATCTTTCTTCACTTGTTTTGAGTATGAGAGGTACTGATTGGAACAGCACGTCTACCTCTCATAGGCAGAATTGGAGTTTGCGCTCTCGATGTTAAAGCACGCAGCAAACCCAGTCGCAATATCCTAACTCGTCTGCAGTCCAGGGGTGACTTTGAGGTTATTGTCTTTGGTGATAAAGTTATCCTTGATGAAGGTACGAACCCAGCTACACATACTATAAAGATATACTCCTTACTAATATTGCCTAGACGTGGAGAATTGGCCAGAATGGTATGTCGAATGCCGTTGATTTCTCCGGGAAGACACAGTTGATCTAATAATTCTAGTGACTTTTTGATTGCCTTCTTTTCTGATGGCTTTCCCCTAGACAAGGCTATCGCCTACGCAAACCTTCGAAAACCATTCTGCATTAACGATCTACCAATGCAGCAAGTTTTATGGGATCGTAGGTTATGTCTTCGCATTTTAGACCAAATGGCAGTCCCCACACCCAAACGCGTGGAAGTGAACCGCGATGGTGGCCCTACATTGGCATCTCCCGAGCTTGCACAGCATGTCTACAATCTGACTGGTGTGCGCTTAGAAGGCCCACCAGACGGTACGGGCGGTGGAACCCCGCGAACAAAGTCTGTCACCATGTCAGAAGACGGGGAAGCTCTCATCGTCGATGGAAAAGTGTTTAGGAAGCCTTTTGTTGAGAAGCCCGTCAACGGAGAGGACCACAATATTCACATATACTTCCCTAATGACCAAAATTATGGGGGCGGAGGCCGTCGGCTTTTCCGTAAAGTAGGCAACAAGAGTTCTGAATACGATCCCGACCTTAAAGTTCCTCGATCCATAACTGAGCCTAACGTCAGCTACCTTTATGAACAATTCCTACGTGTTGATAATGCCGAGGACGTCAAGGCATACACTGTTGGCCCAGACTACTGCCATGCAGAGACACGCAAATCGCCTGTTGTCGACGGTTTGGTTCGTCGTAACACCCATGGCAAGGAGCTACGATACATCACTAACTTAGGCAAAGAGGAGGCAGCAATGGCCACAAAGATATCCAATGGGTTCGGCCAACGTATCTGTGGCTTCGACCTTCTCCGCGTTGGGGACTCTTCCTTCGTTATAGACGTCAACGGCTGGTCTTTTGTTAAGGACAATAACGATTATTATGACAAGACTGCCAAAATCCTCCGTGATATGTTCACACGTGAAAAACTGCGCAGAGAAGGGAAACTCGGCCTTTCAGAAACCACAAATGATATGCCCCCAAACACGCCACACATAACCACTCCTGGATCACATAGGCATACTCTCAAGTCACTGTTGAAGTCTCCTAACATATCAGGGCTTCATGGTAGTCTCTCTGGCCACAAAACACCCGTTCTCCCTCCGAGTACTAAGAGTGCAGCGGAATCAGCTGCTCCACCTAGCAAGCCTAGCCATGCCGAAGCCTCTGAAAGCACCAACTTAAGCCCCGAAAAATCACCGCCCAACGCTCCATCGCAACCAGTGGAGCCACCTACCGCTCCACCTCCATCATCTAAGCATTCTTGGAAGCTCAAGGGTATGGTGGCTGTAATACGACATGCGGACCGAACCCCCAAGCAGAAATTCAAATTCACATTTCATACCCAACCGTTCATAGATCTCCTCAAGGGCCATGAAGAAGAGGTCATTATCCGAGGATCTACAGCATTACGTAGCGTGACTAATGCTGTTAACTTAGCCTTGAAGGAAGGTATCGAAGACAAAGATAAACTCATGCTACTGAAACGTTCACTGGATCATAAAGTTGAATGGCCCGGCACAAAGGTTCAAATAAAACCTATGTTCCGACGCCGAAATTCACAAGAATTACAGTTGAATCGCACATCGCCTCTTATCTCTCCGTTAACTAGAAGTGATATGACGCAAGCTTCGGCTTCCCCACCCCCTTCCGCTGACCCCGACCAGCCTCGTATGGCGCGCAGTGACTCCCTATCCGGTCCTACATTCTCCCGGTTTTCAGCAGTGGAAAACGATTTGGTGTTGGATAAATTGCAACTCGTGATAAAATGGGGCGGAGAACCGACACATGCAGCCCGATATCAGTCCCAAGATGTTGGGCTAACAATGCGCGACGATCTAAAACTCATGAACAAGGAAGCGTTAAACGACGTTAGGATGTTTACCAGCTCAGAGCGGAGGGTTAGTACAAGCGGTAGGTTTTTTTTTTTTTTAAAAAAAAAAAAGAAAACCCCATTTGCGTTTATACTGATTTCTGATTTTAAAATAGCCCAGATATTTGCGTCGACATTCCTTGACCAGAAAGACCTCCCTGACGATTTTATCCAAGTGAGAAAGGACTTGCTTGACGACTCAAATGCGGCGAAAGATGTGATGGATAAGGTGAAGAAGAAACTTAAGCTACTACTACGAGAAGGCAACTCTGCTCCCCCTCAATTTGCGTGGCCAAAGGAGAATTTCCCGGAACCCTCCATTGTTTTGTCTACACTTGTTGAGCTGATGAAATTCCACCGCTGTGTGATGCGCCATAACTTTCAGAAGATAGAGACTCATGGAAATACCCAGCCTGGTGCGTTTGAGTCTTCATCACCATCTGATAAGTCTCAATTTACAGACATACAAGGCCGATGGTGTGCTGGAGAAGATCCGCAACTCTTCAAGGAGCGTTGGGAGAAATTGTTCAAAGAGTTTTGCGATACAGAAAAGGTTGATCCTAGTAAATTGTCCGAACTCTATGATAGCATGAAGTTCGATGCACTACACAATCGGCAGTTCCTAGAGTGGGTTTTTCTTCCGCCTGACGATTTCATTTATGAGGGCGAGACCGACAAAGAACGGGCTGGCCACATAACATCTTCACATTTCATGGAACATAACTCAAATGGAAGCCCAGAGAGTAACGGCTCTAACAATACCAACAACAGAACGCGGCCCCCTGGCCTTCTGGCGCCACTTGAGGATTCTTACGACTCATATTTCAAGTTGTATCCTGGCTCGACTCCTTCTAAGCCAAAGATTGACAAACGTCTTTCCCGCCTTAAACATTTGTACAGTTTGGCTAAGGTTCTATTTGACTTTGTCACTCCCCAAGAATATGGCATAGCCGACCACGAAAAACTCGAAATTGGCCTTCTCACCTCTCTTCCTCTCCTTCAGGAAATAGTAATGGACCTAGAAGAGGTGCAAGCATCACCAGATGCCAAATCATTCTTTTACTTCACCAAAGAATCCCACATCTACACGCTACTCAACTGCATTCTTGAGGGTGGACTAAAGACCAAGATCGCTCGGCGGACAATCCCGGAGCTGGATTACCTATCTCAGATTTGTTTTGAACTCTACGAGGCCCGGGATTCAGAGGCCGAGACGTTTTCTTATTCAATTCGCATCTCAATTAGCCCTGGATGCCACACATTCGATCCATTAGATGTTCAGCTAGACTCTAGACATGCAATTGGATGCGCACCTCGGCGGAGCCTTACAGCGCATCAAGACTGGAAAGAAGTTATTGAAACCTTGAAAGCAAAATTTGATACGTAGGTACTCCCATATCCATCCGGTATGGTGTTCATATCGCTAACTACATAAAAAATATAGTGTCAAATTACCCAAGTCGTTTATCGCGATCAACCTCAGTGATAAACACGCCGCAGCTCGAGACGATGAACAGCTGTAGCTTTGTGCTTTTGTCTATCTTACTCTCCTAATATATCATGTTCTGGGAGTAATGTATTCTTCGTTTATCCTTTTACCCTTGCGCTATTGCATCAATTAATTGTATATTTTACGGCATTCCAGTGGACATAAGGAAACGTATGCATATTACGGTGAGTAGGGTTTGGGCGGCACTCTGTTTTCTTTCTTTTTTTCCTTTTATAAATTTGCATGTCGACGTCGGCCTACAGGTGAAAAGGTAAATTAGACAGGAGCTCAGCTTGCAGGAGGGTTAGACATGTGAATTTTGTAAAACCCCTTCAATGAATTTGATTCATTTTATTATTTCCGTGTGCTTTTCTTGTTCCTTGCACCAGGAACGGTTGGCCCTGTGCCTTGTATAGCAGTATGTATAATTAGTTCTTCAATATTTGCATTTTGTTCACTATTTAGAGCAAATCATTAAATCAACTTTTAACAGTGTATACTTCATGCTTGACTATTTTATTTTAGTATAGTCATATATGTCACTCTTACTTATTCCTAATATACTTTTATACTACTTCTCTGTACTATTGGGAAATAGAGTATTAGTTAACTCTTAGTACTGCCTAGATTCACAAAATCTAAATAGCAAGATAGCAGATATTACTGTTATTTGTTTGCGTGAACAAGCCTATACTACTATTCTGTGACTGAAAGCGAGCTTCAACCACAAGATATTGAAGATGGATAGAGCACGTTAGTACTTTTATTTCATACTAGATTCACATTCAAGGCAAATTAATTATCTATAAAGCCGGCTCTACTTCCCCCAATATGCCCTTCTTCTTACCAAACAAGATATTCAACAATCTAGCTTCCCACGTTAAACTACACAATACTTAACCAAGCCCTAAACCTTCCTTTTATAATAAAAATGAAGTTCAACTCTCTCTATGCAATTGCCCTTGCCCTACTTGTCTCTGGACTTGCAGTCGCTTCGCCTGGACCAGTGGAGTTCGGGAGAAGCCTTGGTATTGGTGGCCATGGAAAATCATACATAAATCCCTATGGCAAGGGTCGTGGTAAAAGCCATAGTAAAGCCTTTAAGAAATGCATTGACAGAGAGTGTAATGCAATGGTAAGTCGCCTCTGTCAAGGCACTTTAGGAACAAGAAGCTCCGCAAAATTGTTCTCTGCTAACAATAGTGTCTTTTACACTTAGTGCATCAGAGATGGGTATACTGGTGGTGTCTGTCTCAAGAATGCTGGTATCGAGTAAGTGCCTCATCTCTTTGACATAAATGAGTGGAGCAGAATAGATTTCTACCATGAGTCGTTAGATATTGCGGCTGTCGAGGAGCGAGACCACCACATAGACGACCCACACACTAGAAGCCAGTGGTATATACATTGACTGCCGAGAGTCTAGCTCTCTTTTAATGCCTTTGTTAGTGGGGACAGCGAGCTCGCCATTACAATCAAGGGAAACGGGGATAACACTATGATAGCTATTTCGGGCTGGGTGACTAAGTTTGTCTCCCAATTAAATTATGATCACTATCCTCTATTTCTCTCGACATAAGCTCGTAGTTATGTAGATGCCTTATTTACCATATGAGGTCCAGCTGGGGAGGTGTAACAGATATAGTTAACAGAATAACTTTCCTTGATGTGCAAAGGAATAAGCGATACAGCAACTTGTCGATAACGAGCCGAGAGTGGAGCCGAGGCTAGCTAAGCTTTCCCATAGCTTATAGCTAAAACCAACAACATAGAAGATTTGTACTCAACAACGATGAATTATACTTGCCTGCTAAAATGATCAAAGCAAGTTGGTTTATATTTAATATCCCCGTTCTGTCCATAGACTATCTTACTAAAGTAAGGACAGGCCATTGCACATTTATAGGATAGAAAATAGAAGAAATATTGTCTATTAAATTGACTCTATTTACCCTGATTGCTTTTGTATGGAATCAAGAACATCATTAATCTAGGGAATTATAAACATATAGGAAGCGAAAAGAAACATGAATTGAAAAACATTAAAAATTTTTCCTCCACATAGGGCCGTTAAGACATGCATGCAGGGTGAGTCACTTAGATAGATGAAATGCTTACTTATTCTTGACAAAGATTACAACCAGCTCATGCTAAAGCAGTTGAATCAGCCGTTGTTTGTTGGGAATCTTCGTATTTGTCCCAGTTTGCCAAAATATTTCCAATCCGCGGAGAATTGGTAAGTCGGTACACATCTTCAAAGTATTCTTTAGTAAGCTCGAATGGGCGAGCAGTAACATTCGGGATGTATTTGCCGATTAACTTGCTTGGGTCAATGGTTGTCTTGTTAATCTTCTTGAGCAAGAATGATCGGAAGGGCTTTACGCCGGAGCGGAGGAAAGTGCTGTGGAATGGTACGTCGATACCCTTTAGTGGGATAGTAGCAAATCCCCGCTCGAGGACAATAGGCTGTGGTTTGGAGGTCGTCTGCTTAACACATTCATTGATGATTTGAACGAGATGCGATTTCACATCATCGAGAGACATTGTCTGCATCAGTGCGGGAATATCTATCTTTTGCGCTTTAAGGACATTAAGGACATTTGTGAGACTGTCAAGGGCTCGGAGCTAGGATGGAATTAGTACTTCTGTTTATGACTGATAGTAACTTATGAGGGAGAAACTTACATCACCAGCACAGACATATTGCATGTTGGCAACATTGTAGTTGACAATTTCGAGCAGCCAGCCTGTAGTTTCCGAAACATTTTCCACCACGTATTGTAGAGCTTGTTCATTGAAAGTCCCAGAGATACGGCTGGGATTAACAGCACACATGGAGTAGTTGGATCGACCTTGTTCGTCACGTTCGACGGCAACTTGCATAGTCAAACCACGGTAGAACACAACAGACACAAGACTCTCAATTGGCATGACATCAGCAAGGGCAGCGAGTGCAGAATATTCCCCTAAGGAGTGCCCAGCAAAGCTGCTGTCTCGCTGTACAAGTCCCTTAGAACGCATATCCTCAAAGCTTGCTTTCTCCATCAATGTAAGAGCCGGCTGGGTGAATTGAGTGGCAGACAATAGGCCGGTAGGGGACCTATATGTGTAAGAAGTGGTTTTCTCATCGACTTCCTTGAAAATCTTCTCCGATTTAATAGACCCGTCCGCATTGACGGTTTCGAAAGTCATGGACATATAGTTCTGGCGAATATTTTTGCCACGAGGGCCACCAAAGTGCACAGTGAGCTCCTGGGGGTTATTCTTGACAATGTCAATGATAGAAAAGCCGTAATTTTCCATAAAATGGCGATCGGCACGATCCCAAACTTCCTTCGCAACTGGGCTCGTGGCGTAAAGATCCATGCCCATACCCTGCTCCTGAGAACCTTGACCAGTAAATACGTAAGAAGAAACTGGCTGTTCAACTTCAGCCTCACCAATCAAGACTTTTTCTTCAGTAGCCTGGTTACTGGTCTCGACCTGAATGATCTTGCGACCAGAAATCATACCCACATGCTGGAGCTTGACAACAAGATCATCATTAGGAAGAACCATTCCAACAAGTGAAGCATGGAAGCTACGGACGCGACCAATATTATTCTCAGCAGCCCATGTTTCAACCAGACTCCTGACAGCTGCGCTGGTATACATCCCATGGGTGATGGTTCCTGGCAAGTGGGCATAGCTAGAGAAAACTCTGGAGACATGAATTGGATTATAGTCACCGGAGACTCTAGCATATGTCTCATTCGAGGCTGGCGCCTTAATAACAAGAGGGGATTTGCTAAGCGGGATTGGATTCTCGAACTTAACTGGCTGTTCGATTGCGGAACCATGGCGCTGAAGATAGTCAATTACTGGGTTTCCGTGAGAAACACCGGCTTCGTAGTCAACTGATCCGACCTGAATAATCTCTTTCGTAGGGAGTTCAACAAGGACTTGACCTGTTGTCTGCATATTTTGAAAGACAGTTTTATCCTTATAGCGAACCAAGCTCTGGAGACGGAAAGTGAGGGTCTGTCCTAAAAGTTCAACATTGGCCTCATCCAAGCGGAACCACTCCTTCGATTGCAAGACAGCTACATCCTTAGAAGTAGCAAGGAACACTTGCATTGGAACCTCATCCTTACGTAAGAAGGTGGTCTCGTAGTCAGTGTAGTTACCACGATACAGGAATTGACTGGTGACGTGCATAATAGGTTCACCACCCCTTTTGATGGTTCCACAGACCTCGACCATTTTACCAGAGTCCTGGTTGACAATAGCATTAATCTGAGCGGTAGTATCAAGAACGTCTCCAACCTTGAGAGGTTCAGCACCGGGAACCATTCTAAAGCCATTAGATAAATGGACAAGCTTTAGGAGGTCACCATCTATAGTGCGAGGAAAGATTGGCTTGGTAATTGCTTTCCATCCAGCAACAATAGCAAAGTCCATGGGCGCAAATGTTTCTTTTCCTTGACGCTCGACAAAGGCTTCACCGGTGTTTCCAACAGCGTGAACGAAGTCGGCAATTGCTTGTGCGGTCACCGTGGTACGTCCTCCATCAAAGATGGCCGCAGCTGGGGTTTCGAATGGAACACTGCGTTCACCAAACCATACGCGGTAGTAAAACTCCTTGATACGATCGTTGCGACCTTCCATTACTTCCCTGATAGGAGCATAACCAGTTTCAGGATGATAGGTGAAATAGAATGGAAGTGGAACAACACTACTCTCTGCAGTTCTACCTTCAAACAAAGTGAGTGCAATGCGGTTCTTGTCGGTAAGTCGAATTTCAACTGTCTTGACAAGTTTGCCTGATTGACATGGCTCGCGCAAACTGATGACGGTCTTCAAAGGATCATTGGGGTTAGTTATTTCAACAAACATACCACGAGTAGGTGCGAGTATGCGTTTGATGGGGTTGGTCTGGAAGCGCTGGCCTTGAATGAAGACTTCAGTAGTGAACAGGGCATATCTCCACGAGTAAACGTTTCCAGCCAGAAGGTGGAGCCATCGATCAAGGTCAGGAAGACTAGCGGATGGGGAGGAAGAAAGACGATAGGAGACTCTAGTGGCATCCTCTGAGATTGTTAGGCCGTCAATATCACGATCTTCTTCGCGGTCAAGGACAAGTCGACCACCAAAATATTCAACAATAGGAACCTTGGACTCATCGCCGTTATAGACATCTTGTATCAGGCCTCGGATATGGTCTTCGTGGATACCATCTAGAATGCTTTGAATTGGTTCATCAATGGTCGTTGAATATTTAGCGGCCATAGGGCCTTGCAGGATACAAACTCGTCCAACATCCTGACCCACAACAGCTTCGATATCTTCTGATTGCCAGAGAGAATCTTTCTTAAACCAGAACTCAAAGTTCTCGTCTAGAGACGGCACAAATGGAACTGGTTTCTGGCCTCGTCTCTGGCAAAGCTGAAGGAAGTGCTGAACGTCCTGAGCATTAATAAGTTGATCAGCCGATGCAGGATAAGCATCCAGGATATCTTGGACGGTTGGGTAAGGTTCATCAAGCTGAGAATATGTCTGAAGACGTGATTCCTGATTCTTCTCAGTAGTGAAGCGCTCTTCAACGCGGCGGAGAAAGTCACCGGTAAACCTCTTTAACGATTCATCAATCCACCTAGCCTCGTGTTTGACGTACATTAGTTCGACCATGCGATGTACTACTTCGGCGTATGTCATATCTTCCAAGTCTACGGTGTCACCTTTCGAATTACGGCCAAACCACACCTTCTGGAAGTCGTCATTGAGTTTCTTGATGATATAATCGCGATGTTTCTTAAGTGCAGGCAAGCGTTTGGCTTTGTCAAGAGAAAAGATCTTTTGATCCATCTCAGCCCAGAAAAGGACACCGCGTGTGGCTAGTTTATGGATGGGTTCACCCATCTCAGAGCGGACAGTAATGACGCCGCCTGCAGCGCCTTTGTATGTGTCTTCCCATTTGCCGTCATCCACACCTGGTGCAGCTACTATAGCCTGCTTGGCGGCTTTTGAAGTATGTGCTTCTTTGGCAACCATCATGCGACTACCAAAGAGGCATCCGTCGAATGGCATAGGTGGGTATCCGAATTGGCGGGACCAGCTACCCGTGAGGTAAGGGTATGTGTCCTTGGAGCCGCCAAATCCACTTCCTGCGACAAGGACAATATTATCACATTTCCGGATACGGCTGTACATTTGCAGAACTGGCTGGTGGAAATCTTCAAAAGAGTGATGGCCTCCACCACGTCCACCGGTCCACTGGAGTATGACTGGAAAGCTGGGGTTTGCCTTTGCAATGTTAATGACTTGCTGGATTGCGTCCATAGAGCCAGGCTTGAAACCGATGTGTTTGATTCCGAGAGTTTCGATATACTCATTGGCAACTTCTATAGATGGCACACCAGCTCCGATAACGAGACCTTCGATCGGGACACCGTCGGCACGAAGTTTGGCCAATAATGGAATTTGCCATGCCATGGCGCGCGGGTTGACATAGATTAAGTTGACGGTAATACCACGGCCAGGCGGAATGGCTTTCTCAATCTTGGTGAGAGCTGCAGTCATAGACTTTGCATTATAATAGCCACCACCTCCGAGTTCAATCTGGTATCCGGCATTCATCGTTGCAGCGACAAAGTCCCAAGGCACAGTAGTAGGAGTCATCCCAGCTACCATGATTGGGGGAACGCCCAACAACCTGCTCATCTTTGTGTCGACGAAAGTCTGACCAACAGATGTTTTTACGAGTCGGGGACCATAGACTTCAACCCAGTCGACAGCATATTTGACAGCATGGTCTTCGTCGCGGTCGAACAGTTCAGGCTTGTACCCTACCTCCGCGTTGGTGCCATCTATAAGTCCACCAAGTATGACTCTGACACCAGTGCCATCTTTATTGCGGTTCGTCAAAACACCAAGACCAGAAATACCACCAGGGCCAAAATCAACGATGTGAGTAGCCTTGGTAAAGACCGTAGCATTTTCCCAGTTGACCGGGTCCCGCGTAATCATGCGGATCAACGCAGGTACAATATCCTCGTCGCCTAGCTGGCTAAGGTCCTTGCCAGTGTTCGTATCGTAAACTGGGATGCGTAGGGATCGTGCAGGGATTTTGATATCCTCAACATCTTCCGCAATTACATCGAAGGCAGAAGCGAGGTACTGGCTGTGGAATGGCGCAGTGATGGGTAGGAACCTGTTGACGAAACGAATCTTGCGTTGTGTGAAGGGTACACGGTTCTGGTCTAGACCCGTGGCAGCTTTAACCTTGCGGAGGCGCAAGTTCAGGCCGTACAGGGAAATTGGGGGGCCAGTAACAACGAAGTTGCGGGGGCTGTTGACGAGAGAAATGGCAATATGGCGATCTTTAGGTAGATGCTGGTTGGTAGCATCTATGTGTTCCTGCACTGCAGTCCTGTGGAGGTCCCGAATAGATAGCATGGGAGTAGGGATACCCTCTCCGTGCTCGACAGAGTCCTGAAGCAGCGACGGTGCGAGCGATGTGCGAGGGTACGCCTGCTGACTTCGCAGACCAATCCAGAAGAGCATGGTCAGCGCAGCTCTGGCAGCCTTGCCAAATGACTCCCATGTGGTGACGGTAGCGATAGCAGCAGCGGTGATAATACCCTGTGAGTGGCCGGTGGTACCACTGAAAGTGTCGAGTACATCACCTGGTTCCTTGCCCATGGCTTTGCATGTGGCCATGTAGTGGGCCAACTGAACAAGACCAATCAATGGTAGACTGACTGGGGCAGAAACGAGATAGTCTGTGTCTGGCTGAGCATCACGATCGTGCAGCCAACGGAGAATATCCATTCCCTTGGAGTATAGCTTGATGGCATCAAGGTCCCTGGCGAGTGACTGAAGTAGCTCAGCCGAGGATGAGATGAGGTCCTCGACAAAGGAGGGGTATGTGGTGTAAATCTCGCGTAGCTCATCAAAGTACTCTTCGATATTGCCTTGACCGCCGTAGATACTGTACAGCTTAGCGTGGCCCTCTGTGGCGGCTCGCAGAAGAGCAGAGTCGTGTGGTTTTGTCGGCCTGTTTGCGGCTGCGCGAGCAGCATAGTAGTTTTCTACCATGAGCAGCTTTTTTGCGGGGATACCGGGTATGGAGCCGGCAACGGCATGGACATCATTACCACGCATAAAGGCACGCTCGAACTCGTTAAGAACGATCTTAAGGACCTCGATATAGGAGCCGAGCGAGTCATCCTCACCCTCCTCAACCTCGTGAGCAATAAAGCCAAGATACCGGGCTACAAGGTCGGGGACAGACGAGGGCTCGTCATCCTGCGCTAGCTCGTCTGTGGGCTCAGGGAGAGACGCAGCAAAGCTGTCCTTGAGCTGTGAAGCATGGAAGTGGAGAGATGTGGCCACTAGAAAGGAGAACTCGAGGGATCCGTGGGAGAGATTGAGAGGACGCAGCGACTGCGAGGATCGAGGGGTGTTGATGCCCGTCTGCGGGCCGGTCGAGGGGCCGAACATGGCTTCCTGCTGTTTCAGCTTAAGAGTCCGCTAAGACTGATTGTGAAGGTGGTTATGCTCCTGCTGGAATGTCGTGGCAGGCCAATTAAAGAGTATGTCGTAGTATGATGTTCTATCAAGCTGTTAGCCGTCGTCACAAAACCTGGAGCTGAAGCCCGAAGCTGAAGCTTTCTCTCTTTTTCTTTATATATCCCTTACCAATGCTGCATGATACGCCTGTTGGTGACCACTTGAACCAGACAGACAGGAAGAGAAAGGTGGACGCCGTGTCGAGTTCGTGGCGGAGTTCGTGAGACGGAATTGAAGATGAAGCCGTGAAGATGAAGTCGAAATAAAGAAGAAGTTGTGAGAATTTCCCAATCGAGCTTTGAACAGAAAAAAAAAAAATAAAAAAGTAAAAAAAAGGGGAATTTTTCAAGCTGCGGGGCTTCGTTGAGGCAGCGCTAGTCTTGAACAGGGATAGCGCCGTATTTTAACCGCCCCAAAGAATTCAAAACGGTTGAATTTCCAGGGACAAGTGGAGCTCTTTACCTTACATGACGCGCGGGTACTCCGTCATTACAATACAATAGGCGCCCCACGGGCCATCTATATGTTTATATTCATCTATCCCCGCCAGTGAATACATATGATATATAAGGATAAACATACCAAATATAAGGTGTCTAAACAAGACAGGAACAAATGACATGGAATGCAAGGGCAGGTTAAATACAGAGATACCTACGTCCCCATTGGAAAGTAAATGTCGACTCAGGGACAGCGCCTAGATCCGCCGTAATGTTCTTACAGTACACAACCCCGGTGGTACATAGATAACGAATGACTAAGCAATGAGCTTTTTTTTTTTTTTTCTTCCCTCCTTTTCCTTTGCTTGGCCCAAAGGGGAAGTCAGAAGGTCTTTTCTTCCAGCTTCAACTTCAACTTCTTCGTCGTCTTCGTCTTCTTCTTTTCTTCGACATCTCGACGTCACCCTCAACTTCACCGTGAAGTGTTAATATATTCTTTTAATTTACGACCTCCGTATTTCTTCTTCTCTCGAGCTTCCTAGTGTGAGCTTCTTCCGGGCTATCAGACAAGGACATGCGCCAGACACCTTGATATCTTCAATTGGAACAGTTGTGATATCCCTCAACGGCGTTCGCAGGTTAACCTGTCGCGGTACATAATCCAACCATCTTTCGGACCCCTTGCCAACCGCAACCATGAAGCCGGAAGTCGAGCAGGAGCTCGCTCACACCCTGCTCGTGGAGCTCCTCGCCTACCAGTTTGCATCCCCAGTGCGATGGATCGAGACGCAGGATGTCATTCTAGCCGAGAAGAGGACGGAGCGTATCGTCGAGATTGGCCCTGCAGACACTTTAGGTGGAATGGCTCGGAGGACTCTCGCGTCTAAATACGAAGCCTACGACGCCGCCACTTCCGTCCAGCGTCAGATCCTCTGCTACAACAAGGACGCAAAGGAGATATACTACGACGTCGATCCGGTCGAAGATGAACCTGCTCCCGGCCCAGAGTCCACTGACGCCGGTGCTACGGGTATGGCCGCCGCTCCTAGTCCCGCCGCGCCTGCTCCCGTTGCCGCGCCGGTTCCATCGGCCGGGCCGGCTGCAGCTGTGGAGGATGCTCCGGTGACCGCAATGGAGATTGTGAGATCACTTATTGCCCAGAAGTTGAAGAAGGGACTGGCCGATATACCTCCGACCAAGGCTATTAAAGATCTAGTAGGAGGTACGCTTTATTTCTATACATCCTGGTAAATTGAAAGGAAAAAAAGTCATGTCTACTAACCTTCAATTGGCAGGAAAATCGACATTACAGAATGAAATCCTAGGTGATCTTGGAAAAGAGTTCGGCTCCACTCCTGAACGGCCAGAAGACACCCCCTTAGATGAACTCTCTGCCTCTCTACAAGCCACATTTAATGGTCAGCTTGGGAAACAATCCTCGTCCCTTATTGCTCGGCTCGTTTCCTCCAAAATGCCAGGAGGTTTCAATATCACCGCAGTCCGGAAGTATTTGGAATCCCGTTGGGGACTAGGCCCCGGCCGACAAGACGCCGTTCTTCTTCTTGCCCTTACTATGGAGCCTCCATCCCGTATCGGCTCCGAAACAGACGCGAAAGCCTACTTTGATGATATCACGAACAAGTATGCTGCTAATGCGGGAATAACGCTCTCCACAGCCAAGGCAGGAGGTGACAACGGCGGGGGCTCTGGAGGCATGATGATGGACCCAGCTGCCATCGATGCCCTCACCAAAGACCAGAGGGCATTGTTTAAACAACAGTTAGAATCCATCGCAAGATATCTTAAGATGGACCTCCGCGCTGGAGACAAGGCGTTCGTTGCATCGCAGGAATCTCAAGCTGCTCTTCAGGCCCAGCTTGACTTATGGCAGCTAGAACATGGCGAGGTATATGCCTCTGGTATCGAACCCGCCTTCGACCCACTTAAAGCTAGAGTATATGACTCGTCCTGGAACTGGGCTCGGCAAGACGCGCTCAGCATGTACTACGACATCATCTTCGGTCGGCTTCGCGTCGTTGACCGTGAAATTGTCAGCCAGTGTATCCATATCATGAATCGATCAAACCCGCTACTACTCGACTTCATGCAGTATCATATTGACAACTGTCCCACAGAACGTGGGGAGACGTACAAGCTCGCCAAGGAGCTAGGGTGCATGCTCATCGAGAACTGTAAGGAGGTCCTCAATGCCGACCCGGTGTACAAGGATGTTGCTGTCCCAACAGGGCCTCAGACAACTGTCGACGCTCGAGGAAATATCAAATACCAAGAAGCTACGCGTCCCAGCGCACGAAAGCTCGAAGATTATGTGCGTGCCATGGCTCAGGGAGGCCCCATTTCCCAGTATAGTGGACGCACTAAAGTGCAGAACGACCTCAAAAACATTTACAAGATGATCCAAAAGCAACATAAGCTTTCCAAGGCGTCTCAGCTGCAATTTAATTCCCTTTATAAAGAAGTTCTACGTACCTTAGCCATGAACGAGCGCCAGATTATGCCGCAACAGAATGGTCACGCCAGAAAGGGAACTCCGCCAAATGGCACCCGCACGCCTTCAGCCACCGGCAAGGTCGAGACGATCCCCTTTTTGCACCTCAAAAGAAAGACTACCCACGGCTGGGAATACAGCAAGAAATTGACTGGTATATATCTTGATGGACTGGAGTCCGCTGCCCGTTCCGGCCTCACCTTCAGCGGCAAGAACGTATTGATGACTGGTGCCGGTGCTGGCTCCATTGGTGCGGCTGTTCTGCAAGGCATGATTAGCGGTGGAGCGAAGGTCGTCGTTACAACAAGCCGCTTCTCAAGAGAGGTTACTGAGTACTACCAAACGATGTACACTCGCTATGGTGCTCGAGGTTCTCAGCTTGTTGTAGTCCCATTCAACCAGGGAAGCAAACAGGATGTTGAAGCTCTCGTCCAGTATATCTATGATTCTAAGAGTGGCCTTGGGTGGGATTTGGACTATATTGTTCCATTTGCAGCCATATCCGAAAATGGTCGTGAAATTGATACAATTGATTCTAAATCTGAGCTTGCTCATCGTCTTATGCTGACAAATATTCTCCGTATGCTTGGTGCTGTTAAATTTCAGAAACACGAGCGTGGCTTTGCAACTCGCCCAGCTCAGGTCGTTCTTCCCATGTCTCCCAATCATGGCACCTTTGGAAATGATGGTTTATATTCGGAATCCAAGCTCGGTCTGGAGACCTTGTTTAATAGATGGTATTCTGAAAACTGGTCTGATTACCTCACTATCTGTGGAGCCGTCATTGGCTGGACTCGCTCGACCGGTCTGATGAATGCCAACGACACCATTGCTGAAGGTGTTGAGAAACTCGGAGTCCGCACATTTTCTCAACAGGAGATGGCCTTCAATTTGCTCGGGCTTATGGCTCCAGCTATTGTTGATCTTTGCCAGAACAATCCTGTCTTCGCTGACCTGAACGGCGGTCTACAATTCATTCCCGATCTCAACAGCCTAATGAAGAAACTTCGCAGTGAGATCGTTGAGACTAGCACGGTTAGACAGGCAGTGATGAAAGAAACTGCCCTTGAGAACAAGATTGTGAATGGCGAGGATAGCGAAGCTCTGTACAAGAAGGTCATTACTGAACCTCGTGCCAATATCAAATTCGAGTTCCCCACTCTGCCCGACTGGAAAAACGAGATTGAGCCTCTCAACGCCAACCTTAAGGATATGGTCAACCTAGATAAGGTTGTTGTTATTACTGGTTTTGCTGAAATTGGTCCATGGGGTAATTCACGTACTCGCTGGGAAATGGAGGCATATGGCAAATTCTCATTGGAAGGCTGTATTGAGATGGCATGGATGATGGGCCTCATTAAAAATCACAATGGCCCTCTTAAGGGAAAGCCATACTCTGGATGGGTTGATACCAAAACTGGTGAGCCGGTTAGCGACAAAGACGTCAAGGCCAAGTATGAGAAGTATATTCTCGAGCACTCTGGCATCCGTATCGTTGAACCCGAGCTATTCGGCGGTTATGACCCTAACAACAAGCACCTTTTGCAAGAAGTTGTTCTACAGGAGGACCTCGACACGTTCGAGGCATCCAAGGAGACTGCCGAAGAATTCAAGCGTGAGCATGGCGACAAAGTTGAGATTTTTGAGATCAAGGACTCTGGAGAATACACTGTCCGCCTGCTCAAGGGAGCTACCCTGCTTATACCCAAAGCTCTCAAGTTTGACCGATTTGTTGCTGGTCAGATCCCCACCGGCTGGGATCCAAAACATTATGGTATTCCAGATGATATTATTAGTCAAGTCGATCCAGTTACTCTCTACGTACTTGTTTGTACTGTTGAGACTTTACTCGCATCTGGTGTTACGGACCCTTACGAGTTTTACAAATACGTTCACATTTCTGAGGTTGGTAACTGTATCGGCTCTGGTATTGGAGGTGCGCAAGCCCTCCGCGGTATGTATAAAGATCGCTACCTAGATAAGCCGCTCCAGAAAGATATTTTACAGGAGTCCTTCATCAACACAATGAGTGCTTGGGTGAATATGCTACTTCTTTCGTCAACTGGTCCAATTAAAACGCCTGTTGGTGCTTGTGCTACTGCTGTCGAGTCCGTCGATATTGGATACGAGACCATTGTTGAAGGAAAAGCTCGAGTCTGCTTCGTAGGTGGATTTGACGACTTCCAAGAAGAAGGCTCGTATGAGTTTGCCAATATGGGTGCCACCAGCAACGCGGAATCCGAAATTGCTCATGGACGAACACCTCAGGAGATGTCAAGGCCTACCACCACTACCCGTGGTGGTTTCATGGAATCACAAGGCTGTGGTATGCAATTGATTATGAGTGCTCAACTGGCTTTGGATATGGGAGTTCCTATATACAGTATCCTCGGCCTTACCACCACGGCTACCGATAAGATTGGTCGCTCTGTGCCAGCTCCGGGTAAAGGAGTCTTGACCACCGCTCGTGAGAATCCAGGCAAGTTCCCTTCACCTCTACTCGATATCAAATATCGACGTAGACAATTGGAGATCCGTCGCCGCCAGATCCGAGCATGGCGTGAGTCCGAGATCCTTGGCCTTCAGGACGAAATCGACACTCTTAAGGCCCAGTCCGATGAAACCTTTAATGCTGCTGAGTACCGACAAGAGAGGTTTGACCATATCGAACGAGAGACCATTAGACAAGAAAAAGATGCTGCTTTCAGCCTGGGTAATAACTTCTGGAGACAAGATTCTAGAATATCTCCCTTGCGAGGCGCCCTCGCGACCTGGGGCCTTACTATTGACGATATCGATGTGGCTTCGTTCCACGGTACTTCAACCGTTGCAAATGATAAGAACGAGTGCGACGTGTTGTGTCAGCAGATGAGGCATCTTGGCCGAAAGAAGGGTAACGCCCTTTTGGGTATTTTCCAAAAGTACCTCACCGGTCATCCTAAGGGTGCTGCTGGTGGGTTCATGATCAACGGATGTCTTCAGGTCCTCAACACTGGCCTTGTACCCGGCAACCGCAACGCCGATAATATTGACAAGATCATGGAGAAGTTCGACTACATCGTCTACCCCAGCCGCAGTCTCCAAACCGATGGCATCAAGGCCTTCTCTGTGACGTCCTTTGGCTTCGGCCAAAAGGGTACACAAGCTATTGGTATCCATCCTAAGTACCTCTACGCCACTCTAGATGAGACTCGATATGTGGCATACAAGAGCAAGGTCGAGGCCCGCCAGAAGCGTGCATACAGATACTTCCACAACGGCATGATCAACAACACTCTTTTTGTTGCCAAGGACAAGTCACCGTATGAAGATAACCAGGAATCGAGTGTCTTCCTCAATCCCGATGTTCGTGTAGAGTATAACGAAAAGGCCTCCAGGCTGCAGTACCCCGTTCACACCAAGCCCAAGGCCCCAACCCCAGTCAGCAAAACTGAAAGCACGAAGAAGATGGTTGAAACTCTTGCAAAGGCAACTGTAACTGGTAACACCAAAATAGGTGTGGATGTGGAGGACATTGAGTCGTTCAACATCTCCAACGAAACATTTATCGATCGCAACTTCACCCAGAGGGAGAAAGAATACTGTATGCAAGCTGGCTCGGCGCGAGCATCTTTCGCAGGGCGATGGAGTGCGAAGGAAGCTGTCTTCAAGTCACTAGGCGTTCGTGGCAAGGGCAGCGGTGCTCCTCTCAAGGAGATCGAGATTATCCACGACGATAATGGAGCTCCAGTTGTAGTCGTAAGTTATCGCTATCACCATAATTCTACGAACACAGCTAACTAATCTCCGTTTCATTTAACAGTTACATGGCGATGCAGCCTCAGCTGCCAAGGAGGCCGGAGTCAAGGAGGTGCATGTCAGCATCACTCACAGCGATGCCCAAGCTATCTCCATTGCGCAGTCTCACTTCTAATCGCATCACTACCTACGGTTCATTACTAGTTAATGTCTCCTTTATCCGCATATGCTAAGCTTGGGATCAGTCCAACGGATTTTTACACGATTCTTACTTGCATCTATTTAGATTTATAGTCATCCCGTCCCTTTTTACTCTTCCTGCGTTCCTTTCCTTATACCATCTAGTAACGAATTGCCTGAGTTGGTTTAATGACACTGCAAAAGTTTCAAATTTGGTCACTCTCTTGATTTCTGCCCCTTTAACCCGACCAGTATATATTTTCACACTACGTAAGAAATAGAGCCTAACTAATACAATAAAATGAACTAGTTGTATATCAGGTGGAAGGGTTTTCGCACCCAAAAGAATATTACAAGCTGGGTGCAATAAAACTGAGACGAAGATATTTAATTACTCAGCCATCATCACTCAGATATTAGATTAATAGCTGATATCTACACATGTTCAAATTGAAGCAACGATGTCATGTTCCTTCAAGTGGAATCTTTGGCAACACTGCTAACCGGAGCTCGCGCAATTGGCCCCCAGTTTGGCCTTGGATTTGTTTGATATCTCGTCAAGCGTTTCTTGCGATGTGAATCCATCGCCTTTTTGCCCAATGCTGCGTCAAAGACGATATTGAGTGTGCTAGGGTCGGGTCGAGGCGAGGGTGAACGTGCCGTCGCCCCATTACTGTTATTTCCTTGGCCTTTCTCCTTGTCTTCTGCGCCATTATTTTCGGCAGTTTCTATTGATTGGTGTACCCTTGAGCGATACAGTGCAGCCTCGAGCATCATTGTGACATCCGCAATACTCTTCCCTGAATCAACAGCGGTAAGTATATCTCGCTTTAACGCTTTTAGCCCAGCCCCTTCTCCCGGCACAGGGTTGAGCGTGTGCCGGCTCCGTCTTAGGATACCAGCACCGGCCGTTCCATCCGATAGGGCCCCTGCTTTGACAGGAGATTTGAGACGAACCCATTCTCGCATTATCTCCCATATCACTTCCCAGGGAGCGTCGGTTCGTATTGAATTCGGTTTGGCATGGCTTCGAGTAGACCTATATCCAAGATGCTGTAAAGCACCGCGAAGTTGATCCTCTGGCATTGTCGAAGTACGCATAACATGAGAAAGATTGCTAACCACAAAGAAAAAAGGGTATGGTTCAACGAGCGCAGGGTCAACTCTGGGGATGAGGAGAGACCCATCTCTATTTTGATTAACCAGTCGTGCTGGTTCTAATTCCGGAGTGGGCTGCTTTGAGCTTCCTCCCAGATCCAAGTCCTCCTCGAGAGCGGTGGTGAGCATACCCTCTATACGAGAGCATGTCTGGTATGTCTGTATATCGGCGCCCGCAGTTAGGTCAAGGATACGCTGGATGAAGTGAGGGTTATGTAGAGGCCCAGCCCACATAGGTCCGGCAAGATGTGTCTTGAAGCCACAATATTCACAGTTTGGGGAAGCAGTTGGGCCCTGAGCAAGCTTATAGCTATAAAACGGAGATCCATCTTTCCCTACCTGCTGCTTCTTCTCTGCCAGGCGCTGAGTTTTCCACGAGCCACAGCCATGATCACAATTGAAAGAGACCATGGTCTTGCTCGCGGTGAACTTGACTTCCGAAGGAGACTTGTGGATACGGACGAAGACTCTTGCGTAAAAATCGATTGACAGGGAAAGCATGGGTTCAATAGCCAGACCGTATTTTGCAGCCGTAGTTGATATAGCATGTAGAATCAGACGCAGCCCACCCTCATGAGAGTGCAGCCCGCGGATGGGGAGGCCGCCGTAGAGAGCGAATGTTTTCTCCGGGTATCCAGCACCGGCAAAGACTCCAGCATCAGTACAGGTAACGCATAGCAAACCGCCATCGGTAACGGATTGAACGGCCGCGTCTAGGAATGGTGCCGCCGTGCCATAAGGATCCAAGTCGACCACATCGAACTTCGGGATGCCGCCAGGTTCATTAGCGGAGCCTTGAGCCCGGCCAACGGTGTACATGTAGGCGCAGGCATCCCCTTTATTCGGGCGAACCACCTCTTCCAGACCGTTGTGTTGGATATTGAGCTTCATGGACTCGATAGCGGCTGCGGAGAGATCGTTGCCTACAACGCGGGTTGCGAACGGGATCTCCTTTGCATAGCGAAGTGCTCGAAGCCCAGACGCAGACAGTGCATCCAATATAGCAAACGAAGGTGTCCAGGGCTTACGGGCTGTATTCAAAGCCGCCTTTTCGGTGGCATTGTGCCCGGCCCCATCGCCAGGTTCATTCAGCGGAGTGATTTCTTCAGTAGTCGCTGCGGCGCCTACTCCATCACCAGTGCATGTCTTCTTCAGAGGAGCATCATCCGGCACACGATCCTCGTCTGGATCGCCTTCCTCCCGCTTTCTCTTGTTCAGGTTTGTTTCCTGCTCGTCTGCACCAGCTTGGTAGCCGGCAGAGGCCTTCGTCAAGGCCGCATCATTCTCCAGCAGCTTCCCTGCCCCGTCCCCTTCTCCGGCCCCCTTCTTTTTCGCCGTATTCTTTCGTCCCTTGGCCTTAAGCTTGCGTTTCTTCTCCTTCACAGCCGTGGCATGCTCTCCGTACGCACGTATCGCAAGCACACTCAGATCCCGGTTAAACTGCTGTATCGGATTATAGAAGACGGACGGCCGGTCACTCTCAGTCGTCTTCTGGTTCTTGGTCGACGGAGGAGGTTTGGCTGGCTCAGCATCCTTTTGGTCAACCAGTATATAGGCCAGGCCTTCCTGTATCGTTTTGTACAGCTTTGATTCGTGTTTTATAAGCTGTCCATGCTTCGGCGGGTGTGTTATCGTCCCGATCTCAGTGCTGTCTCCGCTGGACGCCATCCTGCGCGGTGTTTGGGGAACTCTCAGCGTGTTTCTGGTAGCAATCCAACTCGTGTGATATAGCAGTTCCTGCGGTTTAGCAGTGAAGCATCGCCGTCCAATTCCCAGTCCAGTAGAAAACCGGCCCAGGAGCATTTGAATCTTTCACTCTCTACCCTCGCCGTCTTTTCCTTCATCGTCAGGGATTTCTTTTCTTTTCATTTCTTTTTTTTTTTTTAAATATAAAAAATAAAATTTATTCTAGTGCGCACGGGCCACTCTTTATATTTATATCTAGAGAAATATTTATATAGAAAAGCCAATCGAGATAGAAACAATCTTGCCCCTGGCGATGGAAGTTATCGGTCTGGCACCAAAAGACTTCCCAGTAGCGGGACCTGGCTGTATACAGCATCCCAGCCCTTGGCCTCCCAGCCGACCCCCAAGCCGCCAGTCCCAATCACCCCTAGACCGCCAGCGAGCCAGAGAGTTGTCCCAGCCAGCGAGAGGCCATTGACGATCCAACGCCGTCTCTTCTTTCTCTGGTAGAGCTCGGTGCCCTTCTGGGACCCTAGATAGCCGCCATTGGCTCCAGAGGAGCTGGTGCGGGACGGTGCCGTCTTTCTGGTCACCAGCACTTCCCTCCATCCAAACCACCAAGCCCATCCGCCCACGAAGTGCCAGACTCCGATACCGGTAAGGGCCGCATACCAGGCCCCCATGAGCCAGGGTGACCGGGCAATTCCGTGTGCTACATACCCTAACCCAACGCCAGAGCTCCCGCCGTCAACGTAGAGCGGAACAAGCCTGTTGACGAGTATATGTGTTCCGATCAACGGTACCGTCGCGTAGCCCAGTATGGCCTGGACACTGGCTGGTCTCACAGCCGACCTGACGGCCTTTCGTTGCTCCCGTGTCTCTGCGCCGAACTGACGGGCACGTCGAGACTGGCGGAGGTAGCGGAGCACGACTCCAGACGTGACATGCGCGAGGATGGGCAGGTAGACTATCAGCGGCTCCAGGCCCGGAGCCTGGTATATCGGACGGGTCAGGAGGAGAAAGGTCTCGCTTTCGGAGACGGACCGGGTCGCCAGAGGAATGAGCGCTGTGTTTGTAAAGTGTAGCCCCAGGAAGACCGTAGGCGGATACGTAGAGTACTTTTGAACAGCCGACACTGTCATGACATCAAATCAGCATTCTTTGCATCATGCGCCCTCCATGCCTCTCCTGGTCTCAACGTACGCCAGTATTCCCAGCTGTGGCCGCTTAAGCCCAACTTTGGCCGTGATGGCAGCTCATGTTGCCTGCCTGCAGCTATCGAGGAGCCGTCTGCAGCTTCAAGATCCAGTTCGTCCAGGGGAGAAGGGTCAATCTCTTGTAGGTAGAGCTCTGGCTGCTCCTTGACACCGCTCATGGCCTTTTCTTCTTCGTCCGTCCGTCCGTCCGTTCGTCTTGGTAGAAAATGTTTGGTTGCTCAAACTGCTGCTTTCATCAAAATATAAAACTTCGTTGATTGGCCACAAGCGAATTTCAACCCTACGTCTTTCAACCAACTTCGACATCAAAGATAAATCGTTTCCCTCTGCTGCCTGTTATAGATTAGATATAGCGTCGACGGACAGGATGCCTCCGGTAAGTCGGTTTCATCTCCAAAGACACGAAAGATTTTAGGGCTGAGTGGTTGACTTGGACAGCGCGGATTCACCAATCCAGCACCAAAGGTAACCAACATCACAAACGAGACAAGACAGCTTGAGAGAGCGGGTTGTATACTGACCTGGCGATAGACGGAATCTGCTCGTTCAGCGCTAAATTCCTTTACCTGCTCGCTCTGCAACAAGTCTTACTCGCGCCATCCCGAGTATGAGGCGCACATCGGCTCCTACGACCACCAGCACAAGAAACGGCTGCGCGACCTGAAGCAGCTCTCACGCGACCCAAACGCCGCCGAGAAGGCCAGGAAGGCTGAGCGGAAAGCCAACGAGGAAGCAGGTCTTATGGTCGTTGACTCTGCGGGGGAGAAAAGCGGCAGTGCAGGCGGCAGCTCTACCGGCGGGTTCAAGAAGGGCGGGTTCAAGAGCTCGTTCTCCGTCGTTGCCGGAGGAGGCACAGGCGGTTCGAGTGCGGCGGCGTCAGTAACGGCTGCCAGGCGGAAGAAGAACGTTCTAGGTGACGATGACGAGGATGAGGATGAGGTCCAGCAGACGAGTGCTTCGACAAAGGCTGGTGGTCCCAAGGCCCCTGGAGACGGAGACCATTTACAGGCGGATAAAGAGGTAGAAAGCGACACTGACGATGAATACGGAAACGATGATATTGAAGCTGGTGGTGGCTATTATGATCCTCGACGACCTACAGACTGCTTTCACGAATGTGCTGGAGCAAAGGTCTCTGTTGGCTGAGCTCAAAACTTGTTACAAGAACGGTCACTGCCTCCTCCACAAGGCCACACGGATGATACACTGGTGCAGTCCCAGCTAGGAACGCCCTGTTCTTTCTTATATTGCTCGATTAAATTTGGTTGAGAACAACCACAAGACTTGGACCTGGCACTGTAGCAGGCCTGGTAATCACCACGGAACTCGCGCCTCCACGCCCTCTGTCGTTATCTTGACGGGCTCGATTTCACCGTCGTCCTTGAAGTACATCCTATCGATGCATGTGGCTCGGTGGTCTCTCTCGTTGTCGTTCGGGAATCGTCGATGGTACACAATATAGTAGTCATCCTTGACCGAGAACACGCTGTTATGGCCGGTTCCTGTTCCGATTGCCAGGTCTCCTTGCAAGATCTTGACAGGCTCTCCATCAAAGGGCCCGAGAGGGCCCTTACTTGTGACGTAGTTCACCGCATACGAATTGTCGCCCCATCTTTACGTCGAGATGAATGCGCCGTTAACCTTTAGTTCAAAGAATATCAAGAAAAACGATGCATGCAAAAGGAACAGGCAGAGAACAGGAAAAAGACGAAGACTCTTACCCTCCGGTACTATACATAAAGTAGTATATGCCCTTCCGTTTCAGCATCCACGGGGCCTCGACATAGCCCTTGGGCGTGATCTCCTTAACCTCCCCCTTCAACGATATCATATCATCGTTCAGCTCAACGACAACGCCATGGCTGTGCCCACCATAATAGAGGTAGTTCCTCCCATCATCGTCGATGAAGATGTCGGCATCGATGGGCTGCGCACCAAAGTACGATTCTGATATCAATGGCTTGCCCAGCGCATCCTTGAAGGGGCCGTCTGGCGAGCTCGATCGCGCAACTCCTAGCCCCGCGCCATCCCCAGCAGAGAAATACATGTAGTATGACCCATTTTTGAAGGCAACGGAGGGAGCCCATGCCGCCCTGTTTGTGCTCCAAGAGACATCCTTGAAGTCGAGGACTTTACCCAGGCTGGTCCATGATTTCAGGTCGGGCGAGGAGAAGGCTTCGAAGTAGGTCTGCTTCTCATACACCGTCGACACAGTGGGGTAGATGTAGTACCTGTGGTTGAAGATACGGGCTTCGGGGTCAGCGTACCAGCCATCAATCACTGGGTTGCCGACCCGCGGAATCTTCATCGACAGGTTGGGCATCGCCGCGGCGAACACGAGAGGCAGCACTGCCGTCCACAGCGCCAGAAGCAGAACTAGAAACGGCGAAGACGACGTGAAGGATAATGATGATGGGCCGCTGAGCAGAGCCGGTCGCGCGGCTTTGGCCATGTTCGTATCAGTCCTTGGCTCCAAATCCCCGTCATATACGGGGTATGTGTATAGTTATACCACAATTTAGGTATAATGTCAAGGCTTCATGGCCGTTATATCAGTGCCAGAGATGGTCTTATATCTACGAGCCCCCATTGCCTGCTGTCCCACAAGCACAGTTTGTAAATTTCCTTATTATCAGTTGCACAAGCCACGAGTATCATCTGAGCCATCTATTGATGTCCTCTGTATATGTGCTTTTTTCAATGTACTTTCCCATACAGAAGAGCTGCTTAGCCCCTGCTCGGCCAGCGCATGACAAGTCTTTACTACATAGTATGTCGATTGAGATCCACAGAGCGGGTTCTGTTTTTTTTTTTTTTTTTTGGTGGAGTTGTGGAGGTGGATATTCATTACTATGTAAGGCAGCTTACTATATCCACAAGTGTATGTACGATGTAGGGACGAAGGTAACGGCCTAGGCAAAGCAGTTGCAGGTAGTATTTTGTTTATCTCGAGCAAATCCAAGGACAACGGCGCCATACACGCGCACAAAGGAGAAACACGAATAGTACAAGTGTGGGCGCTATATATCATCAGGTAGCGTAAAAATACACAAAATAGAAGAGAGAGAGAAAAAGGAATACGGAAATCTGGGCGGGATAGCTACAGAAGGAAAAAGCAAGGTGAAAAAAGAGGTAGGGTTAGATCACCAAAAGGAGGGTGAGGTAGGAGGAAAATATACTAGGCAGGTGACATGTTGATACAGGCATCTATAGTCGGAGAAGTTTGGTAGCTTGGCCGAGGATGGTATCCTCCTGCGGGAAGCTCATGATCTCCAGCTTCTCAGCGTATGGGGTTGGCACTTCGGCACCGGTGACACGGATGGCTGGGGCCTGGAGGTAGTCGAAGCCGTACTCCATGGCGAGGGCGAGGATCTCGGACGAGACACCGAACATGGGGAAGCCAGATTCAACGGCCATCAAGTGACCGGTCTTCTTGACTGACTTGATGATGGCCTCCACGTCGAGCGGCTTGACGGAACGAAGGTTGATGACCTCAGCCTCGACACCGTACTTGGACTTCAACTGAGCGGCAGCTTGCAACGACAGGCCAACGCATCGGGAGAGAGTGACGATGGTGAGGTCTTTTCCGGGGCGCTCGATCTTGGCCTTTCCAAGAGGGATCACAAAGTCGTCCTTCTGCGCAGCTTCGCTCATGGGGAAGGATTGTCCGTAGAGCAACCTATGAATTACCATTATTAGCAGAGCAACAAACAAGCAACCCGGATAGTCCCCCAACTTACTCGTTCTCGAGGACGACAACTGGGTTAGGGTCACGAATGGCGGCCTTCAAGAGGCCCTTGGCATCCTCTGAGCTCCATGGAGTGACAACTTTCAGGCCAGGTATGCTTCCATACCACGCAGAGTAATCCTGGGAATGCTGAGCAGCAACGCCGGCAGCAAACCCGTTGGGTCCTCTAAAAGTGATGTTGCAGGGCTGGATGCCACCGGACATGTAGTGGGTTTTTGCGGCGGAGTTGACAATCTGATCGATGGCCTGCATGGCGAAGTTGAAGGTCATGAACTCGCACTATATATAAAACACCGGGAACGGCGGAGTAATCGATTAGCGGGAGAAAACAGCAAAAAAACGATACAGGCGACAAGCGGGCAGGGCTCTAACTACGCACCACCGGGTGTAGGCCAGCCAGAGCAGCTCCAACAGCGAGACCGCAGAAACCTTGCTCGGTGATGGGAGTATCGATAACTCGACGATCACCGAATCGGTCGAGAAGACCCTTGGTCACCTTGTACCTGTAGGACGGAAACGTCAGCATGCCAGTGTAAACAAATGCACGGCTACAAGGCATTGTTCAACGCCCACTAAATAGAAAAGGGCAGCTCTCCCAGGTGAACTCACGCTCCGTTATATTGAGCCACCTCTTCTCCGAGAATGAAGACCTTCTCGTTTCCAGTCAACTCCTCCGCCAACGCCTCATTGAGCGCATCTCTAACGGTAACCTCCTTCACGCCGCTGGGGTTGGCGTACGAGCGTCTCTGAACAGCAGGCTGAGAGAAGACAGCGGGTCGGAAAGCAGAGTAGCGGGCTGCTGGGAGAGACCGCAATGGCAGCAGTCGGGAGGCCGGCCTTAGTATCCTGGGAGCCGCCATTTGCGCGGGAAACTCTGTGGGAGAAGGGGGAGAACTGCTGGCTGAGTGGTTCTCTGGCGACGAGAGAGTGCAATTGACGGCGGCAGCGGTCTCGCGGAGGTGCTGGAAGAGTCGAGTCGGTCGGCTTCTTTTCAACTTGTTCTGTTGTGAGAGAAAGCTGAAGTCGAAGTCGAAGTCGTGAACTTCTTTTTTTTTTGTTGACGGCGTTGTTGAGCTGACTAATAGTCACGTGGTGTTACAGCTTCCAAACCGTTATTGTTGTAAGAGAAGACTTTACGATGATACCAAAGGAGTCTTGTTGGAGAAATAGTACCAGCAGACTTAAAAGCAGATACACAGGTCTGTACGGTAAACCTATATTTGATGGTAAGAGAGTAAAAGAATATAATACCAATCTATAGAACGCTAACAAGACGATAGTCTAAGTGTTAGGAGCTGGGGCAGCTCCAGTGTTTGCTTGCCCAGTCGGTGAGCATGGCCCTCAGCTGGACACCCGGCATGAATGCCTCTGAATCCTTCTTGGGATCGAAGTCGATGCCAACAACTTTGGTAGCAACAGTCATCCAGGGCTCCAGGAAGTCGAGATAGAGCAGGTCGACCTTATCTGGCGTGGTAGTGGAGTTCCTGTCCGATATCAACGACATTATGCAGTTTGGAGCTCGGTAGAAGGACACAGGCGCATGTACCGTGTCGTCTCCGTCCGCGCCAGCATCGTCTTTGGTGGTGTATCCGGGTATCAGGCTAGGCCCTCCGTCGAACTGTAGTGGGTTCTGTTCGTTGCCAGCTAGACGCGCTGCTGATACATGGCCAGCCTCGACGACAAAGTCCTCATCCCTAGACTGCTGTTCTGGCGGGCTCAGAAAGGAAGAGTCCGTGATCTCCTCCCCCTGGATGAGAATGTTGGCTGCCTGGTTAAGGACCTGTAGGATTTTGACTGCCTTCTCGTATGGCACGTCCTTCATGTACCGGAACTCGTTTGTAAAGGGTGACACAATATACGCACCATCCTGGGTAAATGGGCCCTTGAAGATGTCAAAGCGGATACCGCCCGTGTTAATGATGGCGAGACCAGTGGTATTTTCACGGAGGCCGGGGTTGAGCGAGTCGGGGAGAACTTCTCTCTCGAGCCAGCTGTAGATACTGTCGTCGGATGGATACTTAGACCGTGACATCCACAGTGTTTTGGGGGCGCAGCCGTAGATATGGTCTAGCTTGAGAGCACTCCTAGCTTTACGGATATCTTCGGTTACTGCTTTCCCTTCGGGAGTGTGGAAAGTTGTCTCGTTGAGGCCAGAGTGGTGGTATAGCGAGTAGAGATTATTATCGATATATCTTCGATTAAAAGAGGGTGAACTCTTGGTGCCAGGGATCTGCTTGTCTGTTGTGTTCAGTCCGCTCACGGAAGCAAAGCCAATGGTTTCCATGAATCGTCCACTAGCAAGGCTGTATGCTTTGCTGTCATATTTGGCATAGTCACGGATGTGGTGATGACCGGCAAAGAACTGAATCGGAGTGTCCCATTGGGCTGACCGTATCTCTGTAAAGATAGCGGAATACTCTTTTGACTTGGCCGGAACATGACCGATGACAAGGAAGAGGTCAACTTCTCGATCTCTGATCGCTGCTTGAAACCAATCTTGCTTGATCGCCTCTTCGACAGGCGTTACAACGGTGTTGTTGTAATTCCCAGTAAAATCAAACAGGAAGCCGAACGCCATGATCCGAATTCCCTGTACCTTGGTGGTAAATTTCTTAAACCGAGGAGCAAGAGGCACGACATCACCTGAGTCCGGGTCAGTGATGTCGATGTTAGAGGCAAGGTATCTGTCCCTGAAGTTGGGAACAGTGGTGAGGAACTCGGCCTCTGATGTGTTCTTCCTGTAGAGCTCATGGTTTCCTGAGCAGAGCAGGTCAATATGCTGCTTCTTTAGAAACTCGGAGGCATACACTCCCTTTGGCTCAGAGCTGTCATAGAGCCCGTTCCCTTCTACTCGATCCCCAGTATCAACTACCAAGAGATCTGTACCAGCTGCTTCGGCCCTCTCACGCATGCGGGCCGCGAAGGAAATGTAGTCACCCCAATCAGCAGAGAACGACGGCCTGTGATGTTCAGTATATAGACATATGGTTTGATGACAGGGCCAGGAAAAGGGCTATCTCACTCTTGTAGATGACCTGAATACCAGCCGTGGACGTCGGTGGTATGGAGGAAGTTGAGCTGCCCCCATTCCAGGTCTCTCAGCGGCGCAGGAATGGGGTCTGGTGCCTGAGGCTGTGAGCTGAGGGCAACTCCGGCTAGCCCTAGGAAAATGAGAGTAGTACTGTCAAGCATGAGTGATTCTAGTAGGCAAGGCGGTTTATTTCTGATGATTTGTTTACATTTCACGTCTTTAGCTACTTTCTTTTAGCGTTTACAACAAGCCTAGCCTATGACATTGCTGATGACTAACATAGTCAAACGGATATAATGTTCGAGATGAGATCTAGTATTACAATCTTCACGTCAAAGCTGCGTTTGCCCCACTGAGATGGCCCTAAGTAAAGAAGTCGTCTATTCAGCAATACGGACGTCAACGACGCCGGTAATAGTCTTGATGTCGTCAAACAAGTCGGGTAGGAGCGTGATATAAGAGGCTCTCGAAAACGTGTTGCCAGCGAAGATTAACCCAATGCAGTTTGCGACGCTATCAAAGACTAAAGCACCAGAGTCTCCGGGGTCCGAAAATAGTGTTCCCGAAGCGCCTGTGACGGTGTGTTCAAGAGTTTTATTTCTGAGATTCCACCCTGCCCATCAGGCGTGTGAATGTGGGCACTCTTTAATCCAGAGAAAAAACCCCTTGTTTTCTTGTTGACCGACCTAGCTTGAAGAGTTCAGTACCTTCATTAGGGATTCCTGGAAAGGGCTGCAATGGTATGGTATCAGCGTAAAGACCAGTCTCTCCATACGTCATGACCTAATAAGAAGTTAGTATAGGAAAGACATTATATGAAGTATAGGTTGGGTAAGCATACCGTGTTGCTCGACTGCCTAGCTTTTGGCACATCAAGGAGTGCCCAGTCTGCTTGTCGCTTTTGGTTGTTGCTGGAGGAGAATTGCCGGTACCCTGACGCAGCATATACATGTCCTGCATACGACGGACTGAATAGGACTTGATCCGTTTTCAAAATAATTTCAAAGCGAGGGTTGATTGGCAATACGGAAGATAGCAGGTCGTTGCATGGCACGTCAGATTTGTGAAAATCTTTAATCTTCGATATTGCGGTTCTCCAAACTGTAATCCAATTATACCGCCAACGGGACCTTGGGCTCACCTCTCCATCTTGTTCAATAATCTCCTTAATAGCAGTGAAAACTATGTCCGGAGTTTCATTCAATCTGGCTGATAATTCATTGATTTCTGAGGTTGAATCCTTTAGACTTGGTTGTTCTACTCGAAGTTTCCTGCAAATTGGGTCGTTGCCCGAAACACCCGTTGAGAATGAATTGTAGATGTCTGAAAATTAGGGAAGAAAATATTAGCAAAAGGTTCTATAAAACATATCTTTGAAGCCGCGGGTTCCCTACCTGCTTGATCCTTGGGCGAGAGACTTTTTATGTCGGGAATAACGCAATGAAAACATGTGTCAGAATCTGCCATTCGGCCAAAAAGGCGAGCCCGCACTAATTAGTGGCAGAGAGACTGGTTATATTTGACAACATGTTAACCCTAGTTTAATCCAGTCAGATCCCTCTCGTTCTCGAATTTCCAGCCAGCCACCAAACGTCGAAGATGAATGCGTTGACTGATATATACTGAGGCTCAAGCCTACCTGCAGATGGCTCTGCCATGCAGTTTCTGGTAGACGTTGATCTATGCTATCTGTGCCTCGATAGAAACGACCCTGTGCAATTATAACCCCGGTATGATGCAAGTTATATTCGCCAAGTATTGAGATTATCGTTTCTCGTGTGGCTTTCCAAGAATAGAAGGCTGAGACGCGGTCGATAGTGAGAATGACTGTTATTGGGTTAGTATCTCCATCAATACTCTCCCCAAAACGTAAGCAGTCTATTGTGAGGATATGCGTCAAATCAATCTCATGTAACATCTGGTTCAGAATATCGCCCCATAGTGGATAAATCGGGTCAGAGGATGGGACTGGTGAGGAGTACTTTGTTGAGTTCACTCGACCGTCGCATATCTCTACATTGAACATGGAGAGGCCATTGGCTTCCAGTAGTTCTCTCAGCTCCCTACTAGCGGAAAGCCACTGGTCATCAGGAGATCGTCTGTCGGCATCTACGAAGAGAGTAGGAACCGGGTCATCATCAGGAAAGTGTATGCATTGCCGATAACAAAGTGTGGATGTGGACATTGAAGCTCTCAAGTATTGATTCTATGTTCATGCTGAGCCCTGACTGAGCATCCATCATCGACCGGTATGGGTTGGGATAAGGTATATGGAGCGTGATACTCGGTGAGGGTACGAGATGTGGCCCACCTGCCCTCAAGTCTTCATCGGTCCATCCGTCTGGTGGCAGCTCCTCACTGTCATCACCGGATCCTCTTGAAGAGCGAGATCTTCCGTCTCGCGAGGGATGAAACCATGAAGGGAGATTGCTGGCGCGCCTCACGGGTGAAGCAAAGCTCACGATGGTAGAAGACGTCATTTTTGATAGAATATAAACGAGTATAAAACTTGCAGGCCTCTTCCTATTCCAGTTGAGCGCGAATAGTGATAAAAGGTGATGACGTCCACCTAAAAAGTTGAACATTAAGCTTGGTGGTAACCAATGAAGTTATCACAGCAGATCCAGTCGGCAAAAGGTCAACATAGCCAAACTATGATGACAGGGTCTCCCCGGGCTCGCGTTTTCGGTATGTCCTTTATGAAAAATAGTTGAATACGGACAATATACAGAGTACTCCGATCCGAGTACTTTGTATTACTGTCCACTAAAGGCTATCCTTACCTGGGGTATATGACCCGGGATTAGAGCAGAACAAGAGTCAAAGCATGGGATCTGATAGAGGAAAAACAAAAGAGAAACGCATCAAGTTGATGAAAGAACGCTTCTATGACCACGTCGTAGAGAGCGAGCACCGTAATGACTAGCAGTCTCTGGAGGGGAGATGGTGTTGTGAGGATGTTTGGAGAGCTGGTTGATATTTGAACTATTTGAGCACGCGAGGCGAAGCGAAGTGTGGGATGATGACTAATATTAAAGATATTCTAGTTGTTCTTTCGACTCGCAACACACTACAGATATCCAACGATTCCTGTTAGACATTAGGGCATTTTGTCCCCCGTGGCCCAGCCGGTATATTCGACAATGTAAAACTCTTATGCTACAAATATATATATTCTAGATAGTTCTTCTAAGAGGCTTTATTGCTCAGATTGTTGTTATACACAAGTAGCCTACTCTCAGTTATAACCGTGTCAACAGGATACCCCAAAGTAAGCGATGGATTATTCTCGGCCCCAAGGCATTAAAATCAAGTCGAAGCACACCCGCCCAATCCGAATGTTGTTCATCATCTTGACTAGAGCCAAAGAATACTTCTTGCGTGCATTTGCTTCTAGCAAGAGTGATTTATTCATACTATGTGGAGGTCAATTCGTTACAACGAAGAATACAGCTGGCGAGCTAGGGAGCTTGAGTTGCATGAAATAAGCAGACTAAGCAAGACAGCTTCTCCAGCTTGTACTAGCATACTCCGTACTATCTATGGAATATTACACAGCTGACCAAGATACAAACAGGCACTCCTACAGAGACACCTAATTACTGGGACTGAAAGAATAAAGACTCAACATAGTACTCCGTACAGACGTCAGATAATCGACAAACACAACCTTCAGTTGGGGCAATCTCTAAGCACTCTCTCCTCGTGAGAATATATAATAACCGTTATGCATGGCAGAGAAAGGGGGCTATCTAAGACGCGAACAAAGGGGCTGAGAGAGTTGTAAGATGAACAAAGGCGTGGCAAATGGGGACCAGGCCAAAGGAAGTAAAGACAGCAAAGACGACCGCTGTGGATGCCGTTCACAGGGGGCCAAAGCAGAACGTTGGAGTGGACCCAAGAAACGAGCATCTCCCGCCGATATCCAGGACGAGAAAGACAGAGAAGCGAAGAGAAGAGCAGAAAAACGGCTGGCATGGCCTAGAGTTGAAACTACCTCAGAGACAAGGAGCAAGCCCTTCCCCTGGACCTGCCTGCAAGTCTCTCGCCATACATAGATAGTCCTATCATCGTTCCAACATACACAGGAATAACTCTGAGATGCATGTCCAGGGTCTCACCAATCCAACTGCAGTTAATACGACAAGTAATAACTTCTAGGAAGCGAGAAGCATGCAAGAGAAGGCTATCGTCGACTCCGCCCTGCCTGCGCCGACTCCATCCACCTCCATACTCCGTGCTACACTATACGTACATAGTACACACATGTACGTAACTATGTATATGCATGGAGGGCCTTGATACACGACTCTGGACCGTTGATAAGCAAGGAGTTAAAAGAGTAAGACACTGCGTGTAACTCCGCCCTCCCTGATCTGCGACGGTGTACAGAGAAAAAAAGGGGGGGATGAGCCCAACCTGTGCTCACTGGTGAGACCTCCTCATCCCTTGTAGCACTTACTCTGCGACTCTGGCTCCGTTTCTCATCTTATTCTCTTCCATCTTCTCCATCTTCGTCTTCAGCTTCGGCATTCTCACCATGACTAAGCAGCCCCCCCTTTTTTAGTGAAACGCACGTGCATGCTGACTCAACCTGGTCTAACCTTATCTAGAAAGGGGTGGCAACCTTGACTCAGCTGCTTAGTCACTCCACGTGACTCTCTTTTCTGCCACGGTGGCCTCTTTATAAAGGCGGTGTCCCCCCGGTTTCAGACCTCAAGACGAAGAAGACGAAGAAGACGAAGAAAGAGAACAGGCTGGCTTCAACTTCCTCCTCCTCTCGCCCCCTTGGCTGGGACATCCAACCAGACCCAAGCCCAAGTGTCCACCATGTTATCCTCCTGAACATTCTCCCAAACAGCCTTCCACCGCATCAACACACATAGAAGAGATACAGAACGATAGAGACGATAAGAGGAGATGGCACAGTCATCGTTTCCTGCCGAGTCGGCCTTCACCATGGACTCGGTGTCGCCCTCGTCTGCCGCAGAGATACCTCGCCTGACTGTCTCGCCCGCAGACACCACTCTCAAGTTCGAGGACGTTGTCCCTGATGGCCTGGCCAAGGTTGACGTCCCCAAGCCCGCTGAGAAGAAGCCGGTCAAGAAACGCAAGTCGTGGGGGCAGGAGCTGCCTACCCCAAAGACCAATCTCCCTCCCAGGTACGTCGTCTCTACCGATATATGTATGTATCTAGGCTAACAAAAGTAGAAAACGAGCAAAGACGGAAGACGAAAAGGAACAGCGGCGGATAGAGCGGGTACTACGCAACCGTGCCGCCGCACAGATCTCCCGAGAGCGCAAGAGGCTCGAGATCGAGAAGCTCGAGGGAGAGAAACTCAAGATCGAGCAGCAGAACGAGTTCCTCCTTCGCCGTCTCTCCCAGATGGAGGAGGAGAACAACCGGTTAAACCAGCAGGTGGCGAAGCTGGCCTCCGAGATACAGACGTCCAAGTCCAATCCCGGCAGCCCAGCATCCTCAGCCAGCGCCTCGAACATCACTGCCACCCTCGCCTCCTCGGCTTCTCCCACCCTTGCCCCCGTCCTGTTCAAACAGGAGAACGACCTACTCTCCGTGGACAAGATGGATAGCATACTCTTCACCGCCGACGCCTCTACCATTTCTACTACTACGGCTACCGCCAACAGCACCCAGACCTTCTCACCCTCTGTCCTCGCCCTCTCTCCGGCTGACTTTGACCATTCCTCCGCCTCCGCCTCCGATATGACACAACATCCTGCAGCGGTGTTGTGTGACCTGCAGTGTCAATCGGAGGCCCCGGCCTGGATGATCTCGACGTCAACCTCAACCTACCTCTCCTTCATGAACATGATCATGTTCACCCTCCCCCTCTATCAGACGCTGACCTCAGCCGCTTATTCGACGCTGATTCAGCCAGCGAGCCTGATCTTTCATTCCTTGAAGACGGGCTCTCCCTTGGCCTTCTCCCCGGCTCAGATCTCGGCTCTTTTGCCTTTGATTCTCTGGTTGATCTCGGTCCCGACGACGACAACCACCAAAAACAGCTCGACCATGAGTTCGACGACTCGATCGGTTTTCCGGAGCAGACTCCTCTCCCGGCTTCTAGCTTGCAGCCCAGCTTTGGCGCGTCCCTTGAGAGATGCGACGAGCAGGGAATTGCAGCTGGTGCTCAGTGAGAGTGCAATGCTCGGATCTTCTCGGTCAGGTCAGTCGATCGCTCAGTCGCGACGAAGATGGGAATCACTCGTCACCATTCTCTTTTCTATCGATCGGGCGAGGAAAACAACAACATCATCAAGGGGGAGGTACAGCGGCAGATCTTTGAGAGATCGGCCAAGGAAGGTTATTGGGGTCAGCAAACAGTCACCGGCGAAGCGAGGGTCACTTTCTCGGTCACGGCGTTCGGGGTGCATGGAGAATTAAAGTGGGTTGTGTTTTAGCTATTTAGGATTAGGTTCGAATACATCCAATATATTATCCCTCTATCATATTTTTAACGTAGATCTATACTGCCTGCCAATCGCTGCGCACTCGGCATCTATATAATGCGTTCGATGATATTCACCAACATATATAGACAGTGTTGTTCTACTTGAGTTTATTGAAGATGACCGCATACTTGACAGTCTTGCCATCGATATACCCAGCCACAACGGTCGGTCTGTATCCCTTACCCCTCCACTCGTTAAACAAAGCCTGGTACTCTGACCCCGTCAAGCCATACCTCGTGTACGGCTTTGCAGCCTTCGCATCCACCTTCTCCCAAATACCCGCGTACCATACCTTCCCGCCAACATTGTACGGGCTAATCTGCACAGGGTAAAGGCCAGCCTTCTTCAGCTCGTTGAATCGAGTCTGGTACCCGTCACTGCTCATACCAGCATACGCCTTCCACTCTGGCCCGCCAGTCTTCTCAAACACGCCGGAAAACCGCTGTTCAGAACCAATTGCATATCCACTGAGGCTCCTGAGACGGTATCCCTCCCCAACAAGCTGATGGAAGAGCTCGGTAAACTTCTCGCCAGACACGTCCGTCCGCTCTTCCCAGGACACTGCCGGGGTGTTCTTGTGCCATAAACTCGCGTAGCGTCTGTCCTTGCCGGAAGCAGGTGATTTACCGACGTTATATCCCTGGACATGCACGGGACGGTATCCTTTGGCCTTTAGATCGTTAAAGGCAGCGGTGTACTTCTCTCGCGTGACACCATGGTTAGCCACCCAAGCAATCTTGCCGGAGGAAGGGGGCTTTTCAAAGATGGCGTTATATCGAGCATTGCCATTCAAGTCAGCGAATCCGGTGACATAGTCAAGACGGTAACCAGCTTTGGTAAGATTGTTGAAGGTTTCCTGATAGGCAGAGGAGGTGAGGCCGTGACGAGCTTCCCAAGCATTGCCTGCCAGAGCTGCAGTCGCCAGCAGAGTTACCGCAGAGAAGAGTATGAACTTCATATTTTCTTTGGTTAATTAATGGATGAGTGGGTTACTTGTTCGGAGAAGACAGAGGACAGAGGCTTTCTTTTATACTACGCTTGATAACGGGACTCAGGGGGCTCTTTTTCTTCCGACGCGGCTTGACCTGCAATATCATAATATCAAATACGACATTTGTAATGGGGCTCAAGTGGAGGCCACCCGCTCTTGCTACTATACATAGCAATTGCGGAACGAGGTGGTCGTTTAGGATATTGCCCATATTTACGAGTGCTCAGCAAGGTTGCCTGCCCATCCCTGGCCCGCAACGTATATATAGAATGCAGCTTTAAAAGCCTTTGTAACTCGGTTATTATATAGATAGTAAGCCGACATACATACGTACTCCAATAAGCGTACACATGTAAATGAATATCGTACCTGGGCATGTGAGTATCATATATTATACTTCATAGTCGCGCAGGTTTGAAGAATACGAGGCGGGATCGCCTCACATTGACATCTCCAGCTTCATTCCATAAGCTCTTTGAGTAGAAGCTCAGATTAACTAGATCATTCCCTTGGTCTTGTGGGTATCAAATTCATCTATGATGCATCCAACGGTCTAGAGGTTGTGGTTTATTACCTTATTAGGCATTGAGAAGACGTCAAAATTTAAGGTTTACAGAGTTTCGGAATAATCTCGGCCCGTGTGCTTGATTAATGAGTCACATGACATATCTCTATATTAACACGTGATTATTACGTCAGTCAAAGGTCTTGGCACGGAACTTCTGGCTTTGAATGCAAAGAAGACGTTGACGGTTAGATACATAGATACGGTGACTTAGGAACAACTACCCTTGGCTCTACAGTTTAGTTGTGATAGCGTTTCGCATATAGATCCACGAGACTAGATATCTGGTTACCCAAACACACTTATTACAAGGCCTTTAAACGACGGCGGCTAAGATGGGCATGAGAGACCCCCTCCTCGAGGCCATGGCTGAAGTGAAGGTAGATTCAGATCTGGCCCCTTTGACTTCTGATATATAAAGATATCTTGAGACATGGCTGATAATATTTAGGTCAACGGTAATCAACTGCGCAAACAAGCAGTCAAGGCTGAAGCTTCCGCCCGTTCACAAGAAGACAAAGCTATCAAGGCCATGAAGAAGGGCCAGTTCCAGATTTCTCGCATACACGCCAGCTCTGCCATCCGCGAGAAACGTCGATCCGTTACCCTCCTTTCAAAATCCGCAGAGGCAGACGTTATATACAGTGACTTATCGGCCGCCAAAAGCACCCGAGACTCCACACGCTCGCTCATGAAGGCATCCAAGGCACTTGACTCTGCGTCAAGAAGCATAAATCTCGAACGCACCCTTGCTGTTGCTAACCAGTTTGTCTCCCGGTCGGAAGACTTTAAACTTGCCGGTTCTGCTTTGGAGGGGGTGTCGAAGGATGTCCAGATGCAGGAATACGGGGCCGAGGGCGATGAAGATGTTGATCGCCTCATGGAGCGGCTGGCAGATAGCGCCGGCGTTGACCTGCGCCAGGGGCTAGAGGAGCATGCTGCACCGCGCGAGGAACTCTCTGCGACTACCAGCAAGCAGAAAGAGGCAGAGTTCGAGGACGGGCTGGCGGGCAGACTGAGGGCGTTGAGGGGATAATATTTCGATTTCTTTCTCCTTATCCTCAATATTAACGACCGTACCGATTTACGCCACTTTTCATTGTTTATTCTTTCTCTTTCTTTCCCTTGTTGATACGTATATGCTTGGAGTTGGGACATGGGCAGGAGGCTCGGGGTATTTTATGTACAGCTACTTTATATCGGTGGCATTTAGTGGTCCTGGTATTATATATATTAGTTACTAAGTATTATATATCCCACAGCTTCTACGGAGTATACGCTTCGCTGCTTTTTTGTATATTCAACCCTAATTTGTCACGTGATGAGATATTGATGGAGCTTTGTTTCCTCCCGTTTATCAAATTCGAGAACAACAAACTACTTTATAGGTGATTCAAGAATAGGAGGATAAATGTCCTTCCTGCGCGAAGCAGAGAAATGTCTACTTAATCAGAAGACGTTTGCGACTCTGAATGCATTTATTACTCCCTTAGAGCGCTCTACGTCATGGAGAGATCGAGTCCAGGCGGCGGACAGCCGACGGGATGATGGTGAGATACCTGATTCAATCTTTTTATTATTACCATTTCCCCGGCCCTTTTTGCTGATTTCAATCGGATTAACATAGGTACTACAATTTCCCCTATGGACGGTAAACTTATCGGCGTGAAAGACAACATCTGTACTAACGAGCTGCGGACTACCTGCGGATCTGCGATTTTGCAAGAGTTTACAAGCCCTTTTAATGCTACGGTGGTTGAATTACTGGAGGATGCAGGTGCTATTGTTGCTGGGAAGACAAATCTGGATGAGTTTGGCATGGGGTGGGTTCCTTTCTTTTATTCTTGCGTAGACAACTTATAGGGGACACTCAGATGCTAATCTCCCTTTAAGATCCCATTCTATACACTCTTACTTTGGCTCTGTGAGGAACAGCGGAACAGCGGAAGAGTACTGTTCAGCTGGCGGAAGCTCGGGAGGGAGTGCGGTTGCAGTCGCCACAGGTCAATGTCATGCGTATGTCAACTCCCTGTTAACATATGGCATTTAATGCAATGCTAACTTGAGTAGGGCGTTAGGGACTGATACTGGTGGCTCTGTGCGCCTCCCGGCAGCATATACGGGAATCTTTGGATTTAAACCTTCCTACGGGCTGATTTCTAGATGGGGAGTAGTGGCGTACGCGAACTCGCTTGATACTGTTGGGATATTTGGAACGGACACCTCTACTATCCGTAGTATTTTTGGTGGGATCCCATCTATATACCCTGCGGCGACGTACTTGTAACTAACTCCTACATAGATGTGGTAAACCGTTATGACAATCGTGATCCAACTAGCATATCACCAACCACTCGGTCACGCATCCTGGATACCGTGAAAAAAGTGTCAAGGGAAAAAAATCGCTTGCGAATAGGAGTTCCCCTAGAGTATAATATTCACGAATTAAGCTCTGATGTCCGAACTGCGTGGCAGCGAACACTTCAACACCTTCAGTCGCATGGGCATATTATACACCCTGTCTCACTTCCAGCTACCAAACAAGCTTTGTCGGCGTACTATGTTCTAGCCCCGGCAGAGGCCTCGTCAAACCTTTCGAAATATGATGGTGTCCGCTATGGAACTAGAGATATCGATTTCGCGGACAATGCAGGAGACTACCTATATTCAAATACCCGTGGAATGGGTTTTGGAGCTGAAGTCAGACGCCGAATACTCCTAGGAACACTATCGCTTAGTGCAGATAAAATCGATAATTACTTCATTCAAGCGCAGAAGGTTAGGAGACTGGTTCAATCGGATTTCAACTCTGTTTTCCGCCTTCGGCATCCGCTTATACATACACCGTCTACAGTGTCAAACCAGCAGGACGCTAGCTCTAACAAAGATATCGAAACTGATACGAAGGTTGACATCCTCGTCTGTCCTACAGCTCCATCAACTCCCCCAACCATAAAAGTCCTGGAAAACTCATCACCAACTGAAGCGTATACAAATGACGTCTTTACGGTCCCTTCCAGCCTCGCAGGACTTCCATCGTTGAGCGTTCCTGTGTCATTCCAAAGTGAACTTCCAGGGCGGCCAAGTTTAATAGACTCTGCAGGAATACAAGTTATCGGCCAGTTTGGAGACGATAACATGGTTCTAGACGTGGGAGAGATTCTCGAGAACATGGACAAGATGTGAACCTGTAATCCCGTCCATCACCAATCTCCTATTGATTTGGTTTATGTATTTAAGTACATCGTAATGTTATTGATCTCAAAAACACATATCACGTGATGTGTATTTGGCTTCAACTGCTTTTTAACGGCGGCGTTTTTGATATCGCTGAGAAGAAAAGACGTCTCTGTGTCAAGCAACGTTCAAGTACTTGCACAGACGGAACAATGCTGGTCACGCTATTTTGTAATGATAGTGTCTCTCTCTTATATTCCCAAGTAGAATCTTAAGTCGCCCACAGAGCTGCAGTTCTCGATATTTAAAATGACCGCCGGCAGCGAGAAGACAAGGGAGAAAGCGAAGAGAACGAAACGCGACAACAGAAAGAAACATGACTCTAAACGTCAGGATACCGGTGATGGAGGATACGAGAGAAAGACGACAGTCTCTTCCTCTAGTTCAGCCATTCCATCTCTAGAGCTACCAATGCTTATGCCCATCCCAGTCGCCGACCCTCGTCCATTCGATGTGCTGCACCCGAAGCCACGCCAGATGAACCTGTCGTCTACAAAGTATTCCGAAGTCCTTGGCCAGTCATATAAGTTTTATGAAATTGCTGACAAGTATGTGTTTACTCATTTCTATGAGGACGGTTGCTTCGAGTGTATCACTAACGAAATGATGGCTACAGAGTCAGCAACAGAAATGGGTTCAGGTACACATATGCAATTGAAGACCCAAGATTCCCACACATTAAATACAGGCAGACCGACGTCCCGCCGTACCACTCACGATTCAGCTTTGAAGATTCCCCAACTTCAATCATCTTCACAGAAGACGGCCGAGGAGTAAGTACGCATGACCCATGGCATTCAGCCCGAGCAAATGTTTGCGCACGCGAGGGAACATATTATTACGAAGCCAAGGTAGTAAGCGGGGTGATTCGAGATTCACAGCCAGGGCCATCTGCTCGTGGGAATATACGACTAGGGTTTGCGCGCCGGGAGGCTGACCTTGATGTTAACGTTGGCGTTGACTGCTATGGCTATGGGATTCGGGATGTTAATGGCGAGGTTGTTAATCGGATGCGATGCGAATATTTCTTCCCCAAGGACGAATCTATTTGCGAGGGCGATGTGATTGGCATGTTGATCACTCTACCGCCGCTGGAACTGCACAAGAAGGTCGTCGAAGGGACATATGATCCACCAGCTGAAGGCGATGAGATGGATGTAGACCATCCATCACCACTACCAGCACCTATAAATTTCATTCGAGACCGAATCCCGTTCCACTTGAAGTCTGATTTTATGTACCAGCAAAGCCATGTGTTTGCCTCTAAGCATCTTCGTGACTATGCATTTAACCTTAAAGAGACTCCTACATATGGCCCTCCTTCGCCAGGCAATGCAGAAGACGCATCCCTTCGAACGTTACCAGGCTCCAGCATTACTATTTTCAAGAATGGCGTTAAAATGGGTACCCCCTTTGAAAACTTATATGCCTTTCTCCCACCAGCTTCTCGTTTCGCACAGGCGAGTAATAACCTGGGCATAGGTGAGCGAGAAAATGCTGATGATGGCATGATCGGCTATTATCCAACTGTCAGCTGCCATAATGGTGGAGCAGTGGACTGTCGATTCGAGGCTCCCTGGTTCATTGGCCCTCCTACTGAAGAGTTTCCGGATGTTAAGCCCTTTGGCGACAGATTCAATGATCAGATTTGTGAGGACATAGTGGCGGATATTGTTGACGAGGTGGATGCGTTCTGTACTGGCTGGCGATTAGATATGCCTGCTACTCATGCAGCTAGTGGTACGAATGCCTCTACGCCAGCTCCTTCGAATCTACGAGAAGCGAGTGTAGCAAGTGCCCCTATAAGCATGGCCATGGACGGAGCATCAGATACGCCGAGTGCGCTGAGTCATACCATGGAATGAGTTTATTATACTGTATGATAAATTTCTGTAGTAATAATGATGGGTGTAATGCTAAAAAAAAAAAAGCATTCTGGTATATAACTCTATGCCAGGGTGTGACATGAATCGTTTTTTTACCTCAAACAAGCTGGAAACGGCTGTGAATTTTATCATTATACAAGGCAGTGTATTTCATATGGTCATATCCATAGTATCGTCGCCCCCGTTATTTTCGACCGCCTCCGGTACAACAATTCCTCTCCCTCTGCCCGCCAACAGCTCTCTTCGAACCTCTGGCCCGATATCCTTATGCCCATTAGAGAGAAGAAGGTCAAGTAGCGCTTCGCGCTGGTCCTCTGTGATATCATTTCGATAACGTTGAGCAAAGGCGAGAAGGGATTGATGCCATAGGACCGGGAGTTTATAATCTTTCGCTGCGGCTGCCGAGTATGTCCCCGGCCCATCCATGTTTGCATCACCACTCTCGTCCGTAGGTTTTGTGGTGCGGAACCGGAGAAAGTGGAATACCAAGGCATCAATGACTTTATACGGGAGGGCATATTTCTTGTCTAGAAATACACGGATAAACATATTGGTGGCGCCTGTACCCTCTGCATTGAAAGAAGAAGTTGTTTGTTCTGCTGAAATCTCACATAATCGGAGCAGAGCTGCAGCTGAGTGAAGGACCGGTATCGATACGCGCGTTATCACACTGGATACTATTTGCGCTTCTCGTAGAGTGCAGGTTCCGCTTGCTATAAGAGGAAATAATAGGCCCTTGAAGAAACAGGCAGGTTTGTACAAGGCCTTCTTTAGAGCATTGTATATATGTACGTGTAGTTTTTTCGTTTCTCTGATATCATCACGGACTCGCTCCAAGAGGACCATGGATATGAACTGTTGAGCAATATGTGGTTTTGCTGATATGAATATTCGGGTGCCAGCATAGATTGCGTTGGGAGTCCATGTCTCCGGTTTTGTGACGGAGAGTAGAGCGTCCCAATATGGAAGTGTGGGTAAGATTTTGAACGGCTTGGGGAGGGGGCCGGATTTATAACGAGAAAGGAGGTAACCGACTCTGCCGATAGGTTAGATTGGTATTAGGTTTACTGTTGCATCCATGGGGCAGCGTACTTGTCATAGACCTCTAATGCTTTAGCTGGTATCTCAATAGCATCTTCTGGGGCACCACCCCCAAGAACAAGAGGCTCAGTAGACTGGCCAGCTTCATGTGCTGCAATTTTCTCGAGTATGAGATCGGCTAAATTGGTACTTTCGCCATTACCTCCCATGTCCCCCTCACGAGGGTGGAATATGGGGTCTTCCTCGTCTCGTGGTAGGAATTTATGAAACATGTCTAGGTCATTAGGATCAACCTCCTGCAGACCAAAAAGGAGACATGTTAGCAAGTAATTGCAACTCGACACAGCACGGAAAGACCACAAAGCCATACCACTTCTTCAACTTCCCCTTCATCCTCCCACTGCGCATCATCATACTGAGCTGCATCTTCTTCGTCCTCAAAATCCGAGTCTTCACCAGCTAACCGTGACTCGAAGTCAAACGCAGCCTTCGTCTTTAGATCGATACCTGCAGCCTCCGCAGCAGCCCTGGTCTCAGCAGCATCCTCATCAGCCAGGTCTCTTCCGATCTGCAGAATCTTCTTAGAGGACTTCGAATCGAGGTAGTGGTCATCCTGTGTCTCGTCCTCTGATCTTGATTTCCGCTTGCCCGACTTTGTGCGTAAATGTCCTGAAGAGGCTATCTCGTCTGCTAAGGGGATATGTCGCCGTTCAGGGGCCGCTGTCTTCGTAGATTTCGGCATGTTGGCAGAGGGGAAAGCTAAGGCGTCTCCGTCGACGCAGGGTATCCGGACCCCGCCTGCTCTGTGATGTGACCAGGTTTTGCGCTCAAAAAATTCCTTCTATCAACACCCAGATAAACTCGTCAGGCATGGACTGTTCAACTCGAACCCTTCGTTCTGCGATTGTGAGCACAACAAAAAATGAAATGAACTTCGAACTTTTTGACCAAAAAAAAAAAAATACAACTTTTTAGACTTTATCAAAGTTGTGGGCGATAAGAAAATGCGCTAGCCTTATATGGACTAGCGTGTATAGATGTAAGAGAAACAGTATAAGGGAAATAGAAGAGAAGAGTAGAAGAGAAGAGAAGAAGAGAAGAGTAGAAGAAGAATAAGATAATTTACCCAGAACTATGGCCGCCGTCACTCCAATGTCTGACCAAACCTTTACGAGTACAAGCATATCGGAGACAAAAGAGACATCAAAGTCGACACCTTACAAAGCATACTTGTGAATCGCAGTTGGGCCAACTTCATTGTATTCAACACGGCTGAGATACCCCTTGCTAGCTCCCTGATCGACGATAAAGATCACCTTGGCAGCCACCTGTGCTCCAAGGAATGTGGCTTCTTCCATGCCGACGTTGTTGGAGCCAGAGGCTACTCCAGTTGCGGAATTCCCACTGTTCGCGTCTGGATTTGCTGGTGAGTTTGTGCCTGTAAGAGGGCCGCTTGCACCGCCTGAACCTTGTTCTTTCCACTCAGGGAAATATTCTGGAGGTTTGAGGAGTTTGATACCCGTAGGTGTTTGTGAGTGGCCGGTCGATTTATGGTACGGTAGCATGTTTGGGTCGGCGGACAGAGCAGCATTCGAATTCAGGTTGTTAGGTGTTCCCGGGTTATTTGAGTGAGTGGCAGCAACAAGTAAGGGGTTCACACCATGGGCAGCAGGGTGAAGGAAAGGACCTGGGTTCTGGGGTTGAGCAGGTGTGTTCGCACCCGTGGCTAGTGGGGTGGAGAAGGTTGAAGGTATCTCAGATGTAAAGATAGTCCCCGATGACGGGGACAATACGTATTTTTGTGTGATGGTAGAGAGTAGTGCCTGTGGGAATCCTGCACGTTGTGATTGTTAATTCATGGATAACAGGGAGAGAGATAGAGGAGCGGATCGAGATGCTAACCTTTTATTTTACTGCCGTTTCCAAGGATGACAAGGGAATCCCACAGGCTGCTGCGGCTTGAGGCCTCTGGTACAGAGAGTATAGTATGATGGATTTGAGCGGCTAATGTCTCTAGGATTCCATAGCCACATCTTTCGTCAGCACAGGATTCAAGAGGTGTTGCTGCCATGAGTCTTTCTATTCCGACTTCTATGTCCTTCTTTTGTCTCACAGTCTGAGTTTGGGCGGACTCCGGTTTCACCGGCCCTTCATAGTGGAAAGTAGCTTTCGCTTTCTTTGAATTCGGGAGACGGGCTTGTCTGGCAGCGGCAGACTCGGCAGCCTGGCCCTTCCGGGATGCAGCCTTTTCGGCCTTTTCCTTTTCCCGTTTCGCGATGAACTCGCTAGCATTGCCCTTACTAACAATGCTAGCAACATCCAGCACGCCTTCGTCATCTTCCTTTTCACCACCGCCTAGGTTTCGAGGCATATCCGGGCCCATACCCGGAGTGGTGGAAGGAAGTTGTTTGGCGAGGCCTTGACTTGCGGATTCTGGTCCGTTGTCTTTAGGCAAGGGGGTACCGGGTGGTAATATCTCGCATATTGGGTTCTGCTTTAATTTCTCACACATATCACGGGTGAATCCCTTGGGTCCCAGCAGCTCCAGTAATCTGTCAGTCAAAGCTTGACCACCACATCCTTCTAGAGCTATTCCTCGTCCTTGTTCATTCACTATAAAATCTGTTACTGCTGTGACATCTGCTTTGCCATGGCCCACGTCAATAACAGTAGCATTAGGGGTATTGTATGCATAGCAAACAGCCAAAGCTGAGTCCATCAGACAAAACGCCGGCGTCTTAAACTTCTCGAACACGAATTGGGTCAGTCTCTCTCGGTCACCAGCTGTCCAAGCTGGTTGTGCAATTATTATCATGGGCGTATGGAAAGGCGGGCTTAGGGTGTTGTAGATATGTGTTAGAAGCGCGAAGAAGCAGGACCAGTCAGCAACAGCTCCATTGCGTAGCGCATACACCGCGCCTTCGTCCGATCTGGTATCCTCTTCATACACAGTCATCTCTTCTGTTTTCTCGACAGCCGCCTTTTCCCCATTTTCCCCCGTCGTAGACGTATCTTTCGCCTTGTCTTCAGCCGCGTCTTTCATCTCTACATCCTGCTTTGAGCTGTCCGTATTCTCAGCCGCTGGTTCTCCTTCGCTTGATGACGTAGAGTTCTCTGCCGCAGGGGCCTTTGGTGACCCGACTTTCTTGACGGTGACAACTCGTCCACGTATTCTGTGCGGTTCCCATTCTCCCTTCTTTTCTGCTGGGAACATGCGCGTCGGGAACCGAAACCGCGCCGGAGTGAAGGACTCTGGTAGTCCTAGCTGGGCGAGTGTGACTTGCGACCCAGGCGAAATAAGCTGTTTGGTCAAAAGTTACAGCATTAGCGTTCATGTATCTTGTATAACAACCCAGAGAGCCACAGTTATATGCAACAACTTCTTACCAAGATGTTATCACTGCTGAATTGCGGCATGGTGGGCAGCTTCTCCGCAGCGTCGCACTGGTAGTTTAAGCCTTCAACAGCTGGCAGAGCCCAATGGTTGATGCGGCAGTGTTAGCAGCACCTTTCCGCGACCGGCTTCAAGCAGTTCGAATAGAATAGAAACAGCCAAAGGACCCTAGTTGGGATGTCCTTGATTTCCTGCTCGTTCACTTGATTTTCTTCCGTTCTTTTAAAAGCTTCATTTTGCAGTTAGTCTTGGCCCGAGACGTGAATATCACGTGATGGGTATCAGCGTTGAGAAAGCCACAGGACAGCGACTTTCTATAATATTTTAGAAATATGTAATCTGTTTAAGAGCTTTATATAGCGGTACGAGGAGAGGGTTGATCGTATAACATGTACGTCTTTGGGGGGTTTAAAAAGAAAAACACAGCATGCAATGCCACGCAAAAGCAAAACCAAGGCACAAAAAGATATTCCGTTAAACTCCAGTCAAACTCATCCCATATCATTAGAAATGTCATAAACACAAGCGTTAGGGTAACAGAATAAGCTCATTAGCTCCCCGAGTTGTACTTTTCTCCCGCAGAGCGGAAAAGCTCTTGCTGGAGCCGTAGTAGTTCTTCATGTGACATTCCGCTTTGGTCTATCTTATTTGTCCGCTTCTCTCGAGTCTGTGGAACGAAAAGGGTCAGTTTCTAGGTCCTGTTACGGAGGAGAGAAGGGGAAGGGGGACAGGTTTCATTCTACTTATGTGTAGAGTTCCCCAGTTCGTACCTTTAGTTGTTCTTTATGCTCCTCCGCAATAGCAAGCACATCCGGAACATAGTCTCCAAACCCTAGGTCGGTAAGCGCCTTTTCGATGTGCTCGCAGGCGATCGTCTTCTTCGCCTCCTTCTCACTGATCTCGTTTGCCTCGGAAGATATGAGTGTTATGAACTCAACACAGCACTCTATGAGCAGGTCTCGCGCATCCTTCGCAAAAGTCTGCCCGGAGGAAGGCGGTAGAATCTCTGTTATTATTTTCTGCACCGTAGCTGTTGGAAGAGAGGGTTGAGTTAGCTTCATAGTCTTTCAGAGCGGGAATGCTGTCTGCTTCCATAGATTTAAACGGCCGATGCCTCTCGACGTACTACGAGAAACAATCCCCGCCGGACCCAAGAACGGGTCATGTTACCTTTTGGCAGTGAAAGGTCATCGTTTCCTACCAGTCGCAAGTTAGCTGCATCCTTCCTCGCAGAGTGGAAATCGAGTTGTACAGTCGAGCTTACCTCCAAATTCTCGGTCAGACATCTTGTAATGGTAGTAAACAGCGTTAAGCCAGTCAGGCGATAGAGATGATATAGTAGAAAACCAGGTGTAAGATAGCTCAAGATGGTAGATCTGATATTATCATTATTTACTTCTTTTTCATCGACTTCATCGACTTTTTAACTTTCTGCCTTACCTAATATTAAGATGACTCAGCATATCGGATTTTCTTTCTTCCGTTTTTGTGCCAAGAGAAAAATATATAAAAAAATTTCTTCAGTCAAGAAAACTTCACAAACTTCTTCTTTTTATCTTCATCTAAACAACCAGATTTCCCACAAGTTGACTATGCTTCAGGTATGTATTTCTTGCTGGTTTCATTTTATTTCGCACGCATATACTCTTATTCACAATGATGAACTTTGTTGTCGCCCCTATCATACATTTACATGGTGATTTACCTGTCCTAGCCAAACGGACTCCTGAGCCAATATACCTTCTTGTTATCAATTCTTCATGTAAAATTTAGAGGATTCCAATGCTAACTAGCTGAAAGCTTCTAGATACTCGACTGTAGTCCTGGAGTACTAAGAAAGAACAATATCCCTCGATAGTTAGTCCTTATGCAAGGGCCTTTTAATAAAACTGAACATAACCAGCTCTCTCTCTCTCTATTTTTCCTATCTAGGTGCTAACTAGTTGATGGTATGTTGTGTATTCCTTTGAGCTTTCCATGTCCATACCCCCGGCAACCAGCAATGAAGAAAAAACTTCACTCCATGCTAAATATTAAGGTGCCTTGCATCTGATGCTTACAATGTGTATCCATTAACCTTTCGACTGAGCTATTTCCTATGACCTTTCCTTGCGACCAATTCTTTTTTATTCTTTAAGAGTATTTGCATACTAACATCTGGTCTCAGTCTTAATATAGGTATCGTGTAAATCTTATGCCTGGTACTTGGCCAGGGCCTCATCATTCCAACTGTAGCATAGGGATTTGTTAGTAACAAAAGAAAAAAGGGTAAAAAATGAACACAAGGGTAAGTAGAGAAGGGTAAGTAGGGAAAGGCAGGAACTTACGTTATGAATTTACCGCTCAGGTCTTCTGTAGCACCCAAGACTAGCTTTCCGATGACGGTACCAGGCTGCTCCGGCTTCAAGAGCTTGCCTTCCTCGTGTGCGTTGACGAATTTGGCGCTATCCTTGGGCCCGAGGATGCCGAGGTGCTGGCATCTGAGGTGGTGTTGCATGTCGGTGTCGACCATTCCTGGGCGGATGGCCACAGAGATGATTTCGGGCTCCTCATGGGCCAAGGTCATGTTAAGATGGTTCATCGCAGCCTTGGAGGAGCCGTACATTCCCCAACCGTTGACAGGCCCAGTTGCTGCACCAGAGGAAGTGAAGACAACTCGGCCACGAGCCAGACGAAGATGTGGGATACATTGCTTCACCTGTTTATATGTAGTGGTTAGCTCTGAGAATAAAAGCAGCTTGTTTGTAAGAGAGAGAGAAAAAGACCTACAAATTCCAAAGCACTGAAAAAGTTCACATCATAAGCCTTCATCCATTCCCTAATGTTAGCCTGCTCGAGTCTAGAAACAGGAGCGAGGACGCCGTGGTTGATGATCAACCCGTCGAGTCTGCCATAGGACTTAAGGGCCTGGGCAACGGCTTCGCGAGCAAGCGAGAAGTCAGAGACGTCACCGCAGACAACCTGGACCTGATTGCCATGTTTCTCCTTGAGCTCCAGCAGGGGAGCCTCAGTGCGGGCAACAAGCACCAAGTTACATAAATGTGGCGCCTGTAAGAGATACTTAGCAATAGCTAAGCCGATACCTACAAGTGCGGGCAGGTTAGTTAGATGCATATCTAGTGTACAACCTTTAAACGCGTTTCTATCATGGCTTACCGCGAGAGGCACCAGTAAGGATAACAGTCTTGCCCATCTTAATGGCTTATAGGTTGGTTTCTCGTGTGCAAGAAGATGTTTGTTATAATATTATATGGTTGATCAAAAGGAAGAAGTGAGTGAAAATAACCAAATTTATAGTGCGAAGTTCTTTAGTGGGCTAGGAACTTCCACCTTTTGCGAGGAGCAACACACTCAAAGAACCCTTCAGGGATAAAGACATTTTCAGCCAACTGTGTTCTCAAAGTGAAATTGTTAGATTATATTATCCACCGTGGTTAGACTCGCACTCATTTAACACATAGTACCAATAGTACCTATTGGATATTAGGCCTTTTTGCCCCTGGGGACTAGCGGTCAATGTCCGATAGAAATCAACCTAGAGTTACATCAGTGGACAAGCTTACATCTATATATAGACAATATTTTATAGGCAGAAGCATTGGTTAACCAGGTATTAGTGGGCTAGTATCATAAACATTGGTAACTACTAGTAAAAAAAAATATGACATTGCTTCTATAATGATAAAGAGGCCATTGACCAAAGTTGATTTATAACTATTATTATTTCATGCTCATGCAGACCTAAAGGATGCTGCCTGGTATTCCAAAGGCGTAGGGATGTGTATAATATGATAGAACTCCTCGTCAGGACCGTGTATCCAGTTTGCTAACATGCACCAGCTGTGTAATACTTGTCCCGTCTGGAAGAATTTCAACCTCTTCTTCAAGCTGATAGCCATTCCGATTAGGAATGACAACGGTCCAAATCCACCAGTAGACAACCGATAGAACGATTCTTAAGAAACAAGGTCAGTACACTGCGTTGAGTAGGGTGAGGCTTTGAAAGACTTACATGCCCACGCCAACGATGGCATATGTAGCATAGAAAAAGTGCACATCCCCTTGTCCGTTATGTGGAGGAAAGAAGGGAGCAATGATAAGTAAAAAGCCAACCACTAGCCGTAACCACACACTCGGTAGCCATGTCTTAAATGGCCTCAGTAGTTCCGGTCGCCTCCATCTTAGCAGAATAATACCAAATGTGATGGCAATGCCGAAAAATTCACCAGGATACCCCTGAACATCAAGAATAAAGTTATATATGTCCCCCGGAGGAGGGAGTAATATAGTAAGCATAGACGGGATTAAATGGACAACCACTCCTCCCAGGGGGGTATTGAATGGTTCTGAGGAGGAAAGATAGCGAGAAAATGGGAGAAAGCCCTGCCTTGCTATCTCCTGGTTTATTCGTGCCTAGAGATAGCATTGTTGGCGGATGACCAAGTTATAAAAACTATAAAAGGCCACTTACCGAAGTAAAGACAGTGACCATGACCTTCCCAGCAGCAGATATTGCAACAAGGAGAGGAAGGACGGTTTTCCCAAATCCCGGGCCAAAAACACGCTCAAAAAACAATGCTGCTACTAACTGTCCACTTCTTTTTATCTCCTCGATTGGCACCACCATGAAATAAGCCACATTTATGAGCGCATACAGAATGCAGACGGTCACAAATGCTAATAGTCCCACGACCTTGACAGATCTGACCGGGTTTTGGACCTCGTTGAGCACGACATTCGTAGTACATAAGCCAGAGAATGAACTAGAAACCTGTAACATAGAGGTGGCAAGGACACCAAACTCCCAATTGGATCCTTCCCATATACCACTCCAAGAGAGTAGTTCAGGGGATCCTGCGATGGTTGGGCGTTTTTGGAAAAGGACGACATAGAGGCCAGTGGATATCATAAAAGCGACGATGGATATAATCACCCACCCGAGGAAGTTTTGGATCCGGATGCCGAGTTTTAAAAAGTATCCGTGTATTATACATACTGCTAGAAGGAGACCGACCGCAAATCCCCTTTGGGAGGCAACCGTTGGTTCCATCCCGAGAGCAAATAACATGTACTGTCCGAAGACAATGCAATTCGTCGCAGACACGCTCAGAGCAACGGATGCAATTGCAAATAAGGTGGAGGCAAGAAATCTTGGGCGACGGTATGTAAACTCGAGATAGACTTTATCAGCACCGGAGCGTGGTAGCATGCATCCATATTCTGTATATATTCCCAGGTCGCAAGCCCTGACAATTGCAGCGACTACCCACAACAAGAGAGTAACGCCAACGCTCCCGGTCGATCGAACAATGCTGCCAGGCGTTGCGAATATAGAGCAGCCGATCATCTGGGACATGACGAGGATGTAGGCGCCCGCGCAGGTTATGTTCCTTCCGTACGTTGCGGTTTCAGGGACTGTCACATTTTCAATGTTGCGGAGAGCCTTCTTATTGCTTGGAGCTGGTTGAGACTCCGAGCTAGGCTCAGGGGTAAGGAGAGGTCGGCAATCTCCTTCTTTGTACATGGTGGGCAGATTACTTCCAAGGATGGCCCTTTCATCGGGGAATTTCGATAACCGGAAATAGAATGAACTAATAAAGGGTTAAGGAGTTGAATGGCCATGTTTATAGCGCCCTGGCCGTCCGATATATAACTGAACTCTTCTGGTAGTTCATACATCCAAAGGGCCGATGAAGAAGTCAGATTTGACCCTCAATAGATCTAAGATATTGCTGGCACGGGGTTGAAATAAGCAAATATCTACATATCTGATCAGAGGAGCCATTCCAGCTGCCCACACTTGGTTCGGTTTGAAATTTGTGTAACTCGCGGCGCCGGCTCAGGGTTGCGCACATGATAAAATGTGGCTGGCGGAAGAATTATGCGTTGTGAAACGGAAATCGTTATTTGGTTAAGTATCCGCTTGTCTGCAGTAAAAAAGGTAGTCAATTGACCAAGTCATCAAGACGTTGATAGCGGTCTATCCCGGCCATGGTTCTGCTTCTTTTTTTCTCTGGCATACCAAGGGCTGTCTGTTAGCAATCTGACATTTATCATATCTCACGAGAACTACACATTAATCCACATGTAGCTGCTCATGTTTGTGCCGTTTCACATGTGTCTAAGGAGGAGGGGAAATTCTCTGGGTCAAGATAACTGATGATCATCGAGATCTTCTTCCGGCAGCCCAAGGTGGCCCTTCGGACAATTCCCTTCTTCCCAGTTGGCGTATAGGGTTTCTAGAGCCCAAATGACACCTTTTTGCACCCTTAAGGCCCCCATATATGATTATCGGCCCGTGATGAGCAATCATTTGAAGCCGTGGTTGACCCGATGCCCATCCCCATGTCTAGAGCCAGCAAGTTACCCCGAGAAATACGACGTGTAAAGACAGAGGTAATGGATCGATGTATAGACGGCTTATTTCCTTAGCATGCACCATTCGTTCACCATTAATGCTTCTAAAAAAAATAACCCAAAGGCTGGCATGCTCGTGTACAACACGAAGACAAAACCTAAGAAATCACTGGCTCCAATACTTGGACTTGGTTTTCATAACCCGGTGCACGTCGGCCTGCCGTGCAAAGGAACCTGAGCAGACGGTTGACTGGAAGGAAGCAGCAAATAATGCCTTCATATTATCAATCCCCTCAGTGTTAGGGACGTCGACCAGAGCAAATATTGTACTCGGGTTTTTTCAATAAAATGGCCATTGAATATTTGACGAAGCTGGATGGAAGAATGCTTTCCCCTGCGAAGTCAATGACTGTTATAAAGACCATCATCACCGATGATAACGTTGTTAGGCTAGATATCTGGGCGACTGAATACCATAGGCCCGCGTGATAAGCCTTGAATCCTAGGCTCGCATTTTTTGCCATTTTGCAAAAACTTTATAAGATTAGGTGTATTTTTTTCTCGATCATGTTAGTATTATTACGTTCCAGGTTGAAAAGTTGCTTGAGTTGATCGACCGCGGGGCGTCGTGATCACGGAAAATTAGGCGTTCGAACACCCCACCATCAATGGCGGCCGGGCGAGGCTCCGGGGGAATAGGTACTCGATAGAACTCTTGAAAGGCGAATGCCACTTGTCGGTAAACCGCCTCCCTCTCTACCTGCTCTGAGGTACCTTCTAGTAGTTGGGATCTAGATCTTCCAGGATATATATTCCATGGCGATATATGTCTTTTTACCATAAGTCTAACACGAGAGCCTAGCATCTCAGAGTTCACGGTGCGCCATGGCCTGAGCAAGCACCTCGTTCCAATAGGCTACATAGCCATATTTAATCCAAAATGTTGGCGCTTTCGAAGGAAAAGCGGAGTCCCGCTGGATGCTCATCATCCGTGGTGCACATCTCCAAAATCTCAGCAGCCGTTGGAAGATAGACGTCGAAAGGGATCAACACCTCGGTATTCCTTCGTGAGGGGGGTCGATTCTGACGTAAAAGTATAGATATCAATATATGGTTGCATCCCACAGAAAAGCACTATCGAGACAGATTAGCCTTATATAACCTCGCCATTCGGGATCAAAGGCTCATGCGCTGGTGATCCAACCGCGACGTGGATAGAAATGGAACTAACTCAGTTAGGTAACTAGTTAGTTAGTTATTTAGCCGCGCGGAAGTCAAATATAGTTAGGTGACGTTTTGTACAACCGACATCAATTATACACTATTGAGACAGGCGAGGGCTTGAATTTTTAAATATGGCCTATCAAGTGGCAGCGGCCATCGTGGTGAACTATGTTAACTATATCAAGCGAGAGACGAAGACTTGCATCTAATGAATGGCTCTAGGCTCCAGATAAACTGAGGGAAGGTCGAATAGGAAGGCGAACCCCCCAGTTCCCAACATGCTGCTGTCTTATACCCCATTTACAAGCTATAATGACGCCCTATATGTCGAGCTATAATTTTTCTTCGATTCTGAATACTCTGTGGATCATGTTCAGCGTTGCTACACTATACCATCTCATTCAATATTGCGGTATGTCCTCCGTATTAAATATCCAAAGCCTTGGTTTGTACTTTAGCTGATTGTTGCTAGATTGAACTACGATGTCTCTCATTACGGACGAGATGTTGTATGCGTTGTGGTCGGAGGCTCAGCAGAAGCCGTCTAGCGAATGGGCTGCCGTGGCCGTCTGGACCCATCTGTGGAGCAAACATATCTTTTGGGAGAAGGGATAATCGGTGGTCTCTGAATCTCCTCCTGAGAGTAGTGGACGCCGTCGAGTGGATGTCACAATAAAATACTTGGGATCGGACTATTCTATTGCAGTTCTCGCCTTTCACGAAGCAAAAGCTATGCATGCGGGGCCTCAGGATGTTCAGGATGCCGAACATCAAGCGGTGGAAGCCTGTATGAGATATCTTGGGAAGCAAGAGAATTCGGCAGTAAGCTTTGTTTATGCAGTCACTTCGTTCGGCACCAAGGGGCGGGCATGGCGGTACGAAAGAGGCGACGATTATCTTACTCCTCTTTTCGGCTCAAATGATCTAGCAGAGCGTGGAGATTATGTCGAGCTACATTCGTCCGATGCAGCGTTGCTCAATCGGGCATTCAACGTGATGAGAACTGTCAAACCATACACCTAGACAGAGTCAGCGAAAACTATTCCATGATTAATAATGCTAGCATATAGTATCAGAGGGCGCTAGTCGTTGTATATATTTATAGCATCACCCAAATGACCAAACCACCAGACAAGAGTTCCGGTTTGTGGTAGTTCTTGCCATTCGTTGCTTCGTTCATTAGCCCTAGAGCAATCAGAGCTTCTTTGAACGTCTTTAATGTAGCCCTTGCCGTTAACATTGCTCCTCCTGATGCAGATAGGAGAAAAGGCTTCATGCGAAACATCCCGGTCCCACCGAATTTGCCCAAGCGATTCTACTCGACCACATTTGTAATATAGCAGTAAGCCAATGCATGGATTATGCGGCTTTTCCTGATCCTTACAGACTCGTACCCGCAGTAGACCCTCTAGGGGGGCCTTTGTCAAGTACCAAGTCATGGCTGGTGAGCCCCCCCGAGAAGGAATAGAGGGTGCGTCGTATTTTTCAATGGGCGGCTGTGGCATTGTGGCTCTAACACGGTGGTTTTTGTTGCAGGTGACCCCAAACTCTGAAATTTGTTCACACTCTGGATCTAATCCGTTATGGAAAATCCCCGAGATAACTCCATCGTTTTCTTTTACTAGAGGGTGAAATTCGTATAGCTCTCGGAGTTCAGCGGGTGGGTGAGGTCCGAATGTAGCGGTTCTTCCGTAAGTAGTCTGAATCTTTATTAAGTGAGTTAGGTACCGGAAGACAAATAGCACGCATTGGACTCACAACTAATATGGGGTTGGAAGAGCGTCCGTGACAATCTTTAAGTCTTCGAACCCAAGCCGCCTCAATTGATTCACCGGTATTAATCGGGAAAAAAATCCAAAAAATAGGGGTCTTTTTGATACGTTGGGTCATTGAGATAACGAATTTTTTGAACGGTCTTGATGTATTAGAGAAAGCGTAAAAACCCCCATTTGTGACACGAGAACAACAAACAAGGAGACCTTGAATACTGTTATCGTCAAGTTTCACATAGTCTAAACGGCGGCCCTTATCAACACGATATGTATTCCATGGTTCAAATTTTGGCGGGTAAGGGGAGCTCCAAGTTCTGGTCACATCGTATACCTTATCCTGAGGGACCCGCATGTTTCTAATGAATAGCCCCTACTAGAGGTTAGCCAGTCGTAAACGAGCTAGAGCTAGATAGCTTACGTCGTTAATAACTTGTAATTCCTGACATGAGCCAGGTAGCTTAATAATTTCATACCATGGCGACTCGTCCGCTGATGGATGTGAAGTTCCATCCACAAACTGTAGACGACGTACGCCAATATGATCTGTAGATATAATAAGACTTTTAACCTGGGTTGGTAGCTTTAGACACTCTTGAGTAGAAGTATCTAGAGACTGTGATTCCAGTGGTATATTGCTGATATTTGTAATATAGGAATTGCCCTGATAAGTTATCCTGGTGATATAGACCTCCTTTGTCAAGCTGAGTCGTTCACATTGACTCTTGCGAGGATTTCGTAATACTTCGATTAACCGGCGAGTCTCACCAAGCACTATCAAATACCAGCATGGGCCGATAAAGTCCGAGATCATGATCTGGATCTCTACTGGTAAACTTTTTAACAAATTTAGCCTGAAACTGCTCTCTATAATAGTTCTTGTATGGCAGCTAAAGAGCCCCTCCCATGAAGATGCAATGTCAATATTTTCTCGATCTAGGGGTTTGTACAGGGGTTTAACGGCATCTCCGAATTTCCGTAAATCATCAAGCGTGGGTTTGTTGGACTTATAGCTGCCTCTCAGAAGGTCAAAGCACAGCTTATGAGTCCACAACTTTAGACTTGGGACGACTAGGCATCGTATACATGGTAGTTCACACTCAGGCACCGTAATTTTGTTTCCACGTAAATCTATGAGCATAGTTAGCGAGACTCAGCGCAGTCGGGGACAAGGGAGCGAACCGAGGACAAAAGACCCAGGGTTTGCTATCTGTCTACAGAGCAGACATAAAGTCCGTCCGAGATGAAAGCCGACACCTTCAGGTTCATTTTCATAACATGCCATGGCAGGTGAGCTATAAATTGCTGACTTCAAGCCTTCCAAGGCAGATATTCGGGATGTATTAGGTTAACTAGTTATCCGGATTATAACTAATCCGTTTAATTAGTTACGGCTGGCCGTAGCGGCTGATCTATTCTCATCCTGTTGAACTACGAGACAGACAGGCCAAGTAATTTGCTGTGTATATCCCTATATAGTACGGAAGCGCAAGGTGTATCAAAGTGTTTGCAGGATAGAGGGTCTTCGGCCAGCAGAGAACAAAGGTACTGGTGATGGCAAATATGAGAGATCTAAATAGTTACCGCTCAGGCTACAGCAGCCCTATCTTACCCATCTCAAAGGGTACAGAGCAGACATAGAGCCTGTCCGGAATGAAGGCCGTCATCTTCAGGCTTGCTTTCATAAAATGCCATCACATACGGTCGGGCTATGGTGATACAAATGTTGATATTGGAGGTTTCAGCCTGGGGCTTATAACTGTTAATTACTACGGATCTATATTTTGCTTTTTGGTAGGCGTTTTTGCGGTGCAAGTCTCAAGTTAAAACAACCACACACCAAGTTGGTCTAGAAGAACTGGTAGCCACTCTCAGTCAATAGCTTCTGGAATTGATAGCTTCTGGAGGTGCTATCGTACACTGTCCTTCCTAGCGTATGAAGGGGCCAGCCCGCAGACGTTTGTGTCCTGAGAATCACAGCTTCCAAAGTCTGCAGGAATTAAATGCTTCACCCCAGCCTTTACCGCGCGCGCCCGCCAGCTGGAACTTGCCAGAAGCGAGCAGCTCGTCGAGCACTGCAGGGCCCAGCTTGCCATTCGCACCCACAAGAGCTATCTTTTGCATTGCCATTGTTCCAGTGTACTCTGTAGATGTCGGATAGAGACTGTCTATGGGAATATAATGCTGACATCGTGGCTGCCTGTAAGAGGTTCTTGGTACGCAGACCAGATTTGCCAGAACGACCCCAAGGCGCGCCTTAGTCCACACACACACAATGCGAAGGACCAAAGTTCCACCAACAGCGCAAAGGCACTGCTGTACATAAAATAGAAAATATGGAACGGGGATGCCTAATCCGCTCTTCAACTATTTTGTGATACAACCCATGAACAATTGAGCATATTTTTGATATCAGTCGTGCTCAAGGGCTTTTAGAATCGGCATATTCTCAAAGAATAATACCTCATAGGTGTGTCTGTTATGGGTCGGACAAATCGCGAAACAGAGGCGAACGCAAAATCTATACCGATTTCCTGACCCAACCTGCGTCGTCTGAGCTGTTTATCCGAAGCGATCGCACGAACCCCGTGCAAGTCATCCCGTATACGGTTGCGGTGAGAAGTGGGACAAAGGCCGTCGGGATATCCCATATCCAACGACCCAGCTGCCGTTGTTCGCAGTCGAATGCTGAGATATAAAAAGTGGCCGGGTCACTCCCTCCCACGGTGGGAGAGAATGCATCTGACAACTTAGACCATTCGTCAAGAGAAGAATTTAATCGGGCTACCAAACATGCATCTCATGACCTCAGCTATCTGGGTCCTGGCAGCCTCTGCCACCACTGCCAAAGCTCTCTCTGATAATACGTCTCAGCCTCTACGCCCATCTGCCGATGACGGCCTTCCATCGAGTTTTGGTGTCTTGCTCTTCCCCGAATTCCAATCCCTGGACGTCTTTGGCCCTCTCGATGTGTTAAACTTGTTCTCACTGACCCGGAAGCTGAATCTCTCCATAATCGCAGAGAAAATGGAGCCAGTCTCGACCCAGGTTCGGTCTACGCAGATAAACAAGTTTGGATCTTCGTTTGGAGAGGCCATCATGCCCACGCATACCTTCAAGAACGCACCGCCACTCGACGTGCTCCTCATCCCCGGCGGATTTGGAACCGAGGCCCCGGACATTGGCCCGGCACTTGCATTTATCAAAGACACCTATCCAAGCCTTCGGTATGTCCTGACCGTCTGTACCGGATCTGAGCTCCTCGCCAAGACGGGAATCCTAGACGGGCGACATGCGACTACCAATAAGCAGGTGTACAACAGGGTCATCAAGAGCGGTCCGAAGGTCAAATGGGTGCCTGAGGCCAGATGGGTGGCTGATGGGAACGTGTGGACATCATCGGGGGTTTCAGCGGGCATCGACCTGATGTTTGCTTTTCTCGATGCGGTGTACGGGACGGTACTGAGCAATCAACTGAGTGAAGGGATGGAGTATGTGCGCAATGTGGACTGGAGGAACGACCCGTTCGCACATTACGTGAAAGACAAGCCAGTAGAAGTCTAGTTTAAAGCGATGTCTGCAGCTTCTAGCGGGTTCTAGGCCGGCCTTCTCGGACGAATGCACCCAAGAAGTAGGATGTTCCAGTGGGCCGAGACGCCGGTAGCAGAATTCCATCTGGCTCAAGCAATGTTTCCACCCTTTTCATGCTCCAACTCCCAAGTTTATTTCCTTTACTCCTCACCCTCTCTTCTCCAACCCGATAAGACTTGAGTCATGCGATTGTGGGGTAGTAGAATATCGTAGAAGACTCGGTTGGGGCTATATAAAACATGTTATATACTCATGCAGTCGGTAGATTTCAGAAACGTCATATGGTCCCCTAGATTTCGACAGCAGACATGTCCACCGTTATAGTTGGCGGCGGAATAATTGGCGTGTCCATTGCATACTTCCTTTCTGATCCAAACATACAGAGAAGGCAGCCAGGAGATATCCATATCGTCGACTCCTCTGAAGAGCTGTTCGCCTGTGCATCAGGATACGCAGCAGGGTTTATTGCTAGGGACTGGTTTGCTCCCCAGCTACAGCCACTGGGTGCGCTGTCATTCGACCTGCACCAACAGCTTGCGGCCGAGCATAACGGGGCCGAGAAATGGGGGTACAGACAGAGTAGTGCGTTGAGCCTTCAGGTCGAGGGCTCAGACGGGAAGAAGACTGCGAGGGGTGACGACTGGCTTCGTCGGGGAGCCAGTCGTGCTGAAGCCGCAGTGGTGGACAAGGACGAAGACAGCTCAATGGCAGACGGGAAAGATCCATCGCCAGCATGGTTGACGAAGCAGAAAGGCGGTACGGTAGAAAGGATCAGTAAGGAGGGATCAGTTGCACAAGTGTTAGTTGAACCCCTCTGTCCTGAGATACTCTTACACGTAGATGACACACATCTAACCGGGAGGTGATGGGAAATCTTGCTGCAGAGATCCCTTACGGCTATGCCAGTTTATGCTTGCCAGATGTATCGAGCGAGGCGTACGGGTCCACAACCCAGCTCGGGCGGTATCTACGATCAAGCACCCAGCGTCGGGAGCGATACATGAGGTAGTTATCGAGGATACCAAGTCACGTATGAAATTCAACCTTCCATGCACCAGTATCGTATTTGCTGCCGGCCCGTGGACGCCTCGAGCCTTCAGCACTCTCTTCCCTCTGTCCAGAGCACATATCCCGGTCCTGGCGCTATCAGGGTACTCGCTGGTCTTCCGCTCTCCTCGCCATACCTTGCACCAGGAGCGGGAGGCCCACGGCGGGAAGGGCCATGCAGTGTTCACCACTCATCCGCAATCGTGTGGGTTCAGTCCAGAAATCTTCTCTAGAGCCAACGCAGAGATATATCTTGCTGGATTGAATGGGCTGGACATCCCGCTGCCGGAGGTAGCCACTGATGCACAGAGCCTGATGACAAGGGACAAGCTAGCTCGCGTGAGAGAGGCTGCTCGCATACTGATGGGCCGTCCGCATGAAGACCCGGATGCGGAGAACGTCGACGACCTCGAACTGGTTAGGGAGTCTCTCTGTTTCCGCCCATACATCGAGTCCGGACTTCCCATCGTTGCTCGTCTGCAGGATACCATCACAGGGGCCACCGATCGACTTTCTGGTGGACTGTTCATGGCGACCGGACATGGCCCTTGGGGCATCTCGCTCTGTCTGGGGACGGGCAAAGTGATGGCGGAGATGATCTCAGGCATCAAGCCTAGCGTCGATGTGAGTCGGCTTGGCTTTGAAGGAGATGCTCCTCGAAGCAGGCTCTAATAGCGGATACTCGTATACTCTGCGCCTTGATGATCATTTTCATGTCTTTAGGATATTCTCAAGACATTTCATCTGATGTTTGGTTGTGTCGATTTGATAAGAATTATTAGATGTCATCTTGATGTCTATTCCATAGCCAAGGTATTTTTATACAGGCTCTCTCAAGGGTATCTAGAGCAATGTTTCTCATATCTAACACGTAGATTCATACTAATATTAAATGAAAAGATAGAAATGTTTGTTTTATTTTATTTTCCCTGCAAAAGACACCTCACGTGATTCCGCGTTTTCGCGTCCGTTTTTGGTTAAATTTGAAGTTGAAGAAGTTGAAGCAATTAACATCATCGGCAAGCAAGGAGAAGAAGAGGAAAAGGAAGAGGAAGACGGAGAATAAGAGAAAGACAAAGGAGAAGCAGAAGATACGACTTCCGAGATAATGTCTGGCCCCGGCGATGGATATAATGACAGCCACCGCGCATTCCTGCAGGCGTTCATGTCGCGGTCTACGATGACGCTGGAAGAGGCGAAACCTGTCCTCGCTGCCATATTTACTGTGAGCGGTACGTTTGTGCTATTCGGTTTGTCCTGGAGGATTGCTTGTGGCTGATGGCTTTGAATGCTGCAGAAGGAAGGGAAGTCTTGCCTGGAGACATCACGCAGACCGACCTGAACACCTACATTGCTGCAACCAACACGGCCATATCAGCGTTTGACCTCGAAATACGCAGCACTGCCCATCAAACCCAGCAGACCCGGGTGTATGCCCTCATAAACACCACTAGTGATCCACTGATGCAACTCGCCACGACATATACCGCGGACGAGATCGCCTATGTCAAGCGATTGCTCAACGCCATGTTCGAATCGAACAATACTTCCCGCTGTGAAGCAATGGTCGTTTCTTCTATCGAAGCCGTCAGACTTGCTCGCACAGTAACCAGCTCCAACGCCAACCGCAGACAGTCGGAGGCAACCTCGCAAGGTGGTGTAGCGCAACCGTTGAGCATGAAGGATGCCGAAGACATGCTGAGACGGCTGGTAGCCGAAGGCTGGCTGGAGAGGAGTCGCCAGTCGTACTATAGCCTCAGCCCCCGAGCACTAATGGAATTGCGCGGGTGGCTGGTTGAAACTTACAATGATGAAGACGACATTAATGAAGGCACACCCAGAAACGATAAGATTAAGATGTGTTTTGCATGCAAGGAAATTATCACTGTGGTATGGCCACAGTTGCAATGTACTCCCTTCTTTTTCTTTCTTGCCGTGCATGCTGACAAGCACTTGCTAGGGTCAACGATGCCCGAACCGTCAATGTTCCGGCCGCTTGCACCAAAACTGCATCCGCAACTTCTTCCGGCTGCAACAAGCTGAAGTTTGTCCCGTTTGTAAGACCAGCTGGACCGGCGACTGTTTTGTTGGCGAGCGCGCAATCACGTCGCAGCAGCCTCAGGGGAGGTCACGGCCTTCGGCTGCCCGAGCTGCTGAGGATGAAGATTGATCCAGTAGGGACATTCGGGTTACTTACATACAGCCAGCCACTGCTTCACGCAAGTAACCACGCTTAAGTAAGGAGTCTAAGACGTTATTACTCTGCAATTAACCGTTCGGCCCGTTGGGTCCGAATCTCTAGGTGTGTCTAACAAACAAGAAGGTTGTTATCTAATGCAAAAGAAGCACATTGCAGACCTAGCACGCGACATGCCGTTAATCGTCTCAGTGATCCGCCTCATACAGGTCGTTCCAGTATATGATATCTAGAAGAAACTCCTCGTCAAGGTCCAAATGGGCGAAGCATTCTCTGGTCAATGATCTGATAGAAATGTGGACCTTTGCGGCCCTCTCCCATCCAAAGTATCCTGCCATCTCCCAATCCACGACGCCAACAATTCTATCGTTATCGACAATGATGTTTGAGTGAGTCAAATCGTTGTGCATCAGACCAAGATCGCTAGTGTCGGGGTTCTGGAATAGGATATCAGCTTCCTTTTCCTGGATCCCCCGATGTGCCGTTGGTTCTGAATCTGGTACAACGTATGATGGCCCGCAAAAGGGAGATTTCTGGGCGTTCAAGAGGCGCAAAAAGTCCCTTGCTTGCTCCTTGAAAGACGCCTTTTTGTCTGCTTCAAGATACTGCCAGGCGATATTCAAGCCAACGCCCGGGATGCGTGACTGCACCAGGACAGCTCGATCGCGAATCTGATATTTTACCGTCATTAGACTGGGTCTTTTCTAAATAAAAAAAAAAAGCAAAAGAAAATGGAACTCATATACAGGCACCTACCTTTCCTGCAAAATATATTTCGGGGATAGCTATATCCTTCACAATCCCTCTTACTAACGCTGTAGCCTTGACTTCATTCGCATCAGCCAGCGAATAATCGCGACATGCGCGCCTCCCTTTGAGCTCGGTCTTGAGGTGGCTAGACTTCACAATCACACTACCAAGTGCAAAGACATCGCGGCCTCCGTCTGTGTTTTCGTAGATTCGGACGGAGGTATCACATAGCTTCAGTACCCCTTCCCAGTACTCCAGTGATTCTGGCGTGGTAGAGTTGCAATGCCTTTGGTCTGGTTTGAAGTCGTCTGGCCGTGGATAGTAGCGACCATAGAGCGGGACGTCAGCAAAGCGATCCGACTCTGGGATCTTATCTGGATTTGCCTCGTAGGGGTTCATTATGAAGACCTGGTTTTTAAGGATGTCACTGCCCTGTGTTGGGGTGTGTGGTATAACGAAACTAAGAGAACTATCATGTCTGCCTCCGCTCGTTTATGTATGGTTCAATGGCATAAAGAGCCTCAAACAGCGGCAACACTATTTTACGACTTATTTGACCCCCCACATTAACTACCTGCCATTTATTATTGGTCCAACTTTATTTATTTATTTTGGCCCCAGCCAAATCCTCTCCTGGTTGTTTGTTTACCTCAATTTGCAGGGGAGAATTCACGCCTCCTTGCTGTGCCTCAGCAACGAAGAAAGGAAAAGAGATATCTCACAACACAGCCTCGATATATCCTACTGCTGCCTGCTTACCCTGGTCCAAAATGTCACTTGCCTCCAAAACGGCACAGCTCTCCAAAACCAAAACGAGGGTGATCATTGAGTGATGCAATGAATGTGTCAAATGAACACCAGACAAAATGATCACAAGGCAAAATTGCATGAAAAAATGTGGGTGTTCTGCCTAGCTGTGGTTACATTTTTTTTTCTCCAGACAACAAAAGTCTTCCTGCTTATCATCCTTATAGGAAAATATCCAGTGGACAAAGATGGATTATCCGGTCTGAGCCTCATCTGCATCTCTGCGGCGTTAACTCGAGCACTAGGCAGCAAAGGATAGCCCTGGAGCCTAACAACAGCTTGGAATAATCTGGATATAAAAAGCCCTCTTTGCCTCCTCTGATTCTTCATCCTCGCCAAATAACAGCTCGATACCACCAACTGTCCATACGATCAAGTACAAATTGAAACTATTCAACCTTTAGATCATTCCGAATATCGATACTTTCTATTTATTTTTCGAGACCCACTCTTGCGCGAACCATAATGGCTAATCGATGTCCAAACTGCGGTGGTTGGATGAATACCACTTATGGTGGAATCCATAATTGTCCGGGCAAACCCAAGAGCAACCCTTCGATGATTGAATACCTAGCGGTCAGCCCAAAAGGTGTTCAAGCTAAAATGGTAGCATGATCATATACTCAGTAAGTGGTCCAAATTCTGTGAATATGGCCATTTCTGATTTTGGAGTTCAAGCCAGGGCCGCCTCTTAAAATCCTTTGCACTTATTTAGGCAATCTCGTGTGAATTCTGTGTTTCGAGTTGCTCTCCTTGTTTTCAGAGGCCTTGTTGCTATACCTGCCCGCATTTGGAATTCTGGCTGAGGTTGATGGGGATGACGGTTACGAAGATGGATATAAGGCTAGTCAATACAACTAAAGGATTGTCATTGATTTGTACAAACTGTCGCACTAGCTTGCAGATCTTTTTACTTGAATGTCATCGCTCCCTATGTTTAATTACCTTATACACAGTACATTACTAGCCTAGTCAGTTTAGAATCCAATGGGTACTCGATATTATCTGCACCGAACGAGCCTATCCATACCATGTCAACATTATATACGGAGTACGGAGTATAGTCAACAAAAAAGCGACGGAAGTGGCCGTCAAGCCAACTCAGAACGATGACATCTTAACCTCTACCACGGCCGAGACGATACGAGGTTGCACCGCACTTTTGTTGTTGTGCTTTTTTGCTCGTCTTTTCCCCAGCTTGATCGCCATTCCAAGCTTGGTCTGGTCCGGCTAAAAAAGTATCAACGTCATGGAGCGAAAGGAAGAAGAAAAAGGAAAACCTGGATTTTGTCAGTTCCTGTGCTGGCACCCTTTCTGCATCATCGAAATGGGGATAAAGGTAGCATTTTTATACTTCGGCCTTTCAGGGCTTCCTTGCTTCAGGGTTTATGATGTTGGATATAAACCTCCCGCGGTCCCGCCTACACCAATACTCATATATATACACAGAAATTTTAACTTATGCTATCAATAATGAAACTACCATGTATTGTGAGTGTACTCAGTGTAGCATTCCTTAAACTCCTTACAATTCCCCTCTAACCGATAATTTGCAGAATCTCCTTGGGAGCATATTGTGGCTTCTATTAATCACAACCTCGGTTGTCGCTGAGACAGAGGCCGAAAGGAATGCTGGTGTGTTTATCCGCAATTTGTCAGTGAGAAATGGAAGCTCTGGCAGCCGGCCTCCCGTCTATGCGACCAGGTTCAAGGGCGTCACTTGGGACGTTGCCAATTGGAGATTGACGACCACAGAGCTCGATCAGGGCCATTATCAGTCCCGAGGATCCATCGCAAACGGATACCTAGGCATCAATGTTGCTGCTCTTGGACCATTCTTCGAACTGGACGTGCCCGTATCTGGAGATGTTATTAACGGATGGCCGGTGTTTTCACGAAGGCAAACATTCGCTACAATCTCCGAGTTCTACAGCTTCCAGGAGAGCATCGATGCCACGAACTTCCCCTGGCTCAACAAGTATGGAGGCGACCTCATTAGTGGTGTTCCGCACTGGTCCGGCTTGATCTTGGACCTTGGTGACGGCAACTTCCTCGATGCCACTGTGAAGAACACCACGATTTCAAACTTCACCTCCACCCTAGACATGAAGGGTGGAATCCTCACGTGGCAGTACACTTGGAGCCCAGAGAAACATAATGGTACATATGATATATTCTACCAGCTAATAGCACATAAGCTGCATGTCAACCAGGCTCTTGTGCATATGGAAATAACTCCATCTAGAGATGGAAATGTAAGCGTGGTGAATGTTCTGGACGGATATTCTGCAGTAAGGACTGATTTCAAGGATTCAGGCCTGGATGGGGGTGCAATCTATACCTCTGTGAACCCTGAAGGCATCAACAACGTCACTGCCTTCATATACGCGGAGATGTCCGGCACTGAAGGCGTAGACCTAACTTCATCGTCGCTTGTCACCAATAAGCCTTACCTTCACACCAATGGGTCTACAATCGCCCAGAGCGTCAGCGTGAAGCTGCAAGCGGGACAGACTACAAAGATAGACAAATTCGTGGGCGCCGCGTCTTCAGACGGGTTTAAAAATCCCCGGCTGGCTGCAAAAGAGGCATCCGCGAGGGCTTTACGGACCGGCTACGAGGAGAGTCTGAAATCCCACATTGCTGAATGGGCAGCTGTGTTTCCAGGTGACTCCGTAGAGGACTTTACCGTTCCCATGACTAACTGGCTTCCGTTGGATCACCACATCATTGAGTCTTCTATCGTTGCAGTTGTGAATCCCTACTATCTCCTACAGTCAACCGTTAGCTCCAATGCTCTAGCTGCAGCAAAGAATGCCCCCCTCAACCGTGGCAGTATCGCTGTCGGCGGGCTAACATCTGATTCATACGGTGGGTTAGTATTTTGGGATGCAGATATTTGGATGCAGCCGGGTCTTGTGGTAGCCTTCCCAGAAGCGTCTCAGATATTCTCCAACTATCGAGCCGACAAGTACGGCCAGGCGCTAAGAAATGCTCAGACGCAATATACCTCATCAAAAAACAAGACGCAGTTCTCATCAGATGCCGCAGCGTATCCCTGGACCAGCGGAAGATTCGCCAATTGCACCGCTACGGGACCATGCTTTGACTACCAGTATCACTTGAATGGCGACATTGGACTGCAAATGGTCAACAATTGGGTCACGACTGGAGACACGGAGAATTTCAAGACGAAGCTTTTTCCGGTCTACAACTCTATTGCGACGTTCTTTGCTGAGCTGATGGAGAAAAACGGAACTAAATGGACAGTAACCAATATGACAGACCCGGTATGTTGAAACAAGGCAGTAGGTGCTACCCGCAGGTAACTACTATCATGCTGACTGTGTGACAGGACGAGTATGCCAACTCAGTTGACGGTGGCGGCTATACAATGCCTCTGATCGCGTCTACCCTGATGTACGCCAATATGTTTCGACAAATGTTTGGCCTTGAGCAGAACCAGACTTGGAATGATATGGCACAAAATGTCCTCATCTCCAGAGATCCGACCTCGCAGGTGACGTTGGAGTATACGACTATGAATGGAAGCACCCAGGTTAAACAGGCTGATATTGTTCTGAATACCTTCCCTCTTCGTTTTACCGAAGGCTACTCGCATGATGATGCTCTCCGAGACTTGGACTACGTATGTATTTTCAATCAAGTTTTCATTCTTTCGAGTCATTCATATTTTTATTGCAGGCTAACTGGGTATAGTATGCGGCAAAACAGTCGCCAAATGGGCCTGCGATGACTTATGCTATATTCTCCATTGTTGCCAATGAGGTGTCTCCATCTGGATGCTCAGCGTATACCTATGGGCAGTATTCATTCAGCCCATACGTTCGAGCACCGTTCTTCCAGTTTTCAGAACAGCTGGTTGACGACTGGTCGCTCAACGGGGGAACGCATCCTGCGTATCCTTTCTTGACCGGAAACGGCGGAGCTAACCAGGTTGCGGTGTTTGGTTACCTGGGGCTGCGGCTCATACCCGATGGGATATTGCATCTGAACCCCAACCTACCTCCACAGATCCCTCATATACGGTATAGAACATTCTACTGGCACGGTTGGCCCCTTGAAGCAAGTGCAAACTACACCCAAACCACCATACAGCGAGCGACAAACCGGCGCCCTCTAGCAAGTGCGGATCCCAAGTATGCGAATGCTCCCATCCCCGTCCACGTTGGACCCGAAAACAACGTTACCATGTACTCGCTACCTCCAAGCGGACAGTTGGTAATTCCCAACCGCCAGTCCGCCTCTATAGCCACTCAGCGCGGCAACCTCATCCAGTGCCAGCCTGTCTTCTCCCCGAACGAGTACTCTCCGGGACAATTCCCCATCTCTGCAGTTGACGGAGCTGCCTCGACTAAATGGCAACCTCTGCGTGCGAGCTCGACCTCCTCCCTGACTGTCTCACTGCCAGACAGCGCTTCATCCTCGATCAGCGGCTTTGCCTTCGACTGGGCACAGGCGCCACCCCACGGCGCAATGGTAGTCCTACACGACGAGCCGTTGTACCCTGTGATAGACCTCGACAGCGTTTCTACTTCTCCCACTACGCCTCCCGGCACAGTCACTGTCTGGGAGACGCCAAAGGTACCACTTTCTGACCCGTACGACCCTATCAAGATAAATCTCAATACGATCATGGCCTACAAGGGGAACACGACGAACATAACACTACCATCGTCAGTGCCTGCCACCAAATTTGCGACTCTCCTCATCAGGGGCAACCAGGCCCTGGAACCGGCTGAGATTAAAGCCGGCAATGGGACAGGAGCAACCGTTGCGGAATGGTCTATATTGAGATCCATTTAATGTATATAGATTAATATATCTATACTAGTTTATGTTCTAATATATCTTTCATCTTCGTCTCCTATTACTTCTAATACTTCAAACATGGTCTCGTGTTGGGTTGGTGTCTATAGAGTACGGTTTCGTTCTATCGAATGTTTAAATGATGGCTCAAAATTCAGACATCCACACAACCTTCCACAGCAGTTGACCATGACAGCCTTACCACCATAACCAACAACCCCAACTCCTACAATGCCAGCTGAACAATATCAAGCTATCTGGCTTTGTCTCAAGGAGCTGGGAAAGTGAAAAAAAAAAAAAAAAGCTCGCGATGAGCTGGCCTTGCTACACGCTCATCGCCTACCTGTCCGCAGTCACGGCACATCTTCTCTTCCTCCTCGCCCTCGTCTACGTCCCGCCGACGTCCTACCTTCGAGCATGGCTGCTTCCGGTGCTGCTGGCGCCTACGGTCGTCGTCTCCTATACGGCCGTCTACGCGACCTCTGTGATGCCGCTTAACTTTGTCTTTGGCGTGAACTATGGCTCCCGTCTAGCGCTGGAGATGTTTGACCTTCTCTGCATCTCGAAGGTGTCCTGCCCGGAGACTTGCGGATCAGTGAACTCTTGTTCTGCATCCGTAAATGGAGCGCCTTATAAGGAGAAGACGACGGATGGAGTGGTTGCAGTTATACCATGGCACATAAGAGCCTACAATGCGGTGACATGGCTGTTCGAGGCCTTGTCCACCGATAGACGGCAAGATGGTTATCCTGACATCTCTCGGGAGAAGATGAAGCTGGTATCGAAAAAACAGTTTCTCATTTTCAGGTCTACACGGTTCATACTCGGATATTTACTCCTGGACTTTATTACATCCCAGTCTCTAGAGGATGCGAGCGTTAAGTTTGGTCCCGGCAAGGAAAGGATACTTTCTCGACTGATCGGAGGAGACTTCTCTGGCCGGGACCTTGGTGAGACCCTGGGCTCGATTATCGGGTTCGCCGCAGCTGGATATCTGAACCTGGTTGTACTCTTCGACCTGGTCTCCGTGCTGGCAGTCGGTCTGGGTATCAGCGCTGTCGAGAGCTGGCCACCTTATTTTGGGCCATTGACCGAGTTGTATTCCATAAGGAACTTTTGGAGGTAAGTCCCCCGGGTTCCATCTTGTATATTAACCCTTTGGTAATTAACCAACTAACCGGACAAGTGTTGTATGGCATCGACAGCTACGGGTACTCCTCGATAACTATAGCTTCTTCATCACTCATTCTATCCTACGGCTACCCCTTGCAAAAACTGTTCCGCCCGAATCCAAGGCATTGATACTAATTATCCGATACGTCAGAATCCAAATGGCTTTTCTAGTCTCAGGGCTGATGCATTTGCCAATAGATAGGATGCAAAACATACCTTATCGGGAATCCGGTGTTGCCATGTTCTTCACCGTGCAAGCTCTGGGGATTCTTATAGAGGACATGGTCTGTTCCACCTATCGTTGGGTCGCTACCGGGTCATTCTCCCGCCAGGTATACAAGGGAGCGGGAAACAGAAAGCCAGTGTTATGGCAACGGCTGATTGGGTTTACCTGGTGCCTATGCTGGGCGATGTGGTGTGTACCACCTTGGATCTTTCCCACCATCCGCCGGTCTGCAATGTCTGCCGTCCCTTATTCATTCTTCACGAAGAATTAGAATACGAATCATAGATCGACAAAGCATGATGAAAAAAAAGCCCCCTTCCATATAGCGATGTTATTGCCGAGCAATAAATTGCCCCAGACTCATCATAGCTGATGAACTAACGCAATGAATCAGGTCATTGGCCGGTTCAAAATGTTCAATGCACATCAATCTCTGCATCAATATCTTTTAATATGACTATCCAGCTCTGTCGCATATTATACCGAAAATCTCGGAGACTTTACTTTTCTTTGCAGCCAGGGTGTTTCGCTGGTTATGGCCTGGCTATCGGCTTAGTTTCATCTTCAAAAGACGGCGACATCTTGAAACCGCATCGGCATAACCAAGGTAAATCTGGCGAACAATATACCAATATACCAATAGTCCCCGTGTTGGCTGGCCACACCCAGGTAGCGGATGGCCCTTTTCCCGAAGGTGGGGGCATCTACTACGAAACATACAAAGCCCAGCGTCAGCTCAGCCGCACCTAGATGCAATGATATAAAAGAAACTCCGGATACCCATCCATTCAATGACTTTTCCTTTCATCAAGCAACCAAAAACTAAAAGAGTCCAGCAACAGCAGCACTTCATCTTTCTACTAAACGAATACTTTCATTCGCCAATATAACCATGTCTAAGCCAACTATCGCCTTGGTACCCGGATCCTGGCACACACCAGCCCACTACCAGGATTTCCTAGCCGAATTTGAGAAGGCCGGCTACCCAACTGCCTGCCTGCAACTTCCCGGCGTTGGCTCTTCCACCCCCAAAGACGAGACAGTCGCCAGCAATGCCGCCTTTGTTCGTGAGAAGCTGCTGCTCCCTTTGCTTGACGATGGCAAGAATGTTGTCCTGATCATGCACTCCTTTGGCGGCTGCATTGGGAGTGTAGCTGCTGCTGGCCTCAACAAGAAAGACCGTGGTTCCAGCGGAGGAATTGTTGGCCTGATCTATATCGCTGCTTTCCTAGGCAAAGAGGACGCTTCTCTCTTGGCTGCCATGGGCGGCAAGTTCGATGACTTTATCAAGGTTGATGTATGTGATTTCATTGTTTTACTTTACTGATTTGTATACACCTTTATCCCCTCTTTATTTCCCTCTAACATTGAATAAATAGGATGCTACTGGACAGCTTGATATTATAAACCCCACCGAGATCTTATACCACGATGTCCCTAGCGACCTGGCCGCAAAGGCTGTTAACGACCTCAAGCCACAGGCCAAGTCTGTCCTGACCAGCACCAGCGGTACTCCCGCCTGGCAAGAGGAGTTCTACAACGGCGGTCGACGTGGATACATCCGGGCTACCGAGGACCGTTGCGTCCCTACTGACATCCAGAACCTGATGCTGGACAAGAGCGGAGTGGACTGGAACATCAAGGACATCAAGTCTAGCCACAGCCCTTTCTTGAGTCGTCCTCAGGAAACGTTCGAGATTATCATCGGTATGATCACCGCCATCTGGAACCAGTAGATTGGTTTGGCATGCGATTTGATGTGAGAAGTAGAGGACTGTATCTATTTTCCTAGTTTGATATATAGATTTCTATTCCTTTTTTTAATAACCCGCGCTTCTACCTTAAAATCTATACCATGTAGAAACAGCCGGATACAACTACACATCTAAGTCTTAAACGTTGAAGGAGCTATAATGTGTTAATTTAAGTCTCTAGTTTTTTGTAATGGCTGTTTGGTTGTCCAGCACTTCCTTGGTCACACGAACGAGTATGTTAAATGCATTTTTGATATACTTCTCTTCCGCCAGTTCATTAGCACTCACCACACGGATGACATAGATTCCGCCCACGACAGAAGATGTGAGATAAACCTCCTTGCCAGCGTTGACTCGCTCATAAACCTCACGGGTAACGGAGTTGCTATCGCTACCGCCCACCTGCCGAGCTGCGTCCTCAGTAACACGGAAGACGGTCAGCCCAAACGCAGGCGGCGTCACGATTTCAAACAAGTCACCCTGGCTGCGGATGAGGTCTGTGAATGTCTTGCCCAGGTCTACCCCCTTGCGGATATGAGCTTGCATCGCCTTGAGGCCGTATGACCGTAGGACAAACCAGATCTTCAGGGAGCGGAAACGTCTTCCAAGCGGAAGCTGCCAGTTTCTGTAGTCTGTGACCGCACCGGCATCAGAGTGAGGGTTGCGGAGGTAATGGGGTGTAATATCTAGAGCAGAGGTCAAGTCGACCTGGTTGCGTACGAATAGACAGCTATAGATTGTCAGTTTAAAACTTTACAAGAGAGATAGGAGAGAAATAGAAACTTGCCTAGCATCGAAGTTGACGAGCAGCCACTTGTGCATGTTGAAGTTGAAGCTGTCGACCCCTTCACTCCATTCCTTGGTGATGTACTGGTATTCATCACAGATGAGCGCTGCACCGGCGTATGCAGCGTCGACATGGACCCAGATCTTCTTCCACGCCTCCTTTTCGCTTAGGACGGCCTTGATCTCGGCGAACCGGTCGGTGGCGCAGGTGCTGGTGGTCCCCAGGGTGGTGGTCAGATAGTAAGGTATCAGGCCGTCTCTCTCGCACTTCTCCAGCACCTCGCGGAGAGCAGCTCCAGTCATGGCGAAGTTGTCCTTCAGACGGGTCGGGACAGTCCTGTGTCTGGTGCTGACGATACGGGCCCCCTTTGCGGTGCAGCTATGGGCCTGGTCACTGCCCAGAGACACCAGCTTGGACTTGACCTCAATGACCCGGTCCTCCCACTGCTCGGAGCCTTCATCCAGGCCCTCTGCTCTCACGATACCGCGGGCATATCGCTCCCGAGCCGCCACCATGACGGTGATGACGGCCTCGCTGGCGCTGCCCTGGATCACTCCGCCACCCCTGGTCGGAGAGGTGCTGAGGAAGCAGTCTGGCAGGCCCAGGGCCTTCGCAAGCCAGTCCATCACAGCAATCTCCAGCTCGGTGACGACGGGGGAGCACAGCCAGTTGAAGGCGGGCGCGTTGAAGGCGGCCGAGTACATCTCCCCCAGGATGCTCGGATAGGTGACTGTGGCCGGGAAGAAGGCCATGAAGTTGGGAGACTGCCAGTGAGTGACTCCAGGCTTGATCTTCTTTTCTATATCGGCCTGTATCTGGTTCCATGGCTCTGCCTCCTGGGGAGCGGTCGAGGGTAGACGAGATTTCAGATATCCGGGCTCGACATCGGGCAGGACCTGCTGCGACGGCAGACTGTTGAAATATTGGATGACTGCAGTCCGCCCATTAGCTGTCTGTTCGTCTCTTCTTCTTTTCTCTTCTGCTTCCTCCCATATCATCTGAAGGAACAAGGCTCACTCTCTTCGACGACCGAATGCGCTGCCGTACGGAACTCGTCCTGGTCCATCTCTCTCCGCTCTTCGATTGTCTTCCCGTCTTATAAGCAGCCTGCAGGAAACTAGTTATTATAAACTACAGATAAACAGGCCAGCACCAAGTCTGTATTTATATATCGTTATTGTCTGTCATGATTAAGACGAATGAGCGAAGACGTCAAAAGAGTCTTCGTAACCGGAATTACCTAGGCACTTGCAACTCTACCGGCATAAACTCCGTCACCAAGTTCAACGCCACCAAAAGCCAACCGCTTGACTGTTTACCAGAGTGATATCGATTGAAGTCGCAGATCAAAATTGCTTTCGCATCACCAGAGAGAGCCTTGCATTGCCTTGCATGCATGCATGCTGCTTATTCGTCTAGCCGTCCAGACAAACGCAGGGAATCTTCTTTCGCTGAATCACCTCGATGCATCCTCAACGACTGCGCCCTACATCTCCAGAGCCAATAGAGCAGCTTGATACGCTCATTCAGCGATGCTTGATTACATGAGCTTGCCGTGCGTTAATAAAGGCAGGCATTGTCCGTCTTTGTTATATGCCAATTAAACACGCTGGGTTAGATGTTGGCCCCCAATGGACAAGGGACACTGCCACAGTGACTGCGCGCCATATAAATAAGATGTGGCCGGCAGCGTCTTCTTCTCGAAGAGAGGAAGTCGTCTGTGTCGATATTTGGATATTGTTTGCTACGGCTCACTGGTGCACATCAAAAGACTTCATCAAGATGGCTGTTCTGCATGCCCGCCTCCAGCTCTCGCTGCACAAACACCACAAGAGAGAGGTCGAACATAGCACAAGACTGGTGTTGATCGCATGCAGTTGCGCTCTCCTCGTCGTATCCATCTTCCTGCTCTTCTACCGAGCCCGGAGCCGCGCCGATAGAGCAGCTCCCGCCCAGCTCCATCCGAACATACAGCTCCAGCGCCAGAACATAGCACCGCAGTACGGCGTGCCACAGCATGTAGGCGACACGGTAGCCTCGAACCCTTATCCCTCCCAGTCGATACCACCCGCCCGCCTCGGGTTGCGGCGTGACGATGACCAGTTCAATACTCCAGCTCCTCCATACTATCCCCATGAGAGCCAGACAAAACCAGGCAGTGCCCCTTATCCACAGACACAGACACCACCACCGACCTACCTTCCTTCAGCCCAGAAAGATCATCAGCCGGATGGCCGGGCACATCAAAACTGAATCAGTCGATAACGACGTTGCAATAGACCTCCCCACGAAACCTTGCATGGATAGGGGCTTCACTCGGTTTATCTTTCACCTTTTAATAGCATCTGGGGTTACGGGGTGTTGTTTTTCTTTTCCTTTTTCTTCTTTGGGGCAGATGGGAGGTGCCAGGTTTAACTAGTATAACGACTTAATAGTGACTGTACTTTATCCTAGATTATTACATCTTTACATCTTCTCAATCTAGATGGTGAGATAATGAAGTTAGCACCGCAATCTTCGTACGGCCCAAAATGGCCCGTATTTATTATCAGAAAAGACAAAGAAACGGGTGTATAATCGGCCTTCCGTCTAAGTGCTTGTCTTCAACTATGACCATACCTGGAATTTACCTGCCTTTATCCCGCAGTAACTTGGCTCTCGCTTCTTGCACTCTAGGGCTGTGTGCAAACCATTATTGTGGAGTTTGATTGCGCGAATTGTAGGAACATTCTCGACGCCAGAAGCTATAGGGGTAGGCATGAGCCATGGCTGAGGGAACACAGATCCTCCAGCACTATGAATATCCACCATGCTAAGAAAGAGACCCTGGAGAACTCATATTCTGGAGTTGGCCAGCATCGTAATAGAAGTACGAAATATCTTTTTGCCGGCTTTTTTTCTTTTTCCGATCGAAATTTATTAAGGTAAAAAGTGGGCCTGAAGCCACGTTAATATCTTAAGCTTATTTGGTGCCGAGAGCCTCGAGCGCTTAAAGGCGTGGAAAATTCCGCGTTGGGTTAAGACTGGCTGTGGACTTGAAGAAATAAAGGCGTGTTGTAGTATTTGAAGCAAGTTCTCGTGATTCTATCCGTAAGGCGAGGTCTAAAAGGAAAGATGGGCAAAAAGAGGTAGGAAATGATACAGGAAGTCGGGGTATTTGTGTTGAGACATTTGGGACATGAAGACATGCTGTAGTATGATAAATGGTGAATTATGAGTGGTAGCTGGAATGCTCCCGCTTTATACTTGAAAACGGGTCAACTTTTCGGGTTAAAGAATGGCAAGGAAAAAAAAAAATAGTGATGAGTTGTCAGTGCACTTAGGGGTATACTATGGATGGCCTAGTCAGTGGCGTCTTCGACAGGTCCGCAGGTGCAAAACAGGTTTTGATCGCCGAATGCTATCATGAAAATATCAAGGTTAGTTAAGGACCGTTTGAAAATTAACACAAAAGGAGTTTTGAGCGTAAACGTACCATCGTCAACTCTGGCTACGCTGGGCCAGAATTTCTTCTCCAATAGCCAAGGGAGAGGATATGCGGCAGCCTCTCTGGTGTAAGGGCGGTCCCACTCGGTAGTCAGGAGGTCTCGCTGAGTATGGGGTGCCAGTTTCAGAACGTTATTCTCCTTTGGCTGCTCGCCGCGTTCAATAGCGGCGATTTCCCCACGGATGGAGATGAGGGCGTCGCAGAATCGGTCGAGCTCAGCCTTGCTCTCCGACTCCGTTGGCTCAATCATAAGCGTGTTGGCGACGGGGAATGACATGGTTGGCGAGTGGAAGCCATAGTCTTGCAATCGCTTAGCGATGTCTATCGCCTCAATGCCAGCGGTGGCTTTGAACTGGCGCACATCGAGGATAAACTCGTGCGCGCATCGGCCGTTGGCATTGGTGTACAAGATCGGGAAATGTGGCTTTAGCCTGCAGAGGATATAGTTGGCATTAAGGAGCGTGATCTTGGTTGCGTGGGTTAGACCCTTAGCACCCATCATGTTGATGTATGCAAATGTGATGGGGAGGATGCTAGCGCTACCAAAGGGAGCAGCGCTGATGGGTGGAGAGTCCACGGACGCAGGCCGTTTCGCGAGCAGGTGGTCATTGAGCGGGTGAGAAGGGAGGAATGGGCGAAGATGTTCAGCAACACCAATGGGGCCAACACCAGGGCCGCCGCCACCGTGGGGGATGCAGAAGGTCTTGTGTAGGTTGAGATGACACACATCGGCGCCGATTTCACCTGGTGAGCAAAGGCCGATCTGCGCGTTCATATTGGCTCCATCCATATACACTTGGCCGCCATACTGGTGGACCACTTCGCAAACTTCCTTGATACTAGGCTCAAAGACACCATAAGTACTTGGGTATGTGATCATGATAGCTCCGAGTTCATCCTTGTGTTTCTCACACTTGGCGCGAAGGTCCGCAACATCAAGATTACCGGTTGCGGTGTCGCATTTGACTGGGACGACGCGCATTCCAGCCATAGCAGCACTAGCTGGGTTTGTTCCATGGGCCGAAACGGGAATTAAACAGACATTACGTTTACCGGGCTCTCCTTGGCTGTCGTGGTATTTCTTGATCGCTTTCAATCCAGCGAATTCGCCCTGGGCTCCAGAGTTTGGCTGGATGGTAACCTCAGCCATACCAGTGATATTGGCTAATTGCTGCTCAAGATCCTCAATCATGTCGATATATCCCTTCACTGCGGGGGTTGGGGTGAAAGGGTGCACAGAGGAAAACTCAGGCCAGGTGATGGGCAGCATTTCGGTGGTGGCGTTCAACTTCATCGTGCAAGAGCCGAGGGAGATCATGGAGTGTGCAAGGGAGAGATCCTTGGACCCAAGGTGTTGGATGTATCGCAGCATCTCAGTCTCGGAGTGGTGGCTGTTGAATACAGGATGAGTGAGATAAGCAGAAGTTCGTCGCACAGTCTCGGGGATCTGGACAGGCTGAACGTCTTTGGCCAGGTCGATAGTTTCAGCACCCTTGTAGGGCGAGAATTTGGCGAAGACGGACAGCAACTTCTCAACATCGTTCACGCCCATGGTCTCGTCGAGGGAAACCCCGACTTTGGCTGAACCGACTCGTCGGAGGTACAGGGAGGATGCGAGGGCAGCGTCCATAAGGGAGTCGGCCTCGGCCTGTGAGCTAGTCTCGATGACGAGGGTGTCAAACGCAACCCCATTGTCCCCGATGTTGCCTCTGGCGGGCACATTGAATCCGAGAGCGGTCAGTTTCGCTCTCAGAAGGGCTGTAAGAGACATTGTACGTTCAGCGATGGCTTTCAGGCCCTTGGGTCCGTGGTAAACCGCATAGAATGCTGACATGTTTGCGAGAAGCGCCTGGGCGGTGCAGATGTTACTGGTGGCCTTCTCACGACGGATATGCTGCTCTCGGGTCTGCAGAGCGAGACGCAATGCACGGTTTCCGAGTCTATCCTTGGAGACGCCGACGATACGGCCGGGAATCTTTCGCTTATTCTTTTCAGTGCAAGCAAAGAATGCAGCCTGAGGGCCACCGAAGCCCATCGGAACTCCAAATCGCTGAGAGTTACCAAAGGCAATATCAGCACCAAACTCTCCGGGTGCCTTCAGGACCGTCAATGCAAGTAGGTCTGTGGCAACACTGAACATGCCACCTTGCTCGTGGATCTTGTCACCGAGAGCCTGGAAGTCATAGATTCCACCCTCAGTATCAGGATACTGCGCCAGGACACCGATCAGCTTATCGCCCTGGTCCCTGACGAGCTTGAAGTCGTCTGCCATGATATCGCCAACGACCAGATTGATACCGAATCCCTGGGCACGGGACCTCATAACGGCGAGGGTCTGCGGGTGGCACAGGTGGGATGCAACGAAAGCCTTCTTCCCGGGCTGCTTTTGTTTACTCGCGGGCAGGGCGGCCCACGACATGGTCATGGCCTCCGCAGCGGCGGTTGCTTCATCAAGTACGGAGGCATTGGCAACAGGAAGGCCGGTGAGGTCGGAGGTGAGGGTCTGGAAATTGAGAAGAGACTCCAATCGGCCCTGGCTGATCTCCGGCTGGTAAGGAGTGTAGCTTGTGTACCAGACTGGGTTCTCAAGCACATTTCGCTGGATGACCGGCGGTACGATGGTGCCGTAGTAACCACATCCGATGTGTGATCGTCCGGTGGTATTAATGTCCTTCCTGTACGCCTCAAACAACTTGATCATGTCTGACTCGCCCAGTCCGCCGTACAGGCTGTCCCGCGGCAGTTTGGGGGCAGTTTCCTTGGGAGCGGCCAAGCCAAGCTCCTTTGCGGACAGAATGTCAGCCGGCAGGACTTGGTGGACGAATTCATCCAGCGTCTTCACTGGCGGGTCCAACACGCTCAGCATTGCCTCAGCAGACGACTGCGAAGGCCCAATGTGTCGGCGGGGAAAACTATCCAGCGGCTGTTGGATGTCGGTGTTGCTGCTCTCGGCGACAGGACTGGAGTGAAAGCTGCGGTAGACGACCGCACGGTGAGGGCGGGAGGCAGACCGTAGTAGACATTGACGACAGGCAGTCAACGGCGACAGCTGGCGAGGAGTTCGTAGCATTACTGCTTGAGCCTGGCGTCCGGCGAGATGCCTACCGCCGAAGCGGAGGGCCGTTAGGGCAGCTACCATAATATATTTATAGACGAAGCAGCTGGGGAGGGATAGCGAGCGGAGGTTTCGTTGTTATGATGCTGCCAATTGCAAAATACGCAAAGTCTTCAGAGCGGCATCGTCAACAGGAAGAAGAAGAAGAGAAAGACGAGGATCTCATGGACGTTCGGAGGTTTGCTTTTGCTCTCGTTCCTGTATTTCTGCATCGGGAAAAAAAAGAGGAAGAAGAAGCAACGTGATTGGTGGGGAGAAAAGCAAAGCCTCGGCCGATAATCGGGGAAGTCACATGATAATTTCTATCAAGCCGAGCCAGTTATGTTGCGAGAAAAGAATATTTCTGCTAATTTCCATTGGTCAAAAAAATAAAAAGGTAGATAAGCAGTCTCGACACTCCGATTGGTGGATCGTCATCCGATAACTTGGCTTGGCATCACGTGACTATATTCACGTAATAAAGTCGATTATATCAGCTGATTACATAATATGAACCAACGAGTAGTTTCGTCTTTGGTAGAGACAGGAAACCCTCATGTTTGAACTTGACTATCAGTCTGGCTGCGTGAGGGTATCCCTAATACTTATACCGACCCGAACTGCCAAGTGAAAGAGCTTGCATCCACCGGCGTAAAGCTCACCAAAAGGATGGATCGTGTACGTGAAACTTATCCGGGCTTATTCGAATGATCGAGAGTCTAAGCGCCGAATAATAAGCGCCGAAACGCTGCTGGTTGGTTAGCTAAGCCATTACCCGCATTAGTCACCAGCTAACCACCGCGAAACCTCATCGCGCTCAAAAGTCAACCTTCTTCATTTGACTTCTCGTGATAACCAAAAGATGTCGCCCACCAGGCATGAGACAATAAGCAGCCACCCGATTGGAGACCAGCTAGATGAATTTCGTGGCCTGTTCGACATCTGCGAACCTATCGCAGCAGATGAGGGGGAAGTGAACAACATCAGGCCTAAAGTCCTCCGTTTCCTCCTTGCTCTACCAACACTGCCTGCTTGCGACAAGTTACTTTCTACTAAGGGATCTGGTCCGCTTTATATCGACATCTTGCGGCTAGCTACCGATTTTGATATTGTATCTCTTCTACCTCTATTGAAAGTCGTCAGGGATAAGGAGTCCGATGAAGTTATCTGGAATAAGGTCTACGAGGCTGTCGCCGCGGCCACGCCCCCCCCTCGCGCGCCACTGTCTTTCCCACAGACGCCTTCAAGTCGAAATACGGGCACCTCCACTAATTCAAATGAATATCGAGTCGACATGGATATCTTATTGAAGGGAGGAGCTGGGCGACATGTATGTTGATATGCCTGAGTTCTATAATACTCTCTTTGGAGACGCAGAGCACCTTCATGCTCAGGCAATATTCGAGAGGTGTAAAGAAGGAGACGACCCGATATATCGCGAGGATACTGGCTGGACAGGGTGGCCGGAGGGCGCACCGGAGGAGCAGGTGCTGGCCTGGATGTCACGGGTTATTAGTAAACTCATAGAGCTGTATGAGGAACAAGAGCCAGGCGAGACAGTGCAGAGAAGGCCCCTGGCACTGCCCAATCAGCCGCTAAAAGGCTCTACGGCCGAGCGGAAGTTAGACATCGGCTTTATGAATGGTAGCGCACCCCTTGAGAACGGCAAGTACGCCTGGTCACAGATACTCGTGCCAGGAGAGTTAAAGAACAAACCAGGACTTGATATCAAATCTAGGGCGTGGCTAGATCTTGGAAGATATGCAAGAGAGGTATTAGCGAGCCAGGACTCTCGCCGTTTTGTGCTAGGCTTTACACTCTGCGGGTCACGCATGAGGCTATGGTTATTCGACCGTCTGGGTGGGATCGGGTCGGAACGGTTTGATATCCACGAGGATGGCCTTCGATTTATATCAGTATTGCTTACTTATCTACTTATGAGCGAGGAGCAGCTTGGGTTTGACCCAACGATTGTCACTGATACAGAGGAGGACTTGCGCTACATTACGATAGAACGAGATGATAGAGAGGAACGCCTGATCATTGACGAGATGATTAAGCGCACAGCCTGCATTGCTGGACGAGCTACCACCTGTTGGAAAGTACATCGCGATGGTGAATCTCTATCCCTCGTGGTCAAGGACTCCTGGCAGTATCCGGAGCGAGATGAGGAAGGGGAGCTACTTCGCGAGGTCACAGAGAAAGGGGTGATCAACGTAGCGCGATACTACCACCATGAGACGGTTCAGGTAGGAGGTAGGGATGACGACGTCTGCAATGGGGTGAGGAAAGGGCTGGACATCACGACAGCCAGCAACTATATGACAGCTAGCTCCAGGCGTCCAGAAAATGTGAGCAGAAGCAGTTCTCGCACAGGGAAGAAGAGCAGCCGCACCACCAGCAGGAAACGATCCTCCACAAATGTTGAGCCGTCGTTGCCTCCCAGCAAACGCACGCAGTCTCGTCCTCCGTATACCTCTCCGTCACTCTCTACTCCGCCACCCTCCAACCGGATCCATCGCCGTGTTATCATTCAAGACTACGGTAAACCTATCTATGAAGCAAGCTCAAAGGTTGCCTTACTTGCGGCGCTAGAAGGATGTATCAAAGGCTACGAGTCCCTTCATCAACAGGCTGGCATACTCCAGAGTGATATATCCCCCAACAACCTAATGATTAACGAGGACGGAGGTTCCTTAAAGTCATTTATCATCGATCTAGATCTTGCCATCAAGGAAGACAGGGTGGAGTCCTCAGGGGCTCGGGGAAAGACGGGCACGCAAGCATTCATGGCGATTGGGGTCCTTCTGGGCGAGAAGCACTCGTTTATGCACGATCTTGAGTCATTCTTCTGGGTTCTCTTCTGGATATGCATTCACTATCATGGCCCCCTGGGTAAAAAAACAGTTACAGTATTTGAGGAGTGGAACTATATAAGTACGGAGAAGTTGGCCAAGGAGAAGAAAGGCGAAATAAATGTTGAGACTGATTTCCTCGAGTCTGCAACGAAGCACTTTACGGAATACTACCAACCGCTTGTGCGCTGGGTCAATAAACTGCGACGAGTCGTCTTTCCTGACGGTGGAAGATGGAAGACGCCTAATGAAAACTTATACTCTAGCATGACTGACCTTCTTCGAGAAGCCCAGATGGACCCTAAAGTCATTGGGAGCTGAACTCCTTTTACGGTGTATATATGTGTATATTTATATGAGAGACGATGGGATGCTCTTCCAGGTGTCAAATTATACCCAGCAATGTACTTTTACTACAGATATAATCATGTTCAAATTTAGATAGCTATAATGATGCCCTATTTCATACTAACCAGCAAACACTCCCTACTAACGAGCTCTTTATAGATGTGATCTCAGAATATTAATCTGGTTAAAACCGTTCCCGAGCCAGCCCTCCAACGTCCAGATACTTGCATGAAACGAGGACAACAGCCTTGTTTTATTGTACTATATCCCTGGGAAGTCAGTTTGTTCGTAGTAAACAAACTAACTAGTTAACCAACACTAAACAGGTATCAAGTTGGCGGGGGTATCGCCCGGAGGTCGCCGTCTTTTGACCGCAACACTCTTCAACCAGATACAAAACCTATAATCATCCTTGATCGCATCCCTCTTATGGTATCTCATTCTAAACCGCGTGCTCTTTCTTTTGCCACCAGTTGGTCGGTTGGAGAGTCAGCTCTAGCAAGCCACGACATAACGAAGTATCTCCAAGACGGAGGCCACCGAATCTGTTGAAATGCGGAGCAACCAGCTGCAGGTTATATGACGTCTGGCCTTTCTTCCTCTCTGCTATCATTCTGTTTTTTAATGGACCTTCTCACCTCGAGCGATTGATTGACTGCGGGCCCGTTGACGACTCAAACCATGGGTGAAATCTCGCCAGTGGCTGTGGCGAAGTGCTGCAGCTACACCCTCTATCTGGGGACGTTTATCCAGCTCCCGCGCGAACCGACAACGCCTGCAACCCCCAAGTCAGCCCCGATATACAAACTGCTGGTCAATGATGGCGCTGTATGGGTGGATAACTCGGACGGGCGCATCGCGGGCTCCAAGTGGGATATCAGGAGTCAGAGAGAGCTAGACGAACTGGCTGCGAGCATGGGATGGAAGCTGGTATACGACGATAAGGAGGCTAAAGACGATGAAGGCACAGCTCCGCGTGTGAAGATAATACGGTCTATGGGGGAGAATAATGGCTTCTTCTTTCCCGGATTCATCGGTAGGGTGCCTCTCTATAAAACTTATGAACAGGTCCCAGCTGACGAGTGATAAAGATACACATATACATGCACCACAGTATCCCAATTCTGGAATATTCGGGTCAACTACCCTCCTGGATTGGCTGAACAAGTATACGTTCCCCATGGAGGCGTCGTTCGGGGACAAGAGCGCTCCCGATACGCCCTCCAGGAGAGCTCACACCGTCTACAGCGCCATTGTGACCCGTACGTTGTCGCACGGCACGACCAGCGCCGCATACTATGCAACCATCCACGTCCCTGCCACGAACCTCTTAGCCTCAGTCTGCCACACGAGGGGCCAGAGAGCGTTCATTGGTCGAGTCTGCATGGACAACCCCGAAACTTGCCCCGACTTCTATCGAGATGAATCTACAGAGGCCATGGTGGAGGCAACCCGGGCGTCGATGGAATACATCTATCGCCTGGACCCTTCAGGGACGCTTGTGAAGCCTATCATCACACCCCGGTTTGCCATCTCCTGTACCAGTGACGGGCTCGCCCAGCTGGGGAAGCTCGCTGCCTCCACAAACCCGCCGACTTACATCCAAACGCACATCTCCGAAAACGGCGATGAGATCGAGACGGTTAAAGCGTTATTCCCCGACTGTGTGACGTATACTGAAGTATATGACAAGGCAAACCTCATTACGCCCCGTACAATTCTGGCGCATGGCATTCATCTGCTTGAATCCGAGCGGGCGCTGATACGCGAGAGATCTGCTGGAGTAGCGCACTGCCCGGCATCAAATACATCCCTAAGCTCGGGAATGTGCCCTGTCCGCACCCTGCTCGATGACGGGATCAATGTCGGCCTCGGCACAGACGTCAGTGGAGGGTACAGTTCCAGCATCCTTGAGACAGCCAGGCAGGCGTCTCTCGTGTCTCGACTGCTATCTCACCATAACGGCAAGGAAAACATGGGGCGTGATAAGCTCAGCGTCGAGGAGGCCCTGTATCTCGCGACCAGAGGCGGAGCTAGGGTGTTGAACATGCAGGACCAAATCGGTGGGTTTGAAGATGGAATGTTCTGGGATGCACAGATGATCGAGCTTGGAGGCTGCCTCGAAAGCGACGCCGACGCTACGGTTGAGCAGTCGGCTTTGCAACCGGGTGGAAACGTGTGCATATATGGCTGGGAGACATGGGAGGAGCGGGTTGCTAAATGGATGTGGACGGGAGATGACAGAAATGTGAAGGCCGTTTGGGTTGGCGGAAGGTTGGTGCATGGAATCGCATAGTTGATCTGATATGTATAACTTGTATATATTGACTTCAATAATTAATTGTATTTAACTACCGTCCTAAGCCAAATGAAGTTTGAGCTATGATATCGCACATACATTCTGCTAGTGATAACTTATCCTGGCGTTCTCTTTTAAAAAAAGAACAAAACATATTGTCCTAGGTAAAAGAATTAGGAATAGAAAATAACGTCATGTAATATCATATGTACTCATTGATAAACGTATACGCCAAAGCCGGATCATGTAGCTAACTGCTAAGGACGATACTGTACTTCGCGGCCAACAGAGACCGGAAGATGCAGGCGGCTCACAGTCTCAACATCACCCAAGGCACCTTTGCCATGGTTACGGATGAAAACAGAGCTTCCCTCGACAATGTGAGTGTGGTCCCAGCTCGTGATGCGGCCCTTGCTGAGGGCAGAGTAAACAAGGCGTCTTCGGCGCTGGGAGTTTAGAACCTGCTGTTGGATCCTGTCGAAGTCCCAGCGAGCATGCACTTCCCGGAGGAAGGCTTTGAACAGAGATGTAATGTCATTTGTAGCTGCAGACGAAGTGATTTCTGCGGCCGCGGGGGCGCAGGCCTTTTTGCCTGACATGGGGGTATGAGGCGGAGTCGGGATGTTGCTTGGAGCATTGAGTGATGCAAAGAAGGAAGAGGATTTCATTGCTGCAGTAGAGCCAGCAGCCGGAGGAGTAGGGAGAGCAGTCGGGCCACCGTTTGAAGAAGTCTCGGAGAGCGTTGGGAGCTGCATACCGGCGACGAGGTTGGTAGACTCGGTTGGATCCTGCTCGATATTGTATAGCTGAGGAGGGTCGATGGGAGAGTAAACAAATTTCCAGGGACCACGACGGATCATCACCAGCGGTGCCAGGGTACCCTCGCCCATGTATTCGCCCAGAACAGTGTCTGTCTTCTCGCCAGGAGCGTTGTCGACGAGATATGGCATCAGGGAGACACCGTCTACCGGAAGACCGGGGAACAGCGATCCACCTGTCATGGCAACGAAGGTCGGCAGCAGATCCATGGTCGATACGTTCTCCTTGACACGCTTGGGCTGGTATCGTCCCGGAGCGTATACGAGCATTGGGACTCGGGCTGACATCTCGAACCAGGACATCTTATACCACAGCCCTTTTTCTCCCAGCATATCGCCATGGTCTCCAGAAAAGACAACGATGGTGTCCTTGTCCAGGGCACAGTCCTTGAGCGTGGTGAGCAGAGCACCAATCTGGGAGTCGACATAGGTGCAAGCAGCGAAATAGGCACGGCGAGCAGCAATGATGCGCTCGTCCGGTATCTCCTTGCCCAGCAGGCCGATAATCTTCAGTATCCGGCGCGAGTGCGGGTCTAGCTTGGACTGATCAATGGCTGCCGTGGTCGGGAGAGGGATGTCGACGCCCTCGTACATATCCCAAAATTCCTTTGTCATGGCGTACGGATCGTGCGGGTGTGTCATGGACACCGTCAGGCAAAACGGCTGGTCCTTGCGATGACGGGCATGGTCATACAGGTACTGCTTTGCTTTATAGATCACTTCATCATCAAAGTCGAGTTGGTTGGTTCGCACACAGGGACCAGCTTCCATGACGGAGGACATGTCATGATACCAATCTTTGTGAACATCCTACATCAAGCAATACAGAGTTAGGATACCAAATTCCAATCAGGCCGGACAGGCACAGAATAAAGAGAACAGACAAGAGGTAAAACAACCCTTACTCTCTACCTATCTCCTGTCTCTCTCTCTCTTACTTATGTATTTCCTTTCACCTCTTATGGGCGTATCAGGGGCAGACTTACCGGTTCATCCCAATTCACAGACCAGCCATAATCTCCAGGGTAGATATCACTGGTCAAACGCTCCTCGTAGCCATGCAACTGGTCTGGTCCACAGAAGTGCATCTTCCCCGACAGAGCAGTGTGGTATCCCCGGTCTCTGAGATAGTGAGCGTAGGTGGGAGTGTCGGCTGGGAGGTCACTGGCGTTATCATATCCACCGATGCGAGAAGGCAGCTGGCCCGAGACCATGGTGAAGCGAGATGGGGCGCAGAGGGGCGAGTTGCAGTACGCAGAATCAAAGACCACTCCCTCTTTGGCAAGGCGGTCAAGATTGGGAGTCTTGATGACGGACGAGGAGTTGTAGATGGACAACAGGGGGGCAGCCATCTGGTCTGCCATGATGTAGAGCACATTTGGCTTCTTGGAGTCAGCCATGGTTCACAATCTGTTTATGTTCGACAAAAGCGAGTGTAAGAGGAAGAGGATCAGGCTGGCTTAACGCTGTACACTGTTGAAAAATGGGGTATCAAAAGAGAAGAAAGAAGAAGCTACAGATATATGAGAGTGAATGTGTTATAACCTGAAGGGAGGGGGGAAGTACGAGATACTTATAACCTCGCAGAACTATGTGGAGAAGGAAGATAACCCAAGAAGAAGAAAAATCTTCTTGGTGGCTCCAGAGACGAAGCTCACTTTCTTCTCTCTCCCCCCCCCAGAAGACCCGCAGCAGCCGCCAGAATATAAACATGCATGAAAAAAAAGACACTGGAAAGACGAGGTACATCAGGCCGTATTTAGTTAGTGGCGAGTGATGGAAAATCAGCCCCAAGGAGGAGGATGAACAAGGCCGGAGCCATTATAGCGTGCGATTGCGTGACAATGTGTCGCTTCACCGGCTGATCAGTCGATCGATAACATCGTTTATCATAACTCTGGCGCTGCTGCTTTTCTCCCTCTGCTCGTTCAAGAGACGCCCTCACACACACACACGCACTGACCAGGGCGCCTCAGTCGGAACGAAGGCCCTGGAGCGATCCATGTTATACGGCACACAGCAATCGAATCCCGAAGAAGAAAAAAACCCGCCAGAAACAGACTTTTATCGCGTGAGGTTTCCTTTTAGGCTTAGCGGGGGCTTACCGGCTGCTGGGCCGGCAGGATCCACCGCGCTAGACCTTATATAGTTAAAGTGGTTGGACACTGTCGGTTTACCACCCAATCGTAGCGCAGTTTTTCTCAGCCAACACTGCAACGTATACACCGAAAGAAAATCTCCTGCCAGCCACGCCACGCTTGGCTGAAGCTTTGATGTCAAGTTGTGTCAAAGTGTACCGTCCGTGACATGCTTCGCATATATATTTTATGCCATCTGCTTCCTACGTCAAGGGGATCCGACCAGTCCTTTTAGCTCAAATAAGCTTCTGGACCCTGCACTTCAACGTTTCTCACATGACCACTAAGTGCCGAGCTATGGGCCTAGACCTGTCATGTGACTAATTTGTCATTCTTGGCGAAGGTTTCCAGTGATACGATTGGCCAGTTGGCGCCAATCAGATATGCATAAATTGCCCACTGTGGGGAATATTGCCGCTTAGCGCCGGACCCCTGAGCTTGCTCCAAGACTTCACGCCAAGCCTCCCCCATGCACAGAGATATGCCAACACATCAGCAGTGATCCTGGAAAGGCACAGGCTAGCGTTGCAACCGCCGTGTATTTTGGGCATATAAAGGATCAGCAAAATAAAATCTCCATGCCATCATATATTTTTCCACCGCTGTTTGTACCGAAAGATGATCGCCACAGGGAGTGATGTATATGTGCAGTGGCGGGATCCCCATGTTTCGCTGGTGGAGATGGCTTTCATTTTGGCCACGTGAGGATTTCTGCTGCTGTTCCATGTTTCAACATCCTGGGAACGATAAAAGTAGTATGGGAATCCCGTAGATAGCTGTTCCATATCTCTACAATGCCGAACCATGGGTCCGGTAATGGTAACTCTCTTGGACGAAGATCACATTTACAGGGATTGTTGTGACTTAGTGCTGGGGATGAAACAATGGCCCAAGACACGAGCGAAGATTGAATGACATGGAGCACGGCTATGGTACATTATTATATACAGGTAGTAATATATCCGGAAAGCCATTTTACATCTCAAAGTTTATATCGGCACCCGACCCCTGCAGAAGGGTGTCCCATTGAGACCAGTCAACAGGATTATCGGGAAACTCATAGATCGGAACATTCGAGGTGGCCATGTTCGGCATCAATCCATACCCGTTATTCATCCCGTACTCAGGTGCAGCTATATTAACCGGCGAGAACAATGTTGGCGTAACACCGGTCCGGCTTTGGCTGGCAAGTTGGTCAACCTGAGTTGTGTTTGGGCCACCGGTAGCCATTCCAGGGGATGATGACGCTGGTGACTGGGTAGATTTCATGCGCTGAAGTTGCAATACCTCAATGAAATTTGGTGGCACAATTGACTCCTGGTCATGTCCGCCTGCCAATCTAAAAAGGGTTGCCTTCCTTGCCCCCCAGGCTTTCAGTGTGAGGTTGCCAATTGCAACGTAAAGTGGGTTTTTGGTATCTGAGAGCAGCTCTGGTTTGGATGAATATACATTCCCAAGTTCTGCCCAGGCCCTGTCAACCTGTTCGCCCTCCGTACGGGTCTGGAGCTCATGCAATAGATAGATAAATGCGTGCCACTGAAAGTGCGCACTCACATGCCAGTAGTATCGTTGGATTCCTGGTTCTAAGCGGAAAGTGTGATAATTTGCTATTATTTGCAGAGTATCTGCAAATAGAGCATCACGCACTTCTTGTGATTTTTGTACATCCCCAAGTGAGGGATGGGGAAATGAGCGTGCCCGGAATCTCAACATGACTATACAACTGCGGCCAACTATCCAAGTTAGTAGGTGGAAAGATATTGATGTATCGCAATATTGCAGGTATTTATTTTCAATCAGCGCCTCTAGATCGTCAATTCGTTTGAGGCGGTCGTTCAATGTTACCGATTGGTTAGTCACGGCTCCCCAGGCTCCGTCAAATGTATTCGGAGAAGCTAGGTCGCGAAGTAATAATCCTACTTCATATCGGACTAGACAGAAGCTCATTTCTGTCAGGCCCTTGTGTTCTATCGGCAGGTCTCGCATGCCGGGTGTGATTTCGGAGTCATTGACGTTTAGAGGAAGCTTGGTATCCCAAGACGAACCGGCTAGTGATGCACCCATACCGCATAATTCTCCGCTGAGACCATCAAAGTACAGTGTTGGCCACCATAGACGACGTCGCATCTCAACTTCAAAAATGGGCAGCCCAAACCTAGCGCCATCTCTATGGAGTCCCATTCGTTGTGCTATTCGCATAGCTACACCACTAAGTACCCAGAGCGTCTGAGCATCCACGAATTCTCTCATTGAAAGCTAGTTTCTATCTGTTAGTGAAACCGACCTACGGAAAGGTGGTGGGATGGGGGGGGGGGGGGGGGGTTTCGTACCAGATATAAAAGGAATGCTCGATATACTGTTAGATCTGAACTATTTAGGAAATCTGCCTTGATCAAAGCGCGCTTAGCTCCGAGATGGAACCTGCGAAGTAGAGCCTCCCTTGACTCCCCGAGTCGGGCAATGCAGTCCTCTTCCCGAAGAGAAGCAACAGCGCACGTGTAGATACCAAACATGAGTGCCTCGACAGGCTTGGGTATATTATCCAGGTCTGAACTTGCATCCAATATTTGCTGCTGAACTGTCGGCTTATGGCATAGCTTTGTTACGGGATCCATGTTGTCAATATATATTTGCCATAGCTTAAAAATCTGTACAGTATCTGGATGTAGTGTACGCAGGCTGACCGATCCTCCTAATGATCCAAATAAAATAAACTCATCTCCATCCGAGCGAGGGGAGCCTTCAGTGGGCGGGAATGTATCTCCGCTACTATTCGCAGTATCGCACGCGCTGTCCAAGATCGTCTCAGGATCACTAATCTCACTGCTCAAATTCACCCAAAGACTGTTTTCGAGAAGCTGTGACTTCCCATCCCCGATAATCATTCGGCCAAACTGGTTGTTCAGCTCCGTTTCCTCGCCAGGTGGTTCTGCTCGATAATTGTTACCTGGGGTGTATGAAGGACCTGGTGTCTCAGACACAGCGGACGGACTATTGGGTTTATATTCGTCAATCTTATTCACATCCACTCCTAATCCAGTTAGGAGCTCTTCATATTTGCGTAGTCTAGCAAGCAGTGTGTCCTCCGGGGACCGTCGCTTACGCCGCTTCGGTGCCGGCGGGGCGCGGTATATACAGTTAACCTCATACTTGCGGCAGCCTGAACATGGGCTCTGTCGGTCGCATTTAACCTTGCGCTGCTGGCATAGAACACAGGCATAAGGCTTTAGGAGTGGAGGGGCAACGTCCGCCACCGTAGAAGCCATTGTTTTGGCATGAGTTAGAGGGTATTAAGCGAAGAAGGCTGTTTCATCATTGCCCCAAACTATATTATACCCCGTGCATTTCAAGGCGCTGTCGTCTTACAATCACCATCAGTTGTTTGGCTTTTTCTTCTCATCTCTTGAAGTTTTGATCGCGAAATCCTTCAACGAGGTTTTTATATTTTATATTGATTATGTCATCGTCCTTTGTTAGCTGTTTTAGCGGTATTTTTGATTTACGGCTTATTTACCACTTATATTACCGGATACTTTGAATTTTGAAAGAATTGCTTAGTAATTAATGTCACATATGTAATATAAATACCAGAAAGGTCCGACTTTGTATTTCGATATATAGAGAAGCTCGCGCTGCGCAGGAGTTGGGAATGAAGCAGAGCTTAACTACGTGGAGATGTCTTAGTAGGCTGTGCATTTTTGCGTTGAGGAGTATGCAATGTATCCGTTCGTATTAGAGTGAGAATGTATATATATGTACATTATTTCTATATCCACATAGTTCTATAAACTCCATAAGAAAAGCCTCCTAACTCCGGAAAACGCGCCTTTTTACCATTATTAAACAAGAACAGGGTGTTGAAGTGAAATCATATACTCAGCAGCAACCCAATTACGACTTCTCCTTTCCTTTCACGCTCTTCCATTCGATAGTGAGTGCACCCAGGAAGGCGGCACATGACATCCCGACAGCAATGTAATAAGTATTGACCACCGCGTGGTTATACACTTCCAGTACCGATCTGAGCGTGTCCGGATCTTTGACTAGGTCGTGGATCGTGGTTGCGCCAACTTGAGCAAGCTTGGCTGGGTCTAGGCCAGGGATATGTCGAAGCCCAGAAGTGAGCTTATTTGTGAAAATATTCTGAGCCACAGCAATAAAAACCGTGCCGCCGAGCTGCTGGGCGAAGAAAATCAAAGACGAGCCGACTGGTACATCGGCCTTGGAAAGGACGGTCTGGCATGCCACTGATCCTTGTTGCATTCCCAACCCCAACCCTATGCCGTAGATGACTTGGTATCCTATCCATTTTGCATGGCCCGTGTCTGGCATAAATGTCGTTAAGAGTCCAGCACCCACAGAAGAAAGGATACAGCATGCGATCATGAAGGGGGCATAATAGCCAATCGCTGTGACCAGGCCTCCGCTCAGAATCACACCTATGACGAGCGATAAGATCATGGGGAGATTCATGATTCCAGATTTGACGGCACTGACGCCCTTGATAGCTTGGAACCAGAGAGGAAGGTAGTATATTATAGTCATCATTGAGGACCCGAGGCAGATGGTGAACCAGAACGCCGAAAGGACGCTCCGCTGGACGAATATGCGTGGCGGCACGGTTGCTTCTTCCTTGCGCCAAATCTGAATTGCGATAAAGGCAATAAGAAGAATGCCGAACACAACGAACAGGCCAATTATTCTCCCGTCTGACCAAGGGTAGGTAGTGCCTCCCCACTGAAGGGCAAGAAGCAGGCAAATGACGCTCGGCATGAAGCAAAGGGTGCCTAGAGGATCGAGTTTAAGAAACTGTTCGTACAAGCTCAGGCCTTCGATGCTCTTTCGAGGGATATTGATGCGGAGGAGGAAGGTGACGATGACCAAGGTGACAGCCCCGATAGGTAAATTGATGTAGAAGCACCATCTCCAAGAGACTCTGTCCGTGAACACACCGCCAAGCAAGGGGCCCGCAACAGAAGCGATGCCAAACATCCCACCCATCAAGCCGGTGTACGCAGGACGCTTGCGCAGAGGGACGGTATGAACGATGATTATCACAGTTCCCGAGAAGGCCCCGGCTGAACCAAGACCTGCAATGGCTCGGCCGACAATGAAAGCAGTTGAGTTGGGGGCCGCTCCGCACACCGCGGACCCAATCTCAAAGATGACGATAGCCGTGAGATAGACCCATTTGGGAGAGTAGAGCGAGTAGAATTTGCCAAACAGCAGCATGAATGAGCATCCGGTGAGCAAATAGCTGCTGCCGTACCAGCCAATATCCTGGATTGAATGAAACTGATCCGTAATCCGGGGAATGGCTGTGGCGATGATGGTCCGGTCCTGTATAAGGGGTTAGTTAGGGAGAAGTAGCTAAAAATACAGACACAAAAGAGGCTGACATACCAAGGCAATGAGAAATACCACGAGGTACAATGCTACCATGATCGGGATCACTTTCTTCGCTGACGGATACTGGGAGTCATCCTGCTGTACAGTCTTCTCACCACTGCTCTCCTCGTCGAGAGACCTGCACTCTGGTTCGCCCATCACGAGGCTGGTATAGTAGGTATCTGGCGAGTTAAAGCAAGGTGCAGATTCAAACTGCTTGTCTGATAAGATGTCGATGTATACTTGCTCCACGACATGACCACGAGGCGAGCCATGACGGCTTATATATAAATGCTACACCATTTTTTTCTCCGTCTTACCTCGAGCCGGGCAACTCTTTTGACCAAGCTCCGACTGTCTGCCTGCGCCAACGAACATCCACTGTGATCTTAAGTCCGGGAAGCGATGGCAAGGTTCGGGGTGGACACCCATGACTCGGCCCCGAGATGGCGCCTGGCACCGACATTCTTCTCGGGGCGCCCTGGAAAAAGGCTTGTCCCAAAGGAAGTTCTTGGGCTTCTTTCGGCCCCCCGAAGCGGCTCAACCGTACTCTTCCCTCCAAGGTCAGAACATCGTGATCTTCCTTGCGCTTTCATATCCAAACACTGGCCGTTTTCGACTTTTTCTTTCCTCTTTTCCTTAGAATAAGTGAAAATTGAAAGGCCTTTTTGGGGGGAGACTGAAATCCGCTTAGTCACCCGGAAGATCGGCGTCTATTAAGCTCCGATATCACGTGGACAGGGCTTGGCCGTGGATGTTTAAAAGCTTAATTTTTAGTGTTTTTTCTCCTTTTTTGATTGGCTGGTTTTTTATGGATCGCCTTGGGGCTGCTGGGCTCAAGGATGATGACCACAACTGGGACTTACTATGCAAAATATTTGAGAGGACGAGGGCCTATGGGTAGCTGAAAGCGTTTGTACCATTTGGGATGTAGCTTTCTAGCCTTCGAGGGTTGCTACCTAGAATTATTAACGGGAGATAAGGATTTTGCCAAACCCCTGGTTGGTACTAGGCCTAGATTAGCGTGGGAGGCAGGCCGGCCAAAAGGTCTCTCGCCCGCCCCCATAGAACCTTAGCATGTGCATTTTTCATTATCACTACCATAGTACAAGCAGATAACCGGTATGTTTCCAAGAATAACGAGCGTTTACCCGTTCAAAACGAGTCATGATAATCGTAATCAAAGCCAACGTTGACGTACAAAAAGCAAATATCAAAGCTCAATAAGAAAAAGCAACATTTTATCGAGACTAACATAGTAGTAAGTCCAACTAACCATATGTGATCATAGGCCACTTCCATTGTACAAAAGGAGTTTAGTTGTTCCTGGTTTTGGATCTTGGATGGACGGAAGGGCAAGCTTCTTTATCGTTTCGCATACCTTGTCCGAACTCATTCCCATGTCAATGATGAATGTTGCCATTCCCGAGACCTGAGAGGTAGAGTATGAGCTTCCAGACACGGTCACAAGCTTGTCGCCGTGGATTCTCGTTGTAATGTTTGTTCCTGGGGCATAGATGTCGACTTTTATGCATTAGCGAAGAACATGGTAAATGCCCATGATAAATGGAGTACGCGTATATCCAACAGCAGACTCACCAACGGGACCATAACTACCGAATGAGGCCGGAGCATCAGCAGGAGTGCTGGCTGCAACCGCGCATACTCCATTAGCTGAGACAGGGGATTCCTGGCTTGCATCGCGCTGAAACCAAAAGTTAGAGGAATGAGAAAAAAAAAGGGGGGGATAATCTACATTTCCGGCGCCCACCGACGCAGCAACAAAGATTCCTGCCTTGATAACCTTTTCGGTCGCCTGATTGAAAGATGCTGAGTACGCCCCACCAAGACTCATGTTCATGACCGCTTTACCAACGATATTCCTCTTAGCCACGTCGCTGATGCTCCAGTCCAGGCCTTTTATGATGCCAGAAATTGAGCCAGATCCTGTGTTATCTAGGATCTTGACGCTCACCACCAAGGCCTTTTTGGCAACTCCATGAACGGTCCCAGCTATGACTTCAGCTACAGAGGTTCCATGGCCGTTTTCATCACTGTCTCCATCAGGTGTGGTATTGATTCCCTGAATGACCCGGCCCCTTAGGCCACTATTGGTGCCGTCAACTCCCGTGTCAAGGAGGTAGATGTGAACGTTCTGTCCTGCCCTCTCCTCATACACGTATTCAGGGGTAGGAGGGAGCTTCTTGTGTGAGATGCGAGAGAGGTACCACCCGGCGCCCTTCTGAGTAACCAAGCCCAGCGCCCTTATCATCGCATCCTGCTCAATATATTTCACCTATAACCCGTTAGCGCTTCTATCTCATATTTCCTAATGCGGGGGAACTTGCTCTCGGGTTTTGTGCAATTCTCTTGATCATCTCTTTGTCAAATGTACCGCTGTAGCCCTGAAAGCCAGCGACATTGAAGGTGTGGCGTACACCCCAGCCTTTGCCTGCGTCGTTGGCACCGGCAGCATTGTCATGTAGGAGGCCATCTACCCAGCTCCTATGAGTGTCAAATTCCCTGGCTTGAATATCATCTTTCATCACCACGAGATAGGAGTCTGGAATCGCTTCCATTCCATTCGAAACCGGGATGATTTCGGCTGCTCTGACTCCAAATACAAGCAGTGCAGCCGTCACCAAGCATTTTCGGGCGTTCACCTTCATTCTGGTAGGCCAAGCAGACAATAGTGTATACACCGGTTTAGATATATAAATCTAACAGAAAATCAAACAAACAGAAGGAATAGATCACAATTACCGGACGGGTTTGCATCCAATTTCTGAGGGAATTCCTATAAACCCGACGTGGACAATATGGGAAGCTGACGAGGTAGCATGGTAATCATAAACTCGTATAGATTCTCTTGGGCTTACGGCGAACTCCCGACGATGGCCTGCGGTCCATGTGAATAATATGTAGAAGTATGGCATCTTCGCCGTTGAAAAGCGCGAAATGATGGCTTACTACAGATGTGTCAACACAATCCAAGGCCAAGATATGTACTTAAGCGACAGGCTAGCCTATAGTCAACTATCACGAAGCACAAACTCCTGTCAGACAGCCTGGATCTGGCTTCTCCATGTCTCTAATCTCATCGCACAACTATGAGGTCACATCTCCTTTCCAGGCCGAAAGGCACTGTTCTCAAAATAGCATACATGGGTCTCTGTCCTTTACTTTTAACGCAGGCAAACAGGGGCAGACTTAAATATTAACGCCCCTCATCTCAACGATCTCCAAGGTGTAAAGTGGCCAAATAAGGATCTTCTCCAAGGATTGATCGCTGTTGAGCGGACTGCCTGTGTACCTCAAAAGTAGAAGACCCTCTGTATTTTGTCAGTAAACTGGCAACGGATCCTTTTTCATCATTCTTGTAGCAGAGCCGATGCTACAGGGTTCCTCTGACCTTAAACTTCGCATAGCTGGACATTCTTTGCTTCTGTATGTGCTGTTCAATTTCATCTTTTATTCTCTCACGCTGTGCGGCCCTGCAGTCTTTCTTGTGCAAGCTGTAGTGCTCTTTGCGGCATTCTCCAGAGCAGTATCTATATTATATATTATATTGTTGATAACTATTAGCGACATATACCATATACGATGTTTTCATCCCATACCAGGGACTCTAGGCTCATGGCTGATAGTCTCAAACCGTAAAAAAAGGGAAGAGGTTACTTACCGGACTGTCTTGCAGCCATCACAAGGGGTAAGATCCTTGGTACTTCCACACTTGAGGCATGAGGGAGAGGACGGGGAAGAAAGGCCTGAGAGATGGGCATCGCGTAATTCGCTTGCCAGCCGCCCAGCCTTCTGATCGCAGAACCCAGCGGTCCTACAGATAGGCACGCAGTACCCCCAAACAGAGCGGCGGACAGGCTCAACGGTTCCAACATCAGGGGCCAGGAACGAGACCACCACCAGATTGAATGTAGTTGCCCTCTCTCCGCAGAATTGGCAGTCCCAGGATCGAATGGCAAGGAGGTCGACATGATGGCGCGCTGCCATGTTTGCTACAAAGCGGCAGGCCATATGAGAAGACTCAGGGGTATGGCCAACGCCTGGTAGGCAAAGAGACCTAGGGGCAAATTCGGCAAACGTGAACTTCAACCCATCTCCTCCATTAACTCCTGGGTGGCGAGCACCACAGATACCCTCATATATCACTGGGACAAGCTGTTCAGGAGGGTTGAGAGGCAGAGCAACCGCGTTCCGCTTTGGACGCGACATTTTGATATATGTGAGGCTCTGTTTCTGTTCTAGATGTAGGTAAGGTTTAGGATATTAGAGAGAATGAGGTAATATATAGGTATAATTTGCTGAAGAGGATATAAACACTCTTTTCTATCGCCGGATGAGAGCTAGAAATAAGTTATTGAAGCTGTTGGAGAAAAAGGCGCTAGTAGGTGTGTTTGTTATTGTGTTTCTCCCCAGAAGCACCTTTTTTGGTTGTTTGGTGATAATTTTACTCTAACTTCAAAAGAGCATTGAGACAAGTTCTTGTATCTCTGATATACAAATACTTCTTTAAAAGGTCCCGTCTTGGATCTTTTGGGTATCAGCGTTTTAACAGATATAAAGGGCATATATTAAACGTTATATTGAATAGAAATGTGAGTTTTCTTTTAATATGACCAGTGGCCATATAACCAGGGTAAAAGGCGAAAAGGAAATCAGAAAACAGAGGTCAAAGTTGATATAGAATTAAATGGGAATATTCAACAAGTCAAATATATAAAGACATAAGAAATAATAAAAGGGAAGATGCAAATGTCAATGGTCATTCAAGTTAGCGTGAGGCAGTAGATGGGTGATACAGAGCAAACAAGGTATTTTACTCTGGTTTCCTGCCAACCATGAGGAGCATAGGGGTGAATAGTTTCATTTCTCCGCCCTTGACTAAACAATCAGCGGCATAAGCTAGACTGTCTCCTGTCTTCTGGGAGCCCCTGGGGAAGAGGCCGACCTTCTCCATCGAGCCAAGGAAGCGGTGGACAATAGCGCGACCCCACCAAGTCATTCTCATGATAGTGAAGATATCTCCAAGAGAGGACATATGCTTCCAGGAGCCAGCGAGAGGATAGTACCATGGGCTGGGATCCGGACGGTTAGCGAGATCTTCTACTTTGAGAAGCTCGAAACCGGCAGCCTTCATGGCTTCAATGGCAACGCTTTCCTTGACCATATTTGAGATACCGTCACCTTGTTCGATTCCAAGTCGGATCTCGCGGTGAACGGGGTTTTCGTTGTCATACTTGTCGGTCATAACCCATTCATAAACACCAAACATGCCGCCTGGCTTGAGAACCTTGAAAATCTGAGAATAAACGCCTTCGAGGGAAGGAGCATGAACGGTAGCCTCAATAGCGTACACGGCATCAAAGGTGTTTGGCTCAAAGGACATTTGCATAAAGTCACCCTTGACAAAACGCAATTGTTTGGATAGGCCTTCCTTCTCAGCATAGTGGGTGGCACGTTCAATTTGATAGTCGTTATTGTTCAAACCAACGATATTAACGCCTGCGAATTTGGCTATCTCCCTAGCGGGGCCGCCAACACCACAACCCACGTCAAGAACGAGCTGGTTTTCCTTCAGACCGATAGAGTGGGCCAGGTAGTGTTCATGCCTGGCAATGGCTTGACGGAAGGGTTCACCATAGGCAAAACGGCAGAAGTGGAACGAAGCTCCCCATCCATATTCGTAAAAATCGGTAGCCAAGTTGTAGTAACTACGTAGCATTGTCAAAACTCCAATTATTCCAGCCAATCTGTAGGCAGCTATGTAGGCTTACTGTCTGGTCAGGGTAGCATATTCCGCTCTTCTCGCCTATAGAAGTGAAAAATATACCATGGTCAGTATCACCGGTACAATGATTCCCGTGTAGATTGCGCACCTCTCTGGTTTCTTCTGTCTCGTCAGCAGAGGGTTTCTGATCCCAGTGCTTGAAATATTCATCAACAGCAGCCTGCTGAGCGCTCTTATCCTTTCCCATCATAGCAGACAGACCACCCTTGGCCTTCGAAGTGTTGCCATGCAAGGCCTTGTTAAACTCCGCATCACGCTTATGGTTCTCGGCTTCAAGTTGAGTAGACGACATGGTGGTAATATTTTATTTCCTCTCTTCTCTAAATAGACGTGAAAACACGAGCAAAGAATGGCAATTAAAAGGGCAAAACACAGAATATAAAGTAGAATAAAAGGGGCTTCGTGAGGTGAAAATCGATAATATTTTTGTCTGCTTCTTTTTTTTTTTGTTGTTTGCAAAAACTTTCCCAAAAGGGGCTTCGAGTCTTGGCATATAGCTGTCCCTTTTAGGTCTAGACCAGTATGTCATGTGACACGGAACCCCGGCCCTTCCGTTTTGGGAATCATGCCATTGTCACGTGGATAATTACTCCATTATGACTAATCCAAATAAATTAGTAATCCTGCTTATTCATCAATGGCAACAACTTGAATCGCAAGAAGGAAAAAAAGTTGAAGACGAACAACAGAGAAAGAGAGAGAGAGAGAGGGAGAGAGAGAGACAGAGACTGTTCTGTTCTCTTGACATACATCAAGATGCCTCCACAGATAAAACAGGATATAAACCGGTCGGGCTGGGAGACCACTGATTTCCCGTCCGTCTGCGAACAGTGTCTCCCCGAAAACCCCTATGTTCAGATGTTGAAGGAGGACTATGCTGCGGAATGTAAAATCTGCACTCGACCGATGACGGTCTTTCGATGGAAGGCGGACCGGACATCTCGCACGAAGGCGACAAATATATGCTTGACATGCGCGCGCCTGAAGAACTGCTGCCAGTGCTGTATGCTTGATCTCTCCTTTGGCCTTCCAATCGTCGTTCGAGATGCAGCCTTGAAGATGGTTGCCCCAGGCCCACAGAGCTCGATTAACAGAGAGTACTACGCGCAGGAGCATGAAAAGGAGTTGGAGGAAGGCCGAGGCGCGGTGGAAGAGTACGAAAAGACCGACGAGAAAGCCAGAGAGTTGCTACGGCGGCTGGCGAACAGTGAACCATACTACAAGCGGCAGAGAAGACTTGAGGCAAGCGGCGAGACGGAAGGCTCCAGCGTCGTGCCTGGGGAAGGGCAGCAATCCTCTGAACAGAAGAAGATAGGGTACGGACCTGGCCCTGGCCCAGTCCGGACAAGTGACGTGCGTCGCGGTGCGGGCCGTGGCAGAGGCCGCGGAGGACGGCCATATCCGCCAGTCTCCCAGCGACCTCCTGGGCGACAGGATATCGAGCCACCCGCTGATCCAAATATCACCTCTTTATTCGTCACCGGCGTAGAGGACGACCTCCCCGAACACGCTCTCCGCTCCTTCTTTACACCCTTTGGAACAATCAGATCACTGGTCTGTTCGCATAGATCGCATTGCGCATTCATAAACTATGCGTCACGGGAATCAGCCGAAGCAGCAGCGGCCAAATGTCAAGGAATAGCGGTGGTGCAGGGGTGCCCGCTGCGCGTGCAATGGGGCAAACCCCGTCCTTTGGATAATATGGAACGAGATGAGCGGATGCAAAATGCACGTCAAGGAAGGCAGACAGCTGCTTCTATCAAGGGTAATGGACATAGAAAAGCGATTGCTCAGGGCACATCGGCAGAACAAGTGGACGGGGGAGCAGATATCGAGGAGAGTAACCAGAGTTATACCGTGGCACCTCCGCCAGGCCGTGGGGATGTACAGTATGCAAGTTTGGCAGGCGACTAATACCCAATTTTCAGCCTTTTCTTCCAAATGCATTCGGTTTCTTATTAGGGAGGCATAGGCGTTTTCATACAGGCGTTTTCATCTTCAAAAAATAATGTAAAACCAGGACTCGCGCAAAGGGACCAGGATTATGAATAAGTCTTCAATTATCTCTGTGAGCTGATGGAGTGTATCGCCGAAGAATCTATCGTACATGGCTAATTCGAAGTGGGATGATATATATAACCGGACAAACAATGCAATCCAAAACGCCCTCCGTTACAAAAGCTGAATACTTCAGCTGGAATCAGAACTCGACGACATCCTCATCCGAGACTTCGTTTATAAGTACAATGGCACATTCCTGAGCCAAGGTTATAACCACTTCCACCGTTAATCGTCCCAAATATCCGGGTATATATTCTAATTCACTTGAGCGTTTGGCAGGCGTCATGAAGAGCAGCATCCCTTGCCAACCTTGACCGGTTTCTGACCAGCTGCTTTTATTGTATCGTTGTCTCCGCGTTCGGTATATTCATGTATTCGTAAAGCTGTAGAGTATGAGTGAATTAGATAAAACCAGCCTCAAGACTGTCTAGTGGTAAAAGACACATACCATATCGATCTACTTGCTCTCCACCTTCTTCCTTGGTTTCTATCTTGGTTCCTTGCACAATATTAGATCTGAGAATATGGGCAGTCTCCAGCGCATGCTGAATTTTCATCGGGGTATCGACACCGGGCTGCCGGCTTTGGTCAAATTGTTTGCGGGCCTCCGCGCGAGCAGCGTGAAGAACAGGAAAATCACCTATATTGCTTCATTAGTATTTTAGGCCATCGACAGAGCAAATGAACTTACCATTGAATGCGATCCGAGTAGCACGGAGAAGTTGACGGTACGCACTGATGGCGGACACTGGGTTGGTCGCCGCAGCCATGGAAAACGTGTTTGAAGCGCGTTTTGAAAAGAAAAAAGAGGGATACACGACCAGGAATCAATGTAAAAGCCCGCGGGAGGGTCTATAAGCAACGTATCAATATTTTGTTCTGTGATCCTGTTTTCTATCTTTTCAACGTCTTCAATCTTCAAAAGACATCTTGGCCCAAAATGGACTAGCGCTTAGAACATCATGAATTTTTTTTTTCCTTTTCTCTTGATAAAAACTCATCCCACTTTCTGCGGGTGAAGGTATAGATAGAACGGCTGAACAGGCAGCAAGATGTCGACTACAGAGACTGTTCACCTACCGCTCCCTCGCCTCCCGGAAGGCTGGCCTGCTGGAGATAAAGATTTCAAGGCCGTGGGAAGCTTGTCTAGTGCAACCAGACGCAATGTCGAGCCCGTTGGACCGCACTTTTTGGCTCACGCCCGCCGTGTAGGTTAACACCAATTGCACCGTATAACGGCTGTCTATTGTCAATGTGTCCTAACGTGTTTATTCGGCCGTTAAATAGAAGCGCCATAGACGAACTTTCTCCGAAGACGAAAGAATCCTTGCTCAGGAAAATGTCAAGAAGATCGAGGAAGAAGATGTCGACGAAATCAGCGAGGCTGAAGACCCAATGATGTTGCAGAGAGATGCTAAGGACTGGAAGGTATGCATTCGGCAGGGGGACTACTTTTGCCAATCGGACGCTGTTGCTAACTATTATACAGGGTCAAGATCACTACGCCGTTTTGGGTCTCAGCAAATACCGATGGAGAGCTACCCCAGAACAAATTAAAAAGGCTCACCGCAAGAAGGTTCTCCGACATCACCCCGACAAGAAGGCTGCCGCAGGAGCTAGTGATGAGAATGACAGCTTCTTTAAATGCATTCAAAAGGCCACGGAGATATTACTCGACCCTGTTCGCCGTCGTCAGTTCGACTCCGTCGATTCCGCTGCGGATGTTGAACCCCCCCACCCCAAGAAGAAAGGAGACTTCTTCAAGCTGTGGGATCCGTTTTTCAAAGCCGAGGCTCGCTTCTCTAAAATCCAGCCTGTTCCCATGATCGGAGACGAGAACAGCACGAAGGAGGAAGTCGAGACCTTCTACAACTTTTGGTACAACTTTGACAGCTGGAGGTCCTTTGAGTACGAGGACGAGGACGTCCCAGATGATAACGAAAACCGTGACCATAAACGTCACATTGAACGTAAGAACGCCAATGCCCGCAAGAAGAAAAAGACAGAAGATACTGCTCGTCTCCGGAGAACCGTCGATGACGCCCTTGCCGCGGATGCGCGTATCAAGAAATTCCGCAAGGAAGAGCGTGCCGGTAAGGACAAGCGACGACTAGAGAAAGAGGCTGAAGCCAAACGACTTGCCGAAGAAAAGGAGAATGCCCGGCTTGAGGCCGAACGACTGGCAAAGGAACGTGAGGAGGCAGCCAAGGCCGAACGTGCTGAGGGAAAGAAAGCCAAAGAGGCAGCCAAAAATGCAGCCAAGAAGAATAAGCGTGTTCTCAAGGGCAGCGTGAAGGACGTCAATTACTTTGCGGAGGGCGATGCCTCGGCGGCTCAGATCGACAGCGTCCTGGGTGACGTCGAGTTGATCATGAGTAAAATCAATAACGAAGAATTGGCCACTATTGCATCAAAGCTTACTGCTGCTGGCAAGGATGTCGCTGCCGTAAAGGGAGTGTTTGCTGCTGAGGTGACCAGGCTAGTTGGTTCTGGAGCTCTCAACGCAGGGGATATAAAGGTGTTGGTTGGTTAGAATTCGCTTTTTTTTAATGGAGCAAGGAAATCTACATAGTACTTCCTAGAGAGATGACATAGATGGTAGCCCGACTCAAAATATAATGAATGCACTTTGTTTGACAGTCTCCGTTGGGTTTCCCGGGGTAACTGGCGAGTCAGCAAGGGTAGCTATGTATCGTTATTTCTTTCTTCCCTTGCAAACATTCCATCATGGGCAGCTTTTCCGGTCGATTTGAAGTTATTAATGTCCTGGTTTCTCTCTCTCTCTCTCTCTTTTTTCTTTTTCTAGCGATAACTACGTAGTAGTTACTGCTTTATCTCGCCTCCTATTGACCAGAAACTGGGAAGTCCGTTCAGTCTGATATCAATGAACTATACATCTTCTCCAGTCTTTTACGCTATGATGGCGTGAAGATGATGCAAGTGGCACACTTTCGGTCGCTTATACTGGCATCTAGAGGAAGCTTATCCTCCATTGTCTTTACTGTTGGTCTGCTTGCTATGAAGTCATTGCTGTCAACAGAAACGAAACCTGCATGCCGGGAGAGCCGTACTTGGAATCCCTACAGAGGCAGAAGACATGGACGAAACCAAACGCCCGCCACTTAGGCTTCCCTTGGTAACCTAGCTATGGTCATCGAGGCGATTTTTACCGATTCTTAAAAGGAAGACTTCTGTCGTCATCGTCCCTTGAAATAGTTCTCTTGCTCCGGTTGATTCTTCCTGATTTCCGACTCTCCCGCCGTACGCTGAAAGCTGAAATCGAGGTCTCAATTGATATCACGAGCAATATATTATTATCATTATTTTGATAGCATAGCGCCTTGTGAACTCAACCACAGCCTTTCGACAGATACAAGCAAAAACCGTTCAATATGGGAGTTGCATCCACGCTCGTCCGTGTGTTTTTGATGGGCAGCCGCTTTATGCAGTTTGCCTGTGCTGCAATTGTCCTTGGAGTCACTGCCTGGTTTATCCATGGCTATGGAGCGAATGGCCATCTCAAATATGATATAATTATTGTACGGCCCGCCTGTCCCCTTGTCAGTTTGGCCGCCTACGATGGACGGTCGCTAACGAACGAACCATTCAGTCTGTTCTTTCGATTGTCTTCTTCATCCCAGGTCTACTTTCGCCGATAATCAGGACACTAGGGTTTATGACGTTCTTCATAGACCTCGTTTTCTCATATCTGTAAGGATGCGGACTACACCTTACGGAAAGTAGCCCCAATGGCTTGTACAAATGCTGACGACATACTTGATAGATGGTTGACTGCCTTCATATTTGCCGTGCAAGACTACAGCAGAAGCGATTGCACGCAAAATTCACCGCGTGGTGGAAGCTGCAAGTACAAGAGACTTATTGAAGCTTTCACCATAGGAGCAATGTTAGTACAAGACCCTGGCTTCCCATAAAAAAAATAGCTGGTAGCTGACCATGACTCCTAGGTGGTTCTGTATCACCTCCCTAGTGCTGGAGGTAATGAATGTCATGAGCCACCACCGTGATAAGAACTCGTATGATGGCGGGCACCAAAAGGAGTTACGTCGATCGGGAGACACTGGCCGCAACGACACTTATGGCCGACATGTCTAAACGTTCATCTTGGCCGGTGTGAAAACCAGTGGACAGACAGGAGTTGTGTATCAATACTATATCTGGATGGAATGCAGAGAAGGAAGGTCGGTAGAACATGGAGGCGAGGGGAGAAAGGACGGATATTTAGTGTAATGCAGTTGGCAATATTCGTACCATGTATGTGTTGCACTGCGAACCCCCTTTGAAGACCCATATGTCGTCAGGTATAATCTGTAATATCCAAATTAGTATGTGGGAGGGTTTTCCAAAAATAGTCCTTTGTTTCTTTGTGTTATGAGTGTAACTGCTATATACCATGAAGTTTGTATTTTAATATTTAATTCAAGTTATGACCATCTGCATCAATAGTGATTCTGTAGCGACTCTATAGCTCTCATTGCATACATATTTGATCGAACCAGAAGCGATAGCGAGCAGGGTGTGCAGGGGAAGCTGATGGCATGGTAGGGGAAAGAAAAGGAGACGAGCAAAATACCCCAATGAAGTAGGGCATCAGACAGGTAAAAACACCAAGAACTCCGATAGCTAGTGAATATAAACAGATGGAGGGAAACTAGACTCATGGGATAATAATCCAATATGTAACCCCACTGATAGCGAAGAGGAGTAAAATTGTGAGAATGCCAGCTCCAGCCCTATCCGCCGTGTTAATCGACCTCAGAGCCCTAGATCCCGTATTTTTTCCTTTGCCTGAGTTCCCGGGACCACCTTGACTTATTCCGCCGGTGGAATTAGTGACGGGGGGTACGGCCTTGCGTATCAGGTTGGATTGAAACACTTCCATGGCAGCCATTTGCTCGCCAACTCCCATACTGCCATCGAATTTCCCGGCTGTCCATTTGAGGCCGCATGCAGTGCTATCGTCACCCCCGGTACACGTCTTTGCAGCTGCGGTGGCACAAGCTCGCAGCCTGAGCATGATGAAATCGGTCGAAAAAGGGGCCAACTGAGTGGTAGCTGCCATCCAGCGAGCTAGGTAGGCCTTGAATGATCTCTGGTCGGTCTCGCAATTGCCTGGTTCCTCACATGCAATCTCGGACATGATATAGGTCCCCGGCTGGAAAAATGGGCGTAGGCCGTCAAGAATTCCTTGGACCCGTTCTCGCCATTTTGGGCTGCCGTCCGTCTGTATGGCGGTTAGTTCTGTACGACCAACTAAAAAGGTATGCCTGAAGATGAGGAGCTTACATAGTTATACATGGCAGCGGCCCCCAGCAGATATATACCGGCGTTGTAAGTCCATTGTATCCGGTTCAGTTCCGAGCAGTTCAGCAGATCGCTTGACCCATCGAAGAACTGGTAGTTCTCGTTCATGAGCCCTATGGCTCTAGACCAATCCCACGCTGTCTCTGCCCACTTCGCATATGTGTCGTTACCAGTATACCTAGCCAGTCTCGCACCCATCTGAAAGAACGCGCCGTTGGATATGGTGTTTTTGTAGTCAAAGCCTCGGTTGAACCGGAAGATCTGCCACTTTAAGCCTCCCCCGCAGGTCGACATGTCCCAGCGGGGGACTTGGGAGTTGAAAACAGCTTCTACCAGAGCCAGCCATTGTGGTTTATCCAGCGGGGGGTTGGGGAATTTCCGTTCGGCAGCAGACATGGCTGCTATAGCCCAGAATGCCTGGTCGTCGTTCCCTTCGGTCAACGTCTGGTTAGGAGGCATAAAGTTGTTATCTGGGCCAACTTGCCAGAGCATCCCTTCAGTTATCATGTCATTCCACTGGCTGTCTCCCGTGTAGAACCAGTAATCGATCAAACTGCCAAACATGGCGCCCGCTTCCCACCAGAAGTAAGGGTCGGGCAGATTTCCTGGGATATTTCCCGGCTTATCGCCTGAGTAGTACTTGAGCATGCCTTTGGCGGCTATCCTGGCAGCGAGTTTGATCGAGTCTGCAGAGCAGGTCAACGGAGAAACCGAGTCAGTCCTTTATAAACTCGCATAGGAGGAGTGGGAGGAATCGGGGTCCTACCATCGCTCTCCAAGTCGAGTTTGATAGCAGAGACGAGGCATAACTGCATGAGAAGAAGCATGATCCCCCACTGAGGGGAGGACCAGGACAGAGGCTTCAATTTCATGTCCAGCAAGCATGTATCAGTAGCTGTTTGTCCGTACCAAGTTATCAGTGGGGGGTTGAGTAGTGTCGCCTCTGCGCGCGAAGATGGAAGCAGACAAGATAAAAAGCTGTTTGAACAAGTCTGACGCCCTCTCAAGACGTTCGGATGATAGATAGATGGCAGTTATGCAGAGATGTTGAAGTTGTTCAAAGTCTTCACACGGAAGCCCAAGGGAAGAAGAAGACGAAGAAGAAGAAGCCATGACTTCATCTGAAAGAGGAAGAACCAAAAGAACTTCTCCGGGTCGCACAACCACATTCTTTTGGCTATTCACTTTCTTTGTAGAGATATGAAGATTTGTACAAAGATGTATTTATGTTATATGAATATATATATATACGCTATTCGTGGTGTAGGGTCCTCGATGTCAAGGTTCTCGCGGTTCCAAGGGCTATGACAGCACCAACATGCGGAAGCGCCATCTTTGATGCAAGATGACCGTTAAGACGGTAGATGTCAGACGTCAGACCTGCAACGGGTGACAGTTCAAGTTATTCTTCGTGTTGGAGAGAGAAGACGTTGCGTTAGACTGGGTGGATTTGCTAGGAACGGAGCCGATTGGCGGGCAATCAATAGTCTACTACGAGATCCTTGACTTCTATTTGATATTTCTGATTTGTTCATGAATACATAACCCAACGATGGACTGCTTGTGCTCAAAAATAACTAACGGATACGAAAAGAAAAGGAAAATAAAGAGATGCCGTCAATCAGAGATTGCCATCATCCGTCTCCTGATGGCCGCTTGGTCGACCGCTAAGCGTATCGACCAGTTCACGGAACTTTAGCCAGAATTCGTTCTTTGGCCGTCGATGCTGCCAGTCTGTGTCTGTCTCTTCCAACCCATCTTTGCCCCCAAGGGGACTAAAGACGACCTCGCTGCCTCGGATTCCGATAACGACTGTCGACATGTCGTCCGCAGCAATCTCCTCTTGGCTCTTCTCGGCGTATTCTTCAAAGTGCTGGATGCATTTGATGGACATGCGAAGGGCACGAATACGGTCCATCGGTGATGGCTTCCCACCTTGCTGGAAATGGCCGGGGACAGCAGAGCGGGATTCGAATCTTCCCTTGGCCTCTTCCTTGATCATGTCGGCGATCACTTGGGTCGTGTAAGTGGCGGATGCACGCTCGTTCCTCAGGATGATCTTGCCTGCATGGTTGGCGCCACGGTCAACCGCAAAGCTGCGTCGAAGATTCTCGATGTCGTTGGCGAGCATTTTTATGCTAATCCCTTCTTCTGGGATATATACAGCATACGCGCCAACAGAGAGCCCGGCGATGGTGGCGATGTACCCGGATCGCCCGCCCTGGGTTTCAATCACAAACACCCGTCGGCGGGAGGACGAGGCCGACTGTCTGATCACATCGCAAAAGTTAACTAGAGTGTTGAGACAGGTGTCGCTGCCTAGAGAGTACTCCGTTCCGGGGACGTTGTTGGAGATGGTTGCTGGCAACTGGACAATCGGGATCTTGAACGCGTCATAATCCTTTCTGGCCTTTCGCAGCTGGCTGACGGCCGTAAACGCCTCGAACCCTCCGATAACGAACAAGGCGTCGAATTTGTAAAGCTTAAAGCACTTGGCGGTGGTTTCCATGTCTTCTGAAGGAAGGCCGCGGTTGGTCCCGATCTCGGAACCGCCCTCATTCACCCACGAGTCCGACTCGAGCCACTTCACCTCCCTCACGGAGCCCAGCGGTTTGTCATCGTGGTGTCTGCATAGGCCCGGGAAGCCATTGTAGATGCCAATGGGAGTGTGTCCGCGAGCAAGACAGTAGGCCACTGCCCCTCGTGTCGCAGGGTTCATTCCGCCTGCAGGAGCTCCAACATGGATAATTGCGATGCGCATTCTCTAAGCCAAGCGAACAAGATAGAGTCAGTATTAACATCCTAGTAGCAACAAGACGGAAATATATATATATATAAAAGGTCTATCGCACCTTGGCTTCAGGAAGCAGTAGCTTTGGATGGTGTGGCGTTGTAGTATTGATATATGCTCTGTGGTAAGCCTGGAATTCTGAATCTCGAAGAGCCATGGCAGTAGCAAAATCCTTGTTTGAGATAGCTTCGGAAACGCTCTTCGTAACCCTCACTGCCTCCACTAGGGAAGTTCTCTCGATTTTGTTCTCCCTGATGGTAATAATTGGAGAGGGTGAGCCCGGCTTAGCGTCGAGAACGGCCTTGACAGCCTCAATGCCTTGAAGCGTAGCTAACCATCGATCGTAGGCACAGGCAGAGCCGCCTCGTTGTGTATGCCCCAGAACGGTGACCCGAGTGTCGAGCTGCAGCCTGTCACTGAGTATGTCCTTGACCTTGTTGGACGTGATCTTCTGCAGGTGGCTGTCCTGTGCACCCTCAGCGATAATAACTATCGTCCGCCGTTTACCCCTTCGTCGGTTCTATCACATATTTTTTTGCAACTTTAGTAAACTCCGATCAATCAATTTTTCATGAAAAGGGGAACGAGGGAATTCATACCTGCGTGATGATATCGCACATGTTATCCTCCCAGCCATCACGGGGAGGCATTTCAGGAATGAAGAGCCAGTCAGCCCCCGTACTGATGGCGGACATGAGTGCCAGCCATCCACAATGTCTACCCATGACCTCGATGACGAAACCTCGCTGGTGAGAGGACGCGGTATCAAAGACCTCATCGACCGCTTCACAGATACGGTGCAGTGAAGAGTAGCAGCCAATTGTAGCGTCAGTCAACGACATGTCATTATCAATCGAGCCCACCAGTCCAACTATATTCAAAGACTTGAACGGCTTGATCTCTTCGGAGGTGAGCTCTCCCTTGGAAACTAGCTCTTCCAGCAAGCCGGGCCACTCGGAGCGAAAGATATCAGCTCCAGTCAAGGACCCGTCACCACCACAGACAATAAGGGCGTCAATGCCACGGATGACCATGTTCTTAGCTGCCTTCAGTCTGCCCTCGCGGTCTCTAAAGCTCTTGCACCTCGCTGACCCTATCAAGGTCCCTCCGCGAGACAGCCAGCCTCGAACATCCTCCCAGTACATCTGCCTGAAGTAGTCTCCGCCTTGCACCAGGCCCTCGTACCCCTCGTGCACGGCGTAGGCTTCGCAGCCACAGTGAATCGACATGCGTATAACCGCTCTCACGATTCCGTTCATGCCTGGCGCATCACCCCCACTAGTCAAGACAGCGATGCGGCGTTGCTTCGCCGGAGCTGCCACAGGCGTAGAGGCAGCCATCCTGGTGTCAAAATCGTATGAAGGGTTGTTGAAACCGACAGAGCCGTCGGGATGCCGGTGTGAAGCTCAGGGGGCTTTGCTTTTTGTTGGTGGTGGGAGGGAATTTCTCTAGTTATGTACCTCAACCTGGAACGAGTTAAATAGGTTGACTGGCGGCCCCCGCGGGAGGCCAAGTCGGAGCTTAGCCAGTCGTTGTTCTAGACAAAGAACCAAGAGAACGCACCAGAACACAGTCGTTCCATTACTCTCAGGCTCTGATGCTTCCGTATCTACCAAGCATAGTCAATCATAGAATAAACTAATACGTCGTTTAGGATCTTCGTCTTCCCAGCAAAAACATCGTCATACGTTTTGTGAAGTTGCCGCTTTTAAGCTTCTTAGTCATCGGTGCTAGTCTATATTAGGACCGGAAGGGATAAACTATTTTACTCTGATTAGATAAGATCCGTGGGCTCTCATTGAAAGGTTCCAAGGTTCCTACAAGGGAAACCAGCGACATCAACGAGGTGTCAAGAAGCTGAGAAAGGACAAAAGGACGGACGGTGAGATGGTGCAGCTTTGGTGACCGACAAGGGCGCATTTTACCTGGTAGAAGCCTGGGTTCCGTCTGTTGCAAAGGTTGGCCCACGGAGGAACATAGCACCCGGTTCGTTGCAACAGCTGGTTTAGTTGATATAAAGTGGGTGTTTCGGTGTAGGCACTGCCCTCGAAGATGTCTGAATCGTTTTCCCTACCCTTACGGCCGGTTAGGAAGAAGACCGACGAGACAGACACGCTCCCTATCCGAATTGCTCAGATCAACGCGCAGAGGGGCTCCTTCAGAGATGTCACCGAGGAGAGCCTGTCGGAGGAGATAGAAGCTCTGCGTGTGTCCGGAAAACAAGCGTCTGATATAGCGGAGGATATAGAATCTGGAAATGATACTGATGACAAGGAACAGCAGCTCTTTACCAGTCGGTCAGAGATGCTTGAGTTCGCAACGTGAGTTCCTGTTTATTTTATCTTCCTGTGGAGAAAACACTGATCTTACTGATACTATGATATTTAGCCAGGCCCAAGTAGAAGCTTGCTACGCTCTTGATTTCGTTTCCCTCGCCCTCTCAAAGTATGCGCCGCGTCAGGTGGAGTTATCCATGACACCTTACGTCAAGCTCAAAATCCCCGGTGGCTCCCTCGGCATCGATAAGATAAAGACACCAGATCAAACTGAGGCCGATAGAAGGGACATAGAGGTTGTATCTAAGGGATGGAAGCTTGAGAGCTTCAGCTCTGCGGCAAACAACCTGCTGGAAGCTGCTACTCGACTTCAAAAGGAGGTTGCCGCCGAGACCAAGTATTGGTCAGAGGTTCTAGCAATCAAGGAAAAGGGATGGAAGATATGCCGTCTTCCCCGTGAGAGACAGACCCTAGGTGTGCAGCATGGTTTTCTCGAAGGTAGGGGAACCGCTCATATAGCCAGCCCCTGGTATTTTAGACCGATTACTAAATAATGAATAGCGGCCCCTGTTTTTAGGGATCGAGGGCTCTCGGCACTGAGAAGGGGAGACGAAGGCTCTTTATATGTCGACCAAGGCATATATGCGTCACCACCAAGAGTGGTGCGTATTCGAATACAAGAGGACGGGAATACTGTGGGTGTGTCACAGCCCGCCTGCGTCAAACATGACAGTAATACATCCGCACAGGAGACCTTCATTCACCAAGCTAGAGACTGTCTCTTTGAAGAGGAGCTGTTTTACGAATTAAATCGTGAAGCGAGGGCACTTCTTCGGCATGGGATTGAAACTAGACATAATCAAATCCTTTTCCATTTGAGTGATAGCCGCCAGGTCCTTGTTGACATGGTCCCGATAGATGAGGCTGCTACTCTTAACCAAGATGCAACAGATGACCTTCCAGCCGATGACCTTGCTCATGCAATTGCTTGTTCAATCCGCATCTTACTGACCCACGCTCATCGGAAGAACCATCGTCGCCGAACACAGATACCAACTGCCATCTCTGTAAAGAAACGCCAAACAGCAGAATACCCTCTCCTCCAACCCAGTATTGCCTACCTGCAGCATAGATCTCACACCCAGTGGCTTATGTCATGCCTTCATAATATCACCAATACACTGCTCTCGGCCGGGCTCAAATGCAAGTACGGAACAAATAACGCTCTTCCTAAGGATCTCCCTGGAACTCTCCCCAACCACAACAAACATATACCCCTTGTAGAATCCCTTGTGGAATCTTTTCTTAACACTCAAGAAACAAAAGTGTCGGGCGACTTCCTCAGCCCGAATAGTTGGTATAAAATCCTGGTTCGGACAGACCTCGGCCCCACTGCTCTTGGGACCGAATTTACCATACGGACCACCCTGGCTTCTTTACCACAGCAGCAGATTACCCAAAGATTTGGCACTCGTGAAGACATAAAAGAATTCCTTATATACCTGTTTACTTTGGATATAGTCCACACCATTCCGTTCCGTGGTGGAACGAAGACCGTGTCTTCTTTACCCGGTACATCAGAGAGAGAGGTGGCGACCAACACCCATGGAGCAGATGAGGACCGCACTGACATACGAACCACTGTTACGGAAGCCGCCATATGGGAGCCTACCTTTGCGGAGAATGGGGAACTAACAGCGTACATGCCCGGGAAAAACAGCAATAAAAAACTCCGAGTGATTTTGAACGAAGACTCACTAGTACTGCATTGCATGTCAATGAGTTCAACCGAGGCTGGCAAGGTGGAGGATATCAGATACCTATGGACCGTTAACCAAACTGAAGAGGAATCTCATGTCACACTCCAGGAAGCCCTCAGGCGTATTGAGAATAGTGAGTGAATCGGTGGACTTAGATGTACGGCTCTCACCGCCATCCCTGCCGAATGTACATAGCATAAATAGGGCTAGTAATATCGGGGCATCTGATATGTATGCTATTGTACGGCTTCAAACTATGTGCTCATGGTCATAATTACTTATCATAAAAGAGAAGACCATCTCATCACCACCCAACTAACTACCTCACATATAAGCGTCCTGCTCCAATGCAGCTAGCTCGTCTAGAAGTTGAACGGTCTCGCCGGGATTGGATATCCATGCAGTGGTGCATGCAAGCCGTGCCTGTGGAACGAAGGGATGGGTCGTTAGGAAAAATGAGGCGTATTGGTTAGATAGGGAGCTTACTTTGAAATCATTTGCTCCAGCTGACAGGAACTGGTCGCCTATATGAAGAGTCTTGGACCTATCGATGCCACCGAAATATTTCTGGCAGGCCAGGACGCCCCAGGATTTGTCACCAATGTCTACGAAGACATCACTTCCGCCTATCGAGAGTGTCAGTTCAGTGACATTGTTAATGTACTGCTGGATGAGAACGAGTTTCTTCGAGTGGTTACCCACCATTAAATGCGCAAAAGGGGAGTCGTCTGCCGACCGCAGAGGTCTCAATGGTTTGCTGCGCCACAAGAACGGTCTCCTCAAGCTGCTCACGATGCATCCGCTGCCCTTCGAGCGGATATATGCCTACTGCTCTTTCCTTCCTTAAAATAGTGGCTGGGAGGTTCAAGTTGCTGACACAATCACGCAACGCTGCCTCGGCGATGTCAAGCAGCTCTTTAATATCCTCCTCTTTCCATTGCTTCATCTCATCCAGCTGCCACTCGCTCTGCGGTTTGTAGGTAAGTAAATCAGGGGATTTTAGGTCAAACTCATACATGAAGTTGCTTTCACCCCCGAGAACGATGAGATGGTTTTTCTGCTTCTCACTGAGATCGGTAGATTCTTTGATGGCATGTAGAAGTCCTTCGAGACGCTCCTTGTATTTTCCTGCTGAAGAGTAGCCAGCTGCCGTCACGATTCCGACTCTCTTATTCTGCTTCAAAAGAAGCATTATCCTCTTGACAACGGGGTTATCAGACATGAGGGAACACCCGTCATCATAGAGTGTCACATCTCCATCGAATGTGATCAGCTGAACCTTGCTTCGGCGGACAAGTCCCATTAGCTGAGCGGTGTTAAGCGTAAGCCGGATATCATTAAATGACGGAGGGACGAAGCGTCTGTGGCTAATAAATCTTTTCTTATCCTGATACTTGAACGCATCTTCCAACAGCAACGGGGTAAAAAACGTGCCTACGGAAGGGACAAGCAATTTCAATGTAGACCTTTCGCTGGTTCCAGTTGTCTGTAGTTCAACTGTATTCATATAGTTAGTATAGTATGGCTGTTTCTCTATATATTTGACCACATACTATGGTCATTAATTAGATGTTCAACATCTCTCATGATCTCAACATATCGATTATGCGTCCTTTCCGCGAGATGCGCGAGACTGGAGCTATTTTCCTTGTAGGCAGCTGTGGGCTGCGAATGCAGAACGAACGGAACAGCTAGCAGGCCCTATATCAACCATCTAAGCCTGTGTTCACTTAAGCCCTCCTTTTTCCGCTGACTCACTTTAATCCACTCGATCTGACGTTCATATATGCGGACGTCAGCCTGAATACCGCGGGGGTGGCACTCTGATATATACTAATAGGCATATACATATCCTCCATGCAATAAGGGGTCTCACCAGTTGATCACGGCGATGTGACTGTGATGGTCAGCTATAGACGCCTCGCTATTTGTGCAAGGGGGCGGAGGACAGATATATCTGTGTCCCACACAGCATCACAGACATAAATATCTGTACTCAGCTTACCTTGAGGGCATCTATTTCTGGCGTCAGTTCCGGAGTATCTCTCTGCCTCTCTAACCCACAGTATGTGTTGGCCTCCTGATGAGCAGGTGGAGGTCACTCACATTCTACACGGTAGCGTGTCGTCATCCTGCCGGTCTACCTGTTGTATCTTTCCCGAACGAGCCTTGCAGATGGTCTTGTCCTACTGCGTATGGGTGTACTTCTCTATAGCTCTCGTTGCTTGACGTTGTTATGTTGAAACTTGGCTTCATTTGCTGTTTTTCCCTACTTTTCGAGGGCAAAAGGCGGGAATGTCTTGGCGGCGGAAGGCCGCCCTCCGTTTTTATTTTTATTTGTTTTTATTTTTGTTGTATTTTGATTTATCTTAACATCTTAATCTTCATACATAGAAAGGAACTGAGGTAATTATTATATATTATATTCTATGTGAGATAATATTTATTGAAGTGAGGTAGACTAAGTCCTTAACATCGACAACTTCTATCGAGAGACATGTGAGCATCGTCGACGGCTTTCCCCTGGCAACAAAGAACATCATCCATGCCGTGAAGATAACGTTAATGGATATTCGTTCTTGGTGTACAAAGCGATTTGTGGGTCCCTTGGGAAAGACAGTTTGCCCGTTGGCACGACTTTGCTCCGTGTGAGGAATTGAATCCTACCATGGGAGCATGGGAGGGCGATGTACCATTAAATGAAACACTTACATTCTACGGAGTACTTGTGTATAGAATATGCAGAGATCTGAATGGCTGCTCACTTATTGTTGCGGTGGCCGTGGATGCCGATGGGTTGTGAGAGGACCAACGCATCCCTGAAACAACCGGCCCAAGAAGATCTATGGAGTGACAAGGAGAAAGTCAACCCCCTGAACCTGGACCTGTGGAGTAACTATATAGTGAAAGGCCATTCACCTTAGCGTGTTTCTGGAACTTTGAGCTCATGTTATTCCGCTCTTCAAAAGCCAATATAAAATAACGCGGTTGCCTGGTCTCTTTCTCTCTTCACACCTCACCCTTCTCAATCTGTTACAAGAGCATTTCATCATGCTTGGGGCCATAATTGCGGCAGCTGTTGCAGCTTGCTGCCTATACTACGGATATATAGCTGCCATTGAACATTTCGAGTCGAAAAAGGTTCGCTTGCAGGAAAAGACGAAGCCAATACCCAAGATTGCACAATCTCCGGTGAAGTTTGGAATCGATTTCTACAACCGGGTTTCCAAGGCCGTTGAAGAGAACCGCTACTTGGACTTAGAAATCGAACTTTTTGAAAAGTATGGCGACACTTTCTCGATTTCCATGTTTGGGAAAACCATTGTTATGACCCGCGAACCAGAGAACATAAAGGCAATTCTTGCCACCCAGTTCGAGCAGTTTAGCTTTAGTGCCTCGAGGTACAATAGCTTTTTGCCTATGCTTGGTGATGGTATTTTTACCCACAAGTATGGGGGTGGAGATCAGGGACAACCGTGGCGTCATTCCCGCAGTGTTCTTCGTCCGCAGTTTGCAAGGCAACAAATTCAGGATCTCGCCGTACTAGAGTCATTTGTGCAGAACATGTTCAACTTGATACCAGACAAGCAGACTATTGACCTGCAAGAGCTGTTTTTCAAGCTCACGATGGATACAGGTACGACAAGTTAACCTTATTGCGTCCCCTTGGCCAAAATATGTTACTCACCCGGGTTTATTTAATCTAGCCACCGACTTCCTGTTTGGTGAAAGTGTGAATAGTTTGTTGCCTGACTGTCCAGCTGAAGAAGCTCAATTTTACAATGATTTCACTCGAGGATCTGGTATGTAGTTTATTTCTAACCAATGTACTAAATAATGTTTTGATAATCTTTGTGGCCGTTAACTTTGACAAACGTAGAGCTCCTCTTACTTCGATTAACTCTCCAGGACTTCTACTGGCTGCAAAAAGACGGTGCTGAATTCCAGAAAATTTGCAAGAATATGCATGCGTACTTGGATAAGTTCACCCGAAGAGCACTGCAGTTACAAACTTCTGGCAAGCCAACACACTACGAGCTTGGTGGAAAGTACGTATTTCTGGAGGAAGCTGCAAAGGAATTCAAAGACCCCGTCCGACTGCGATCAGAGCTCTTTAATATCCTGCTTGCCGGGCGAGACACAACGGCGAGTCTCTTATCCATCTGCTGCCATCAGCTCGCAAGACACAAGGATGAATGGTTTCGTCTCCGAAAGGAAGTAATTGAAACCCTTGGGAACAGGAAACCAACTTATGAGGATATCAAGTCAATGAAGTATCTTCGATATGTCCTTAACGAGAGTAAGTGTTTTCACTTTCCTTCAGCAGTCTTACCGTCTTCTATGTATGACATGGGATAAGGATATTATATATCCGGTACCTAAAGCTATATCCAAACGCATATATTCTGCATAAAGCGTTATTATATGTTAATCTAGCGCTAACTTGGCTTCTGTTCGTCTCTTTAGCCCTTCGGTTATTCCCCGTTGTACCTTCCAACGGCCGTGAGGCTGTCATTACTACCACATTACCATGCGGCGGTGGTCCAGATGGGGAGCATAAGGTACTGGTCTCCAAGGGAACCAATGTACTGTACTCAGTTTGGGGTCTTCACCGTTCACCAAAGTCTTACGGCCCGGACCCGACTGTTTTTCGGCCCAGCCGCTGGGAATCTATTCGTGTCGGGTGGAATTACCTACCGTTCAATGGCGGTCCTAGAATCTGTCTAGGTCGTAAGTGCAACCCATTTACTCTCATTTGCCCTCGATATCTACTTTCCAGATATCGTTTATTTATTCTTGCGCTAAACTAAACATTGTAGAACAATACGCGCTGACAGAAGCGTCATATGTTCTCATCCGCCTTTTACAGACATTTGAGGACATCGAGAACCGAGACCCAACTCTAAATTTTATTGAGGATTTGAGATTGACAATGGCCTGCCACGGAGGAACAAAAGTTTCGTTGACAAGGGCTTCATCGAAGTGAGACTTGGTTTGCGTTTTTGGGCTTTCGCGACACAATATTTACTCTATTTTATTCTGCTCTTACACCTATTTCTCCCTAGGTAGGAAAAATTAATCGTCAGAAGATCATAAACATCATATCGCGGTTATCTCTGTGGTAACTATTTGGCTGAGACAAAGCGGCAGAATAAATTTGCATGCCCTAAAGCTGAAATTGATATCTTCGAAGAGAGAACATCTATGCTCAAAACCATGTCCATACACCTGGATGGAAATTAGATTGTATATCTCAGCAGCCCGTTGGCAAGCAAATATAAAAAAAGAGTCTAGGGAAAAAGACATTACAAGCAAAACTAGAACCATTGAGCTAAATGACAAGAGAACCCCACGGTGCGAGATGAGAATAAAGATAAGTCCTCGATCAAAAAAAAAAAAAATGCGCAAAGCATTCATTAGTTGTGCCTGTGGGATAGTAACATGAATACCCAGCTGCCTACCACCCATACCAGCACCACCATGAGCTACCTCGCCATACTTATGTGATACAGGCTGTAGATTACAATACCAGTCGACATCCTTCAAGACTCTGCGGATATCACATGGTCGTGAACCATCCTCAATATATCGCTGCATCGAGTAAGACATGTCGCCAGGATATTTAGCTTCGAGGAGACACTCCGGATTGTGCGAGGTTACATTTCTCGTGGAGATGCAACGCAAGTCGGCAGCACTGATGCTTAAGTATTGAGAATAGGAGAGATGGGCTGGATGAGGGCCATGACATCTATTACTCATACTATTCGGCACTTCGCGGTGGTTAACGGAATTCCTTTCCGTGTAGATGAGAGTTGATGCTCCTGCTGTCCTCGAACTTGTGAGAGCATAGCCACTCTCACCCACTGGGCTGGCGATTTTTAACGAAGCGTCTTCATGAACCCCTGAGAGACATCGAGCCCAAGGGGAGGCCCGCACATCACGCGAAGCGTCCTTGTCCGAAGAGGCTGAGTTGCAACACCTCTTCCATTGCTGTGCAGTATTGGAATGAGACGTCAAACGACATTGCTAGCTTGCACGGCGGTCCAGAGGGTAGTCATTATCGGGATTAAATCCAGATATTTGGTGTGCGCCTTGGAACGCATGAATCGGTCATGGTTTACTCGCCATATTGAAACAATTCTCATGGTATCAACCACCGATGGACAATCAGCTCTCTTGATCAATTTCTCTCTCATAGTGAATGGGTCAGTGGACTGTGGACGAATCAATGCAGTATTTCTAATACTGATTAAACCAAATTGCTGACATTCTATCTTTCCCGGGACATACTACTAAACAGCACTGCCTAGTCTCATGGTTAGTTCCCTGAGTTTCATCTAAATGAATGAAGCTGTTTGCAGGTATATTTTGTAGTTTATAATCAAAAAAAGCAGCCCCTGAACTAGTCATGCTCAGGGCTTTGCATCATTTTGTGAAGAAGGCCTTGACAACGCGAGGCGTCTTTCTACGATGCTATGTTATGAGAACAGGTACTTTCCCGGCAAGGGACCCCTGTCACAACTATGAGGCTATGCTATGTAAGAGGTGGCAGTGATTTCGATCTCATCGAAGATATCGCATTACTCGGTATGGTATGTAGTTACTGTCCTCAGTGCAGTTTTTATCTCGCCTCCCGCTTCATTTCTATAGTCTACAGACCTGTCCTGTCTGTCCGTCATCCCTTTTGCAAGTTGTTGCTTAGATACTTCTCTCGTAACCTTTGTGGTGCAAATGTTTCTCTCTTCTCTCCAACTCGGCGAGATAGGGCGCAAGTAGAGAAAGTCAGGAAAGTCAGTACTACATATCAGATGGACAGTAGACAGTTCTTCGGTACTAGCAGTATGCTTTCCCTTGTCTGTTTCATTCTCTCCCTCTTGATAGGAAAATTGTAGTGTGACTTTTTTTGCGCTTTCTTGCTCCATTTAATGCATACGGAACAAATCTTTTCAAGATGTTTAAAAACGTATCCTGCCTGCACTGCCTTGAAGTAGGCAGAATACTCAGATACGGGCTGGGGGAAATGCTAAAACTAATTAACTATTTTCGGTAGAGTCATATCAAATAGAAACAAACGGGGAATGGGAAATAAGCGTGAGGGATGAATATATGTAACACGAGGTTTTTTAATGGAATCGCAGCTACAGGCCGACAGCAGGGGACCGAAATGTAGATTAGATGCAATTTATTTTGCATGCTCAACATCCTCGGGCTTCATATGATGTACCTCTATTTTATGTCGTTTCAGTTGATCAATTCTGGCGAATCCTGTAGTGTTCTTGCACCCAGGTATGCTACACTTGAACGCTTTCTCATGCTTCTGTAAATGTGCCCTACGAGACCAAGTCAGCCATTTAGCGCAAGCAAATACACAACAAGTTAAAAGCAAGTACAGTGAAGGGGAAATTACGCAGGGGCCTCTGAAGGTACTGACTTGAAGGATGAATTCCGTTCAAAAACTACTAGCACCCCGTCGCGCACTCCGCCCTTGGTACACTTTTCAGCATGCGGACACACCCACGTCCCAACCCCACGCCTGTTAAGGTGAGGATAGAGACTTTGGAACGCCTCCATTGATATCGGAGTAGGTGTTCCTGCAGCTGTATTATTCGCCTCTGGGGCCCAAGAGTTTGCAGGCGACACTGAGGCGAAGCCTGAACCCATAGTGGAATTTGTATTAATCCCACTTGCATTTGGGGTATTACTGTTTGCTCTCTCAGAAATTGTGACAGAGGAGACGGCCTGTGGCAAATCACCCAATGGATAGGGAGGGTTGGGGCTTCGATTCCAGACCATAGTGGTTTCATTGGCCATTTCTTCAAGTCTGGCTGCGAGAGTACTGTGTACCATTTGTGAGTGTGTCATGACCAGTTGAGCAAGGGGTGAGGCGTTCCAATTGCAATGGACAATCCGGCCAGGAATGGGAAGGTGAATGTAAAGACTGATGAGGTAAAATTCTGGCGGGAAGAACAGGCTGGGTGCTATCTGCGGATAGGGGCTGGGCTAGCAAGGGGCACTCACTTGAGATCACGCTCCTTCTCGCTCATATATGTTACCACGTCCATATCAGAAAGATGATGCATCTTGTTTAGTTGTTGAATGTGAGCCTCGATGTAAGTCTTTATATCCTCTGCCTCGACCAAAGCAGAGGCTATCTTTGATGTAAAAGTCATCAAATGAACAAGGAACTCCCCAATCTCGACTAGCTTGCAGCTTGAAGTAGGGGCTGATTTATCCTCTGCCTGCTTAGCGGGCGCAGGTGTGGGACCAGAAGGCTGCTGTAGCAGCTCCTGAGAAGGCGAAGAGCCATTAACTCTGGGCGTAGGTAAAGGCTGTGATGTAAGCCCTAAGTCAGACGCAGAGGCTCCTTTCTGCTCATTGCCCCTATTGTCGGACATATTTAGCTCGCTAAGCTTTGTTCGGATGACCTCTTGAAGCCATGGGCTTAGGGGTCGTGAGCATGAGAGAAGGACGCTTGCTGGAAGATCGTCGGACGGCATGACAGGCATATCTTGTATATGCTGGGGCCTATGGCGGTGGCATCACTGGGAGCTTTCACGCTGTAGGCGTTCTGTGTATATCTCTCTGCCCGCAGTCCAGACAGAAAAACGAGAGGGTAAAGATCAAGCAAACAAAAGTGTGAGGGGAGAGGTGGTCTCCCTCGAAAATTCTCTGCGGAGAAAGGTAAGGCAGCAGACTAAAGGGGACACACAGCCTGGTCATAAATACTGGCTGAACCGATTTCGCTACCCTGTGAATTTGCCTCCCTTGGTTTCCTGTAAGAACGGGTTGGTGATATGCGTATCAGGCGCCGGACAAGGCAGTGTCACTTTCCCAGCCTTGTAGCCTCCTTTTAAGTATCGAAGGCTGTCGGATGGAAGAAAGTCGAGGGAGAATCCCAGTCAGCCAATTTGACCAGCCCCAGGGGAGGCTTATGAAGCAGTGAGATTACAACATCATCGTGTTTTTTTTAGCGAACTACCCAAGTCCGATCCGATTCTATTTTGACATTTCATCGTCCTCACCTTTGTCTCTCTAACAGCTTGGCCGTCATCTTTCTTCTCCTTCTCCTTCTTCTTTTCTCTTTACTTTCTCTACCGTCCCCTTTTTTTTATTCTTTTTATATTCTTTTTGATGTGACTTTTTTTTTTGGCATTTGACGACCCACGTGATTTAGATGGAAATGATGACTCAGCGATAATATCACATGATGAGGCTGATGCTTACGTTGTCCGGCGCGGGCCTTTTACCGCCTTCCTAGCTGGGACGGGAGCGGGAAGCGGGGGCTGGCAGAATAATTTAACTTACTTCAGCCGCATCAAAAAGCACTTGCAGCTTTCTCTCTTCTCCCCCATATTCTGTTCTACTATTCCTTGGGTTTCCTTCGCCTTAGCCACCGGGCAACTTTGGACAGATCGAGTCTCTTTTAACTAGATACGTGCGATGAATGAAGCCATGTCATTCGCCAAGAAACACAGTTGGTGTGAAGAATCCATAGATCCACAGACGAGCATTTTCTATCCGCCCAACCCAATGTCAGTCGGACCAGAAACTCTAATGGAGCTAGTGCAACAGGAGTTTGGAGAATGGAGCGAGAGGTCTGCGTGCAATACTACAAAAAGGGCGCAAGAAGCCCCTCGGTATCGACCTCTAAGCGACACTGTGAGTCCAAAGGCTGGTCCGAATGATATCCATCAATTACCTCGTAAGACAGTTTCTTTCATTTCTGCAGCTTTGTTTATCGGTAACTTCAATTTTTGGTTTCTGGGGATCATTGTCGCTAACTACCTAAAAAGAAGTACACCTCACTCCTACTCTCCATCCCAACAGCGATGGGTTCATTTTCGGTAACACAATGGAGTACCAAGCATTCCTCGGCCCCCCCGTAGCTCTTCCTTCCGTCAGCATGGCTTCGACCCGGAAGGTTGAATTGGAGCTCATCAATCCGTTTGCGCGAAATCGTGACCGAAGGCATAAGTTCTCAAGAGATATCATTATACCCCCAGTGGATGGGGAAATAAGCAGCTATATAAAAGTAAAGCTGCGTGTATCCAACGGTCGCCACGCCAGCGAGAATCGCCAAATCGTCAAGCGTGGCTGCTCGAACATTCGAACAGCAATTCCTATAAACTCGGAAAGTTGTTCACAGAGAGATGATGGCAGTCTCCAGCTTGTGTCTCCCTCCATGCCTCCAAGTATTGGCATACATAGTGTCCTTCATGAGAATCAGTTGGATGGACAGTGCCTGAGATTCTGTGCGTTTATCACCTCGCTCTACGTTCAACTATGCTATTACTGCCGTGGAAAGACTGATTGACCTGAATGAGAATAGATCAATCAGCGTTTTGTCCGGGAAGAACACTTCTAGGTGGAACTAATTTTTGGATGAAGGAAATATTAGCCATGGCACAGGAAGACCCATCTGTAAAGCACGCGTTACTGGCATTGAGCGGCAGTTATTGGCTCGATTACAACTCGCAACCAAGCCTTCGAGAGCGTGTTAATTATAACTATGATCAAGCCAAAGAGATGATAAGCGTCGCACTGAGAAAACCACAAACCCAAGCCATTGGGCAGGGTGATAATCTCATTGCTACCATAGTGCTCCTTGTAGTAGATGATGTGAGTTTATAAGCATTCATTTGTTCCAGCACCCACAATCCTAATATTATGAATCGAGGCTGACGAAAAGACAAATAGTGTGTGAACTGGGAATTGCGTATTAATAATGCGGAACCAAATTGGATGTTGGCTGCTCGGCTCGCCAAATCCATCTTAGATAACTCAGATCCGGGTTTCAGATACTGGCAGCCCGGTAATACGCAATACAGCGCTGCAAGGCACGGATATGCAAACTGGATAGCTCTTGCGTGCATCCTCGGAGAACTCGTAACCCCGCTAGCATCGAGGGGGAACCCAAATGCTTACGGCTGGCTCCTAGCAGGTACACAAAAAGAGAGCTGGAAGATCCACGGTAGCACAGGTCTGTGTCCGAAATTACTTCACATAATCTCACAGATAACTTATCTATCTGTTTTGGTGAAGGAAGTCAGTGATTTCACCCGAGCCTTATTCTTTGTGAATTTTTTTCCAGCTACATGACTAGGCATCTGACAATCTTCGCAGGATGCCTCGACGGCCCCTATTTACGCTGCAAAGGTGATTTGTAGCGGGCTAAAGTCGTTCCATCAATGGTCAGAACTCTCTGATGGTTACCCAAGTGCCGAAGAGCTGCTCCGTTCATGCGATTTGGATGAAACTGGGAAAGTCCAGACTGCGACAAAAGTTACCGAACTTACTGGGGAAACTTGGGTCGCTGCCGCCCAGATCTATCTCTATTGCCGACTGCTTAGGTGAGCCTCATCCCAACCCGGTTCGCATCAGGCGGATTAAGTACTTAACATTATATGCAGAAAACCTCGCTACCACCCCGACGTCCAAAAAAGCGTAAAAACTCTATGGAAGTGCGTTACTCGGATGCCATATTCAGGGATTCTGTTCACTTCCCAGGCGCCTTTTTGTCCTATTTTCATTGCTTCTCTCGTTTCTATAGAGAAAACGGATAGAAGGATAGCCGAGGAGTGGTTTACAACAGTAGGCTTGAAAGGTAAATGTAGATCGGTATGTCTGCCCCTAAGCTCGACTGTTTTCCTAGGCCGGTTCAATAGAGAATATTCTACCAAAATACTAACACAGGCTTCTTAGAGCGTTCCACCAGTGTGGGGTGCGGTGCAGACAATGTGGAGTTGGATGGACGGAGGAGGAATCAATGATGCCTTCGATGAGAGTATACCTGTGTATAAAAGAGCTCCCTGGTGGGAGAGTATGATCGACCATCTTATCGCAACCGTAGGTTATGTTAGCTTAACATAACATCATTACTAGTATATAGTATATAGTATATAATAGCCCTTACTTCCGCAATGGAATAATACATAGTTCTTTTCTTATTCCTATCATAGTAGTTAGTTGCTCTACGTACCACAGCAATACAAGTCAAGGATAGACACATACTTAAAGGCATAATATACTGTTGGCAACCTACATGCTCAGGCGATCAACACTAGTGTATAGTGTACGCTTTATGCAATTTTTTTTTTTAATTTTGTTACTGTAATAAACTGTAATAAATATATTTATCCCAGCATCGTTTCTGAATTCACCAACTCATGCAAAACTCATTGGTTTGCCTTGTAGCCCTAGCCATTGTTAGTTTAGTAGCCATATACGTATGTCTAAATTTTCTATAAATGTTCAAGGGTGTATATAGTATAGGGTATGAGGTACGTGACGAGTGTTGGTCTTCTACTATGTATTCTATTACCGGAACAGGCTGTATCAGTGATTCCAAGAATGAGACATGTAGTTTATGAATTATATGAAATAAGCACGTAGTGGGATATATAATGAACGAGATATAAGGTCGACTGAGGCGGAGAAATGCAGTTAAATATGACTAAGCACCAAGCCTACTTACATAACCAACTTATCTATCACGTGATTGAGCTTAGGCCAAGGCCGATTTCGACTTCAAAAACAAGAGGAAAAACCAAGTTGCATTGGAGAGAGAACAAACCAACGCCCGTCCTCTAAATACAAGCATAATGATTATCCTGAAAGGCTAAGATCCTGATAGTTATACATGCTGTGAAGGATAATAACTCGCGCTGAGGAGAAAGTCAACTGAATAACTAGCACAAAGGCTGAATGAAAAGAGACAAAAACGAAAAGAACATAACTCGCCAAATATATTGGGCAAAGCGGAACACCAAGTTGGAGGAAAGATCAAATGCAAGGTTCCAAGGTAATTAATTAATGATTATTGAAATCAGCGTTGGTCAAGAGATATTCGTCTGTCAACGTGGGTATATTAGCACAGGCTTCACATATAAATAGCCGAGTAGTGGG